CAGGAGCAGCATCGCTGGCAATGCTGTGAAGAGGTATATAACCATGCTTTCTCATCATCATAGGTCGAGTGGATCCCCATCCACTCTACTCACCATACAACTAGTCAATACTTTAGAAACACAAGTACTCATTAGTTACAGTCAGCATAGCAGCAATCTATCAAGGTTGCTCCTCATCGTAGTGTGTGTGTTGTATCACCACTACCTGACGTCCGAAGGCGCCCATAGCAGGTTAGCGGTCCGGATATAGATAGAACCGAAGGCAGTAGTCCACTGCGGTCCGGGGATCACTTCAAAGCATCAAGTCAACACACTGGACACTCGTGTTGACGCCACCAACCTTATCACCAACACCATCAACCTCATTATCATTGACATCACCAACCTTATCATCAACACCATCAACCTCATTATCATCGACATCACCAATCTCATCACCAACACCATCAACCTCAACATCATCAACACCCACACCAGACCTTGGTGTCATCATAACATTGATATTGATCGTGCCGAGCTACCCCTGAACGGAGTGTCCACAGAGGTCAGCCGAAACCTACGATAGTATATACAACGAACGCCACCTGCTGTCACTGCACAACTTGATAGTCACCGATACCGAGACAATAGCTGTCACACAGTTTAATAGTCACCGAGTATCTCGACAGACCGACCTGGGTTTCAGGCGCGAGACCCCTGACAGCAGGCACAGCCACGAAGAGGACCAAGCTCAGATGGTTACCACTCAGGGGCTCGAGAGACAAGAGTCAAAGGAACCGACACCAGGTCATGAGGAGGAGGAGCAGTGTCAAAGGAGTCGACACCACTCAAGAGGCACAGGGGTGCCAAGCAGGAGAGGCCCCTGAGCAGTACTCGATGAAGAAGGTACTCTCTGGAGAGAGAGCAGGAGCAGCATCGCTGGTGATGCTGTGAAGAGGTATATAACCATGCTTTCTCATCATCATAGGTTGAGTGGATCCTCATCCACTCTACTCACCATAACTAGTTATCACTTCAGCATAAGTATATATTAGTTTCAGTCAGCATAGCAGCAATCCATCAAGGTTGCTCCTCATCGTAGTGTGTGTGTTGTATCACCACTACCTGATGTCTGAAGGCGACCCATAGCAGGTCAGCAGTCCAGATATAGATAGAACCGAAGGCAGTAGTCCACTGTGGTCTGGGGATCACTTCAAGCATCAAGTCAACACACTGGACACTCATGTTGATGCCACCAACCTTATCACCAACACCATCAACCTCATTACCATCAACACTCACCAACCTTATCACTGACACCATCAACCTCATCATCAGCAACACTCACACCAGACCTTGGTGTCATCATAACCTATGCATTGATATTGATCATGCCGAGCTACCCCTGAATGGAGTGTCCACAGAGGTCAGCCAAAACCTATGATAGTATATACCCGAATGCCACCCATCGCGCAACTTGATAGTCGCCGAGCGACTAGCTCGTCAAGACCGATACCGAGACAATAGCTGTCGCACAGTTTGATAGTCACCGAGTATCTCGACAGACTGACCTGGGTTTCAGGCGCAAGACCCCTGACAGAAAAGTGATAGAGACGGCTCTATCACATGTTTCACCGAGAATCGAAATACCACTAGTGTTGTCGCATAACTCGACAGAATCGGTAATAGTATCGACACTACTACCGAACTCAGGTTTCAGGCATGCGACCGCTGACACCGTGTTTTCAGTGCTAGAACCGAAGAAGCTGTGGCGAAGGAGCTGTCAGCGGTCGTGTGCCTGAAACCCGAGATTTACCGGGTCAATTGATCTCCACCAGTTTCAATGAACTCTCTTGAGTGTGTGCCTGTTGGCCAGTTTCACTGAGACTGCTTGGAGGCTAGTTACCCATCAAGTTTTGGCAAACCGCTGCAAACACTCAGTTCAGTGGTAGTGTGGCACAGTCTAGCTCCTGTCTGCTGCAGGAAGCCTTAGGGTAACGTTGGCTTGACACGAGTGTTTGTAGTGTCGACAACCAGATGGCGAAGTGATGGGGAAAAACCCAGACCGCAATAGGAGTACTGCCTTCAGGGGGAATAGGTATCCGGACCGCAGTAACTACTGCCTACGGACGACGTCAGTGAGGGGTGATACAACACACTGTCACGGGACTGGATGGATGTGCAGGAAGAACTGGATTCATATGAAGAGATCTTGCACAACCATCGTGGATTGGGCAAAAGTAGAGTTCTGACAGAGTTCAGTGAGATCAGTAGGATCAACAGCTCTATGGCAAAACTCATCGAGATTGGTAGGAACACAAGTCTTACTACAGGGGTAGTAGAATCAGCAGTACCACACTCGCTACAACAGGCCTCACAGGAATTGGTTTGAGAAAAACCTCTATCACCGATACAGCAAGAGGATGACAACAAACAAGGGAGAGGTCGCCACTGGATGAAGTAGGGGCCTTACACGACGATGAAGTCGGTGCAAGCAGATGGGTGCCAACTGTCAGGGGTCTCATGCCTGAAACCTGAGATCTGTAGTAGAAACGCGTCTATTACAGATCCTGTTGAGATATGTGGTAAAATGCTGTGTATTATTATTCTTGTCAAGATCTGTTGTAGAAAGCCTCTATGACTTTTCTTGCTCAAATATGTGATAGGTGTCATGGGCATTGATGCGTAAGAAGTAAGAAGAGCCGTCAGTTCATATGAAGGGGGCACAGGGATCAAGGAATCAGGCAATCATGGGAATTGTAACAGAATTCAGTGAGATCTGTAGTAGGAACAGTTCTATGACAGATCTCATCGAGATCTATATGAGTGATGTCGATATCATGATTTCTGCCAGAATCTGCAGTAAGCAAGGTCATATGGCAGATTCCATGGAGATCAGTGATAGGGAAGTTCATATGATGATTCACATGCAAGAGGGACCAAGCTCACATACAATGAGGATCAAGCACTGCCAAGAAGGGGACCAAGCTCAAGGAGCATGCAGGTGGGTACCACTCAGGGGTCCACAAGATAGGAGTCAAGGGAGTCATTGCTGGTTGAAAGAAGAAGAGCTGTATCAAAGACACTGGTGAGCAGGTCATGAGGAGGAGGAGGAGCAGTGTTGAAGGAGTTGGCACATAAGCTCAAGAAGGACAGACAGGAGTGACAGGCAAGCAGGGCTCGATGAGGAGGAGGTGTCTCATCAGAGACTCTGGTATAGTACTCAGTGAAGAAGGTACTCTCTGGAGAGAGGGCCAGAGCAGTGTTGCTGGCAACGCTGTGAAGAGGTATATAACCATACCTTCTCGTCACAAGTGGTTGAGTGGATCCCCATCCACTCTACACACCATATAACTAGTATTACTTTCAGAAGCATAAGTACTCATTAGTTTCAGTCAGCATAGTTGCAATCCAATAGATTGCCTCTCATTGTAGCACATGTGTTGTATCACTGCTCACTGACATCCAAAGGCAGTTCATAGCAAACCAGCAGTCCAGATTAGATAGAACCAAAGGCAGTTGTCCACTGCAGTCTGGGGATCACCTCAAGTGATAGTTGACACACTGGACACTTGTGTCGATGCCACCAAGTATCATACTCACACCAGACCTTTGGTGTCAACATCAAGTTCACCCAACATCGTATAGTTATTGATCATGCTGAGCTACCTCTGGACAGAGTGTCCACAGTGGTTAGTCAAAATCTGCAATAGCATTACTACAACTACAGATTTGAATGAGAAAAGTGATAGAGATGGCTTTATCGCATATTTCACTAAGAATCGAAATACCACTAGCATTGTCGCATAACTCGACAGAATTGGTAATAGTATCGATACTACTACCGATCTCAGGTTTCAGGCGCATGACCGCTGACAATAGGTTGATTGCTATTGCAGGTTTCAACTGACCACTGTGGACACTCCATCCAGAGGTAGCTTGGCATGATCAATAACAATAGATGTATTGCTATGACACCAAGGTCTGGTGTGAGTGAGGTTGTTGGTGCCAACACAAGTGCCCAGTGTGTTGACTGAGTGCTTGAGGTGATCCCCAGACCACAGTGGATGACTGCCTTTGGTTCTAATGATCAAGAGAGCTGGACCACAGTATGAACCACCTTTGGAATGTTGATCAATGTCAATGAGTGGTGATACAACACATGTGCTACAATAGGAGTAATGTCTTATGATTGCTACTGTTGATGAACTACTAAGTATACTTATGTGAAAGTTATAACTAGTATGATATGGTGTAGAGTGGATGAGGATCCACTCGACCTTTGATGATGAGAAAGCATGGTTATATACCTCTTCACAGCGTCGCCAGCGATGCTGCTCCTGCTCTCTCTCCAGAGAGTACCTTCTTCATCAAGTACTGTACAGGGGCCCCTCTAGCACTGCTCCTCCTCCTTGCTATCCTGCTTGCTTGGCACCCCTGTGCCTCTTGAGCTGTGTCGAATCCTTCGACACTGCTCCTCCTCCTTGCTATCCTGCTTGTTTGGCACCCTTGTGCCTCCTGAGTGGTGTCGACTCCTTCAACACTGCTCCTCCTCCTCAGGACCTGCTTGCCAGTTCCCTATACACTGCTCCTTCTCCTTTGACCAGTGACAGTTCCTTTGACTCTTGTCTCTCAAGCCCCCTGAGTGGTAACCATCTGCATGCTCCTTGAGCTTGGTCCTCTTCATGGCTGTGCCTGGCCCTCCTCACATATGGGCTCGGTCCTCCTTTGCATGTGAGTCCATAGGAGTCCATGGTCTCCATGGAGACTGCACTACGACCATGCTCTCTAATGGTATCGACTAGATCTTCGATACCTGTGCTCCTTCCATATGAACCAGTGACCCTCCTGCTTCTTGAGCATTCAGGCCCATGACACTACCCCCCTCTTAAGAGCCGAGCTCCATCGAGGCATGCTCTGGTCTGGTTCATGCTGACTCCTCCTCCTCCTCCTCCTCGACAACATTGTCAACATCACCCTTCCTCCTTCTCTCAACTTCATTCTCCTTCCTCCTCCTCTCTCTACTCCTCCTGTTCTCTCCTCCTCTCTCTACTTTGTCTACTCGCTTGTCCCCCCTCCGACACCTCATACTCCTGGATGAGGTCGGGGCAGCTGAGGTTCTCTACTGGTTCCCATGAAGCAGCTTCTTCTGCATACCCTCTCCACAACACTTTGTACTCTGTAGTCCCATTGTGTGAACGCTTGTCAATGAGTGCTTCGACTTCGAAATCAAGGTCCTCATCTGGAAGTGATGGTATGGTGGGCTGTTCAGCTCGTTGAGGAAGAGAACTTGTTCTTGCTAGTTCAAGCATGGAGACATGGAACACATCATGCACCCTAAGGTTTGCTGGCAATGTGATCCAATAAGCTCAGCGTCCTACTCGTTCCTGAACTGGGTAGGGTCCTGCAAACCAAGTATCTAACTTGGGTGTGGGTCTCCTTGTCTTCCAGTTTCAATGGTTGATATAGACCATATCACCCACCTTGAACTCAATGTCCTTGTGCTTCCTGTTATACTGGTCTACTGATCTATGTTGTGCCTCTCTGATCTGCTCCTGGAGGTACTTGCAATGCTCCTTTCCATCCATGAGGTACTCAAAGCGACCTGGGTCATTGACTCCTAGTCGTTGAGGGATATCAGGATGAGCTTTGGGGTTCCATCCATAGCATGCAAAGAATGGTGAGACACCAATGCTGTTGTGGACCATGTTGTTGTATACAAAGGCTGCAGTGTCCAGCAGGTCGGCCCAGTCATTCTGTTCATAGTTGCAGTACATCCTTAGGTACTGCTCTATGACCTGATTGACCCTCTCTGTCTGACCATCAGTTTGAGGATGGTAAGCTGTGCTAAGTGAGTGCTTCACACCCATTTGTTCTGCAAATGCCTTCCATGCTCCTGATATGAACTGCCTGCCTTGGTCTGAGACCATGTGATCTGGGTATCTGAAGAGTCTAACCATGTGTCTGTATAGCAACACTGCAGTCTGTTTGGCCATGACTGTCTTATGGGTTGGAGCTAGTATGGCAAACTTGGTTAACCTGTCAACAATGACTAAGATAGAGTCATAGGTCTTGGAGTCATACTTCTTCGATGGTGGTAGTCCTTTGATGAAGTCGAGGGATATGGAGCCCCAGGGTCTGTCTGGTGTTGCTAGTGGCTGTAGCAAACCATATGGACAGTGACGAGGAGCTTTGTACCTGGCACACACAGGACAACTTGCTACATAGTCTGCAATCCAAGCTGTCATGTTTGGCCACCAGTAATGTCATTGGGCTGCCTTGATGGTAGCATCTCTTCCTACATGTCCAGCAGTGATACCGTCATGGCATTGGGTCATCACCATGAATCACAGGTGCTCTACAGAGAGAGACAGTCCATCTACCTCTTTGGCACTCCTTGAGTGTCAGTTGTTGGTCCTCCCTGGCATGATCACTTTGGGGATAACCAACCTTCCTCCACTGTACCATAGGTCATCCTTGACCTCGAAGGGCTTCTTTGCATGTATCTCCTGTAGCTCTTGGTCTAAGGGCTGGAAGATCTTGACCAGGTCTCTGAGACCTTTTGATGCTATGGACTCCATCGAGATCATAGGGGCCACTAGGATCAAGTCATGGTCTGCTGTCTCCTTGAACACTCGAGGAGGCAGTAGTTGCCTCACATTGTGATCCTGCTCTTCACCAGCTGGTTGCATGTCTGTCCTTCTGGTGAGAGCATTGGGTTCACCACCTTTGTCTCCTGGTCGATACTGCAATATGAAGTCAAAGTCTGCTAGTAGTATTGCCCATCGAGCCTGTCGACCTGTGATGTGTCTCTGTGACTTGAAGTACTTGAGGGCTTCATGGTCAGTGAGGATGACCAGTTGACTTGGTAGTCCAGCTAGCATGTGTCACCACTGAGTAAGGCAGGCGACCACAGCTAGGAGCTCCTTGTCATGGATCTCATAGTTCTTCTCGGCAGAAGACATCTTCCTAGAGTAGAAGGCCACTGGATGCCATTGTCCTTCATGCTCCTGCTTGAGTACTCCTGCTATAGCAAAGTCACTTGCATTGGTCTCCAACCTTGTTGGAAGGTGGTAGTTGAAGTGCTGAAGCACTCCTGCTGATGTGAATGCCTGGATGAGCTTGTGGAAGGCCTGTTGGGCCTCCTCTGGTAGCTCGAACTTCTTGAATCATTCTATAGGCTTTACCAGTGATGTCAAGGGCTTGGCTATGCGAGCAAAGTGGGCTATGAACCTTTGATAGAAGTTGGCAAAACCCAGGAACCTTTGGATGTCATGGATTGACTCCAGCATTGGCCACTCCTTGACAGTGTGCACCTTTTCTGGGTCCATCTCTATACCCATCGGCTTGATGATGTATCCCAGGAACTCAACTATCTTGGTGTGGAACTCACACTTCGACAGCTTAGCAAAGAGCCTGTTGCTCCTTAATCGAGTGAGGACCTTGGTGACATGCTTCACATGTACCTCCTCAGTGTCACTGAAGATCAGGAAGTCATCTAGGTATACCACTACATATACTCCAATGATGTCTCAGAAGATGTCATTGATGAATGACTGGAAGTGAGCTGGAGCATTGGCTAGGCCAAAGGGCATCACTAGGTACTCATAGAGTCCCAACTGAGTGCCAAAAGCTGTTTTCCATTCATCTCCTTTAGCTATCCAGATGAGGTTGTATGCTGCTCTAAGGTCTAGCTTGGTATAGATCCTTGCCTTCCTGAGTAAGAACAGCTGCTCCTTGATGAGGGGCAGTGGTGCCCTGTTCTTGACAGTGATCTCGTTGAGACCTCAGTAGTCCACACAGAGTCTGAGACCTCCATCCTTTTTTGGTACAAAGAGCACTGGTGATTGTGCCAGGCTCTTCGATGGTCTTATGAACCCCTTCTCGAGGTTCTCATCCAAGTACCTCCTCAACTTGGACATCTCCTTGGGTCCCTTAAGGTACAGGGGCCGTTGAGGTGGCTTTCCTCCTTCTATCAGCTCGAGGTGGAGATCATGCTCAGTATGATGGGGCAGCTTGTCTGCTTCCACCTCATCGAACACATCTCGCAGGTGTTGGTATGGCTTTGGTATGTCTGCAGCCGTCACCACCTTGTCCACCTCTACCTCCATCTCTACTCCTTTGTCTGCACCTGTAGGTACAAAGCCAAAGGCCAGGAGTGATGATGGTGGCTCCTCCAACAGCATGAACCCTATGGGTCCATCTTCCAGAGCTGCTTGCAGTATGTGCTCTGCTGAGACAAACTTGTTTCCATGAAGGGTTGGTCTCCTCATGGTTAGGTCCCCTGCTCTTGCTGCTTCAGGGGGTCTCCTTGGGGGTCAGTCCTGCTCCTGAGTCTTGAACTCCAGCTGGCCCGTATCCCATTGTATGGTGGGTTTGAGCCTCCATAGCTCAGTGAACCCCAGGATGAGGTCATAGTCAGCAGTGTCAGCCACTGAAGCTTTGACCACACCCAGATTGTGTGTACCAATAGATACCTGCATGCTCACAGAACTATTGATGGAGAGTTGGTGCCCAGTGACACCATGGATCGATCTTGTTTTTATGGGTTTTGTGGGTATTTGGTACTTACTAATGAAAGAATCTGAGACTATGGACAAACCAGCACTGGTATCAGCTAGTATCCGAGCAGGATGGTCTTGAACCATTCCAGAGAGCTCCAGTACTGCTTTGCCTCCACTGGTAGAGAAACATACTTGACAATCTTGATATATACAGAGCAATGGCGAGGAGGTTTGTAGAGCAATGCATGCCATCAGTGCATCACCCCATTGACATTTCCCTCGTCATCGTCATCATTGTGCTCCTCCTCCTCATGATCAGGGTCCATGGATTGCTGGTATGAGCTGAGGTCCATGGCCTTGGGGTCACCCATCTCAGTGCTGCCTGTGTGGCCATCTCCTGAGTCGGTGGCCTCCTCAAAGGGGTCTGCTGTGGTGACCATAACCTTTGGTCCCATGGGTCAAGAGCTAAGAGGGTCTACCCTCCTGCTGGGGCAGTCTCTGGCCCAGTGGCCAATACCCTTGCATACATGACAGGTGTTGATACCTGATGGAGCAGGGCTTCCTTGCTTCAAGGTTTGGGTGGGTTGATGAGGAAGGGGTAGGTTAGTTGGTCGGTTTAGGTTTTGTGTAGTTGCTTGTGTAGTTGCTTGTGCTGGTGATCAAGCTGGATAAGGTTGAGTGGGTTGACATATGGGGATTGAACTTTGAATTGGCCAAGACCCAGTTCTTAGTGGAGGTGATGTGGCATTTGGGAGTGAGTGTCTAGCCAAGGACTGCTGTAGTAGCATCCTCTGTTGATCGATCTCCTCAACCTCTTGATACCACTCCCATCTCTTCCCAGGTGGGTTCCTCTCGAACTTCTCCTGTATGCTGTGAGTGATACTACCTCTGAAGAGACCAAACACTAGCTCATTGTCATCTAGGTTGACCTGTCCCTCCAAGTCTCTGAACCACTCTACATGACATGTGGCAGCACCAGGAGCATCACTTGTGAGCCTGAGAGCTAACAGCTTGTTGTATGCCTCCATCCTAGCATTGCATGGGTTGAACTGTTCTGACAGTCGCTCTGTGAAGTAGTGCCAATCATTGAACAACCTTCCTTCTCTAGCTCTATCAATATGGAGCTTGGAGGTCCACCACTCTCGTGCTGTCCCTTCCAGTTGAGCACCCATGTGATTGATCATCCTAGACTGCTCAAACACCTGGTTGAACTTAAACCATGCTTTGGCTTCTAGAATGAAGATCTCCATGTCTTGGGGATTGAACTTTGGAAATGGGGTGGCAATGGGCTTCAACCTCTCCATCATGATGCTGGTGTCCTCCTCTTGGTCCAAGGGGTAAGGGTCCATCCTGGTCCTGCTGTAGGGGTCCACCTTAGTCTTGACATATCTTGGCCCAGTAGGTGAAGCATACTTCTCATAGTTGACGTCATCCTGCTCATCCAGGTTGATGAATGAGACTGATCATCTTGGTTGTGGAGCTGGGGTAGGAGTATGTGGGTCTCCTATCATAGACTCATCTCCTCCTCCTGCTTGTTCCTCTGAGTGAGAGAGGTCAATCGTCTCCTCCCTGCTCAGATGAGCTTGTTGTAATCGTTCCTCTTGTTGACCCTGCCTGGTAAGCTCTAGCTGGACTTCCAATAGAGTGAGTAGTCTATCGAGCTTATTGTTGAGGTCTGGATCCATCATGGTGATTGTGAGGAGCTGCTTGAACGATCCACTCTAATGTCAGGGGTCTCACGCCTGAAACCCAGGTCGGTCTGTCGAGATACTCGGTGACTATCAAACTGTGCGACAGCTATTGTCTCAGTATCGGTCTCGACGAGCTAGTCATTTGGCAACTATCAAGTTGTGCAATGGCAGTGGGTGGCATTTGTTGTATATACTATCGTAGGTTTCGGCTGACCTCTGTGGACACTCCGTTCAGGGGTAGCTTGGCACGATCAATATCACTGCATAGGTTATGATGACACCAAGGTCTGGTGTGAGTGTTGATGATGATGAGGTTGATGGTGTTGGTGATAAGGTTGGTGGAGTTGGTGATAAGGTTGGTGGCATCAACACGAGTGTCCAGTGTGTTGACTGATGCTTGAGGTGATCCCTGGACTGCAGTGGACTACTGCCTTCGGTTCTATCTATATCTGGACCGCTGGTTTGCTATGAACTGCCTTCGGACGTCAGGTAGTGGTGATACAACACACACACTACAATGAGGAGCAACCTTGATAGATTGCTGCTATGCTGACTGAAACTAATATATACTTATGCTGAAGTGATAACTAGTTATGATGTGTGTGTAGAGTGGATGAGGATCCACTCGACCTTTGATGGTGAGAAGGCATGGTTATATACCTCTTCACAGTGTCACCAGCGACGCTGCTCCTGCTCTCTCTCCAGAGAGTACCTTCTTCATCGAGTACTGTTCAGGGGGCCTCTCCTGCTTGCTTGGCACCCCTGTGCCTCTTGAGCTGTGTCAATTCCTTCAACACTGCTCCTCCTCCTTGCTATCCTGCTTGTTTGGCACCCTTGTGCCTCCTGAGTGGTGTCGACTCCTTTGACACTGCTCCTCCTCCTCAGGACCTGCTTGCCAGTTCCCTATACACTGCTCCTTCTCCTTTGACCAGTGACAGTTCCTTTGACTCTTGTCTCTCAAGCCCCCTGAGTGGTAACCATCTGCCTGCTCCTTGAGCTTGGTCCTCTTTGTGGCTGTGCCTGGCCCTCCTCACATATGGGCTCGGTCCTCCTTTGCATGTGAGTCTGTAGGAGTCCATGGTCTCCATGGAGACTGCACTACAACCATGCTCTCTAATGGTATCGACTAGATCTTCGATACCTGTGCTCCTTCCATATGAACCAGTGACCCTCCTGCTTCTTGAGCATTCAGGCCCATGACAAGGAGCATGGTTATATACCCATTTTTGCAATGTTGCCTGCGACACTGCTCCTGCTCTGGGAGGCCTCTTCAACCCTGCTCCTCCTCCTTGTCCTTCCTATCCTTACTAGCGACCTTATGATGCTGCTCATTGGCGCAGCTTCTCTCACTTCCTGTGGGTGGATGTCACCTCAGCAATGATAGGAGTCACCCCCCACCCCCACTTCATCTGTGTGGCAACCCACCCCCTTCTTCATCCCTCCCATCCTCCTGCTCTGAGTTCATCATCGAGTTGGCCCCCTGCTTCATCAGGGTGGTGACCCCAATGTCTTTGACATCTTAACTTACTGAGATGCCTGTGAAAACAGCACCCACACAAGATCTATCCTATGATCAGGATACTACTGATTCTGGTGGGATTTGTGATACAGCCCCATTCATGCTGATTTGGATGAGATCTGTCATAGAGCCTCTCTACTACAGATCTCAATGAACTCTGCCATAACCCTTATTTCAACCGATCCTGTGATTCCTGTGCTCCTCCTCATATGACTTCTAATCTTCCTGCTTCTGCGCATCCGGCCCTGTGACAGTGCCTCTCCCCCTGCCCGTACAGAACTCGATCCTGGCTCCTGTCACAGGACCAGCGCAGAGATCATAAACAAGCGTTCTGCACAGCCGCTGAAATGAGCTCGGTGCACAGGAAGCGGGACTGGTCGAGACCCAGGGGCTCCAACCAATCTCAATGAGAATGGCCAAACAAGCAAGCCCTGGTGAAACCTCATTGAGAATGGTCAAGACAGTGGGGCCTGGGGAGTTTCACCAAGACTGGCCCAAGATGAAGTGGACCAATCAGTCCCACAATGGGATGAGGTTGATCCATCACAATCACAGGATCAGCCACTGGGAGCAGGGGGCGAGGGAGCTCACCACCTGATGAGGTGGGAGAGAACCCCTGAGCACGATGAAGTCGGCATAGGAGGATAACTGCTTCAGCAAGGCACCCAAATATGTGATAGGTTGATTGCTATTTCGACTAACTGCTGTGGACACTCCATCCAGAGGTAGCTTGGCATGATCAATAACGATAGCTGTATTGCAATGACACCAAGGTCTGGTGTGAGTGAGGTTGTTGGCACCAACACAAGTGTCCAGTGTGTCGACTGAGTGCTTGAGGTGATCCCCAGACCACAGTGGATGACTGCCTTTGGTTCTAATGATCAAGAGAGCTGGACCACAGTATAAACCACCTTTGGAATGTTGATCAATGTCAATGAGTGGTGATACAACACATGTGCTACAATAGGAGTAATGTCTTACAATTGCTACTGTTGACAAACTACTAAGTATACTTATGTGAAAGTTATAACTAGCATGATATGGTGTAGAGTGGATGAGGATCCACTCAACAGCTATGACGAAGAGCAAGGTTATATAACCATTCTTGCAATGTCGCCATGCAACATTGCACCCCCCTCTGGAACATTTCTTTGGCACTGCTCCTCCTTCTCCTCATCCTTTCTATCCCTCCTATCCTTCCTGTGGTGCTGCTCATCAGCACTGTGTCTTGTGCTTCCTGCAGATGGACAGTCTTTGCATTGTCTCACTGTCAACAGGGGTCATTCCCACCTCACCTGAGCAATAGTTCACACCCCCTTTCATTTCTCCCATCTACCAGCCCCAGATTTATTTACCAAGCAGGTCCCCTGCTTCATTGGTGGCAGACCCAGATATCTTTGCCACCCATCCATGATATCGACACCCCTTTTGCTGGTTTCAGTGAGATCTGTCATATGATCACAATACTACTGATTCTGGCAGGTTTTGCTGTAAGCTCCCACTCTTACTGATTTGAGCAAGATCTGTTGTAGGGCCTCTCTACTACCAATCTTGATGGATTTGGCTTTTGGACCCTCGTTCGGCCCAATCTGATGATTCCTGCGCCACTTCTCATATGCTTCCAGAGCCTCCTGCGCATCCGGTCCTATGACACAGTGTTGAAGAGGCCCCCCAGAGCAGGAGCAGTGTCGCAGGCGACATTGCGAGAATGGTTATATAACCACGCTCCTTGTCATAGCCATTGAGTGGATCCTCATCCACTCTACACCATATCTTACTAGTTATAACTTTCACATAAGTATACATTAGTAGTTCTGTCAACAGTTGCAACTGCAGAGCATAGCAACTATATAGCACATGTGTTGTATCACCACTCCTTGACAACATCCAAAGGCAGTTCATACTGCAGTCTGGATAACAATTGACACCAAAGGCAGTTCACACTGTGATCTGGCTCTCTTGATCATAGAAACCAAAGGCAGTTGTCCACTGCAGTCTGGGGATCAACAATCATTCAGTCAACACACTGGACACTCATGTTGGTGACAGCAACATCAACAGCACCAGACCTTGGTGTCATCACAACATATCTATAGCTATTGATAGTGCCAAGCTACCTCTGGACTGAGTGTCCACAGTGGTTAGTTGAAACCTGCAATAACTTTCAAGCTATCACATATTTGAGCAAGAAAAGTCATAGAAGGCTTCTATGACAGATCTTGGCAAGAATAATAATAAAGGCCTTTTACCACAGATCTTGATAGGATTGGTAGTAGTTGTCTTTCTACTACAGATTTCGGGTTTCAGGCACGCAACCTCTGACATAAAACTCCGAATTCAGTTTGCCATCTATATAGACCATTAGACATAGGCCTGCCCATGTCATACACCCACAAATCATGATGCTGTGGCTGCCACCCTGCAGTGTAGGTACATATATATCATAGTTGACATCCCTGGACCAGTATCACTTTTCCAAGCCCTTTCCAATGTGCTGAACCTTGCATTCAACACTCCAGATGACATTCTTCCATTGTTCAACAGTCCAATGTCTATAATCCTTGGCAAACACCCTCCTTGCCTTCCTATGTTTATCTGTGAGCAAGGGTTTTCTTCTTTTTGTCCTAAACTTAAGTCCAGCTCACTTCAGCAAGTGTGTAATGGTTTGTCTGGACAAATGAAGTTGATAGTGTTGTAGCCAGTAGGCTGAAGCTTCAGTAGCCAAAGTATAAGAATTCTTGCTAATTCCTCTGGTGGGTGTCATGGGATCGGGAATCAGGTAACCAAACCGAACATAGTGAGCAGTAAAACCACTACACCAGCTAGTCCCTTAGCTGGTGTACCCAATTCACACAACACTGAAGTATAAGCATTGCACTCCCCAATGCTCCAGACTCGGAGAACAGACATCTATTCATTCCGGTGACAGTGAGTAATGCCTGTTTGCATGAGGAGAGGATGAGGGGCCTTCCAGGGGTCCTTTTAACATATTCACTCTCTGGTACCTGTTTTGCCAGTTCAGCAATGCTGGATTTGTTGATAGACAGTTTAGTTGCTATCTCCCTTGTTGAGAAACCTGCTTGGAGCAGCTCTTTGACCCATAATAGGTGAGCAGTGGTGTATTTAGTCCTCCCCATATCAATTTTTTGCCCTCCTTGCCATGTTGACAGCAGTATTTCCAGATGTTGTCCTAAGCTCATCAAAACACCCCAAAACATCTTTGTTTATATCATACTACAATCATATGAAGTTTCATACATGGTCTATTAGCTCAATTCTGTGCAAAGCAATGAGTTACACAAGGTACAGAATTAATTGAGGAGGAGGAGGGGCTTCAAAAAGTGCCAACCTTAATACCAGCATATTCTTTGGCAGGACCACCCTTTTTTTCTCATGTATTCTGATAGCAGGCTATCCAAGCTTTGCAACCATACCACACAAAGTGGGTGTTGTCAAAGAGAACAAAGGGTACTGGTCATCATCATGAAAAGGACCTGAGAACACCATATCAAATTAATTAGATGCCAGGCAATTTTGGATGCGACTGTATTTTGGTGGGCCGTGCAGCAAAAAAAATCAAAAATCAAAAATCAAAAAATCAAAAATCAACAATCAACCCTTCCACTGCCTTGCCTTTTCTTCTGACACACATCATTATCCGATTGCAGCGACGATTGACACCTTCTCTCACTCGACGAGAGGAGGATTGCCAACAATCATCATGAGCTGATCAGTAATCGACGCTGTCCAGTCGGTAACATCGAATCACTATGGCTGTTGAAACGTCTTTCAGCAGAGCTCGTGAGCATCCTCGATGGCGCACGCTCGTCGGCTCCTCCGACAAACCTCAACCAGCGCAGCAACATCGTCAACAGCGCCGTCAGCAACTTAAGCAGCATTTTGGCATCTCGAGCACCGCCATCTCAGGCGCATTATCCGACCGTGCCGCTCACGACGTCAAGGGCAAGTCCAAGGCGCGACCGTCCATCATCCCTTCAACGTTGGGTCCAAACTACAGCGCCTCGGAGCACACGCTTCGCAATGACTACTCGCAGCATTTCGTCGACACCTCTGCTGGTCTGCTTCCCGGTAACGCCGTTCGCAACCCTTCCTCCAGCACCCGCTTCGATGAGTACCCAAAGTTGAAACGACTTGTACAGCTCAAAGATGCTCTCGTGGCCCGAGTTGCTCATCCTCCCACATACCTTAGGGTTGACTTACGGCCTTCCCTAGAACCATTCCGCGATCCATCTCGGTCTACAGCGACTTTTCACCTCGGCAGCCTCATCCCTGTCAAGTATGATGTCGTGCTCATTGATCCTCCACTAGAAGCTTACGAGTGGGAAGCTTATGCCTCTGCATCCACGTCCGCCTCGACTGGCGCTCAGGCTTCGACATGGTCATGGGAAGAGATTGCTGCGCTACCAGTACCTCAACTTGCCGCGAAAGAGAGCTTCGTCTTCCTCTGGGTCGGCTCTGGTGCAGGAGATGGGCTGGAGCGCGGCAGAGAGGTGCTCGCAAAGTGGGGCTACAGAAGATGCGAAGACATAGTGTGTATCCGCACCAACCCTCAGACGGGTAGCGATGCTGGTGGCAGCAGCAGCGAGCAGCCATCGACGAGCTCGGCCTTCACTCGCTCTAGCCAGCATTGCTTGATGGGTATTCGAGGCACAGTTCGTCGCTCAACAGACACCCGCTTCGTACATTGCAACATTGACACTGACGTTATGCTATGGCCAGGCCCTGACGACGAACAGCCGGCGGCACATCTTGACACCGCTGGGCCGCGGCGAAAATTACCCGACATGACGAGCAAGCCACCGGAACTCTACTCGATCATCGAAAATTTCTGCCTCGGCACTCGAAGGCTAGAGCTCTTTGGTCGGAACAGCAACCTGCGTCGGGGCTGGCTCACCATCGGCCTCGAACTTGGACCCGACGCGCCTCGATGGCCCGAGGATGGCAAAGTGGAGCTTCCGAGTGCAGGCCTCCCCGTGCTGCAGGAGGAGGCTGCGGTTGACCAAGGGTTGCGGATGTATCTGGATGCGTTGCGAACACCGAGGGTGTACGAGAAGATAGAGTATGACAGCAACTTTGGCGTGGATCGACCCGGATGTGATTTGCGTGATCGATCGAACCTGGTACCCTACGTTGAGGAGGTGGACCAATTGAGGCCTAAGTCCCCGCCTCCTCGTGGCGCTCCCGGTACTGGCGGGAACGGGAACAGCATCAACTCAACGAGATACAGAGAAGCACCGCAGCAGCTCTCAGCACAAGGTCCCATGGCGATGCCAAACGGCCTTAGCAGCAATCCCGCACTTCGCAGCTCGCGGCAAGCTTCACCTTCCCATCCTGCAGCACTTCCACTTGGGTTGGACTGCGCAAATCCATCTTCTTCGCTGCTCACTTCTGGTCTGCCTCCACGAGCACCCGTAGCCGGAGGAGCTGGTTTCTCAGGACTAGGAGCAGGTGGAGCGAGAACAGTCAGCGTACCCAGTGGGAGCGAAACGCTGAGCGGACCGCAGGCTAGCGTGCTCAAGGCCAAGGCGATCGCTGAAGCAAATGTTGCAGCCTACTTCTCAGCGAGTGCCGCCGCTGACAAGGTGGACGATGCACCTGTCGCTGGCTGAGACCCTGGAAAGGACTGAGTAGGGCCGTCCGACACATCGGAGCTGTCAATACCCTCATCTGTCATTCCCCACAATGAAACGCGCTCCCTTTCTACAATGTATGACTTTGACCGTGGGAGCGCCTGAGCTTATTGTGAGAGGAGGTGCGTTCCGTCTCAAGCTTGAGCGAGCAAGCGAACCTCAAAGTGACAACTTTTCCGCTTCACTGCGGAAAATAACTCAGCAGCACTGTTGGACGTGTCGATGCATAGTGATCTTCGTCCTACTTTCGCGTGCCACCGGAATTGAAAGTTCAACTTCCGCTTTCGACTCCATTCTTCTTCCTCTGCCTCGTCAAGGAGCTCGTTGTCTCGACCTCCGTCGTCAGGCGGTCCAGCTCAAATGCCAAGACTTCGAAACCGCTTGTGGACAGTCGTGTCACGTAGATGGCTCTCTCTCAGTGTCCTCTGCTGGACAAACGACCCGATGTTTCGAATGAACTGCTTAGCGAATGCGTGCCTGCTGAATGATCAGATGTGTGATCGATAGAAGCATGTTTTCAAGTGCTGTGGATGATGCTGATGAGGACCAGACCAGACGAGGGTGGACTCATGACAGCCGTTCCTCGACCTCTTGCTCGCAAGTTTTCCGCAATCAAGTACAGGGTTATATAGACACCCTCGCCCCTCCTCCCGCTCCACCATCTTCCTTGTCCTCCTCAACACGTCTCACCTTCGCCCAGCTCTCCTCATGTTCCTTCTCAAAGTACTCAAGGTCACCCTCGACTTTGTCCTCGCTCCCCTCTTCACACTATTCATTCTCCTGACTCTACTCGCCGTCTTCTTGCCTTCCATTATACCCTTGGTCCTCCTCATCCTTTTCAGAGAGCTCCGACACGGCTGTCTCACAACCCCTCTCCTAGCATCTCTTAATTTCGAATCCTGAGTCTTGTTCAATCCTAGAACTCAGGACCCTGAGAAAGTAGGCCCGTAAATATGACAGATTGGGCTACCTGGACCACGGTCTGGACTTCAGTGTGGATGATTGCCCGGGTCCCGGAACGCATGCGCAATTCGCAGAACTTTGATCGCCTCGGTGTACGCCTGGAGTCTACCTTCCTCGACCGCTTCTTTTCCATGTGTTCTTCTTCTACCTGGCATTACCCATCGACAGAACAGTCATTGAGACAGTGACAATCTTCCTTGCTATCCACGTTGTGACGATGTTCGTTTTTCTCGGGTTCATGTGGTTGCTTAGCGGGATGACCGGCCTGCTTTGGGGATATCAAAAAGGACGACTACCGACACTAGAAGAGGTGCTTCCCTATGTTCGAGAGACGACTCGTAGTTTTTTTTTTTTTTTTTGTTTTTTTTTTTTTTGTTTCCCATTGTCACGATGACAGAGCTTCAAGCTGGCCGTATACTTCTCTTGCTTCATCCTGTACAGCGGCGAGAATCTTTGGCCACCAGCCTCAGCTGACCGACTCATTGGACAACCATCTCTCCTTCTTCGCACAAGCCCTAACCGGCGACGCACCTCGACTTCCCGGCACAAATCTAACCTCAGCCGACTTGCATTCTCCCCTCTCCATCTTCCTTCCCCCTTTTCCCGCATCCCCTTCTGCCCAACACGAAATTGAACGTCGCTTATCATTCATAGTACGCATCTATCCACCCTCCATATCTCGAGCCGCAAACGCAACCGCACTCACCTACACTATTCATTTCTCCCCTCACCTCTCGATCGACTTGGTTGCAAAAAGAGGCTCTCAACTGTTTCGCTACCTTGAAGAACCATGCCCTTTTGCAGGAGGGATGACAGTGTTAATTCGAGACGTAGTAGTGCATGATTCGACAAGGGTGAAGGAGAGACTGGAGTTGATTTTCGATGGGCTCTCGTCCGTCGGGTTCTACATGCCAAAGGTCGTGAATGGGCAAGATGATGAGAGGGAGAGAGAGGAGGATGCTTGGGCTGAAGCGGTTAGATTCAATGCGATGTTGGATCTGGGTGATTGCTTGCGACGATATGACATGGTGTCGTCATGAGTAAGCGTCTTGAGTAGGCGAGATGGGGAGAGTCCGGGACTCCAACAGGTTGCCGAGACTCCAACATGACTCCTTCAGGACTCGAACAAGACTCGAACAAGGTCCAAAAAGGCTGCAGTAAGGTTCCGCTCAACTCCAATGTGTACAGTCCCTGTCCAAAGTTTGGGGACAGGGTCCAATAGACAATAAATCAACCATCCGATAGCATACCTTCCATCTGCTTGGAGGAGTGATCTCTCATAAGTGTCAGACTGAGCAAAACACACAGTGAGCAAGTTCAAAAGAAGAGCTTTCGATTGCAGTGAGTCTCGGAGCTGACTAATACTTGAGCAGACCTCCATGCTTAGTAAGCACTTGCTCCATGCGATGCTCCATTGACTCGATCACAGGATTGATATGTTTGAGCATGATCTGGGTGTTCCACACTTCCTCTGCAGCTCTTGCAAGTTCATCCCAGGGTTTTGGAACTGGTAAGCACTTACCAAGCAAGTTTTTGAATACATACCATATGTTCTCAATAGGGTTAAGGTCTGGCAAAGCCAGCAGGTGTTCCTGCATCTTAATGTTGTATTCAGCCTGCCATTGCTTGCAGATAGCAGCCTGATGACAGCTGCTGCCATCTTCAACAACTAACAGGCCATCAGTGTATGCACTAACAGCAGTTATGGCATCCCAGAGTGGGCTGTTGATGATCCAATCACAATATCTGACAGCTGTGAGGTTCTCAGCAGGATCCCATTGATTAGCTGACCCTGGCTGCTTCTTTCTTGGAGCCAATGGGAGCACAACCAACAGTGTTTTAAGGTTGTATGCAATGCCAGCCCATACCTGGATGCTGAAATGGCTGGAATGGAATGTTGGAACCATGTTGTTGATGTCTTCTCGAGTGTTTTTCCAGTGACTAACCCATGTGCATCCAGGCTGGTAGCCAACCTTGACAGCTGCCTTGTCTGTGAACAGCACACCCCTCCAATCAGTGGTGCTGTTAGCCTTGGCCCATTCTAGACATTTATGCCAGTTTTTGGATGTCAGAAACAGCTTTCAAAGTGCAATCTGGCAGTTAATACTGGCCTGGTATGCTGCTTTCCAGAGCTGCATTATTGGAATGCTGCCAAGCAATGCTGACAGCTGTCGCCATGATAGAAATGGGTTTTTGAGTACCTCATGCTGAAGGTATTGGTCCAAGGTAGCTGTCCAGGAGAGTGGATGGCTGGATCATGCTTTTGTTTTGAAGGTACCATGCTCCTTAAAGTTATGGATGGTCTTGTGAACTGCTGTCTTGGAAACACCACTTAGCTCTGCAATTTGTTGAATTGGCAGCCCAGTATCATACATTGCAATGATTGAAGCATGCTTGCTTGGAGAGAGCTCATTGCCATGGACCATATTGGCATTTGAAGTGTTCTTGATTAGTATGATGGTAGTGCTATTGCTCAATGATGATGACAACCCAAATGCAGGGTAACTGACTAAATTGGGAAATTACCCAATTGTCCTCAAACTTCTGCACAGGGACTGTATGTATTCAAAAACTTGCTTGGTAAGCACTTGCCGGTTCCGAAACCCTGGGATGAACTTGCAAGAGCTGCAGAGGAAGTGTGGAACACCCAGATCATGCTCAAACATATCAATCCTGTGATCGAGTCAATGGAGCATCGCATGGAGCAAGTGCTTACTAAGCATGGAGGTCTGCTCAAGTATTAGTCAGCTCCGAGACTCACTGCAATCGAAAGCTCTTCTTTTGAACTTGCTCACTGTGTGTTTTGCTCAGTCTGACACTTATGAGAGATCACTCCTCCAAGCAGATGGAAGGTATGCTATCGGATGGTTGATTTATTGTCTATTGGACCCTGTCCCCAAACTTTGGGCAGGGACTGTACTTTAGCTTCGCGCAAGAAGGTCTCAACACTCTGCTTCACCAAGAGCATGCTTTTGAGATGAATGTTTGCCTGGTCCAATTTTCAAAAGCTCAGCTGAGTCTTTCTTTCAACCAGGCACATCGCTCTGGGGTGGACGTTGAAAGTCATATCGTTTCAAAAGGGCGTACAAGAGGCGTTATCACTACTTGCGCGTGAAGAGACAAGGCCTTACATGAGATGGTCAAGAACCAAGTGGACGTTCCAAAGTGAGTGCGATTCTGCGTTTCTTCTTTGGTGCTTCGCCTTCCATCGTTGCTGCTGCTACAGCAGGTGGAGATCCAGCTTTAGCTGATTGGCTTGGCAACGCGAGACCCAGAGCCGACGTACTCGATGTCGAAGGAGCACCGGAGGCAATCGCAGAGGCGTAAGCTTCAGCTGCGGAGCTCGTCGCATGCGCAGGAACCGGCGGCAATGTTGCTGGGCTAGCCATCTTCGGCGTGTTGGGTGCTGAGCCTGTTGACTTACCCTCTGCGATGTGTGCATGTGCTGGTACACCGGGTGCAGGTGCCTTTAGTGCTGGCTGGGCAGAGAAGGCATAGGGAATTCCGAGCTCGGCATAGTCAAAGACGACAACAGAGCAGTAACCGTCTGTGGAAGACATCATCAGAGACTGACCATCAGGCGACCAGGTCAGATCAGTGAAGCTGGCGTAATGCATGTTGCTGAAACAGCAGATGGGACCAGTTTGTTGCGTGTCGTAGATCCAGACACTGTCCTGTGTAGCAACGGCATACACCATTCGGTATGGCAAGCCGATGACGCTGATGCCTCGCGGTGGTGAGCGGGCGTCTTGGCGTGGGACCTGGGGTGATGTCTTCTCAGCTGGCTGTGACGGCGATGGGGTCGCGACAGTAGCTGCCGCAGGGGCAGGCGAGGAGGCTCCTGCTGCGTTGGCCCCCTCAGTGCGGAGCGAGACGGTCTTCTGCTTACCAGCTTCAAGCGGGATAGTGGGATGCGGTGCGATTCCTTCATCCTCATCCGCTCCAGCCGAGCCACTGCTTCGCAGCGTCTTGCGAAGTTCGTACAAGATCGGAGAGAAGCGTACGACCAACGTCGCTGTCTTGTAACCGGGCAGAACAGCAATCGGAGCGTTTGACCTTGACAGGTTGCCTCTTGCGTACAGATAGACGGCACTTTTGTTGGCAGGGCCTACTTGCGGGCTGGTGCTGGGCTGAGCAGGTGTGCTGAGCAGCGCCGGACTCTTCCTTGGGGAAAGGTGGACCGTCGGAGAAGCGGGTGGCGGTGGAGGATCAAAGAGACCGCTTGGGGTTACGAGCAAGCCGCCATCGGGACTGAAAGAAAGGCGACGGAAGAAGCCACTGAAGTTCTCGTCACCATACAAACGCATTGATGCCCTCGCCAAGGGACCGCCAAGACCCGATGCGGCGGCCGCTTGCATGCGCTGCTTGGGTGAAGGCGGAGCTCGAATGGCAGGAAGGGGCGGAATGGGCGAGGGAGACCGGATGCTGCGAGTTCGAGAGGCGGATCGGCTGACACTTCCACCTCTGCGCCCAGCATCGCTTGCAGCTGCACCGCCTCCAGCGACAGAAAGGCCGTGTTCGCTGGCACTTGCACCTGGCCCTGGCTTGTTCGCGGCAGCCTGCGAGCCAGCGAGGGTCGAAGCAGGTGCCAGTGACGTGGTGCTGGTGGGTGGTGAGCCAACGTCAAAGTTGCTGCCGCTGAAACTGGAGCGACGGCTTGGTGTCGTCTGCGGTGGGTTCATGGCATGTGTGGCGACGGCTGTGCTATGTGTCGAGAAGGGGCTAGGCGGGACCGAAGCACCGGGCGTGGGTGTCCCCGCACATCCAGCTGCAGGGGCAACCGTAGCCGCGGCGACAGCGGCTGCAGCAGAGGAAGCGACTGATGCTGGTGGCATAGCAGCAGATGGTGTGCTTGCTCTGGCTATGGCAGCGCTGGTGTGAGTGGGGTCAATGGGCGTGCTGCTGCGCTTCGACCTGCCCCTCAGACTGGCAACAAAGCTTTCGCGCGCTCCTTCACCATCGCTGGCTTGACTAGTGTGGCTGCTGGTGCGTCTTGGCAATGCGGGCTTGGAGTAGTGCTGGTCCCAGACAAATCCACCCGAGCTGCCGTTTCTGCGGTGCAAGTCGAGTTTAGCGTTCCTGCTGACGAGCTGGCTCGAAGTGAAGGTGCCATCTGTGTTACTGCTTGCATTGCCGTCGCGATCGCGGTCGTGTCGCCTTGTCTGCAAGTTGTGGACATGCACGGTACGGTCGCTGCTCTGCGTTGCGATGAACTCGTTCAGAGGATCCCAGGCGATACCTTGGACATAGTGATTGTGTTCCGAGATCTCACGAATGACGTGGCCGTCCTGGACGTTGATGATGCGCGCAACGAAGTCGGTTCCTCCCACAGCCAACGTCTCGCCGTTGGGACTCCAAGCCATGTCGTAGAGTTCCTGCTGTGTGGCACGGCACATAAGCTTGACTCGCCAGAACTCCTTCTCAAATTGACTTTCGCCTTCGAGGTTGGTTGTGACGTCGCCAAAGCCAGGCTTGCTGCGGTCGCTAGGCACCCAGAACAGGACGTTGCCATCATCACCGGCAGTAGCTAACAGCTCGCCCTTTGGACAGAAGCGCACAACGTTGACGACACCTGAATGTCGTTGGAGCGTTGCGAGGTACTCGACGCGAGGAGGATGCGGGGCTACCACGGTCGAGCCTGAGACTGCTGCTGCGCTGGCCATGGCTGCGGGCGAAGGGATGTTGGGATGAACCATCCAGATGCGCGCGTTATTGTCTCCACCAGCGGTAGCGAGCCTCCAGCTCTGCCCTCCAGCCATGACGGGAGGTTGAGTGAGCTTCGATGAGGAGGCAACTGGTGTGGATGTTGATGCTTGTGCTGATGAAGAGGTCGAAGCGAAAACCATGGCAGCAGCAGCGGAGGGGTCAAGTTCTGACAAGCCTTTTCCAGGTGCCATGCCAGCTGCTTGACCCATGTTGTGGTCGAGCACGCGCTTGAGATGGTTGACGGGAATGGGCTGGAAGGAACAGCTATAGATGGGCTGGGTATCGTGCCACCGAATCTCGAAGGTGACGGAGCGAACCATGGTTGCGAGCTACTCTGTGTCAACAATGGGCGAAAAGGCGTTTTGGGAGTGCTGTGCTATGTGAAGCCGTCCGACCTCAGAAGTGTTGTTGAGAATTGCGGAAGCTTCAGGAAGCAAGGAACCGTCCGCGTTTTGTCTCGCTGATGACGCAGGAGGATGTTGAGCTGGCGCTGTGGAACGCTCAAGGTGGGCAGGTCTCAAGATCAAGACGCAGCTAATCTGCGTCGCGGGTCGGTCGAGTGGGAGCAAGGCAGCAAGCATTGGCTTGGACAGGGTTCAAAAGGAGAGATGGGCGCCGGTTGTTTCTTCTTCCTCCTTCCTTGAGAGAATTGGCCAGATGATCGAAAATGAGGCCCCGTGGGATGTAGAGAGATAGGAACGACCCAAGGCCTTGAAGCAGAGTTGACGTTAGCGAGGTGGAAAGGGTTGTCGTGATCCTGCTCTTTGTTGCGACTGTGAAAGAGAAAGGCAGCGCAGTGTTGACAGTTGGCAATTTTGCAACACAAAATACTACTTGTACTCTGTAATTACTGCGCTAACCTCACGAAAGATCTGTGATTATTGTGACCGCGTATTGTGGTCGAGCCAAGAGCTGAACAGATTTCAAGAAAAAAAAGGATCTCTGGCATTGACGAGCAGCGCAGCCGGAAGAAAGACACACAAACCGAAGCTCTGATCGATATTGGCAAGTTTGACACAAAGTTTGACCTTCCGCACTGAGTCGCACTCACTGTATGTCGGCAGAAGGCAATCGCCTGAGAATGGATGCAAGAGAGGGCAGTGATCATACGAAGACGACGACGCGAAGGGGATGAGGCTTCTTATCAGTCCAGAATCAAGCATGGAACAATCCGAGATGAGCTGCCACCATCCTTTGTGTAATCACATCGGTAAAGCTCGATGATATGCAGTGATGATTGACAAGGATTACATCGCATCGGCTCGAAAAGAGTCCAGTCAAGCCAAGCCAAAAGGAGAAGGCGTCGGTGTGACACGAGTTGAGAAACTCAGCTCACTACAGGCGAGGCACCGGATGGAGCCGTGTCATGTCGTGATGCAAGCTGGCTGACTGACACGTAAGATATCTGCCCACCTCTCTCTTCCTTGAAACGAATGACCCTTGCCATCATCATCGTCACAAGGACTGTGTGTTGCAAGAAGCGGAATGGCGGCTACTGCGTGGCATGCTTGACAGAGCGCACATTTCACATGAAGTTGGTCGTCCAAAGTGCAAAACTATGCTGTGCGAACAGAGACGGAGATGGCCACGCGCTGGTTTACTGTACCTTTGACTCTCGGCCGTATCGGCTCCCGCTTATGCAGCCATCTCCACGACTAAGGGATTTACAATTGCCTCCTACACTTGCGTGGGCGTTGTCGCTTGTGGTCGCTCTCGAGCTGAGTTGCTCAGCATATCAGCGTGAGGTCCCAGTTCCGGAGTGTAGCGGAGGGAAACAAGTGTAGTAAAAAAAATAAAAAAAATAAAAAATAATAATAATAATAATAATAATAAATAATAAAAAAAGCAAGCTCGGCTGAATGATGGCATGTACGAGATCGCTTCCTCGTTGCAACGAGTGAGTGCGTGCGCACTTCTTCGACAAGAATCTCAGCCCGTGGTGTGTATATTTCGGTTGCGGATGCCGACTCGAGCCATCATCATTCCAACATCCGCGGCTGCGATCGACGTAGTCTTCGTTGGATCTACATTCATAATTCGTCGATTTCTCGGTACTTGGTTTTGTGGCCCCTTTTTCTGTCCTTCTGTTCTTCTCATTGTATTCAAATGCGGTCAAGTTCAGGGTCTTGGAAAATTTGATCGACATGACCACGCTCGGGCCATCGGTGCGTCCTCTTCTGTGAGCGCCGCTTGCCTATGCTTTCTTCGAACGGCGCAATGACCTGCGGACACAGGTGGGTCATCGATATCCCAGGCTGCAAGGCAGAATTGACCTGTTCGAAACAGCACGAGTTGATGCGGAACAGACTCACCTCCGTAGCGGAAGGTCCAGCTGCAGTATCTTTGGAGCTGCGAAGCGGTTGGGCACGACGCGTCGCGTAAAGCACCTCACGCGTCAAAGCAACAAAGACTGTCAAAACAGCGATCTCACATATCCTCTTTAAGCTTTTACTTTCTCAGCAGCCAAGTCTTTGTTGACTTCCCACAGACCGGCACAGATGACTTAACATACGCTAGTGAAGGACCACGTTGTAACAGGGAAATAACATTGTAGAAGAGCACAGAATCATTTTGCGACTCAGGGCTTCATCCTCGCAGGCACCCATCGTCGGATAGCCACCTCCTTGACCGCATAAGTCTTTCCTTGCCTCAGACCTTCGAAGAACGCATCTGGAGAGGCAAGCATTTCCGGCGAGCATCGTTTCAACGACGGCACAAATACATGCGCCAAGATCAACGTCTTCAATACCTGGCTCTGCACACGATTCACCGTGCTGAACCATGTCCAATCCTTTTCGCCTGCATTCGGGTGGGGAGGGAACGGACTGCTTTGTTCCTCCTCGGCATCCTCGTACGAAGGGATAATGACGACGGCAAACTCGGCGTGCGAGAACACTGGTCCGCGTTTGTACAGCAGCAGATCTGCACAGAATTTGATGCCTGTCTTAACCACCCAGCCGAGTGATCGGAAGTGGTGGTAGGCGACGTAGTTGAGGAGAAACGGGTTGTCCGGCCGTGTGTACAGCTTCTGCAGGTGTCGTTCCGCCAGCCCACGGTCTCGCAAATCCAGCAACGCTTGTGGTAGGCTTGACTGCAGACAGTATGTATAGAATTTGTCGAGAGTCAGGATCTTGATGGCACTGGTTCCATCGCTGGTGCAGATGTCGAGGCATCCGAACATCGCTGAAAGGAAGAAGGCTTCCACGAGGGAGAGCTGCATGCGCTCGACGTCAACGACGTCGATGTCAGCCATGTCATCACCTTCAATATCTTGTGTCGCAGACATCTGAGGTGTTTGTGATGCACCCTCGGCGTCTCCGGCACCCGCCGTTTTCGATTGTGCTGCCTTGAGTTCCTGGCTAGCCTTGACCTCCTCAGCGAAATACTTGAGACCCTTGATACGTGCTACACCAGGCACAATGTCTGGCACCTCCTCCTGTCCTGTCCACAGCCCTTGCTTTCCGTCATTGACATCCTCATCAGCAGCATCCTCGTCGTCGAGTTGCTTCTCCACCTGTCGTTCAATATCAGCCATCAGTCGGTCGTGCGATGCGCCTGGCGCACGATCCTGGTCCGTGATCTCGCCTCCCAGGGCCAAAATGCCATCTGGTAGCTGTTGCCCTGCTCGTACCGCCGCTCGTGCCCGTTCGATCTTGAGGGCCTTCCGCTCTTCTCGTCTTTGCTGTGTAAGCTGCTCAGCGGTCAAGCGGCCTTTGCGCAATGCATCAATTTCATTGACTTTACGTTGACGCCAGGTAGGCTCGGATCGCGAAAGGTTGCCTTTTCCGAAGAAGCCGCGCTGCCAGAGGAGCCTGATCCCTTCGTCGAGCTCTTCAACCCAGATTGTCTGCAAGTTTCTGTCATAGTGAACCGACACTTTCTCTTTGCCTTTCTGTGCGATCTTGGAGGTGTTGTTGGAAGCGGTTGCAGCCGCTGGCGAGTAGTGCCCCAGGGTCAGCAGCGTGTATAGTGAAGACCATAAGGAGGTCTCTCCGCTGCTGTCCTGAGCAGCTGCTTGATCTGCGGTGTCGAGAGCCACGGGAACAGGCTTTGAGTAGAGCTGATTCTTCTGTGCTGTTGCTTTCTTTCCTGCACCTGTTACGCGAGCAGCCGGCCCCTTGGCACCTGTCTTGGATGACTCGGCAGCATTATTGTAAGACCAGCCTGTAGTATTCCTCTGCTTCGGCATCTTTGCTGTGTTCGGATGTCAGCGGCGACTCTGATGTGAGGTTGATCCTGAAAAAAAGGCTTGAGGTGTTACAGGGATGTCGAAGAATGCTTCATGTGAAGTCGAAGGTCGCGTGCAGGAACGAGAAAAAAAAAAAAAAGAAAAAAAAGAAAAAAAAAAAGAAAAAAAAAACAGAAAAAAAAGGTGGAGCTGTCTCACAAAATAGACTTTTCCTTGATTAGTCACGATGACTCTGTGTGTGGCGGAAGGCAAGAAAGTCGGACTATGCTTATTTGAAGGCCAACGCCTTCTCACTGGGACGCAGCCAACTCCTCAGCTCACATTCCCACCCATCGTCACCATCGTCTCACATCCGCTCGCCCCACATCAAGTATCAAGCGACACGGCCTTGGACTTCAAACTAAGAAATCGACTGGAAGCTCGTTCCCAAAAGCCACGCTCACAGCAACCACTGTAACACCGGTGGCATTCGTCATATCCAACCATGTCGGTCTCCACACCAACAAAAGGGCAGATCCTCAACCTGTATCGTCGATACTTGAGGACATCGCAATCATTCGTAAGTAGCAACAGCACCTTTTCGAGTTCTTATCATGTGTCCGTAGTTCTGACATGATTCTCCACTCCTCGTTCTGGCCTGGCAGTCTTCGTACAACTTCCGCACATATTTCTTGCGCCGATCGCGAGACATGTTCCGTTCCACTCTTCTACCATCGTCACAAGCCGCCCAATCGTCACCTTTCTCTAAGCAAGGCTCGACTACTGCCAAAGTATCTCCTTCCACCCTTCTCTCGCCAGAAGACATCAACCAGCCTTTGGGCCATGGCGAATCGATCTCAGCCGCCTCGCTGACAGACGAGGAGAAGCTTTCCAAATTCTACCAGGCCGCACTCGAGGACCTGAAGGTGCTGCAGAGGTCGGCGCTCATGAACCGTATGTACGAAGGCGAGAAGCTGGTTGTTGAGAAGCCAAGATTGATAATTGGAGGTGGAGGTGCAGGACAGGAGGCATCCGTAGGCGGCGGTGGACAGCCAACATCCGGCCCACAGAGCTCGGGTGGAGCTCCTCCAAGCTCGTAGGCTTCTCAGAGAACGTTTGTAACATGCCAGTCTGTACTGCTCAATACCATCTCAACTCAGGATCCAAAATCCACTGCACTTGCGTCCGGATCGATTGTAAGTTGGCCGTTTTCACTGCGGCCAGGACGCGGTTCTACACACGCTCTTTACGAACAAGGTGCAAGGAAACACGAAGCGCAAGGAGAGCGCCTCAGTGTACGGAATGCTAGTTATTGGAAAGCCGAATCTTGACTAGAGTACAGAGGGTGAGAAGTAACGGAGCGTTTTGGGTCCGAACAGATGTGATACGAATGTCGCGAAGCAGACGCGCGGAGACATCAAGTCCACCGCGGCCATGCACATGATTGTGCGAGCCAATTGAGTTCATCCCAACGAAGGGGGAAAGTGCTTCTTTTCAAGTTGGGATAATTTTGATTGTTGCCAAGCTTAGTAGTAGCCTCGTCCGCGACCACGTCCGCGTCCTCGGAAGGGACGCCCGCGACCACGGCCTCGACCACGGCCTCGGAAGGCCATACCAGGCATGTTTGTTCGCTTTGCTGTAATCTTGATTAGACGTCCGCGGAAGAGAGACTCATTGAGAACCATGGCATTGGCCACGAGAGATGGATCCGCAAACTCGACGTATGCGTAGCTGTTTGCAAATTTGATTAACAAGGAAAATGCAGGAGTTGTCAGCAATCACTGACTCGACGTCAGCGTGTCTCTGCACCATGAAAGGGGGATGTAGATGTGTGGAAGGAACTTACCCCTTAGGGTGCCCTGTGAATTTGTCGCACAGAATCGTCACGCGGTTGATGGTGCCACAGCTCTGGAAGTGTTGCTGCAGCTCTTCCGGTGTCGCGCCGTAGTCGACATTACCGACGTAGATACTCCTTGAGTCGACCTCTTCGCGCTCCTCTTCTGTAGGATGGAGACCGGCGCCACCTGCCTCTCCCGCCGCTTGTTGGAGTTCGCGAAGCTTAGCTGCTTCCGCCTCCATCTCCGCAACTCTTTGCTTCATCGCCTCAATCTCAGCATCTTCATCCGTCATTGCTGTTCCGTCAGCACCCGAGGGGCCGTCAGCACCTGTCCCTGATGCATCAGCAGCTGTGTTCTGATGGCTCTGAAGCTCACTTGTGCTTGGCTCCGAGAGCTGGACTTCCTCCTCGTGTGTTGTCATCGTGTCGTTTCGGCACAGTCCGGCGTCAATCAGCGCTCTTTGTCTGGTGTACCGAGGCTTTTGAGGCGGAGATGTGTATACGTGAGACTGTTGTCCGTAATTGATCCTGCAACTGCGAAAAGGTCGTCGTAGTGGAAGTGGATCAGGGAAAAGGAAGAAGAAGACGACGCAGAAGAAGCCAGCTCAGTCAAGTGGAGAATAAGTGAACCAGAGTCACGAAACGCTTTGGCTAACTCCGTTTTCCGTGAAAATTGACGCAGGGCGCGCGTCACGTGATACTCACTGCAGCCATCTCGACTTGGTACATCCATCTCTTGACCCTTTTCCACCATCCAAGCATCTTGACCATCACTCGCAATCACAGCTTGCACTCCTTCACTAACAGAAATAAGCTGCTGCACGGTGCGGCTCCGACCTTCCGACTTGACTCCGACTAGCTGCGAATCCCGACACTTGACTTCAATTGCCCAACCAGATGTTGTAACGGTCCAACATCTTGCGGGGTGTTCTCCACCTATGCTATTCAGTCCCCCATCAGGAGAACAAATTTTGCTGTTTGCTGCAGTGCGAGGAAGTTGGAAGCGATGGTTACGCGGACTAGACCGACGGCGGCGGCCTACTCGGCTTCGCACATGTCAGTCGCAGTTCTGGCGCTCTTATCCTCAGCTGGCTTCTCGCGGTCTTCAGCTAGCGCCGCAGACTTGCTCTCGGAACTGATGCAGAGGTACATTCAGCTTATAGGGTCTACATGCGTGCAACACGCTAGCCATGCCGGTCGGAACATAGTCGCGCCGCAAGATCTACGCGTGGCATTGGAGCACGTCCTGGGCGGGGATCCGATTGACGAGTTGCTGGAATGGGCTGAGGACGAAGGCAAGCTGGATGTGTCTGAGCACTACGCACATAGTGCTTCAGCACAGATGAGCGGACTCAATGGGGCACATGCGGAAGCATCAAACAGCAGCTCAACATTGTCGGCGCTACAGGATCCAATGCGCGGCAAGGATCTCATCCGCGTCCTTAACAACGGACGTGTCCCGCCATCAGCTTCCGACATTGAAGAGGTACATTTCAGACCCATACCTGCCGATGAATTCGAACGGCTTGCAGCGGAGAGCATCATCCGTCATCAAATGACCAAGGAGCTTGTTTGGCCTTCCTGCCTATCACAAAACGCTTCAGGGCTTGCAGCCGAAGCCTCCACACAAGGCTCGAGCTCGTCAGGAGATCACGAGTCGCTGCTATTCTCTGATACTGAAGATGACGAGACCGATTTATCAGCACCAGAGCACGGTGCAAACGGAGATGTTGTTGAGGACAGCTCGTGGCATTCACGTAAGCGGCGACGCACTGATACACAGGACTATGTGCAACCGAGGCACTTTGGCGATGTAGTTATAGACTACGTTCCTTCTTACCTACCACTCTTCCCCGGTAGCAAGTCAGAAAGAGAGGCTGCAGCCTCAGCATCGGCATCATCATCAGCACGAAAGGACAGGCCAGAAGCAATCGCAGTGTATGCGGAGGACGTCGATACGGAGTCGCATCCCCTGGACGTCGATCCAGAGTACATCTTGGAGGAGCAACGGCGAAAAGAGCTGGCACAAAAGAAAGCAGACGAAGCAGCAGCTGCTGCTGCCGCTGCTGCAGCCGAGGCGGCCAAGAAGGAAGATGCTAACGGAAACGGCACGGAAGCAGCACCGGTCATTCAAAAGACTGCAGAAGAAAGGGCAGCCGAAGCAGAGAAGGCATTCGAAGCATTACAAGCACGAAGGATCTTGCGCGACAGCTGGAGAGAGACAGTCAATTACGACTCATCTACATTGGCGGCAACTTATGCGAAAGATGAGTTGCGTGACCTCGAGCAGAACGTCGCAGCCGTGCTCAGCGACCCCTCTGTCACGCCCATTGCGCCGCCAACATCATCATTACGCGCCTTCGCAGCAGATTACCAGGCGTTGGCGGAAGATCCGACATCGAGCGGTGCAGCAGGCATCTTCTTGACACCTTCAGGACCAGCGAACCAGGACGCAGCGGTGAAGCGAAGGAGGTTGGCACACGCCTTGGCCGATGCATCGCGGTACGCACCAAACGACAGCTTGTATGCAGCAGTGCCAGCTCGACCATCCGTCATCCCCTTCAACCCAAGGCCAAGCTGGCTTGTCTCAACTCTACCGCCGCCCACGCTTTACGAGGACAACGTCGAGGTGGCCAATGCTCTCTCTGCACCAGTACTTACGCCCGTCCGACCGCAGGGCAGACCCGCAGCACTCATTCCGCCTTCAGGAGCCCTCGTGCCGACACTTGGCCACCGTCACCCATCGCATCTCACTATCGGAGCCCGTCTCGTTGCAAGTGCCGACCTTCTCAAGCGTGTCTCACGCTTCGACGACCCTATTGCCATCTTGGACGACAAGCACGCCGAACGCTTCTTCCACGGCCTTCCTGCTTCGCGAGACCTCCTAGGTGGCTCCGGCTCGAGCAGCGATCTTTCGTCCAACATTTCTTCTACACGTAGTAGCGGTGGTGGAGGGTCTGGTAGCGGCAACTCTACCTTGCGACCCGCCCTTGAAATGCTCGTGTTGCAGATGCGCGAGAAAGAGGCAGAGATCTTACCGGAAGAAGATAAGGAAGAGTTGCAACGAAGACAACAAGAGTTGCAGTTGCAGCTGCAAGCCGCGCTTGCTTCAGAGAGTGCGGGCAAGGATTCGGCTGCCTTGTCTTCGGGTCTCATCGCAGACAGCTATGCCAGTAGGATCCGGAATGGCAACATCACCATGGTTCATACATGGGATTGGACACCAAGAGACCCTTATGATAGCGTGTTGCCAGGTAAACGGATACGCGCGCCTGGCAGGAGAGGTGTAGGTCCGATAGCGCTGGAAAAACGGACTAGGACAGAGAGCGCAACCTCTGACCTTGGAGAAGGCGGGCTCAACGGAGCCGTGTGAGGTCGAGGCTGTACTTGATGACTCATCAAAAGCGAAAGATCCCTTCGAGGAACCGTATTTTGTATTATCAGCATTGAATATTTAAGCTCATTCACAAAGGCATCGTACCTCGGCGCGATACAGGCAGAGTGGTATGGACTGTCGTCATTTGCGAGTTCACGTTGAGTGCTTGACTGACAGGTTCCTCGTGACAGGCCAAGAGCGGTTGCAGAAACCTCTGAGATTCCAACTCGAGATCTTCTCCTGTTCCACGCCTGAAGCAGTCACTGTACGATCGGGGATGAAATGTGGTCAAATCAGCCAGGGTTGACGAATCCGCCGCCGCACTGAGGAGATGATCATACTCACCACATCTAGCAACAATGGCCCACCTCAGCTCCGCTGACGGCACAGACAGGTCGGCTTGCCACAGAGACCAAGCCCAGCTCCATCTTGTTGATGCGACGCCACTGTGGGCTAAGTCTTGCGGTTGCGGATGACAAATTTTCGCTTGCTGCCAGCTGACGTTGGCAGGCAAAGACTTGAGCAGCTCCTCCGAAGATGTGTCATCGCTGGACTCGGGAACGATGGCAACCCAGACTTGGGACGCTGGCGAACCATCTTGGCCGACAGCGTAGCCTTTGATCGAGATGGTACCGTTGCTGTTGAGGTCGAAAGTGTCGCCGTCGTCTGAAGGCTGTGTGACAGAGCAACTTGCTTCGAGTCGCTGTAGCCGCTTCCCTTTTCGCAGCTCTTCCTTTCTGAACTCTTCGTCTTTCGATGCTTTCTCAGCGTATGTCTGCTCAGAGACCTTGTACGGGACTAGCAGCTTGTAGTCCTGACGCATCGGCGGAGAGTCGTTCTCTTTTGTGCTGATTCGGAGCCCGTTGAGCCACTTGACCCATCTCGCACCGACATGACCCGGAATGACCGCTCGTAGTGGCGCTCCATGCTTCGATGCCAAGGGTTGCTTGTTGTACTGATACGCTAACAGACAACCCTGATTTGGGTGCATCGCTGCGGGGAGCGGGATCGAAGCAGCGAAGTATTCTGTCCGTGTCGGATCGTCGGATTCAGAGCTCTCTTGTGCGCTCAACAGATGGAGGTGGAGATGTCTTGCCCATTCTGCTGCATCTGTGAGCATTGCTGCTTCTGAGGGCTCCAGTTCTGAGAGTTTGTCGCGAGGATGGTGAATGTACGGGTCAGGTACGCCGGCTGTGAGTAGGACGGAGCGGAGTGATGCGCCTCCCCAGACGACATTCGCGATCACAGCGTTGCCCCATTGGATTCCTTCAGCTGGCTGGTGCGATGATGCGAGCTCTGAACGTCGATTGCCTGCACATTCAAGCGTTGCAGTGACCTCAACCAACTCGTGCTTCCTCTGAAGCTCCTCGAGAGTTGTGCTTGATTGATTTAGCTTTATCGTCTGGAGCTGCTCATCATCTTCTAAGGAGATCGAGACAGTCCAGCCGGAGGCGCTTGCGGAAGGTGCATCAGCGCTGATAACCGAGTCGTGATTGCGATTGAAGATGAGCTCGTTCGGGGTGATGAACGAGCTGGCCAAGTCTTTCGAGTATGGCTCCGTGTTCAGAGGCTGTCAGGGGAGTCAACACATCAGCTTCGATACCTCTGGACCACACCGAGAGAGAGTAGGACTTACACTTTCTTGTCGCACGACCTGCGACATAGTGTTTCAATATATGGCCCGTGTTACGATGCGTCAAGTTTCAGTTTCACCACTAAGGAGGATCAATGCTGTCGTAGAACAGGCATATCATACCACTTCTCATACACAGGCTGCATCATGACAGCTGCGGGGTGTGGAGGCTGACTAAAGATATGTAATTCGGAGGGGCGCAGGAGGTAGCTACGACGGTCTAACATGCGAAGCTTGTCACGACCTCCCCTTCCCAAGACAGCTTCTTCAGGTTGTAAAGGCAACTGACCGACGAGACAACGGCCAAGTGGCAAGCGTAGGCAGTGTACGCATACAGCAGTGTGAGCGCACGCTTATCTAAGGATTGTTCTCGTGCGATACGTACTCTTCCCGTTTTCCCGCGCGTCAGTTTGAGTTCGAATTCTTCCAAAAATAAAGAGCCCAACTCAAGGCAGCATTGAAAGGCAGCTCGCTGCGACGCTGTACATGTTGAGCTGAAAGTCAGACCACAAATGGCTGGGCGTTGGCACCACCACACTGACACGCTGCTGTGTCTAAACCTGCGGCGTCCTTAAAAGTGGATCAGCGCGTCTCACAGCTGTACCAACCTGAGCACAGGACATGGCCGAGCACTAATTTCAGCGCACACATCTTCTTGAGCTCAAGCAGTCACGCGTAACCAACCTCTGCCTGCGCTTCTTTCTTATTGTCCACCATCCCCTACACACTCTACCTACAACAATATCGTAGCGACCACCAGTACCTGCTGCGACCATTAGAGCAAGCATATCAGCATAACGTGACCAGGCCAGTAGGATTGGCCGCTACAACCTAACTGGTCCATACAATTGACTGTTCAACCCTTCGATCCGTGTCAACAATCCACAACCACAGGAAGACTCAACGTTCTTTCGACCTCACCAATCCAGCCGCATATATCACCATGCCGTCGATCACATCCAACCCTAAGCCCGACATTGTCGTGGTCGGAGCCGGCATTGTCGGTTCCGCTCTCGCTTATTCTCTTGGCAAGTCGGGTCGCAAAGTCGCCCTTCTTGAACGTGACTTTGATGAGCCTGACCGCATCGTCGGCGAGCTGCTTCAGCCAGGAGGTGTTCGCGCTCTCGACAAGCTGGGCATTGTCGACACTCTTGAAAACATCGACGCCGTTCCCGTCGAAGGCTACCACGTCTTCTACGGTACTCGCTCCGTCCCCATTCCATACCCACAGGAGAAGTCCGATGAGGCTGCACGTGGTGTTATCAGCAAGTCTGGTAAAGTTGAAGGCCGCAGCTTTCACCACGGCATGTTCGTCCAGTCACTACGCAACAAAGCTCTCAACCAGCCAAACGTGACACCATACGAAGCAACCGTCAGAGACTTGATTAAGGACAAAGTTGGAAAGGTTGTCGGCGTCAGTGCCACGTGGAAGAGGACACCCGAGGGCCAGCCAGGGGCTTTCGAGCTTCGTGCTCCACTCACCATTGTTGCTGACGGCTGCTTCTCCAAGTTCCGCCGCACCCACGGCAGCTCAATTCAGCCTACGGTCCGATCCAATTTTGTCGGTCTCGAACTCGAGGACGCACCCTTGCCTGCACCTCATCACGGCCACGTCGTGCTCTCCAAGTGCGGACCCGTGCTTCTGTACCAGATTGGCACCCATTCAACACGTATCCTCATCGACGTTGCTGGCGAGAAGCTGCCCTCAGTCGCCAAGGGTGATTTGCAGAAGCACATCAGCGAGAACGTCATCCCTCAACTTCCCGAGCAGCTTCGCAAATGTGTCGCCAAAGAGATGGCTAAAGGCCAGCGTTTGCGCAGCATGCCCAACTCTTTCCTCCCACCAAGTATGCAGGGTCAGTCAGAACAGGCCCGCGGTGTCATTGTCGTCGGCGACGCAATGAACATGCGTCATCCCCTTACAGGCGGAGGAATGACCGTTGGTCTGTGGGACGCCGTCCACCTCACAAAAGCACTCGGTGGCTCTGATTGGGCTCCGCTTTCAGGCGACAAGCCGTCTCGCCAACCTCTCGACCTCTCCAACTGGTCTTCTCTCAGCCCAGCACTCCGTTCGTGGCACTGGAACCGCAAAGGCCTCTCCTCTGTCATCAACATCCTCGCACAGGCACTTTACAGTCTGTTCGGCGCGGAAGATGCCAATATCGAAGTCCTCCGAGAAGGGTGCTTCAAGTATTTCGAGATGGGTGGAGAGTGCGTCAATGGTCCCGTATCGCTACTATCGGGTCTTGCGCCTCGGCCTATGCTCCTCGTCGGACACTTCTTCGCAGTCGCACTCTACAGTATCTGGGTTTTGTTTGCTCACCCTCGCTTCTACGAAGCTGAGAACAAGACCAGAAAGCCATCGTTGTTGGAGTATCCCGGCTTGGTTTGGAGGAGCATCATGGTCTTCTACACTGCTTGTGTGGTATTGTTGCCAGTAGTGTTCACCGAGATGAAGAGCAATGTGCCTCGTTTGAAGCCAGTTTCGGGTAGCAGCGGAGCGATCAAGGGTTCAAAGGGCTCGCATGGCGGCTTTGTCACAGACAACTTTGGCTTGGTCAGTGCTTCTGTCTTGCTCATCGGAACCATTATGCTCTGGGGCAACACTCGAGATCCAGGCACAGCAAGGAATTTATCCAACTGGCTCGTGTTCCCTAAGGTCGCCACTCAGCCATTGTGATCCGAACATTGTCCTTTCGAAGCTTCTTGCTCTCATATACCCATCTAGATTTTATCAACTCTTGCATATCACCTATCACTTTGGCTTTAATCATGATAATCAACGAACATTCAGCATCGAATTGACAGTCTGAAGTGAAGTTTGATTGCTGTCCATGCTGAGCTTCATCTTTGTATTGCAGTGGCGAAGTAGGGTCCACCAAGAGCACATCACGGGTTCACACGAGACATCTTCTTGTCGTGGCCCCTCTGTCGAGCCTTGTTGCCTGCCTTCTCCTTCTGTTTGGCTGACCTGTCTGTACCGCTATTGCCTGTGCCTCGACCTCGAGTTGCGTTCTTGGTCTGGTGACCATCACCGCCTCCTCCGCCTCGATGCGAGCCACCACCTCTTCGACCGCCTCTCCCACCACCGAGAATCCGACCACCTCGTCCACGGTCTGGACCGAATCTTCTCGCCGTACTGTTCTGAGCATCGTCATGCGCGTCACTTGTATTGCGGGAGTGATCACGCGAGGTCAACTGCTCGTCAATCTCGGACTGCGATGCAGCTGCCAGCAAACGATCCTTCTTTGGATTGCGATCCAGCATGACAGCCCAGGTCTCGATCAGATCGTCGCTCCAGCCCGTCTGATCTTTCAGTTGCTTCCTTTGCTCGCTTCGCCTTGTAGAAGCATCTGTAGAGAAAGAACCTGACCCAAATTGAATATAGTGCTTTAACAACATTCGCTCGCGTGCACGAGCTGCTGCATCTTCTCCTCCATCACCGCCTTGGTGCTCGTCATCATCATCGTCATCATAAGCACCCGCACGGCGAGGCGCAGATCCTCGTTCACGGCCATCGTAGTCCAGATCCAGCTCATCTTCGACACCGACGGTACGTTGTGCCTCGGCAAACGGATTCCATTCTTCCTCAGCCTCGTCATCGTCAGGTGCTTCAGCGCGGGCGAGAATGGCAGCCTTGAGCTCGGGTGCAAGCTCGTCGACCTTACCACTTCTCGCGAGCTTAGGCTGCACAATGGAGGATGGGTCAAAGCCGAACCCGCCAAAGACGTTTGCTCGGGACTTGACCAGGGATGGGGCTGCTGCAGGAGGCTGTGGTCGCGCATCGCTTCCAGAGACTCGATCCGAACTGAAGAAAGAAGATGCTTCTGAAGATACTGGAAACGCTGAATCAGTTTCGCCCTCATCGCCTTCCAGAAGCCTCTGAATGACCATCTCCGCATTCTGTCCTTCAAATGAAGGTCGCGTTAGGATGATGCGCAGACGGTCAACGCCATAGTGCGGAAGAATGGAATTGACCGATGCCAGCACTTCCTCCGATACCGTCGATACGCTTGTGGATGCTTGTTGCCGGGGCTTGGCGGTCTGTGCTGGAGTCTGAGAAGCGACGAAGCGCTGCAAAGCATCCCAGGCAGCGCCAGTGAACTTGGGTACTATGGTGGCAAGGGTGTCGATTGATGAGACCGTCTCGTCAGCCTTGCCTTTTCCTTTCGCTGAGACACCGTTTGACAGCAGCTCGGAGCGCAGCGATGGCCACAAGTCAGAAGTCGCCGCAAGATCAAGCAATGCTGTAGAGTTGAGCAGGACAGAGAAGCCTCCCTTTCTGAGTAATTTTTCTGTATTGGCCAGGGAATTTCGTAATGCAGCGACGAAAGCAGTAGAGCCTTTGAGCTGTTCGAGCAGAATTGAGAGTAGTTGAAGCAGGTCCACACGGCAGGTCAGCCAATGCAATTGCCAGCTATTGTCATCCAACTGAGACAGATCTGGCTCGATTGTGTTGCCAGCAGCATCGCCTGCGAGGGTCTTGGCTACTTGCGGCAGCATCTTGTCGTAAAGCTGGAAGCATGTCTGAGCCCAATCTCCCAAGAGATCGGTCTGGTTCTTGAGCAGTCGTGACGGACAGGCGGAGAGGAAGGCAGATGAGAGTCGTGCAAGGGTGCGGATGTTGGCCGAAACATCGTTGACATCCTGTTGGTCTGCGTTGGTGAGGGTGCCTTTGATCAATGTAGAGAGGCCGTCGAGAATCTCTTTCACGCTTGTGGCATCGAGGAGACGTTCGAGGACAGCAATAGCTGTGCCCCTCTCCTCTGGAGGTGTTGTAGCAGCGAGGTCGATCAGGGATCCTTGTGTAGGAACAAACTTCCTAGCGAGCGACGGATCTCCTCTCTTAATGAGTCGAGCAAGGATCTCGACGTGGTTTCGTGTGAGGTTGACGTCCGAGACTGTGGGCAGCGGGCTCGATGCCGCTTGCCTTGCGAGTGAGTTGAGGGAGGAGGCGAAGACTCGGGTGACCTCGGGCTTTTGCAGAGTGAAGCGAACCAGGTCGGCCGTCGACAGCCTGGACAGTGAACGGACGAGCTCGTGGCCTGCTTCGGTGTGCTGCGGAGCTTCGAGCGTCATCGCGCTGATTTATCTTGCCACGTGGCTGGTTGGGTCCATGTGCTAGAGACCGGGCAATGGAGGCGATCGTAACGGCTTTTTGAAGTGTTTGCAGTCCGAATGGATGCTTGTTGATGCTCGGGAAGAAGCTTATGTTGCGAAAAAGCTGAGTTGCCTCCACGATTTCTTCTCAGCCGAAATGTAGCTTTGTGGAGGTTATCGCCGATCCCGTGTCGCGACGGAACAGGATCTCGGAGCAGGATGTAAGACGGAGACATGTTCTTGAAGAGACAAGCTCTGTGTCCTGTCGCTCTAAGATGAACAACAGTGGGCAAGCTGGAGGAAAGTCCAGGCTCAGCAGTCTCAGATCCGTTGTGAGTGAGCAACAGCTGCTGACAAGTGTGAACACAGAATCTCCAATCTTCATTTGGCCTTCTGGCATCGTCAATGTAGCAGACAATCCCGGCCACGATCGTTTCACTGGGCCGCTGTGGCCTCCAATCACTTTATTCGCGGCTCAGCATTGGCCAAGTGGCCAAGTGATGCTGCTTGCATCTTCGGCAGACCGGCTCAATTTCCCCAGAGCCGTAACAGCGCCTCAACCTTTTCATTGGGGCGTCGCTGATGCGGAGTCAAGTTCCGTCGTGAAATGCAGAAGAACGGCGGGAGACCGAGTCAAGGACTTGATGAGAATGAGCGTTTCAAATAGTATCGTCCAGTCTGAAGACCTTTTTTGTATTCATAGAAAGCTGCTCGTGGTACGAAAGGTGATTTCAACTGCACGAGTGTTGGGTGCAAGTAAGGAGAGCCATGTCCGCAACAACTTTGGCAGATAGGTTTACCCTCGTGGCAGGATGGAAGCAATTTTAAGAAGTTGAAAGGGTAAAGAAGATGCTAAGGCTGGGTGGCTCAGTCCTTCTTCGTCGAGACGCTGCCCGTGGCCTTGGCGAGCTCGTCGCTGAGGCGATTGTACTCCTGCTGCTGCTGCTTAGTCTGCTTCTTGAGCGTGTCTGTTTGTGGGGAGGAACCGATTTTAGTGAGGCAAGAGAGAGCGAATCAGTGTCAGCATCCACGCAGGGTGACAGCTCAACAAGTGCTGCCCACTTACCAATCTCAGTAAGGTACTTCTTCTCAATGTCAGCATCGCTCCCGCTGGTCTTAGCCTATGATAAGCAAAGAAGTGAGATGATGCATGTCAGTTGCTGCGCATTGGATTGAATGTGATCGGTTCTGCCTTGGTTCCACTTACTCCCTTCTTGAGGGCAACGAGCTCCTCCTGAGTGTTGATGAGGTCAAGGATAAGCGAGTAGGTTCGCGAGAGGATCCTATTCATCGAGCGAGAAGGAAAGGCAACGTCAGCTTTAGGTCTCGAGTCGCTTCACAATGGTCAGGGAGAGAGCACTTACAAGCTGAGGAAGAGAGTGAAGCCGGTCAAGTACATGTTGCGCTGCGAGTAGAACTTTCGTGCGGCGTAGTTGGTCTCGGTTCGAACATCCTGTACGCCTCGGTTGTCACGAGCGGTCTCGCCTTCGCTCATCACCTTGACCATGCGCTGAACGGCATCGACGAAGAGGACAGCGACGAAGCTACGGGAACGAGAAGAGGAAGTAATCAGACATCAACTTTGGAGTCAGTACAACGTCACACACACACATATTGCGGGTAGAAAGGCTAGCACTCACATGAACGTGATCTTGAGACCGTACTGGATCTTGGCAACGACAGGGTTGGTAGCCAGGAAGTGGAAGAGCTTGCGTCTCCAGGTGAAGGGCAGAGGAACCTGTATAGCAAATCGAAGGCGAACAGCAAGTCAGTACATCTTGCATTCTGAATCTATGGGGCTCAACAACGGCAACTTACGATGAGGACCATGAACATGGACATCTCAAAGCACAAGAGTGCAAACACGATACTGTAGTAGAGCGTCATCTTGAAGAACTTGGGCTTCTTGATAGAGACAATGTTGGATGGGCGTGTGGTGGCAGGAAGCTTTGTTACAGACGTGTTCGGATGGAGTGTCTGTCTGGCGTGGTTGTGAGGCCTGTGGCTTCCGTCAAGCTTTACTCACGCTTGCCTGTCGTCAAGGCTATATTCAGCAACGACTGACACGCTTGGGCCACAAAATTCTTCCACAACGGAACAACCTGCAAAATGACGCGAACGAGCATGGCTCAACGTCTCGCGATGCTTTTCGAGCCACGGCTTCTTCTAGGACCATCGCTCCGGTCATACTGCCTTGCCTATCCACATTTGTCCATATCCCACACGCATTCGGACCACTTACATCAAACTGAACTCCAACTACTTGCAATGGATCAAGAAGCCACACATTCAGGAGGTCTTGCTCTTCACAAAGTCGTTGAACTGTGCAGAGTAGTCCTCGTGCCATCGTGAGAGAGCTGGGCGATCCTGAATGACATCGTTGACGTTCCACTCCATCCGGGCCAGGTCCACCTCACGTGGAGTCTCATTATCCGGGCAGAGAATGTAGAACGAGCCGGCCTTGATGCGTTCGACCATGAATTCCACCGTCTGCTCCGGGGTCCAAGCACCATCCGCCTTGAGCTTGCCGTCGTTAGCACCTGTCAGCCCAGTGTACACCCAGCCTGGAATCAGAAGCTTGGCATCGACCTTGCTCGACTTATCCTCACGCAGCTCGTGCGCGAGCGACTCTGTGAAGACCTTGACCGCTGCCTTGGAGATGTTGTAGGCCGGACCTGTGCCAGGCGGGGTGGTGATACCCTGCTTGGAGCCTGTGTTAATGACCAATGCTTCTTGTCCATGTTTCTTCAGATCTGGTAGAAATACTTGACACCTGCGAAATGTTGGGAGAAGACATCGAAACGTGGTCCGCATGTCAGCTCTTACGCATGCTAGTTCTGTTCTTAGCACCGCCTCAGCACAATACTTACACATTGACCACACCGTAGAAATTGGTGCTAAGGATTCGTTCCCATCCCTCGGATGTGGACGCCTTGGTAGGGCCTCCTACGCCTGCGTTGGCCATGAGCACGGTTAGCTTGGCATCGCCAAATTTTTCGAGGACGGTCTTTCGAAAGAAGGACACGCCTGTCTGGTCTGAAACGTCGAGTAGACCTGCGTACGACTCGCCCTTGTCGCCGAGAGCCACGCTCGCTACTTGCAAGCTCGATTCGCTGCGGTCGCCAATAGCGACCTTCATGCCCTAAGAGAGGTAGTACTTTGCTGCTGCCAGACCAATACCGCTGGCACCGCCGCTGATGACAGCGAGGTTGCCAGCCTTAATTGCAGCGTGGGCGGACATGAGGTTTCGTGTGCAAGATTGTTGTTGTCTTTCCCAGCGTCGGAAGGGCGAGCGGGGCTTGAAACTTGCGTCGTGAAAGATGGGTGTAAGGAAGCTAGGGTATGTAGACTTTTCGAAGGTGCTCTTCCCTCTTGTATCTGGCTGAACCACCTGCTTCTTCGTTTCAATGAATGCCTCTTTGCCGCTGTGCTGCGCTATTTTCGTTGGGCTTCTTAGCACGATTCGGCTGACCATCCTCAGCGCTGTTTGCGCGCCTCACTGCTCATTTCTACAATGCAGTGCCAGTCACCCAAATCATGCGCTCTAGCGTCGCTGTTTTTCTTGCGTGGTAGCAAAGTTGTCCATGACAATAAAACTAAAGAGCGAAGAGCAAAGTGTACAACTAAGAAAACGAAAGATCAAGCAACACTACGCTAGGACATGTACGGCAAGCCACCCTCATCATCCGACAAATCACTATAAACATTCGAAACGACCTTCTTCCTTTCATTCAACAACTGCGTTTCCAATGTCCTAAATCTCGCAGCTGACTCCTTGGGGTCGACATATCTAGGTCCGCTACCCGTTGAAGTGAACGAAGTAGGTGTAGCAGCATTTGCACGTTCGTCTCGGTTGGCGTTGAGAGCAACGTTGAGTTGGGCTACTTCTTCGTTTGAGTATAGGCGTGAGGCGTGGGAATATGGGTCGAAGAGGGAGGTAGTGATTGGGGCTGGTGGGGGGATGCGCATTGTGGAAAGGATTTGCTCTTCGATGTGAGGAGGGTTTGAGAAGGGGTTATTGGTTGGGATGGTGCCTGTCAGATCGCGGGAACGATGAGCTCCGTAGTTAGAGGATGGGGAGAGGGGGAGGCCTGCGATTGCTGCCATTGAGTCGCGCGATGCTGGGTGTTGGCGAGACTGGGAGGAGGAGGGGGATTGTTGTGGTTGTGAGTTGTATTGCTGCTGCTCTTGGCTGAAGGAAGGCAGAGGAGTTTCCTTGGACGGAGGAGTGATTACGTTCGCAGGATTGCGGAATGGATCACGCTGCATCGAACTGCCAGAGTCCGAACGATCCCTGTTGCAATTTTGCTTCATCCCCATAGCACCAACGCCAGCTCCTACACCTGCTCCTACACCTGCGCCAAAGTTGCTACTCGAGCCGCTGTTACTGGGCATCATCGCTTTATTCATCGACATAGGTGGCGGGAAGAGAGCATCATCAGGAACGACCGAATGCACGCTCGGTGCAAGATTGAGACCAGTAACACCACCAGCGCTGCCACCCATCGAGTCCCTTCCCCTGTGCAAGCTGACTGAACTGGAATGGCCTACAGAGCTACCTGCTTCGTTCATACGGTTGACAATGACCCTTCGATCCTCGGTGACCTGCGCCATGTCTTGGTTGTCGGAAAGTCGGACGGATCTCGACGACCATCTCCATGGCGAAGATCGTCCGGTGACAAACGGAGAGATACCGCCCTGTTGATCGGTGGACGCGCCAAAGCGGCCACCATTAGGCGCTCCACCGCTGAAACCGACTCGATCAGCAAAACGACCTGAACCGAACCCGCCAAAAAAGCCACGCTTCTCGACGCTTGGGTAGACACCGTACTCGTCTGGTCCCCTTGTGTTGCGCTGTTTGCGGTAGAACCAGATGATCAATCCAGTGACTAAGACTGCAGCGAACACACCACCCACCGCGCCACCAATGAGGCCATTGGAAGGGCCTGGCCCTGATGTGGCGGCATCTACTTTTGCTGCAGATGTCGATGTAGAAGTTGCTTTGGCATTGGTACCCGTCGCCGTTGATGGCACGCGGGATGTTGCCATTCGTGATGGTGCTGACCCCGCAGTTACTGCTGCAACTGGCGCCGCAGTACTTGACGCAGCTGGAAGCCCTGCAACAGCCTCTCGTTGAGTAACACCGATGCACGAGGTCGACCTTGCATCCCCGACGGTGTACGCTTGACCACCAACACCACCTGTCCCTGACGTCCCCGCGTCAAAGGAAGCAATAGCAAATTTGGTACCCCGAGCATAGTTGACCATCCAATCTACACTGCTATGTTTCTGATCTGCGATGCGAAGTCGAGTGGGCACATCGTTCTCAGGAAGGATCAAGAGATCGACCGGCATCTTGAGACCGAGATTGCCACGATCCTCTTGTACTGTGATTCGCCAATCTTGGCATTGTCGTGGTGCAAATGACGGTGGGTACCAGATAAAGTCGAGGTGTTCTGGTGGTGCTGAGCAAGATCCGGCCTTGGTGAGTCTGGAGAAGGCTGAAGTGCCGCTGACTCTACCAGTGCTATCGGAAACTGCGACGATGACCTGAGAGACGGGTGTTGTGTAGCCTGGGATGTGCCAGTCCCAGTGCCATGATTTGCTGGACATGTAGTTGGATGGTAGTGAGACGGAGAGAGGAACATGACCGAGCGGTGCTACTGTGACGGTCCATGGTGCCGTGCCGACTGATGTGTCCCATGTGACTTTCATGGGCTGACATGTTGTAAGGTTGTCAGAGAGGGTGACTTGGAGAGGTGCGGCCTGGGCACACGTCGATCCAAGCGTGAAAAGGAAGCTGATTAGAGCAGCTTTGGGAATGTGGAGGCCGATCATGATGTTGAGCAACTATGAGAATGTTGGAAGACGGAGCACAAGGAGCGATAGTTGTGGGAGCCAGATACTGCTGTGACCGAAGAGCGATGCTGAGAGGTAAGGATCGTTGCTAAAGAGGTGTATAGATTATAGGCGGAGAGGGCGGCGAAACCGGCGAAGATATTGGGGTCGAGGATGATGCCAATCAAAGGGGAACGACCAGCGACGAAGACGAATGATATCAGCGCATGACCTTGCGCTTTGAGGAGGACCGGGATGGTGAGGGAAGGATGCCAAGGAAAGGGAAGATGGAGAACCTGAGGGAACAGCGGACAGGCCCTGTAGTTCTGCAAAGACTTTTGGCAGGCGAGCAGCGCAGCTTCAGGAGAGCTTCACACATAGGTAGAGTGAGCAGTGAGGCGGCTCTGGTTCCTTTTCTCACTCGGCTCATCCTTGGCCTCACAGAATCACAGAATCACGAATGCAATGCACGCCAAGCGTCAAAAGATCGGCAGAGTGGACTTGCGTTGCCAACTGCCGTAGATGGCGTATAATTTGTTGGTGGTGTCATTGCCGAGCCCAACTTTGCAGAATTGACTGCGTTGAACAGGCACGAGTGCCTGCGTGTATCGCTTACGCCTTTCTACAGATCCCTCTGTGTGAAGCCAAGGTTCGGGATGGAATGCTTCTCTTCGGCTTCTGGCTTTGCAACCGAGGAGAGAAGTGACTTTGGCTTCATCGACCTGCGAAACTTCTGACAGCACCTTGTTCTCGCTAAGCGCTTCTGTTCTGGTGTGTCTCAGTGTTTCGCAACAGAAAAAATGTACGCTCAGGACGCGAACAGACAAAGAGGAGCGCGTCTAGTTCCGGGGCCAGAGCTTTTGAAAGAGACACTCGTCCAGAGCCTTGTTCGCTTCCTTTGCTCTTCACGCAATGGTTATTGTCGCGTGCATGCACGTCTGCAGATCCTTTCTGTTCTCCTGTGTCTGTACGAGCTTACTTGCTGGCATCTTGGTCCGCCAGAGCTCGCGGTTCCAGTCACTTGACTCTTTTTATGAGCAGCATCTTTGTTCAAGCACAGTCACCACTTCCACTCCTGAGTGCCCGTACAGATGAGACTGCAGCAGGCACTCCTTCTACGCAAGACTTCTCTGAAGAAACGATGCAATTCTCTGCACGCCTGCTCGCTCATAGGTGCTACAGTAAGCCTGCCGAATCCAGCATAAGCAAAAAGGGAGGCTGCTCGCTGCGTTTTCGTGTGTCAACCTCAGCCGTTGTTCTAACAGCCTATGCATGCCAGGCCACCAACACGCCTCTCCAGTCCCGCATCGTTCGACCACGACCTTCTGCTTCTTCTATGGCACGTCGAATCATTTGTCCAGCAAACTTGTGTCGTTGCTGCAATGATGTCTAGAGGTACACCACATCTTTAATTGCTTTGAAAAGATAGGATTCAGGCAAAGAGAATACAATAGCAAAACTTTTAAAGCACTGATGCTGTAGGCAAGATGGCCGAGTGGTTAAGGCGCAACGTTCAGGTTTCGTGCTGAAATTTTCTTTCCGTTGTCTTCGGGCGTGGGTTCGAATCCCACTCTTGTCACCATTCTTGAATTTTTGGCGATTTTTTTGGCCACCACGAACGCGGAATTCTGAGGGAAACAGCCTCTTCAAATTTCGAACAAGAATCGGTTGAAAAATTGAGTCGTTTAGGTCCCGATACTGGTGATCAGGGAGAGTCTAAGTACAATGTCACTGCTAAAAGACAGAACAAAATATACTCAATTGACTAAGGGAATGTGGCGAGAGCCTAATGCTCTCTGTGTGATATATATACATGTGTGTGGCACAGCCCGAAGGTGGGAGTGCTCCTTCTTAATGATCTAGCCTGACAACAAGCAGGACTTGGTTGTACCCGATCCTTAACTAGATCGGTTGTCCCCGATCTCTGATCTCATCATTCTTGCGTCACCTCTCTGCTTCGTCACTGGATCGTAATCTTCCGCAGAATCATCATCAGACAATGGCCGAGTAATGATGTTTAAACCCTTTTGAGATTATGGTTCTTGACGCCTGTCAAGCTCTGCCATCTGCAACATTGTGAACCCCTTACACACCAACCCTTCTGGCCTAATATAATCAACCCGCCAACACTCAGCGCAGGCCAACACAACATTTATGGGGCTCCAACACCCCCTTTTCGCCACACACTTCCCATTTTGACATTCTCATCCAAGACCTACCAAACATGCCCAAATCTCGACCAAATTCGATCTTTCTTTCGGCTACTCACGACATTAGAGCAACGTTGAGGAGCCCTTGCTTCTTGCAGGGGCAAAATAAACACCAGTATGCACCCTTTGACCGAGCCAAAGGCCTTTCAATCGCTCCTACGCCAGTCCCTAATTGCGACAAGCGAGCGCAGGGGCCATCCTCACCAAAGGAACACGCGCATGTCCTCAAGCCCACTAGTTTTGTGCCTCATTTCATCCGAGACACTGCCGTTAGCCGTCTGAACACTGTCACACCCCTCTTCACCTGGTGGCCGCCGCCAGCACCTTCACTCCAGCAACAACTGGGGCATCTTTTTATGAAAGGTTCAAGTATCTCTCTTTCCTTCCCTCCTTTTTTTTTCCTCTCCTTGACTAGCGGTCTGCTGCTCTTGGATGGAGTTTGGACGGCATTGTTTCCGACTTTCTCACCCACTTGACCCGGGAATCACCTCTTCTAGAGGTCTCGATGCTGGAAGAGCAACATTTGCTAAGTGGTTTGGTCCTAGCCTAAGGTCCTTTTTTGGTTTCCTGTGTGTATTATTTCACTTTCCTCAATTTTGCAATGATAGCAAGGCCAATTTCGGACTGATATAAATAATAATAATAATAAATAATTCAAATCTTTTTCTCTTTTTTCGTTCTTTCAAGTAGTATGAAGCACCTTGTCTCATCGTATCCCAGTTTCTGATCTTCCTTAGTCACAAAGCAACAGTCAAGAAGGGGTCGAAATACCATCGAGAAGCGAATAAGGCTCAGGTTTACATGTGGAAGCGAATTGCACGCGTTCTGGTTATCTATACTACATGATTGCGAGTGAAGCGAGAAGCAACGGGAAGTTCAACGTCATTGACTGTTCTTGTAGCCTGATGGTAAGCCGGGAGCGGTGGAACCGGTGGAGCAGTAGCCTCATCGTCAATGTATTCGATCACAATGTCTGTATCGGGATTTGGGATGCCACGTTCGCGTGCAGGCGGCGCCCTCCTCCTCGCCGCGAGTGCAGACGCAGTCCCGGCACTGAGCCGATGACGAGCTGTGTTGACCAAAGCAAGACTCCTTCGCTTGACGTTCTTCATTTTGGCTGCTTTGACACTTTGCCCTGTGCTCTGAGCAGGAGGTGGATAGCTTCTCTCTGCGCTGTCAGCGGAAGAGGCTGCAGCAGCGTTGGCAGCTGCACGTCGTCGTTTGGCCCTTTCGCGAGCGCGCGCTGCTTCTTGCGATGTGTATCCTCCGATACGGACGGTACTACTGGCCACGCTTGCAGCACTGCATGACTGCTCGCTGGTCCCACTGTCGCGCCGATTGCCGTTGACATGTCGCATCTCCCACGAGCCAACATTGTGTTGTGAGAGTGTCGTGTCTGGGTCGCGCTCGTGCACTACACCCGCCGATGCGTTCCAAACAAAGTCTCGGGTGAGGGAAGATTGATCTGCTTGAAGGATTGACATGTCTACTGCAATGCTCGAAGTCTTTCTGCGATGGTCCGCTCGACGTGCTCTATCGGCAAGGACTTGTTTGTGCGAATCTGTCTCGAGCGAAGGGAAAGTTTCGTTGATAGATATGGGATGTTTGCGGCTCTCGGTGGCATCACCTTTGCGCTTGAATAGTTTCTTGAGGACCATTGGTGGTTTCGCGGTGCTAGTGGTGGCACCGTAGTCTTTCTCCCTGCCAAAGGTGCGGTATATGTGTTCCTGTCCTTGCCCCTTAACGAATTGCTTGCGTTTTTGCGAGAACAGACTGCGTCCGTCTTTGAGCGGATGCGAATGAAAAGCAAGACCAAGGCAAAGATAGCACATTCCAACGACGAACAGCACCCAGCTGACTACGAGGGGAAACTCGTCGAGGTAGTGGCTCAGAATAGAAGTGGCGATAACGACGTGTACACATCCAAGTGCTGCAAGACCTCGTGTACGACTCAGAACGGGGAACCAGGTCTGTGATGCTTGCTCGAGCCGGACGATACTGAAGAAGCTACATTCGGCGAGAAAGAGTGTCACAACCCCCACGATGAGTAACATGCGATGAAGTTCGACCCAGAAGATGCCCCACGTCTGCATGGGGATGGAGGTTCCGGGAACATAGGCGCAGTCTTCTGCTTCGGCTTCGTCCATGATGGCATCATTGTGATAGTCGCGAACGTCTTCGACGAGGCCCATGATAAGGGTGGTGAAGACGAGGATGATCACGATAAGCGAGACGAGTCGGAGGGTGTTAAGGCCGAGGAAGGTGATCTTTGCAGCGTTGGTTGTAGTCATCATGGGTGGGAGAGAGGTACGATGAAGAGGGAGGGAACTAGGCCGCTTCGGACGTCAATGGTGAAGAAAGTCGTGGTGTCAGAGGCTGAGTGCGAAATTGTGACAGTCTTCTTTATACCGTCCAGAAATCGCTGCGCTCGCCGTGCCCTCTTTCTGACTCAAAGGAGCTGACGACGCAGTTCTGTACCGGCTAACATGAAAGGTTGGACCATGTCGAACAAAGGGATTTGGCTGGATTCTGCAGTCCCTTTGTTCAGAACGTCGCGTTTAGGATCGCGTCGACATTGGCGATGCCGTTAAAGGACAGGTCAAACCGATCCTTTGTTCGACTGACTTGCGAGCACGAGCATTGTTGCTCACTTGTCGGATCACATAGCTTTGAGCTTGTCTGCGACACCTTACGGCTTGACTTCATTTGGCAATCCATTGCAACGAGCTGTCAAAGGACAACAAAGGGACCAACCCCACATTGCGATCAAAGGGAGAGGCAAAGTGAAAGTTGTTGACCGATCATCGGGAGTGAAGCGCTTCATCGGACGATCCCATCTTTCGCATTCACGCTTTGAGGTTCGCGTCCAGAGGAGCAGCTGTCCATTTCAGTGGAGAATTTTCCTTGTCTGCATCAAGTGATCAGTCCTGAAGGCGTGCGCGTCTGGGCTGGACTCAACAATCGAATTCTAAGCTCAACAGCACTTGCTTGGAATCAATCATGGATTGCAGGCTGGGACTGTGATGGATGCAGTCCGCCGGATCAGTGTTTGAGAACGCTGATCGGCCTCGGCAGCAAAGAAACCGTTTCAAACCTGCAGGAGCAGAGGAAAGCAGCCTATCGCGTCCTCGCTCGACGAACTCACAGACGTGTGTCACACCGAACTGATGCGAAAAGCGTTAAGAAGGGTTCTACCGACGCGACGAAAAGCATAATCAACGCTGACACTTCTTGGTGGTTTTGCTCAGTTTTGCTGGTAGATCATCAGCTACCTTCTTGCAACGCGAGAAGACCCGAGCCGTAGGCGAACACGAGAACTTCTGCTTGCTCGACAATGGGCATACCTAACCACTTCTTCCTGAGTCAGGCCACGATCGGTTCGAAAGCAACCTCGCTTGGGCTTTTGGCAATGTTGAAAGCCTCAACGGGGCGCAGCCACACATTGGCTACGATACCTGTACAGTAGATGAAAGCACACGGGAATGGTCTCACACTTTCTGATATGAAGTGGGATGCCATCAGCAGGGGAATGCCAAGATAGCATGGGATCTGACACGAGAGCAGGCTCGCGTGAGAACGAACTTCGAGGCGGGCCAGTGAGCGAATGGATGTTAGGACGGGAGAGCGTGATGCTGGTCGATTTGTATGGGATTTTTGATGCCCTCTTTTTTCGCTAGACTTAGAGCTGTCGTGATTTCAGGTTCAGAGTCGAGAGCATCGTTGGTGCAACCTAGTTACGCTGGCGTAGTTTCGCTTACTCTGGACTTTGCATGACACTCATTGCTTGACAGCTCATCACCATGTTGTACCAAAATTGCTTTGATGCAAGCGCCATTACGATCACACGTGGACAGCAAGAGTACAGTAGTGGAAGGCCATGCTGACGATTTTGTTGCTTAAGCACACGGTCCAGCTTGGCTCTCCGCGGAATGAGGTTGATATCGACAAAATGCGAGGGAGTGGGTGTGAGTACTAGGGAGACACACACATTACGAAGCCCCATTTAACGTGAGAAAAGGAAAAAGAAAAAGAAAAAATAAAAAATAATAAAATAATAAAAAAATAATAATTATGGAAACAACTCCACGGAACTGTCTTCCGGAGAGCACGTTACCGTCGTCGTGACAGATCGGACTTTTGATTCCGCAGCTCTCGTTGCCCCTTCTAAGTAAGCAACCTGGACTCAGATCAGGTGGAACCGAAACCATGTCATCCTTGCTCACTCCGTCGTATCGACTGTGCGTGAAACAAGGTTGCTACTTGACATAGGAATCCTGTCCGGAATGTCCTAGCAGAAGAGGACACTAATCGCGAAGATCAAGAAGAGGTTCTAAGCACCGCGTTTCTTCAGTGGAACTAAGTTACCGCAAGAAGGTTGCACAAACAAAGCAGCAAGCCAAAGAAGGAGGGGTTCAGCAGGAGAAAAGGAGATTGAAGCTAACTTATGCAGCAAGCGACATGCAATTACAGTACTATGGTTCATGCCAAGGGTGTCTTTGTCCGGTCCTAGCGAAACGCTCTCGATCCTGCAGAGACAAGAAGGGCGGATGGCGGAAAAAGCGAGACGATCTCCGATCTTTTCTCCTGCTTTCCTCGACAATTTCAAGTCCGAGGCAGTTGCGACTGATTGCTGTGCCGTGCTGCTTGTTGTCTTGTGTGTTAAGGGTTCAAAAGACAAAAAGAAAGCATGTGCCTGGAACCACCAAGAAATATCGGCTCCGACGTGGAAAGAGTGGCTTGAGCCTGTCATGCGGTAAAAGACACATGCTTTTGCAACTCTTTCAGGCACTAACTCTGAGCATCCTTTGTCTGTGTGTTTGTCGGCTGCCGCATAGTGCATCCATCGGGCGGTTACTTTTGCCCTCTCTCTCAGAGTCCCTTCGGTGTCCACTTCGGAACTGCTTCCCGAGCTAGTAAAGTACTGCACTTCACAACGGATAGATCAGCCCATTTCTCCGTCTCTGCTACTGCATTGCTACTCATATCGTCTGACAACGCCAACAAGTCCAAGGGACCTTCTCAAGTCTGAAGTTCTGTACGCTCGCGTCTTGTGCCATGACCATTGACGTCGTTTTCTGCATGAGCTATGATGGACGGCGTAGACTTCCGAACCAGTAAGGTTGGCCCTCCTTGGCTTTCCTAGCTTTATGCTCTCCCTTCCTCGCGTAGCCTGTGTGTCCCTCCTCCCCATAGCAGCTGCGCTGTCTCTGTTCCTCTTTTTGATTTGTCCGGACCCCACCTCCGTGGGTCTAAAGAATGCCTCTACCTTCTCCTTACCACAACGCCAGTGAGATGGTCCAACTACTCAGCTGTGACACTTTCCTCCTACATTCCCTCCGTCGAACATCAAAACTTTTCGATTGTCTATCTTTCCCTTCGCCTACATCCTATCGACTATCATCGCCGGACCGTAACTTTTTCAGGGCAGTTGTGGCCGTGGTCGCTTCTATCCTCTTCGATCCTATGCATCTTTGCGCTCAGATATCTCATCTGAACTCCAACTCATCCGCTCTCCGGGATATGTTATCCACCAGAGCAAGGGCTGCTCCGTCTCACAGCTGATCTGCAGCCATGTCAACAGCCCAGCCATACCTGAGCTCAGGCTTTGCGACCCCTTCGCCCTACGATGGCATTCAATCTATCCAATCGCCTTCTACACCTAAAGCTCCGCAACGTCTGCTCCAAAATCGGTTCCCCTCTGCGCCATCTTCGGAAGCTAGACCTACCATCACTCCATCAACCTCTTTTTCGTCTTCGTCGTCTTATGCCTCGTTTGACGTGCGCGACATCCTCCATACACCGCCGCCCAACCCCAACAAAGGCTTTCGACTGCCCCGCTTCTCCCTCTGGGGCCAGAGCACACCCGAATCCTTGCTCGCTGACAGCACGGTCAGTCTATCGCCGCCCTCCAACGTCACTTCGAATCTCAGCAAACTACACGTAAGCAAAGAGCGCACTTATTCTCTACAAAGTTCTGCCAATGATCATCACCTGGACATACTAGCCCATTCAGATCTTGAGTCGTCATCACAAGCGCCGCCCATGACGCTTCCTGCTACACAGATGCCCGCGCTCACCATTCACGAAGCTGGGGATCTTCTTCCGAGAACATCACCAAAGCAAAGCTCGATTTGGCGACTTCGCGGTGGCCTCTTTGCCAGCTCCTCCTCACCTTCAGCTCATGAGACATCTCTGAAAGGCCTTGCACAGACAGCCGACCCCACCATCCCGCGCGATACTGCCATTGTTCCGCCGCCATCACGATTCGCCGCTTGCTCCGAAGTTCTTCAGGGTCCTACTCCGCCGAACCGCTCCACCACTTTCAGCAGCATCTCATCAGCATCATGCAGCAGCAGCTCTCGTCCCGACCTCAAGAAGATCCGAAGTCAGGAGAGCATTCGATCTGCTGCTTCTGTACGTCCAGCCGACATCGATCTCTCTACCTCCTACAGCGTCGTACCGGCCCCAAAGGCGACGAAGACCAAGTTGCGTTCCAAGTCAAAGTCCAGCAAAGAGGTCGACTTCGACAGAGTCTTCCTTGCTCAGGAGCTCCACGCTCCGCACCCTACCTCTAACTCAGGGTCCATCGGTAGGTCTGGATCAGAGGCGATCAGCCCGCCGCTACTTCAGTCAGAGTTTCCTTCCAACACAAGTCCAGAGAGTCGACGCAAGCGGGCCAGCTGGGTGCCTCGGCGTTCCACATCGCCTCACGCTGTCCACGGCCGCCGATCCACAGATCTTGTGAGCTACCTGCCCCGTGCTAGCCTCACACGTAGCTCTACTGACCATCTTGACGGCAACTCCCAAGCTCAGCATGCAGAGGCCTTCCCCGAAAGAGGTAGAGTCAACCGTCAGCTCAGCACCAGCAGCCATCACACCACCAACTCCTCCGCTGCGACTCACTCTACCTACTCCAGCGACGTTGTTCCTCCGAAATCACCCATGCTGGCTATCACAAACATTTCAGGCGAACTGGACACTGTTGAGGAAATCAAGACCAAGAGAAGCAAGTCGGCAACACCAAAGTGCAAGACGTACGCGCTGCAGTTCTCACTCGACGGACGATACCTTGCTGCTGCGGGTTCGGATCATTTGATCCGTGTCTACGAGGTCATCGCCTCCCACAACGAGCGTGCCGAAGAGATTGAGCTCGCTCAGCCACAACGTACAGAAGACTTTTGTACTCGCAAACTTTCAGCAGCGTGCCCCACGTCTTCTGTCTCTTCTAGGAGCACCACGAAGAGTGACATCCGCACTGGTACCCCGGACTTCGCTCCTGTCTTCAGATCTGTGCCCGTGCGAGTCTTTGCAGCACACAGCGGCGACGTTTTGGATCTGTCATGGAGCAAGAACAACTTCCTCCTCAGTTGCAGCAGTGACAAGACCGCAAAACTCTGGCATCCAAACCGCAGCGAATGTCTCTGCACTTTCGCCACCGCAGCTACGGTCTCTTCGGTCGACTTCCACCCTACTGACGATCGCTTCTTCGTCACTGGTGGGCTTGACGGCAAGCTGAGATTGTGGAATATCACTGCGCGTCGCGTTCAGTCTGTCCATGACATCCCTGGCGTCATCACCGCTGTCGCCTTCTCGTCCAGTGGTCAGGTTGTCTGTGTCGGAACTCACTCAGGCTCGATGATCACCTTCTCCTGCTCTGACACGCTCGCCTATGTCAACACTGTCACTGTCAAGTCTGCCGCTGCCAGCAAAAGCACTCAAGCCAGTAAGATCACCAGCATTCACCCGATCAAGCTTGGCTCTTCTTCCGCCACCCAGGGCCCTTCCACTCCAACTGGCGAGGCCGGCCGTGGCCCATCTTCGGCGGAGGCCGAATACATGACAGTCACATCCAACGACTCTCGTATTCGTATTTACTCTATCGCCTCTCGTCGTCTCATCTCTCGCTTCAAGTCTGCGAGCTATCTTAACCGTAGCAGTCAGATTCGAGCAACGGCTTCCTGCGACTCTCAATTCGTCGTCTCTGGAAGCGAAGACGCTTCCATACACGTTTGGAGTCTTGCTGGCCATGCACCTCTCCTGGCATCGCTCTTCTCCGGCATCAAAAGAAACAAGTCGATCAAGTCCAGCAAGGGCTCGCCTGATGTAAGAGATCACTCGACTTGGCGCTCTTGGCAGGCTGGATCAGGCAGTGTCCGCTGTGCTATCTTTGCACCAGCCACAACGGCGCAGTTGTTGAGCTTGGCGGACGATCCGCTTGAACAGCAGACGCAGACGGTAGCAGCGACGGTCAAGTCAAGAATCATTGTCTCGACTGATGACTCGAACGCTATTCGGGTCTGGCGAAGCGATCCTCAAGGACGACTCATCTAAGTCCTCATCCAGACAAATATGACACGTTTTTTTGTTATTATGATACCCGCATTAGTCACCACTTCTCATCGTCTCTTCTCTATCACGAGGTCTTTATCGTTCTTCACATTGCATCTTTCTCTCTCTACTATCACCTTTCAATTGAACCGTACAATACTCATGTCGGCCATGCATCAGAAGCTGTAGATTTGAATCTCGAGTCGGCAAGGTGATCTTGACATTGTTCGGTGTTGTTTCAAGACCAAGCGAGGCAACTTTCCTGCGACAAAGGCTCAGCATGGGAAAGGGCGTCGGCTATTAGGAACTCAATCGTAGCGGACGCAGTCGTTGTGCTGAAGTCAAAAGAGTTCCGTACATCCCATTTCAGCGCTAAAATTGCATAGGTGCGAACGTGCTGAGCTTCAGTTGCATCTGGTCCGAGTACGTCCAGAGCGTCGATGTAGTCTTGATGTGCTTGGTCGATGGCGTCCACAGCGTGACGAAGTTCGGCATCGTCGATGTGGGGGAAGTCGATCAATTCGCGTGTCTTTCTTCTCAATCTTGAGGATCTCCTGGTGGGCGGTGCGTTTGGCTCAACGTTCAAAGTGGAAGGCGAGACGATTGGGACAGAAGAGTATGGCATGGAGGGAGCTGGTGGGAGAGAGCATCGATTGAAGCGGCGGAAGACGGCAAATCCGAAGCCTCCGATCTGTTCAAACCCGTCTCGCCCCGCTGTCGAGCACAAGTTCCATCCAGCAATCCTTGTCGTACAAGCACGCACCTCAATCGAAGACTCGCCCGCGCAGGGGTTCTCAGCAGTCGTGACTCGGCCGTCTTTGTGAGAACATAGCTGCAGCTCGGCGACGAACTACCAATGCCCATCAATTCGTTCACCCAGCATAACTCATATCGACTCTCTGGTCTCTCTTTCGTCGAACGTTGCTGCTTCACACAGTCGATCGACGGGAGAATCGCGTGAATTCCGAGGTGATGTGGTCTGTCGTGATCAGTCTTCGTCCTCGAAGGGGTTGCTGACGTACTCGAGATCGTCCGAGTCATCATTTGGGTCATCGCCACTGTCTTTTGCAAGTGAAGCTGCCCCAACACCGCCTGCAGCACCTGCAGTGCCAGCGGCAGCAACGCCACCGGTTCCAGTCGTAGTCGAAGTCTCTTTGGTAGGACTGCGGTCGATTCGAGGGCTGGTAATACCACGGCCGCCAGCCGAGTCCATCCTTGCGATCGAGTCGAGACGCTTTTTGTCGGCATCATCCGCGAAACGCTTCGAGTTGGTGTTGTCTTTAATAGAGATGGGAGCTCGTCCAGCCTGGTCCCAGCCTGCGTAGTCCGATGATTCTGCTCCAGCACCGCCTTGTGTGCTAGCTGAGTTCGCTCGACCAGTGTTCTTGATACCTAGACCATAGCGGTCTGCCAGCGCTCGTGCTCTGCCGCCGCGACCACGAGAGATGATCTTGGCGAGCTCATTTTCGGACACGGGGGATGGATCCTGATCGTACTCGCTTGCATTTGGTGTTCGAGGCGAAGTCAAGGCATGGCGGGACGGAGCGTCGGTCGATGCTGTCGCTTTCTCGTCATTGGAGCTTCTGCCTGTGGTGTTTTTGAAGTTCTGGAAAGCTTGTGCAAAGCCTGCGCCTGTTGCATTTCCCCCACTCGCACCAACTGCAGCCTGGCCATTGTTTTCTCCACCTTCTTGGGCATTGTTGAAGGCAGCACTGGCCTTCTGTCGGAAGGTAGAGAAAGTGGAAGCTGCTCTCGCTAGACCTGTCTCTGCCATACGATTGATCTCTTCTTGCCACTGCTTTGCTTCCTTTGCACCAGGCATACCTGGAATGATGCTCTCGCCATCCGCATACGAGGGTGAAGCAGCTGGTTGTTGGTTCTGTGAGGCATACGAGTTCCTGGCACCAGCAGCGCCTGATGCAGGGGTCGGACCTTTCCTGACTCGAGGCTGATACGTGAGCGCGTTGGGATCGTAGGAAGGAGCAGAGGGCGCAGACTGCTCGCGAGAGTCCGGGTTGAGAAGGCCACTGAAGAAAGATCCAGCACCACCGCCTCCACGACCCATGCTCTGGCTGTGCTGTTGCTGCTGCTGTTGTTGTTGTTGTTGTAAACGCTGTTGATGCTGTGCCATCTGCTCGTGATGCCTCTGTTCCTCTTCCATCGCAATCGTCTGGGCTAGCAGCGCATCTGAGTCTGTTCTGGTTTCGGGAGTCGCGGGCTTGAAGTTTGGATCGGACATCTGCAGGAGAGCATTGACGGCCGACTCCTGGTCGCCGCCTCGTGAAGACAGGACTGCAGCGATAGTCTCGTTGTCAAGGTCCGGGAACATGGATTTGAGCTCGGCTACGGCCGGCGGCACTTGAGTCGCTGTCGCTGTAGGACGAGTAGCTGCTGAAGCGGGCGACATGACTCGAGGTGAGGAGGGTGACAAGGTTGCGGGCGAAGAAGCTTTCTTTGCATGCTCGGGTTTGGAAGCAGGCTCGCCGACCGAGGATCGAGTTTGGACAGGTGGTTGCGCTAGTGTGTCCGAATTCGCCTTGAGTGTCTCGGCAGGCACTTCAGAAGCAGCCTCAAGATCGTCGAGGGCCTGATCCAGGGACTTGAGATCAACCTCGCCCTTTTGTACAGGCTCCGACATGATTGTTGAGCCAGGAACGAAGGGTGGACAGGTTGATCAACTCGATTGTGAGTGCTGTGTCAACACTGCAACTTTGAGTGGGCAATGAGGCCAAAGTACGTTCAAGGAGATGTTGTGGCGATTAGCTTCACTTGCAAAGCAGCGAATGTGTTGATGTGAAGTTGTCAGGATCTCAAACTTAAGGTCGAAGTCGGAGCAACACATGTCAACTTGGAGCTTCGTCCACAGGATTGCGTATCCGAGCGTGGCAGCGTGTCCTTTTGGTGGCTCGTGCTGCGCTGAAGGTTTTGATTTTCTGACTGTTACACCTATTTGATCTACATTTGACCTCTTTCTTCACTTTTGGTGGCCATGTGAGATCGAGGTCCCGCAAGGGTCTTCCGAGAGCCGAAACTGCGCTCTTCTCGTTGCTAGACAGACAACTACAGTATTCGGCTTTGAAAGTCGATTCTGATAGACTGTACCAACCCGCCTTGATTTGCGCACCTCGAGCATTCTACTTGGCTTCGGCTTGGTTCCGCACCTCACACATCCTCATGCTCAGAGCTGATCCCGCAGCAGAAAGGGCCGTGCGACTGTTTTTGAGTGTAGCATCGCTGCTTGTTCAAATCTTGGCCGTCATATCCGCTGTCGGGACCACCGAACGTGTCGAGTCAGCTATCCTCAAGCTTTTCGAACGCTAAAGTTTGACCTTTGACAACTGTAGCTCGCTGATCAAACTCTCGGGGGAGCCGAAGCCTGAGTAATCTCGACGCCGACTCTGCTCCAAGTGGCTGCTTCCGCTCCATCCGATGCAAATATCGACAAGGCTGCTTCGGCCAGCTCCGAAATCGTCCCATCACCTTTCTGCTTTCATTCTCATCCAACCTTCGCTCAGCCATCGAAGCCCCCAACCAAATGGGCCAGCCGAACCTCATATCCTGCCGAATCTCGACCTTCCATTGCTCGGGGACATGGAACCCCATCCTTGATCACTCAAATACCTACTTCGTTGAGAACATCACCATCCACACCTTGCAACTGACCGTGAAGCGCCCAGAGAAACGCCCCTACCGACTCCTGCTACTCACAGGCTTCCTCATCACCCTGCGCCTTCTAGCATGGCAAGCACGAACTCCGGCTCAAACGGCGAGCCAGGAGGCTTCTCTAACGAGGTCGGTCCGTCAACCTCCACATCAGCTAAACCTGCTAAGCGCAAGTCAGAAAAGGCTCGTAGCTCGCCCGCAACAGCAGATACTCTCGATGCAAACGGAACAAAACCACTCGCCCGCGCCGTGCTTGTCTGCAAAAGGTGTCGATCCAAGAAGATCAAGTGCGACCAGGCCTTCCCTGCCTGTGGATCATGTGTCAAGGCGGGCGAGCCATGTGTCGGCATCGATTCGGCCACGGGAAGAGAAGTGAGCCGTAGTTACATTGTCGATCTCGAACATCAACTTGCAGAGCTACGCGCTCAGAATGCCGAGCTCGAGCGTCTGCTGGCCGAGCGATCCGCCTCTAGACCTGCCGATGAGGCCTCCTTGGGACTCAAGCGACCGCTGCAACATGTCAAGCACGAGTTTCCGCTGGACCGATCCGAGTCAGCTACATCGCCTGAGCTTCGGCCTTCGAAACGACTCGCTACCTCGCCTCGTGACGAGCGTGGCCAAGAGTCGTCCAACCCCCTTTTATCAGGCCTTCTTCTGGGGCCGTCTGGAGTTGAGGTTCTGCCTTCAAAACCAGATGATCAACAGGCACCCAGCCTTCTTCGTCCGTCATTGGGTCGCCTCCACTCCCACGCAAGTGGACTGTCTCCAGCCCGTCTGCTTTGTCAGGCGATTCAGCAGTCCGCACAAGCAGGTCTGCGCATTCGCGACCCTGGATCTTCCGCTCGCGCCAGACGATTTGGTGCGCAGACTCTTAGCGAAGACCTAGGCAGACGAGCAAGGAGCAACGCCAGAGAACCTTCTCAGCTCCCCTTTGAATCGAAGGAGAACGCCAGCAAAATTGAAGCGAGGAACGGCTCTCCTCACAGTGGCACTGCTACACCTTCCGAAAGCAAGAAGTACTCGCCCTTTGACGATGGAGACCCTATGCAGTATGCCACTGCCACCGAAACTGCCGACATCACTGTTCCCGCGCCTGAGCAGGCGTTGAAGCCGTCTCCGCTGCCTGCACCCTTCCCGCCTCTGTCGATCGCCCGCAAGTTGATCGATGCCTACTTCGAGCGTGTCAATCCACAGCTCCCAATTCTTGATCGATCCTCGTTCATGGCTCGATTTGAAAAGGCTTGCAGAATTGGACTTGAGAAAGCAAGGACCAAGCTTTCACCCGAGGAATTGAACTACCAAGGAGACGATGATGACAAGCTCACCATCGAATTGCAGCCTGCCGATGGCCACCTCTTCCATCTCGTCTTTGCCATCGCTGCAGCGATGGGATGGACTCGCTCGAGTTGGAGTGCTGAGAACCATCACGAGGCAGCGATGCGCTTCCTGGATCCGCGACGACATGCCAACTCTGGTATGGAAGGCAACGTCGGAGCCATCATGGGTCGAGATGCACTCGAGCAGCTTCAGTGCCTCTTGCTTACAGCCCTCTACTCCATCATGCGACCCATGAAGCCAGGTGTTTGGTACTGTCTCGGCGTTGCTCTACGTCTCACAACGGGAATCGGACTCTACACTGAGACTCCAGGCGTACTTGAAGCGTCCAGTAGCATTTCTCAAGATTCAGGCGAGTCGCTCATCGAAAGAAAGCGGCGACTCTTCTGGTGTTCGTATGCGCTTGACCGACAAGTCTGCGTCCATCTTGGTCGTCCTTTCGGCATCGCTGACTCCGACATCAAAGTGAACTTGCCATGGGTGGACAGCGAGACGGACATGATCAAGGTTCCGATTGGTGACGGCCAAGGTCGAGTTCAGGGCGCTGAGGCTGCTGAAGACGACGTTGACTCATTGACCGAATTCGCGCGAAGAGAAGCCGCATCGACGTTGGCTGCGCTTCAATCGAGCACCACCGATCAAGCTTCGCCCGGACCAGTTTCGTTGCCAAAGCCGAAGGATGCAAGCCGATGGGTCTCCCTGTCATTCTTCCGCATGCGACTTCTCCAGTCCGAAATCCAATCCATGCTCTACCAAAATGCAGAACTTCCTCGTCGCTTTGATTCCTATGCACACTGGAAGACCGACATCCTTCGGAGGCTGCACGCTTGGCGACGATATGCGCCTTCGTCAAAGCAAGACCTCGAAGCCAGCGAATGCGGCTACAATCCCATCTTCCTCGATCTCAACTATCAACAGACTTTACTCATGGTCTATGGTCTCAGTCCTCGCTTTCCTCACGCTTCTCGGAAGGACCTCGCCAACGTTGAAGACTGCAGTCGCAGCATCATCAACATGTACGCCACCTTGTCCAAGGAGGGCCAAATGAACTACACCTGGATGACCGGGCACAACGTCTTTATTGCTTGCACCAGCTACCTTTACGCAATCTGGCAGATCAGCGCCACAGACCCTAGCTCTTTCCGTTCCAGCTTGACGCTGGGCTTCCGCAACAAGGTCGACGAGATTCATCACTTTGCCGCCGCTTGCGACAAGGTCTTAGCCTCTCTCCAATGGGCTACGGCTGAGAAGTGTCGCAAGTGTCTGCGCACAATGTTCTACGCTACCTCGATGGTGGTCGAAAAGATTGACAGATCGGCTTCCACTCGAGGCGGCGGCCAGGCGAGGGCCGATGCTGCATCCGATCGTCTCAACGAGGATTCCATGGAAAGCAAGAGGGCCGGCGACAGTTCTGTTGCTAAGACGCAAACGCAGCCTCGAACACAGGTTCATGCGGAACACACACCAGCCCATGTGTCGCAGGCGTCAAAGCGTGTCGGTCCCTCGTCCCCATCAGCGCCAGCCTGGGCTTTATACGCACAAGAACGAGATTGGCGTTCATCAGCGCCGAACAACACGATCGAATCGGCTCTGGCCCCGCCTCATGGCGACCTGTCTCATTCACCAGCGTGGACGCAGAGACCGCAGGGCCGAGCGTCGCCCGTTCCCGCCACTGCTTGGCCTTCGGACTCGGAAGCAGCGAGCTACCGTAGAGACAGCGGCTCCGGTCGCAGGATGCATTCGAACTTCGGGGAGCGAAGCAGACTTGCGTCGATGTCGGCAGATGCTTATGCTAGCGATGCGACAACACCCAGCCGAGGTTTGGACATGGGTTCGTCTCTGGTTGACGCTCCGAACACTGGCAATAGTTGGTACGGTTTTGGCTCGGAGGCCAGCCCGAAGATACTTTTCCCTGACAGCCCATCCAACATAGATATTTCGTCCTTGATGGCCACTTCTGCGATGGAGCTCGATTCCCTATTCAGGGAAGCAGGGATGTCTGCAGGTCCAGCTGGGGAGCAGCGTGGATGGATGAATAGCGAAACCATTCTCCAACAAGGAGGATCAATGACAGCGACCAACTTTGGATTCGGAGAGAGCAGAGAGCAGCCTGCCTCACAGTATGGGCAGAGTGCACGACCGAGCAGCTTCTACGACCCTGTTGCGAGCGGAACGCATCAAGCTGATGGAAAAGCAAAACGGGCGTTCGATGCAGATGCCACTAGGAACGTCGAGCCACAGAGTGGAGGTGTCGCCATGATCGACGGGGAGGGATTCGACACAGACTGGGAAGCGCTTGGTTTTGGCTACCGAATGACTACGCCAACGCACCACAGAGGTTCCACGCCAATGTTTGCCGACTCAGTCAATCAGCAACAGCAGCAGGACTTTGGGAGTGTGCGAGGTGGCTTGCAGCAGACTGGTCAATCTGCGTACATCAATCGCGAAGCCCCAGGCTTTGATTATCGATATCTCGATTCTCACATGGGTTTCTGATCTATACGCCAAGTAGCTTAGGATGCATGACGACAATGATTCCGATTCCACACTGCAGTAACTGATTTAGGCTGTGTACTGTACATGAATACCACGACTGTGCCTCCAGTGCAGGTTCCGTGTCCGAGAGAGGCACATGGATAGATCCGGGGCGTGCATGTCATCGCGTGGCCAAGCTGCCACAGGATCTAGAGCGCCTAGATCTGATCGCCATGTGAGGTCGCGGCGTAGACCGAGAATGGGCGAGTTCAGCACACGGCGTTCGATATGTCGAACGGGGGCGATGCCAACTTGAAGGGCGCAGGGCATCAGATGCAATTGCAGATCCAGGGCAACTTTCCAAATCGGGATGCCTCGCCTAACAGACCATTATATCAGCGATAAAATTGGTTGTGAGCGAGCGGAAAGATCCGAACCGCGAGGCATTGCTGGACAGAGTGTCTGATCGGGAAAGCACGGATGACGGTTCTTACCGTTGGCAGACGGAAGCAAGCAGCGGCTCAGCGGCGTTTTTGCCGTCGCAAGGAGGCACATTTACTGAATCGGTCAAAATGCGGCCAATTTCCGAGAGCTGTGTCGGGAAGGCGCAAGAGAGCAGTTTGACGTTGATCGAGGCTCACAAGCTGTCTGCAAGTGAGACTGAGAAAACGATGGTTCCGACTCCGCAACAGTCTGTGCCGACTTGGGCCTATTAGGGGGTATCAAAATTTAAGTGTTTTTAGAAACACGTGTTTCTCAATTTCGACGTGTTTTTATTTCGCTCAAATCTTTTGTAAACTCACCCAAAATTGAAAAAACACGTGTTTCTGAACATGTGCAAGAAATATACATCGTTTTGTCTTGGCGTTCTCGTGTGGAGCTCCACGCGAGGTCGTGTGACCTGTCCAAAAGTGAACACTCAGCTTCTTGGCCTCCTCTTCCTCCTACTCCAAGAGTTCGAATGACCGGCGAACCTGAATCCCTTGCGACAGTAGTGTTCCCGATCGCCACACCATGACTACTGCACAGAACATGCGTCAGGTGCATACACGGGGCCAAGTTCGCCGTTCGGAGAACCCCTCTCGTCTTCGACAGCGGCACATGCACAACTCAACGTTGGTTGAACCTGCGGATACATCCGTCTTCTCTCGATTCCTGCCGCACATCCCAGCACTGTCATGTTGTGCCATCAAACCAGGCTTTTCCGGAATCCTCGAGCACCCGAACCCTCGTCGATGGTTGAATTCAATCAAGTAACGTTCCCCGCGAGCGCAGGTCCACCAAGTGGCAACCATGGCAATGCTCAACTCGCCAGACCTTGATTCTCCACAGATGCGGGGAAAGCTTGGCGAGATAGCCCGAAATGATCGTGACCCAATCAGAAACGCTTTCCCCACACGAAACTTTTCAGGCGAAGTGTGGATGTGGGGAATATGACCAGCGTGCGGTAGTACTGAGGGCTGTACCTGAGCTAACGCCCTCTCCTACATTGCACGTTAGAGACGCACAATTCGGCCAATCTCAATCTGTAGATTCCTAAGTTCACTATCGAGTGAATTTGAATTTAGTCCATTTTTTGCTAATCTGCTCTGGCCACAGACTGTGCCTCCCCCTTCCTTCGAAATGGTCCCTTTGAGAGGCTCCACAAATGACCTGACCACTTTGGCAGCGTCGAGTCTACTTAAGACCAGATCTTCGCCTCGTAGAGCAATCAGTTTATTCCCCATCCTCACACCCACTACCTTGCCTCCTCCCTTACACCTTTTACCCTACAACACCCTCCACGAAAGCAACCATGGCTGAGCAGCAGAAGGGTGTTCTCGCCCAGGGCGTACAAAACTTCAAGGACATCTTCCACTGGAAGGTTCGATCCACCATCATCAATGAGAATGGTGAGGAGGAGGTTACCTGGGAAAAGCCAACACTTCCTCCTAACCCCTTCCGCCTCCTCGCCATGCTTGGTGCCGCCGGTTGGGGTGCCTACCTAGTTGGTTTCAGCGCCTGGACTGCAGACGCCTTCGACTTCCACGCTCTCTCTATTCAAACCACCAAGCTGGCCAAGCACTTTGATGTCTCCAAGACCAAGATTACCGAAGCCATTACCTTGACCCTTCTCCTCCGATCCGTTGGTGCCGCCGTCTTCGGTATCTGTTCCGATTACTTCGGTCGAAAATACCCCCTTGTTCTCAACATGTGGGCCCTTGGTGCCCTCCAGGTCGCTTCCATCTACTGCCGCACCTTTAACGAGTTCCTTGCCGTTCGTGCTCTTTTCGGACTTTTCATGGGTGGTGTGTTTGGGGCTGCATCGTCCTTGGCCATGGAGTCCATACCTCCCGAGGCTCGTGGTCTCTTCTCCGGTTTCTTCCAGCAAGGTTATTCGTTCGGATACGTTCTGGCTGCCTGCGTCAATCTCGGTATTGGTGGTGCCACCAGTACCTGGTCCATAATGTTCTGGGTCGGAGCTGGCTTCTCCTTCGTCGTTGGCTTCCTCCGTCTCCTCTGGCCCGAGTCCAAGCAGTTCATTGAGGCCCGCAAGGCCACCAAAGGTCAGGGCACCAAGAACTTCCGCAAGTCGTTCACCGCCATGCTTTGCAAGGAGTGGAAGGTTTGCATCTTCGCCATCATTATCATGTCCTGGTTCAACTGGTTCTCTCACTCTTCGCAAGACTCATACACCACCTTCATGCTTACCGGCAAACAGCTCAACAACGCTGCTGCTTCTAGGGCATCGATTTTGATGAAGACCGGCGCATGTGTTGGCGGTCCTATCTGGGGCTACATGTCTCAGTGGATCGGCCGTCGACGTGCTATGATCATCGCCTGCCTCATCTGCTGCTGCATCATTCCTGCCTGGATTCTTCCCAACTCCGAAAGCGGCCTCGAGGCTGGTGGATTCCTTCTTCAGGCTTGCGTCCAAGGTGCTTGGGGTGTGGTTCCCATCTACCTCTCCGAGATCTCCCCTCCCGCCTTCCGTGCCGTTTTTGTTGGTCTTACCTACCAGCTCGGCAACGCCATCTCCTCTCCTTCCACCCAGCTCATCAACTACCTCTCGGAGAACAACTTCATGCGCGCACCAAACGGAAAAATGGTGGAGGCTTACGGCCCCGTCATGGGCATTGCTACCGCTATCATCGCCATTGGCCTGGCCATCACCGCCTCTGTTGGTCCCGAGAAGAAGGGTGCTCGCTTCGAGCGCGCTGCTGCTGCCACCGCGGGTGTCGAGCCCCAGCTTCCTGTCTACAACAAGGAGCAGGACTTCGACAACAACTCCGAGACCAAGTCGGTCGACCTCGTTCAGACCCAGAACGTCATCTCCAAGTAAAAGAGCTCTCAAGATTCGCGCTCTCTCGCATTGTCACTCATCGCTGTATATGTCCTTCTCATTTCTATTGGTACATGGAAAAGGTTAGAGATGGATGCTAGATTCGCTTTCTGTTTAAATTCATGTAAAACGCAGCTTATATCTACACATGCCATTCAAATTGTTCTCATATCATCTTCGCTTTGTGTTTGGCGTTTGAATTGCCGTCTCATCGCTTTGTGATTCTTGTTCAACCTGTTCTCTGCCCTCTCACTGCTCGGAACAGAGATGGAGCCATCTTTCGGATGACATGTCAGTGATGCCGTTCGAGCTTCCTGAAGTACTTTTTGAAACCCGTTTCGCGACGGAGCAGTTGTCGAAATGAACATGACCTCTGAGGGCTGCGCATCATCGCCATCCATCTCTTACCTGAGTATTCCCGGCAACGTTCCAGCGACTCCGTCTGGTTTCAGAGCTCTTGCTACCCTTAGCCCTCGATTATCAACGTCAACACCGCCTAGAAGGGCTCTGCGGATATTGTGGACAAGAAGCGTCTTGATTCTGTTACAAAGATGGACTCAGCAACTTGCCCGGGTATCACAAGCCGCCGACTCGACCGCAGTCCCACCAAGGAGGCATCGTCTACACGCGCCACTGGTGCCGCTGGCGTTGCTGCGTGTGGGAGCAGCACCCTTTGGGTAAGGCGCAGCAGATGACTCCAATGATGACTCGGACGACCTCGAGTACGCCAGCAATATTTTCTGAGGAAGAAGATTGAGCAAGACATCTCAGTCTACAAGCTATCAGTCGCTGCCACTCTTTCAGAGACGGTGTGTATATGACTTCATATCGTCCACGACCAGAAGAACAGGAGAGTGTTTGACAATTCAAGGGAATCAAGCCGTTGCTCCGTCGTCAAGCGGAGGGTCAAAATTTTCACATCTGTAAGCGTTAAGTCAGGTCATCTCATCTCAAGCGTCTTCGACGCTGAACCTTTGTCAGCGACTGCAATGTAATTTAAGTCCAGCTCGGTCGTAGAGAAAGTCTTGTTAGTGAACTCTGCCATGAAAGCAGTTCTGTCCGTCATCGAGACCCTTCGACCATGAACGGTGATGCTTCGGGTGGGTCAAAGTCAAACGGCTGACACGGACGCACCGTATGTACTGTACCGTACTGTTCGGACGATTGCTCACTGCGTTCTGTCTGCACAATGGATACCAATGAGCAAGCTCCTTGCGATTCTCCGGTGGTCCGCATCGCGAAGGAGCTGCCGTTGACAAGCTCAATATTGGGCAGGGTTCGGCATTGTTCCTCACGAGCTGAGCGGGGACATGCCCTTCACCTTGAGCAATGACTCGATGTCGGTCCGCTGCTTGACGGACTTGAAGGGTCCTTGAATGCCTGTTCCTCGAATGGGACTACTGCGCATGAGGCTGGTAGACTCCCCCGAAGCGTCGACTTCTTCGTTCGCTACCTCTTCCTGGCCAATGCACGACCTTGATGCAGCATGTTCTGACTGTGAAACAGTCACGCTGCTGCTGAGGATGATGACACGAAATCCATCAAGCTCGAGGAAGGGCCTGCAGACGATGCTGATTGCGTAGAGCTTGGCCAAAGAGGCTTGGGATGTTGTGGAGGTGCGAAGTTGTAAGCTCAGAATCGTACGCTACTACGTTGCATCCAGTAATACATAGATTGCATGATGCGGAACTGCGATTGGTTAGAACGTCACAATATGTTGGAGTAAAGAGCTACAGTACACAGGTGACTCAAACAACATTACGGAAGCGAGATTATGAGAGTCATGATCCAACATGACCATCCGAGAAGAAAGAGGTGTTGAGAGAGTAAAATTGATATAGTGTCGGGTCTCGGACACTGACTTCAATGCATTCGCGCTCAGGCACGTGACCGATACACGTGTCACCCAGCGGGAGCGCATTTAGTGCACTCAACATCTCTCTTCCTTTACGACCATCATCTCTCTCTCCGCGCTGGCCTCAGACAGCGCTTTTTGTCTCACCCACCACACCCACCCACTTCTTTGTTACTTAGTTCTCACGCGCGTTCCGCCTCGCTCTCACACGACGCTCGACCATCTGTGGCCCTTACGGCCACGGCTGGGAGCTCGCAAGCGACTCACCCGAGTTAGGCAATCAATTCTCTTTCCCATCTCTGACATCGTGTATCAGTTAAGTGACCAGCGAAGATGTTGATGATTGCAATCGAGCTAGGGTATCAGCAAAAAGTGGTGCGGTGTTGCATAGTCAAAATCAAGGTTTTTGGTTGGGTCTTACGAAGCAAAGGCATCGAACCCTGCACCAGCAGCAGCAGGATCGTTGGCGCCGCGGAGTAAAGGTAGGTGAGGCGAAAGTTCGCTCGTTAATGGCAAGGACACAGCTTTGCCGAAAGTCAGCTTGTTTGTCGAGTCGTTCTCGAAGACAAGGTCATCAAGAACATCGAACAAATGTGCTCCGTCCGGAGCTTCGTCAGGGTTCTGATAGGATGACAACAGCTTCAGGTAATCATCCAATTCAGTGTCGCGACCCTCGGTGTCTGACAAGGCTTGTTTCTGTGAGAGATCTGGAAGGTCACTGTCCAATGCAGGGTGTTTGCCAAGCACACGCACTCGGGGCTCGGCATCCGCTGCGGTCCGAAGGGAGACGTCATCTTCGGCCGATGGTGTCCTAGAGGTGAGGGAGAGCCTCGGAGGACTATGGACGACTGGTGAACGTGAATCCTCAGCCATGTTGCGAACAGCTTCCGCTTGGGTACGGAGCTTGTCCTCATCGACTGTGTACCATGTCTCTCCAATCCGACATTCGAGGTGCTCGGCTAGGTCGCCTGTTGATTCGGATGCGCCGGTCCATTCGCGCGTCTTGAACTTCTTGTGCGAGCTTACACTCTCTGATGCTGAGCTCAGACCTGGAAGATCTGAGTTGACAGAAACTTCCGAACCTTCTTGTTGCTTAGATCGACGCGCTTGCTCCTCCCCCCGAAGCACCTTGATCACCTTGAGCGATGAAGCGAGCAACGGGTTACGGCCCTCGACATCGGTCCGAGCATGCAGCATCTTGAGGCCAGCAACTACATCTGCACGCTTGTCCAAGATCTCACGATTGGCGGGCTGCCTTGCGAGGTACAGCAGATCCGCCTGTAGAGTCAGAACCGCATGGAAAATGTGGAACTTGAAGATCCAATAGCGCTGTCCACGGCAGCCCACATTGTCTAACGCACGAAGGATGCCGATGACGACGCGTGCGCTCTCGATGCAAGTCCTGGTCGAATGAATGTACTTGGCGTTCCAGTAGCCCCGGCTCATATACAGGCGGTGAAGCTTGAGCAATCGATGGTGGACGTATTCGTGAATTACCGCTCTTTGGAAAGAGAGGTACGGCCTCTCACGGTGGAAACGGTGGATCTCTGGGTCGTACTCGCTCTCGCCGTCGAGCTTGAAGAAGCGAGGCAAAGATCTAAGAATTTCACGGAAGCGTGCTTCGATCGCAAGCACCGTCTCGAACGATTTATCGCCGTGGTTGAGCGCGTCTGCGATACTTCGAACGGTGTGGCAGATCTCAATGTGGATGGAGATGAAGCTGTTGGTAGTCGGTACGCTTGCAGTGCGAATCTTGTCGAGGAAAGGGTTCTTGGCTCGATGAAAGCGGTCGCTGTCCTTTGAGGTGTCAAAGGTGATAGAATCGCTGTCTGTCAGGTCGGCATCGTCGATATTCTGCGGACACTGTGTCGTGAACATCTCATCTTTGCAATAGTAGCATCGGTCGAAATGAGCGGCACAAAGCCAATCCAAAGTAGCGAATGCGAACCACACTTTGCGTCCAACCTCTCGACTGACACGACTACCTTCTTTGTAGCGCTTCGTAGCGGTAATCCCCCAGTTCCTGCGCATGACACCACGGGGCAACCACATCACATTCATATCCTTCCTCTCGCGACGATCTGGATCCAGGTCTTCTCCGTCCGACTCGGTTTCAAAGCCGTCGTGGACCTGCGTCGACGTGAGCATCTTCCAACGGTGCGTTGATGATGAAGCAGGGTCCTTGCCGTCGTTAGCAGCCTGCATACGTGCACGCTTCTCCTCTTGCCAGCGCTCCTCATCTTTCAAGGCTGACCCCAGGCGGTGAAGTTCCATGAATTCGGCAGCCTTGAGAGCCATGCTGGCGAGGACGAGGTATTCCTCTCGATGGTCGCGGTTGTAGCAATAGTGACGCAGAGCGATCACAGCCTGCATTCCCCATATGTTGGGACGGCGCACAAACTGGCCGAGACCAAGGAGAGCCAGACAAGAGCGTGCGAGCATGCACAGCTTGTCGTTGATCGAGGTGCGTGACTCGCTGATCTCGCTGTCGAGGACTTCTGCCGGCGTCATGTACTCGCAGGCGCCTTCGCACATGGCTAGAATCAACGCGGTAAACTGCAGATCGGGCAAGGGTGCAGATGAGGATGCTTTGGAAGCGTCCTGGATGCTGTCGAGCACTGACCAGAACTGGCCAAGCTGTCGCAAGAAGGAAGGCATGTGGATGGATTGTACGATAGGCTCAGCTTCGCGAAGATAGTGGTCGATGAGCGCTTCGATCTTATTACGCGAAGGAAGCAGATCCAACGCTTCGAGCAGACCATCTTTGAGCGCGTCCGTACTGATGCCGGCCCTCCGGGCTCCAGCGAAGATGTTGAACATGGTTGTCGAGGCCAAATCCTCATCCAACGGCAGCGAGGTTCTTCTGAGATCTGCCCAGCTAGAGCCATCATCACGTGTTGCGCCACGCGTGGAGTCACTCTGACTGGCACCTCCTGTGCGATTGTCTCGAGGTGCGCCTGCTTGATGCCTGCTTGATGCTGATGCCTGTTGGCGATGTGTTGGTTGTGCTCTGGGGTTGTCCTTAAGCGACGTGCCGCGAGCGAGCGCGCTAAGCAAATCGCCAGCATTCCTTGCGACTGACTCGGTGCTCTCGTCGCTATGCTCGCTGTCTTCCTCCTCTTCAGCATGCGTGTCGTACCTGATCGCAGGATCGCGTTTGAGCTTGCCGTCAACGATGTTTTGCTCGCGACTAGTGAAGCTGGGTGGGTTCTGAATGCTGGACCGACCGCTGAAAGGGGAAGACTGACCACTGGAAGAATCCGAGGCGCCGTACTTGCCAGAAGCAGCACGCTGAGCCGAGCTACGCTCTGTCGTGGCAGCGTCGAGCACGGCCGAAGACGAAGAAGAGGTCGATTGCAGAATGCGGATTTGCGACTCCAACTGTGCAATTCTGGCCATGAGCGCTGCATTGGAAGGCGTAATGTTGCTTGCCGGTGCTGCGGGTAAGAAGTCGCGCTCATCACCCCATCGACAGAGGTGGGCTACGCCTCGCCGCACACAGCTTCCGCAGTTGGGAACGTTGCGATCGCACTTGATCTTGCGCTGCTTGCACTCGGTACAACTGAGCACAGCTCTCTTGCGGCGTTTGACCTTGCTCGACGAAGCGTCGCTGGGGCCTGGGCCCGATTCGAGCGTGTGATGAGAAACAGCCGAGGTCTGTCGACTCAATTGGTACCTTTCGGATTCGACCCAATCGACATTCCTCCCACTCCTGCCGGGCCCATCACCATAGTAAGAGGCTTCGCCGAGCTCTCCACGAGGACGTCGGTCCTTGAGATCTGCGTGCTCAGTCCAGTCATTGGCGGTAGAAGCGATGGAACGATGTGGGGAGGAAGTACGAAGTGGCGGCGGACGAAGGATAGCCTCTACAGCAGGTTGCGGTCTTTCCGAGTAGAGGTCGAGGCGTGCCCTCTTGTCTCGATGCAGAGAGGACGTATCGGCGATATCATTTGGGTGAGATGAAGGAGATGGGTTGCTGATGCGTTGAGGTGGAATTGCACTCGGATAGGCTGTCTGTATAGGGCCGGGCGAACGCGTACGTGGTATCGGGTGTTCCGGTCTCGGATCGGGTCCGCGATTGATGGAGTACCTGTTTGTGTAGTATGCGGATTCAGCGTATCCATCTGCTCGTGTCTTGAGGTCTCCCGAGAGCTGCCTTTGCGGAGGAGGTCGATACGGATCGCGCGTCCCCGCCATGTTCGAGGAACGGCTGTTCATGGAAGGAGAGGCTTCCTCGAATCGTGCGAGACGTTGAGGTGGTAGCCGCGAGCCCATGATGGCGCCGTCTTGTACTGAAGACATGCTTGGTGGACGGTCGGCAAAGTAGTCGTCAGGCCGCGTTGGTCGTGAGGGTCGAGGCGGTTCTGATGGAGGATAGGGCCCTGATCGAGCGGAGCCCGATTCTACGGGACGTGGATACGAATAGTTGTCACGAGAGAGTTGTCCATCGCGAACACCAAACTGAGCCGACGGAGGCTCATCATCTGTCCGATTCATATGCATTCGTCCAGAATGTGGGGGCGGATCCAGGTTCGGGCGAGAGAAGCGATGTGCCGGGTCTAGTTGCGGGCGCTTCCTGATGTTATCATCACGACTAGTTCCGCTTGCTCTGTAGGAGGGATCATAAGAATGAGGTGGTGGTGGTGGTGGTGGTGATGGTGGCAGCCTGTCTCGCGGCGGAGGAGACCGTCTGGATGGGTCGCCGTCCATGACTGATGATTTACGTGCGACGAGGCTGAGATCCACACCGGGTGGAGGAACAATCAAGGTTGATCAGAAAAGCTGTACGGATCAACAGTGCTCAGATGGTGGAGAAGCTGGCGTGCGATCTACGACATTGAATACAATCGTGATGTTGCAGGATGTATGGTCTGAACCGGTGCAATGTAGCAAAGATGGCGTGTGTATAGCCTGTCTTTGCCAGGGGTGCTGTGAGCAAAAGCGACGAATGATGCCGGACGGTCAGAGGGTATTGCAGGTCCTAGGAAGCGTCGAGGGGGCGCGCGATGGGCTTATGCTGAGAACCTGTGTGCAACTGTGACGGTGATGATGACGATGTCAACTGCGGATGGTTGGACAATTCCACCTAGGAAGCGAGTCGTGTATGGCGGATGCAGCTGGATGTCGAAGTACGAGACGAGGTGCGATGGAGGTCATGAATGTAAAGCCAAGGCAATATTGGAAAGACTGCGGTTGGAGATTGAAGGATCCTGTGTGTAAGTGTTGCTTCGAAATATGTGATCTAGAGGATACGGTGAAAGATGCAGACCGCGTGCCTGCGGTCTGCGATGTAGTGTCTGTCTGTGGTGCCTGATGGCGCCTTCCTCCTATGATTGGGACCTTGGAGACTCCTCCCCAATCTTATGACCCCTTTACTTACACATACACAATAATCTCTTCGTGAGAGTATCCGATGGCAGGCCAGTCGTGAGTGAAGCCGGAGATGGAGACTGAGCTGCAACCGGGCGACAGCGATGTTCCGATAAATAAATAAATAAATAAATAAATAAATAAATAAATAAATAAATAAATAAATAAATAGATAAATAGATAAATAAATAAATAAATAAATAAATAAATAAATAGATAAATAAATAAATAAATAAATAAATAAATAAATAAATAAATAAATAAATAAATAAATAAATAAATAAATGATTTCAGCAATCTGGCTCCTTCTGCTGCTGCTTCTTCTTCTTCTTCTTCTTCTTCTACTGCTGCTGCTGCTGCTGCTACGATGGAGCAAGGCTTCGATCCAAACAGGATCTCTTGGCAACCTAGCCCATGCACATAGATGCGGCCAACCCTTCTATTCGGAGGCTATTGCTCTTGGTCAGTGGCACTCTTATCAGCGACCGTCTCTCCTGTGGTCTTCCATCACAGAAGGCACTCGAGGCGGCGGCTAGCTCGCTTGAAAGCGCATAAAGCTTAAGCAAAACGCAAAGCGATCCGAGTTCTACGTCAACTGTGACCATGTCACCAGGCCGTCTTGCAGGTCTAGAGCCTGACCGATCGGTGGCGCTTTGCAAGCCACCTTTCGTAACTCCACCCAGCCATCGCGGACTTTTCTTTCCCGATGTTTGCTGCCAAAATCCGTCCCCACTGCCCGCTGCCCTCTTCCGATTCCGAACTTCTGTTTTCTAACTTAGCTTGCTGTGTGACACGTGCGTGTGCAAGTGTCCACAGCAGCATGTCGCCTGATCGAACTCAATCACGCGCACCAGGTCCGACATCGTTAGGGAGCATGAGACGCAGGCAGTCGTCTTGAGGCAGCTTGTCTCGAAGTTCCTACGGCAACACTACTTACAGTTGGTCAAGGCATGTCGACGCCCTTGTTGCACATTTCAACTCGCGCTCATCGGAATCCACGTCGAGGGAATCCAGACCGTGTGCATTTCAAGGGTCTGCTCATGTTTAGGGCCGATCAAGCTGTCAGCTGCCCCGTCATTACCCAACCGAGATCCCGGTTCGACCAGGCCTTCGCAAGAAAATTGAGCAGCAGAAGGCAGATTTTTTAGCAAATGTCAGAGCTCTATAATCAACATTGCGAATGTCTTTTTTCTTCTTCTCAGCACTGTCTATCCCGAGTGGACATAACATTTTCTGTAAATTTGTCGCCGCTCGATTGACGTTTTGTTCGTTGATTCTCCACCTTGATGGATGTGAGCATCACTCGACATCGCACACTCCAACAACACCCAATCCTTGCTTGCTCCGTCAAGATCGTCTCATCTCATTGTCACCTCCTTGTATACTGAAGTCTGAAAACACAATTCAGAAGAGAACCTACCGGATCGTCGGCCATCCAGAAGCCACACAACACATTACAAGATGCCACCCAAAGGTTCAACACAAAAGTCGCTCTCGTTCCGGGCACAGTCGAAGCCCAAATCCTCCTTCTCAACCTTTGCTAAAGACCAGCTCAAAGCGAAATCAAATCTTAGGACCAACGCTCCTACCAAACCGCTCACATCGTCTTTCCGCAGGCCCTCTCCAACTACCCCGACACACGAGGATGAGTCTGATTCGAAACGGGAGGATCTCGACGTAGATGACCCACGATGGGACCGAGTATGGCGAAAGACAAAGAAGACGATGAACGTACCACCATCCAAGTCTGTACACATCGACCACGAGGACCGTATCCAGCAGATTTTGAGGGTTTTTGATCTGGATTCCAACTTCGGACCCTACATGGGCATGTCGAGGCTCGAAAGGTGGCAAAGGGCGAAGCATCTGGAGCTTGACCCACCACAAGAGATTCACGAGATCTTGACAACAAAGCAGGGCGTCAAGGAGCACAAGGAGAATGTTTTCGCCGCTCATGGTCTTTGATCTTGGGAAGGAACTGTGTCTAGCAAGCTCTATCCACCTCTTGTTTTGCTCCGTTCTTTGACTGCTCTTTGTACTCCGGATTCTACCATATACCCGCGCTGCTCTTGGAATACAGCTTACACATACACAATCGCTGCCTCAGACAAGTAGCCTGGGTCTGGAAAAGGAAATAAACTGCAATGAAGCTATCGGAACGTTTACATGTGTGTGATTGAAGCTATTGTTACAAATGTGTTCGTGGAGAGGCACGTCGACCTGTGCACCTGTGCAAGGGGTATTGTATGGATGATTCGGACATGGCCTTTCTGGATGCTACTCTGTTGTCTGGGTGGCTTGTATCTGAGTTTGTTTCTTTCGCTCTTCCTCCTTGGCAACTTTGCACACTTCGGACCAGACTTTGTTCTCCCACTCCTTCTCGTGGATCTGCTTTCTCTCCTCCATTTCAGCCTCTTCGTAGAGATGCCGATGATCAATGTAACGCTCTTGCACCTCGAGTGCATCGCCCCAGCCCAACGGGTCACCCCGATCAGCAACGCTGAACAGAGAATGGGGATCTGCACCCAGTCCTCCTGCGCGTGCTTGCGCTCTGAGCGCTGCTGAAGCTGTTGCCGAGGCTCTTCCTGGCTCGTATGCGCCTTCATTTTCTTCCTCGCCAAAGCCGAGGACATTGCTGGTGGGTGAGACGTAGATGTATCCGACCGCCTTGTCCAGCACTTGTAGCAGACGGAACATAGAGCGGCGATCCTCAACCGCAAGCGTCTCGAATGAGACAAGTCCGAAGTCCTCGACGAGCTCACAGATGGCTTCGTTCAATTTGCCAAACTTTTCGTTACGCCGTGAGGAGTCTGGACCCGATGGATGTGAGAGGAGGTCTCGCAGGTAAGAAAGATCTTGGACCTGTGTGTAAAAGTCGAGGTTAAATGCCAGCTCAGATCGAAGTCCCATGGCCGCTCGTCCGCCCTCTCCAGCTCCACCATCCATGTCCTCATCCGAATCATCATTGCTCTGCATGTCTTCGTCATCACTGTTCGGGTCACACTGGTCCAGAGAGCGCTTGGAGCGAGATATGTATGACTGGCCGAGGAGGTCAACTTTGGACAGAACGTTGACGTGGGGCAGCTCAAGCGTTAGCATGGCTCTTAGGGCGAGGATGAGGATGGACACGTAGCGGGAAGCATCGGTAATGTGCGTGGCATCGGTGAGATGGACAGCAACGAAGCGCAATCCAAGTTGCTTGTTGAGCGTCTCCAGGATCCGTTTGAGTGCCGGATGGTTGGTCGACAGCTCGACCTGACCGGGTAAGTCGAAGATCAGATACTCGAAGCCAGCACTGACTGGGCCAACGGGTGTTTCTTGATCACCGTGACATGCGATCTGACCAGTCTTGCCTTGGCGTTGCTCCTCCATCACTCTTTTGAGCTCCTGGATGAGCCAATCGACGTTCTTTTCCAGATACTCAATGCAGTACAACATGGCCGCATTCGGACCAAGCGAGAGTTCGACCATCACATCGCGGACTGAGATGAGCTTGTTGATATCGACAGCACATGGATACGGGAGTCGGTCATTTGCTGGATCGAGATTGATGACGCTGCATGGCCTTGAGAGGAGAGATAGGAATTGGTGTTGTCCATTGCAGTAAGTCGTCTTGCCAGAACCTGGAGGCCCAATGACCAGCTGTGCGAATGGCATAATGTCGAGTTGATCGCCATTCAGATCGATGCGGTTATCAAGCGGTACGATGACGAGATTCTGTCCGCAACGTCGAAGGGAAGGATGGTCGGATGGACCGCGGCGATGACTGACAACCTTTTGGCTTAAAGTTGTGATCTTTCAGAAAAGTGTTTCTTTCTGGCAGCTTCGCTTTCTTCCAAAAATCACAACTTGAGACTTTTGGCCGCTCACTCAGCTCGGCCTCCACCGCTTCTCTCAAGCTGCGATGATGTGGAGCGCCGCCGTAAAAAGCTTAGCGTGGGCGTCTGCGATACACACAGTATGTATGTGAAAATAGAGCTGCGGTGTTCAGCCTCATTTCCGCTCAGGCAAAGTGAGAGAGAGCTAAGCTTGGTCAGGGTCACACTTCGTACACCTAATCAGGTCTCAGCATTCATTCTTCTTCACCTCCTTCCGCACTTCAACCACCTGACCAACTTCTATAGCACCCTCAACGCTTCTTCGCAGCACGACCAAGAACCGGTGCCTGGTTTCTAGCTCTTCGAAGAATCTCTGCAACATCTGTAACCTGCGTACGGCTTTACAACTGCGGCAGCGGCAACCATGGGAGACGCCCGCTTGAGACGGATCAACAAGGAGATCAACGACTGCAAGAATGACAAGGTCTCTGGTATCCAGGTGACATTAATAGATGGTGAGTAGTTCATCGCGTCAAGGCATACTCAAGCCTGCTAAGTACGATGTCAGCTGACTCACAACATACGTTCCCCTCTGTCTCGCGAACAGAATCGCCATTTCACCTTGTCGGGACCTTCCCAGGACCAGAGAACTCGCCATACGAGAAGGGCACATTTGATGTGGTACGTACCTGGATTTGCGGCATCGTCCTCACTTGGTCGAGTTCCGCAGAGCGTTTGCCTCGAATGCTTCTCCTGACACACCTACACTTTCCGCACTGCTGCGTGCTCTCCGCTATGGACCAACAAACTCTATTCAAACGGCTTACAGGACATTGTCGTTCCCGAAGGATACCCGTTTCAGCCTATCAAGATGAAGTTCATCACCCGTGTCTACCACCCCAACATCTCGTCGCAATCCGGAGCCATCTGCCTCGACATCTTGAAAGACCAATGGTCGCCTGTCCTCACGCTCAAATCCACGCTCATGTCCCTCCGATCCTTGCTCTGCTCACCTGAGCCCAACGACCCGCAAGATGCCGAAGTAGCGAAACACTATCTTCGCGACAAAAACGACTTTGAAAAGACAGCACGTAACTGGACCGAGATCTACGCCAACGGCTCCGAGTCCGCTCAACCGCCATCGAAAGGACAGACTGACGACAAGGCGGACCCGATCCTGCTGGCAGGGTTGAAGAAGGAGCACGTGGACCAATTTGCCAATATGGTGAGTGTCTTACAGACTTGACGAGGCTGTCAAGGTTAGTAGAGCTGAGTGCTGACTCTACATGATTACGGCTTGCTTATGCATTCACAACAGGGCTTCGAAAGCAACAAGGTTATTGAGGTGCTCAAGAAGCTCAACTACCGTGGCGCCAAGTAAGTGCTCTAATCCCTACATGTCGCGTGGCAAATACTACCTACCTCGTTCGGCCTCGATGACTGACATCCATCTGGCGTTTCCTCACCACAGCGTCCGCAACATCACCGACGACACTGTCCTCAACGAGCTTCTCAATTGAGCGCCACCGCTCCCAAAAGCATGTAAAACTCAACGCAGATCAAAAGCACACATCCTTCATCTTTCCTGACTCGTTCGAACAACAGGAAAAGGGCTGGTGCAAGGAACATCAGTACGGTCACCGGGATGAACATGAGTTAAAGGGGGGAATCATTGCAATAGAAGGAACAGAACAAAACAGACTGGAAGAGGAAGCAGGTTGAATGCTCGTTTTGCAAAGCATCTAAGCGCCGTTACGGCTCAAATCTTCAAGATACTGTGAGAGCTTGAGAGCACCAGACCTGAAGCTGTCAATGCTGCTCTGAACATCCGGGTTGGCCATAAATCGCTCGTAGTACTCTCGTGCAGTTGCCTCGAGATCGCCGAAGTCTCCACCCTGCTGTGGTCCCTGTTCGCCTTCCTCGTCCTCCTCGCGACCGAAGTACTGATTCGATGAGATGGAAGTCTGGCCCTGGAATGACTGCAAACGTTGCTGTGCTTCCGAGGTGGCCTGAGAATCGTACGAGCCTCGCTGGAAGTATTGGTCGGACGAGATGCTCTTCTGGCTTGAGAACTTGTTGCGCGCGTAGCTGGGTTCTCCGCCGTCAGCGTCCGAGTCGGTAGCCGAGGCATTGTTGGCGGCAGCGGCGGCGCGTTCTGCGGCAAGCTTGGCTTGGTGTGCGTTGGCCTTCATGCCCAGACGACCGAAGCCCATACCGAGACGGTCCATGTCGCCATTGGCTTTGGCAGCAGCAAATGCATCCGGAGTGGCAGCAGCACCGGTTCGAGCGCCGGCTGCACCACTCTTGGTTGCGGGAGAGGAAGGGGCAGCCGTCTTGCCGACAGCTGCTTTCACAGCTTCACGTGCAATGCGTTCTGCTTCAGCTTGCTGCTCGCTGGCCTTTTGCGCTTCACGAGCTTTGGCTTCGGCATCCTCAGCCGCCTTGGCCTCTGCAGCTCGTGCAGCTTCTTCTTCCTTGGCTTTTCTTTCAGCTGCGGCAAAGTCGATGGGTGCGCCTGCCTTCTTGGCACCGAGACCAAGCTTACCCGCTCGTGCGGGTCGGGCGGCAGCAGCAGACATGCCTGTGGTGGTTGGGCCGGTTCCTGTCGGAGTGGTGGTGCCCGGAGTTGAACTGGCGGAGGAAGTGCGGCTGACTGCACCCAAAGTCTTTCGGGCGGCGGAGCTGCTAGCGCGTAAAGAGGCTGAGGTGACGGTCTTTGGGGCGGCTGCTGGTGCGGGAGCGGGTTTTGGTGCTTGTGCCGCTGCTGGTGCTGGTGCTGGTGCTCTGGTAGAAGTAGCAGGCTTGTCCCATTCATCGAAAAAATCGTCCATGCCACCTCCGCCGGACTTGGCATTCGCTGCTGGTGCTGACTTCTCTGCACTGGGAACGGCAAGACCTGGAAAGTATACAGGGCTGTTAAGACTCTGACCTGCGGCGTCCTGAAGTGCTCTCTTCTGAAGCTCGTCCTTGTATGCCAATGCTACCGATGAGGTGTACTTCACCTTGCCTTCCGTTGAGGGAACAAGGAGGTGAGCACCTCCCTTCTTATTGAAGAACTCGGCAGCGGCAGCGTTTCCTCCCACCTTCATGAGGCGTAGTTGGGACCAGTTCCATGAATCGAGGTTGGTGGAGCGGACAAAGGTGATATGTACGCCCATATTACGGTGAACGGAAGAGCAGTCGAGGCAGATGTAGATGGCAAAGGTGGCAGAGGCCCATGTTGGGTTCTTGGCTCCACAATCGAAGCATACCTGTCGATGTCAGATGGCAAGCATATCGAAAGAATTGAGGTCAGTCATGTCTTGTGCCAGTCTGAATGCGGTTGATGTTGTGTACAAACCTTGTTACCCTTTTGAGTTGTCTTGAGAGACTTAAAGATCTCGACGAGCTCGTCTTTGGAAGGTCCGTCGGACATGGTGCACAGAAGTTGTCGATGCCGATGTGACTGACTCGGAGGGTAGGAGAGACGCCTGGGCAAAATCAGGGGACCTGCAGAGCTAGGATAGTGGCAGGTGGGCGGTGAATGTAACCAATGGTGAGGAGGAGAGGTTGGTAGCAGTGACAAAGGAAAAGCAAGTCGAAGGTCCGAGTCTGTATTGATTCGGGCTCACAGATCAGCACGCTGCACCTTTCATCTACACTCAAGACACGCAGCCACACCGAGAGGGTCAAGTCAATCTTCTCAAGTCAGGTTTGTGTGTGCTTTTCTAGCCCGGCCATCTCCATATCGTGAGCGACACGACACGTATTCCGACAGTTCGCTCTTGTTAGACCGTGTTCTGCTTGCAGTTGGTGAGTCTTTTTTTTTCTTTTTTCTCTTGTATTGGCAAAATACAAATTGGATGCACAGCTTGAACAGCTGGTGGAAGTCGAAATCACTTTGATTCCAAATCGGTGAATTGCTCATGGAAAGCGAATACAATTCCTTCTTGCAAGTGACAGAGCGAATACAAGAGGGTCTAAGTCTGCCTATACCGCCGCTTCATTTCTGCGCAAGCGATCAGGCAAGTCGAGCAGAGCAAAAAGAGAAGAGCGCAGCACAGTCTATCAGCCAACCAACCAGACTGAAGAGAGAGAGGCATGGGCCTGCTTTGGCACTTTTAACTTTAGCGTCTTCTTGAACCGTATCCGGATTCTAACACAATCGCATCCACAACCAGGGTCCGCTTTTCTTCCTTTCTTCATCGACATCATCCATCCTCATCCTCCGTCTTCACCCACAAAGCTTTGCTACGACAGAAGCCGTACGTACGACAACGCAATCGGAACCATCTATTCAACCGGCTCAATCGCAAATTTCGCATTGCACCAGCTAGCCGGCAGCCTCGACGTTCCGCATCTCTGTTCAGCATCGAAACCGCCACTGACAGCCACCCGTGTCGCTTGACAACCCTTCTGCTTGCTTGCAAATCTCGTTGCACATCATAACAGGATTTCAGCTACAGACTAGCTGCTCTTAACTTCTGCTTGGTCATGCAGAGACCAGGTAGGTAACCGCTTGCGCTTTGAACTTCCGTTCCGTTTCGGAAACCTTCAGTTGCTCATTCTCCACCCTCTCTACCTTTGCTTTTTTTTTGTGACCGACTTCGTTCATTGACAGGTTCCGCTAATCCAAAGCCGAACCATCAACTTGCTGCATTTGCAAACAGACTTCCGCATACAAACTCTGCATCATACCTCGGTTCCAGTCCCGCTCCTGGCCCTAACGCAGCCATGTATCCATATCTTCAAGGCGGCCCACGGATGATGGGATCTTTCTTGGGCATGCCGCAATCACAGCAAGGTATGTTTCAATCAAGTCCGCTGGGGATTCAGTACAAAGAAGCTCTCCATACGTATCGGCATGCAGATACACAGAAGCTGACATCTTCAACTGCATCGCTTCCGCAATCGCTTGCAGGTGGAGCTGGTGGCTTTCCTTTCGGCGGCTCAGGGTCCAACAATACAACAGGCACAGCGAGTCTAGCTTCGCAGTTGGCAGGACTGTCTGGCGGGCAATCGCAAGGACAGGGTCAAGGCGGTGAGCTCAACCCGAGCGACTTCCCCGCACTAGGCGGAGGGCAACAAGGTGGACAAGGACAGCAAGGAGGCGCACCCGGTCTTGGTGGTCTTAACAACCCATTGTCGAGCTATGCAACCCAAGCAGGTACCGGCGGTGTAACTGCGGCACTCAGTGGTGGTGCTCCGCTTCGTAACTTCAACCAGGACGACTTCCCAGCGCTCAATCAGTCAGGATCAACAGATGGACGTACAGGCGATGATGGCTTCCCACATGGCGTGGCAGAGCAGGTTTCGGCAGCAGCAGCACTTCAGCACCAGCATCAGCAACGTGAACAGCATCGACAAAGTCTGTTAGGTTCAGTCGTAGGCGGAGCACGGTCCGATGCATCCTTGTCAGCAGCGAGAGGAGGTTTCGGAGAGCCCGATCGCAACTATGCCACAAAACTTGGCGCAGGACCTCCAGGGCCAGGGTTGGGTATGCATCAGCAGACATGGGCGCCGCCAGGTTCGGTGTTCGGAGGTGCAGGACAGAATCAGCTCAACGGCCTTCAGCGTGCCTCTTCACCATCTTCTGCAAGGTCTCCGCTCTCGAGTGTGCGCAACGCAGCAGGCAACCTTGGTGCTTCCTCGCCTTTGACAGACAACGCCTCGGTTCGTGGAAATTCGCTGGATGCTGCTGCAGCCGGACAGACCGGTGCGATGGCGCAAACACCTGCACAGCAGATTTTGACTTCGCCAGCGGATCGTTTCGGATTGCTCGGGCTGCTTTCGCTGATCAAGTCGTCAGATCCTGATCTCTCAATGCTTTCGATGGGCGTCGACTTGCAAACTTTTGGTCTTAACCTCAACTCGTCCGATCCATTGCATCCGTCTTTTATCACGCCATGGTCAGAGAACAACATGCTTGCCTCGTCCAGAGTCGAGCCCGAGTTCACATTGCCATCATGCTACAATGTGCAGCCTCCACCGCCGGCGCAGAGCAAAATCGCCTCATTCTCAGATGAAACACTCTTCTTCATCTTTTACTCGACACCACGCGATGTTTTGCAGGAGGTAGCGGCGCAGGAGCTGTACGCACGAAACTGGAGGTACCACAAAGAGCTGCACGTATGGCTGACCAAGGAGCAGAACACGGAGCCTACGCAGAAGACGCCAACGTATGAACGCGGAACATACGTTTTCTTCGACCCATCGTTATGGGAGAAGGTCTCCAAGAACTTCCACCTTTTGTACGAGATGCTCGAGGAGAAGGTGCCCAGCCAGGCTCAGGCACTGGCAGCACAGGCAGCGGCACAGCAAGCCGCAGCTGTAGCCGCCGCCGCTCAGCAGCAGCAACAGCAAAGACCACCTTCCTCTCAGCAGCAAACACAGCAACAGCAGCAGTCGCCTTCGCCCGCACCACAGCAGCAGCAGCAGTCGTAAGCGGGCAGCACTGGTCGACTCGGTTGCACTTGCACTGTCACTTTTCCTTGTACTTGTTCCAATCCAAACACAACATGCAGATTGAATGAGCATGCGTTTTTATTTCCAAAGACCATCCGCCTGAGCTCGCTCAGCTGAGCTTTCCGGGACGTCTGACGTCGATTGATGAGCGCTCACCATCTTGTTTTAACGCACTTTACTGTTCTCAATGAGACCACACACGAAGAGCACACAAGTCAAGGTTTTGATGATGTGTGAATGAATGTGATTTGCGGCAAAGCCGACATGCAATCTATATTATAGCAAATTAGTACTTGCGCAAATGATAACTCCTGTCAACAGGATCAAGCATTTGTCTGTTGGACTTGTTCCACAGACCGAAAGCCTTCTTGTCCAACCCGTTCTGCACAGCTGGCTGCTTCTTCTTGCTAGCCACCTTAGCACCTCTCGCAACCGACCCGGAGGACTTTGCATACTCCTGGGCCATAGCGTACACCTGCCTGTAATCCAGACTGGGCCTGGAAAGGTCAAACACAATCTCATCGACATTGATCGAAACGATCTCAGGAAGGTCAGAGTAGGAGCTCGAGCTGGAACTGGAACTCCTAGCGACCATCTCTGGAGTCTTGATACCGCTGTTTCTTCGACAGTTGTCGCTCGTGCCTGCGTCGCTGATGGTGTAAGTGGTGCAAAGAGGGGGCAGCTTGGAAGCAGATGCGTTGCCAGGCTTATGTGAGAGAAGGGAGGAGAAAAGACGGCTAGCTTCATCTCGACCCGAATCAGAGTTTTCTGAGAAGCGCGAGACAAGTTCTTGTGGCTCCTCGTCCTTAGGTGTGGCAATATGACCTGGAGTGAGCTTGAGGTCCTTGAGCAAAGTGAAGTGGGAATCGAATGACTTGCTGCCTGATTTGGAAGCAGATCGCTTGTAGCTGCGTTTGGCCACCTTGGAGTCGAGAGACAAGCCTGCTTCGAGGAACTTGAGGTCCAAAGTTCTATCGACCTTGGGAGTGCCTGGTGCTGTTCGAGGTGACAAGATCGCGGACTCGGCACCTTCGAACATGGGCGAGCTTGTGTAGAGAGGGGAGCCCTGTCTGCTGTAACTCTTCTTGATCTGGTCCGTACGGCGAAGCACTGCCTCTGTGGGAGGCTGTGAGGGCTGAGGAGGTAGAGGACCCAACGACAGCGGAGCTGATCCACTCCTCACGTGCGAACGAGTGAAATGGGCTGGCACAGGCGGCGTCATTTGGTGGCTAGCACTTCTCGCACGACCTCTTGACGCCTTGGGAGCGCCATGTCCGCTCTCGCTGCGGGTCATCCTTGCTGGTGACCTGCTCGGAACCACTGGAAATTCGCAAAGGTTGGCCAGCAACTGGTAATCAATGTCGTCGAGGCTGGATCGGGAGCGTACCAACTCAGCGGCAACAAGAGACTCTACCGATACACTTTCTGGGAAGGCAGGCATTTCCTCTTCCGACGAAGCAGAGATGCCAAGGTTGTCGAGCCAGCTGTCGGAGGATCGAGAAGAGACGGAGGAGAGCATGGGAGAGGAGCTCGCCGCGCTATAAGAAGAGCTCCCACTGTACCTCGGCATGATCACTGGTACTGGCACTGGTACTGCTGCTGTCGTCGCAGATTTCTTTGGAGGAGCAGCAATCACAAAGACCTCGTTGGACATCAGGAACAGCTTAGGCGCTGGAGGCGCCTTCCTTTCATCCTTCCAAGGTCTCGGGGAAGCCCGCAGTATCGCAGAAGAAGGTCTCACGCTCGAGCTGGTGTCACGAATGGTGCGCGCATCAAAGGAAACTTTGGAGTTAGAACCAAAGGTTGGAGTCTTTGGCATCCTGGGCGACGAAGGTATAGAGGCATACGCATCGATATCAGGACGCTGCGAATATGGGGAGAAGAGATCGAAGGCTCTTCGACTTGCGCACTCCTCACTGGGCGCCGCGGCGAGTGTCGCTGTGGAGCGCGATGCGAGGCTTACAGCGCTGCTGCTCCTCGAGAGGTCGGAGGAAGTCTTGTCCTTTCCGAGTGAAAGTCGGCGTAGGATGGTTTTCTTGAACTTCTTCTCGGCACTCGCAGGGAGCGAGAAGGTGGATGAGGCAAAGCTGTGCATGGTGAAGCGATGGGGCAAGGAAGCTCGGTCGCTGAGATGCACTTGTTGGTGAAGGGAAGGGTAAGGTAAAGAGCAAAAAGAAGATTACGACAGAGGTGTAGAAAGAAGCTGAAGGAAATCGTGTCGTTGGTGGAAAGATGGAGAGAGAGAGGACCTTGCTAGCTAAGTATTAGAGGGTATAGAGAAGTTAGCAGGGGGGCGGTCTCGTAGGGAGGAGGGGTATGGAGTGTCTTTGGAGTCTCGAGGAACGGAAGAAAAAATTGGGTCGTATATGAAGTCGGGGAAGGAGATGTTTGGCGGCTATGAGCTCGGACGGACCTCCACTTCTTGCTATGAGTTCGGTCCGCCTAGCCACCGCACGCAATGAAGCCGGCCTGGAGAAGGGGCTCAAGACAAAAGATCGACGACAAGCAAAGGCCTCGACCACTCTAAAGAGCACCGAGACAATCGATGCAAATCAACAACTCAAAAGCTGCCATGAAGCACAAGGGGCCAAGCACATGGAGATTAACAAAGTCATCAACCTGAACGCAGGAAGAATCGTGGTGTTTGTAGTCGCAAGCAATGTTTAAGGCCGAGACACCTGAAGACCTCACGACGAAGAGAACCATTGTCGACCCTTGTGAGACACTCTGTTGTACAAGCTGAGATATGCAGAAGCTCGCAATCATACACAGGGACTTGGAGCAAGACAGAAGCGCAGCGGAAACAAGCCACAAATAAAGCACACACACAAAGGCGATTCATTTGGGTCGGCGGAAGGGTCCAAGCTGCAAAGGCGCTATGAAGAAGAGAGCCAAGAAGCCGTCACGCATATGCACTAACGAGCGGCTGGGAAAGAGAATGAAAGAGAGATGGCCGACGAGAGAGAGAGACGCTCGAATGAGTGAGCTTGGGAGACTGGAGCATTCGACATGAGAACAGGCATTGTTGGATGTTTCAGATTTGTGAGAGAGCCATCAAGTTAGGCTGTTGGTGCAGGCGTGTCTCAGAGCGGCGGGCCGTCAAACGCTGGGCAGCGGAAGCTCTTCCGCACCATTCGCATTCTCGAACTTCCGCCTCTCCGCCCTCATCGGCCTCATTTATGTTGCCTTATCCTCTCTGCGGTCGATTGTAGTCGTGCTGGTTGCAATCAAAAGTTCAGTGAATCATCTGCAGAAGAAGGATGCAGCTTTCAGCTACGCAATTCAGCCAAACCAATGAGAGACGGACAAATGCGAGGAGAGGCGGCGGAAAAGCATAGAGGCCAAGCGAGATGAGCCTGTAGGAGGTAGAGAGGCGAGTACGCTAATGAAGGACGACAGCAGGACATGCTTAAGCGGTCAGGCACACATGCACACCCACCTCTTTTTACTTTTTCACACTCTAGACCCATGCCAACCTGCAGGTTTGTCTTGCAGGACCCGGCATGAGGCGAAAGAGAGAGAGAGAGGGCGGAAGAAGGAACCGCAAGGCCAACCGTAGAGCGTCGATGGTGCTGTTCCATGAGCTTGGCGGCTTCGGCTTGGTCGATTGGTGAGAACCAGCCTCTTTTTCCGAACTCTTCACCGTCTTGGAGCAATGATCGTCAATTCTAACGGTACTTGCGCAGGGCGTTGGTTCTGTGTGGCCGCGGTGTACGGAAATTCCCGATTTTGCTGACCGTGAGAGGAGAAAAAGCAGTGAAAAGAGAGAATGTCTCAAAATCTGCGATAGATGCACGAACGCGTTACTGCTGCAGTGCCGCTGAGCAATCTCGACTCTCATATTTGGCTTCCTGACAGCTGAGATTGAGTTGGACTCCGACCCTCTCAAACACAAACACAAACACAAACACAAACACAAACACAAACAAACAGACTACGAGATCGCTCTGGCCCTCCTTCGGCAAGCAATGTGCTCTGACCTCATCTCAACTCCGCCCTTCGCAAGGGTTTGATGTCTCAAGGGAGATAGATTTCCGGATTCCTTCGCAATCATCTTCAAAGGATAATTTCGATCTCAGGTTGTTAGAGCCATTCGTACCGATGAAGATGATGCCCTTTAGTTGGTGTGAGTCGTAGCGACGAGGGCTGCAGGAACGCAGGATGAAGATCACAGTTCATGGTTGGCGTCGACGTTGTGGCAGGCGCACAGCAAGCGAAAAGTAGACTTTGAATTTAACCTGTCAAGAAATTTGTGTGGCAGCAGATAGCGACATGATTTTCCGGGCTTTTTTCGCAGAAAAAAATAATTCTGGGCGTCTTCTTCATCAAGCACACGCCTCCTTCCTCGATCATCACCAGCAACGCTTTGCTCAAAATCAGAGCTCGATAGACCCAGATCTTGTCTAGACTGATCAGAACTGAGACCAGAAGGTTGCGAAAGAAAGTCACGGACTGTGCGGAGGCTACGGAAAAGCATCGGGCCGACTAACCCGAACTTCAAAAAGACCCCGTGTCTGTCTGCTCTTCGCTGCGGGACGAAGATCAGCCACGATCCGTTTGAGCGCGCGGCCCAGAAGAGAAGTATAGACCAAAGAGATGACTGTCCTCGAGACAGCTCCTCGGTAAAGCACAAAAAGGTGCTTGGTCGGTCCTCGCTTCCGTAGCCCAAAAGCTATCCGTACCCGATACATTAGAGCATAAGAGGCTTGGCTTTCTACCCATGCTTCTTGCCGGTAATCTCTCCCCCTCTTTCCTTTTTGTCGAGAGCATGATATTGCTTGTGACGGATAGCGAGACACGGGAACGTCATTTCGCTTGCTTTAGTCGATCGTGCGGAACAGTAAGATTCGGGCTAGTCGTGTGAAGGTGAGCAAGCGCTGCTGCTGAATGATATGTAGGTTCCGAAACGCTCCCTGTCAGGTGAAAGGACCTTGGGCTGGTACGCTACTGCACAATGAAGCGCATGAGTGCCCGCAATGGACATATTTGAACCGCCGAACCGATAGAGAATGGTGAGAAGCTTGAATACTACCAGCCTGGGCGAAATCCGGCCTCACTCTGCTGCAATCAGTGGCCGTGAGGCTTGCAGATCAGACTCCTGTCGGTCTGTGCGCGCAACATCCACGCCTGCTTGCGCAAGGGTTCAAAGTCTCATTAGCTCGCAACCCAGCACGAAGAAAGCATCACACGCTGCTCTCCATCACCTCGATGTAGCTCGCCGCATGTCAAGTCTCAGTATCACATACGCCGGAGCCCGATGAACCTCAGAGCCGCGAAACGATGGTATCAAACCCAAATCTCTGGTGTAAAACAAGCATCGGGGCTAAGGTCCACACTGCGAATCAGCACATGCTTGATCCAGGCTGACAAACCATAGGGCCGGTCTCATTTGCTGTCGGTCAATGTAAAGGTTGCGCGGTCTGAGGCAGCTGAGTTGAGATTCAAGGACTTTCCTGAGACTGCAAGCAGTACTTGCAGACGGAGAGGGTGAGAACGAGGGAGTGGTCGGATGGGCATGAATCTTCCTGAAACTGGCGCTCAACCATCTTCTGTTTGCTGTCTGATACAGATCAATACTTAAGGTCTTGCGGTCAAAGAGACAGGTTTCACCGACGCGCGAAGCACGCACGCAAGAAAGAAATGCGAGACATTTTCTAGCCCTTTAGCACCTTTTCCGAGGCTCCCTCGCTTCGGCTTTTCACCATCTTCTGCACGTCCACCCGTTCATTCCACCTCGCTCGCCGGTGGCATGCTGCTGTGTGGCTAAGGGGTGGAGAGCAAAGACCGTAAACCTCAGCCCCACATCAAACTCGCGCCCCATCACATGGCAGGGCTTCGGCATGGGCGTGGGCGTGGGCGTGGGTGTGGGCGTGGACGTGAGTTGGAGCGGCAGGACGTGCGGCTCTGAGAATCAATCTCGTTGCGAATCGCGACAAGTCACCTCGTAAAGAGCGGTTGAGCTTGGCGAGGAGGATCTTCGCCGTGCTGTAGCGCTCCTTTAGGTTGCGGAGTACGCTGCCGGACCGTTCGGCGTTGGCTTTTCAGCCGAAGAGAAAGGACTTAAACGCTGAGATCGTGTCATTGAATCGCGGCGATTCATTCCTCGATGTCGGCATCGTTGTCACTCTGGTTAGTCAACATTCTCACGTTCTCTCGGACAAGCGTCTTCAGGGAAGTCAAGCAACCAGAAGCGATGATCTGCCAATGGTACTCAATGATGCAAATATGCTGAAACAGTGACACGAATTGAAGCGAGATGCAATGCGAGATATGGGACATGAGTATGAAACAGGCTCTGTGAACGAAACGCCATTGTGCCGCAGGTTGGTAGGCTCACAACGTCCCGCGTTGTGTCCTCGGTGAGCGTCTGCAAGTACCTGTGGTGTTAGAAGAGTTTCGTCGACGTCGGCGGAGGCCCTTCTGCGAGGTATTCGTCGCCTCCTTGCCTTGACCATCTTCTTCACCGGCTCCTTCCTCTGCTTGTGTTTGCTCGTCTGAGCTGCCTTTTCGGAACAATGGCACGCTGGTGGGCAGCACTGGCTCATCCTCTCCCGAGTCGCTGGAATCGACCAAGCTAGCATCTTGTTTAATGGGACCAGTCTTCATCTTGCCGTCCTCTTCGCGTGGGTCGTTGACGGGTTTGCCCATCGTTAGGCGCAGTCCCACAATGCCATTCTTCTCTCTGCCGTTGAAAGCACCTTTGATCTTGGATCGACAGACTGGACACTGACCTGCCAACGGATCAGGTCTGTTTCTAGCGCCACCACCACGACCACCCGCAGCGCTGCCGCCTCGAGAAGCACCGCCTCCTCCACGACCACGCCCCGCTGCTGCCCCGCCGCCTCTGCCGCCACCGCCGCCACCGCCGCCACCGCTTTCGGGCCCACCTGCACCAGACGCAGCACCAGAACCTCTACCTGCTCCGAAGGCCGCGCCAGGAGCGAAGCGACTGAGTAAACCTTCAAACCCGAAGAGTGATTGCTCCTCCTCTGCCGCTCCACGCTGAACAGCTTGCGTCTTTAGCGCTTGAAAGAGACATTCGCCGCAGAAGAAGTGACCGCACGGGGTCACGCACAAGTTTGTGGGTGCATCGAAGCAGATCGGACACGTGAATTTGGACAGCAAGTGGTGCTCGATGGGTGGAGGTTTGGAGCGAGGAGGTGACTTGGTCGGCATTGCAAGATTCGTCGATCGCAGTCGTTGATCTGTGATAGGGTGTTCGCTTCTTGGCGGTAATTGAGGTGCTGTCTGTGCTGAGATGATGGAAAAGCTGGCGTCAGGATCTGAAAGCGAGGAAGAGCTTCGAGGCCGCACGATGGGCATGGGCCGAGTCAAGAAGTTACCTGTGCTTGGGTCGATACTGACACCAATCATTCTACCATCGTTGTTGGAATCGAATCGAAGTGGTCCTGCTGGCCTGCCCAAAGGAGGGGGAGGAGAGAAAAGATCGCTGCGTATTGTTGGTGGTGCAGCGGGAGCTCTTCGTATGCCCGCGACCTCGAAGTCGGAGGATCGGGTACGAAGAATAGGAGAGAGTCCGACTGCGACCACTTCGTCATCGTCAGAGCTGTCGCTGCTGATCTCGACAACATTGCTGGGGTTTGCTGCATTGCGAGTGTTCGCTGGTTCTATGGTTCTCTGGCGGTTACGAGCGATGCTAGAAGAAGTTGAAGCGCTGCGAGATGTCGATCTGGCTGGACGTAGCGAGGATCCGCTTGGAGTACCTGCACTACCGTTGCGACCTACACCATAAGGAGGCTGAGCGGGAGAGGAAGATCGACTTTGTGCTGCGGAAGAGTATGCACTTCTCGTTCTCGAAGAGGCTCTGCTGGAAGGACGAGAACCGCCAACCACGGTAGGACGTGGCAGCGGCGGATCTGTTTCGATCGAGGTTGGTGTTAATGAGCCGCTGGGCATTGTCATAATCCATAGAGGCGGGGCTAAATGGTAGAGCGGAAGAACTGTCGATGCCGCAGTGACTGCAGGCGTGCCTTGCTTCGACCTGCTTTACGCCTAGATCCTATCCAAGGTCATCGTTGGTGGTGTCGAGAGCATCCACAAAGTCGTTCGTCACAGCGATGTGAGCAGTGCCAAGAGTCCTTCACTGCAGCTCGTCAAAATGCTGTTCCCAACCGCTTTTGAATGTCGCTGAGCGGATGGAAGCTGAGATGGTGATCAAATGGAGGGAAGTTGTGTGTGGGTGAAGCACCAGACCGTCCGTCAAAACCCAAGTCAACTCAGCCATTGGAAGCCGAAGCTTCACGGAAGGCGCGCCTCAGGATGCCTTGTTGGTTGCATCGGCAAAGCGTGCGGAAAGAAATTTCAGGCCGGGACCAACACCTCCACTACCAATCGGGACCACCTCTGCCCGATCTTCATGCCAGCTCGTCAAAAGGCCGAAATGATGCCTGCTTCCCCTTCATCACCCTGATGTTCACATGTTCGGAATATTTGGTCACCGGATTGACATCGACTGTCATGCCTGCTCATAGCGAGGTACTAGGGTATTCCTCGTTTGGATCGCTTGGCCTTTTTGTGTGGAACACAGCCTCGGTTCAGAAGAACCTTCTTCTCTTCTCAACTGACACTCGGAGCTGGGCGAAGAGCGGGACACTGGATCCGCAGGCTGTCGACGGCTAGCCTGTTCGTTCTTCTGCAAGAGTGCGAAACGTTCCAAGCTGTATAGAGGAAGCAAGACATTTGACTGCAGAGCCACTCAACTCATTTTGAGCCTTTGGAGCCGAGCAAAGGCTTGGCAAGCAAGAAGCTGAAGCGGAGTTGCACTGACACGTTTTGCCGAGCTTTTTTGACTGTCCAATTAGCCTGCCTTGCGCTTTGCAGTCTGTGTCTTTCGTTTATCAACAGCTCGAATTAGAAATTCCTACTGCGTGCCTGGAGTTGGCAATTTCGTACGTGAACGAAGCTGGGGAAGCCAAATCGTAAACTGGCATTCGGCTGTGCTTTTCATGAGAGCCAACAGTCACCACGGACACAGCCTTGAGGATAAGGTGAGAAATAGAGTCAAATTCACGGTCAGACCCACGCGATGTCGAAAAAAAATAAAATGACGCCGTTCCATGCAAAGCTCGCGCTTAGAGACAGACACAGCCTGTCTGCAGACTCAAAAGTCAACTTTGTGTGGACCCCGTGCACACCAAAAGAAGCGAAGCGTTGTCACTTACATCAAAATATCTTTCTCCTTGTTCCGAAGCTCTCATCTTTTGCCTTTCGCCACATCATTTTCTACGACTCCCCGGTCTCAGGCCTTATCGTCCAATCCTGAAGTCGTCCGTAACGACAAATAGCATATCAACATGGGAAAGAACCAGTCCAAGCTCTCGCCGGAGCAGCTCTCCGATCTCCAGAAGAACACTTACTGTAAGTGCAACATTTGCTGTGACGCTCGGAAGGGATGATATAGACTGACTCTCGTTCTTATTCACTGATTCTGGCATGGTTCAATGCTTCGTGTGATCAATGTTGGGATCGATAGTCGACAGGAAAGAGTTGCAGCAGTGGTACAAGGGTTTCTTGAAGGACTGCCCTTCCGGTGTTCTCGACAAGCAGGAGTTCTGCCGCATCTACAAGCAGTTCTTCCCCTTCGGCGATCCATCCACGTTCGCAGAGTACGTCTTTGGCGTCTTTGACGAGAACAAGAACGGTACCATCGACTTCAAGGAGTTCATCTGTGCGCTAAGTGTCACTTCGCGAGGAAGGCTCGACGAGAAGCTTCGATGGGCGTTCCAGCTCTACGACATTGACGGAGATGGCACTATCACCTACGATGAGATGCTTAGTAAGCTGGAAATTGCTTCCATGAAGGTGGATCGATGATCTTGCAGTATTGACGACGAGGTACATCTGTTTTTCTCTCCTTTCGCCCCTACAGCAATTGTCAAGAGCATCTACAAGATGACCGGCCAGATGGTCAAATTGCCAGAGGACGAGGACACTCCCGAGAAGGTGAGTGTTCAGGCTACAGGGCCCGCTCTAGCTGCCTCGATGGCTAGCAACGAGCTCTGTGGAACAGACCAAATTGAATACGGAAGATGAGAGCCGATTACTGACCCGAGGGGCTCCGTTCCTCCTTTGTTTGACACGACAGCGAGTGGACAAGATCTTCCGCATGATGGACCGCGACAAGAACGCTCAGCGTAAGTGCAACTCGGAATCGCTCAATGCCCAAGCTCAATGCCCAAATTGAACATGCGGCTGACATTCTGCCATTTCTTCCTACACGTGCCCCTTCTCTCTCACCACCATCTTGCTCTAACACCATCCGGTCTTGTCATTGCTCGCAGTCTCGTTCGAGGAGTTTCAGGAGGGAAGCAAGCAGGACCCAACCATCGTCCAGGCTCTGTCTCTCTACGACGGTCTCGTCTAAACAGAATTCAAATGCAGCTACTTTGCGGCGTCAGTCCGGCCGCTCAGCTTGTACAGTCGACTCGCTTTGTAAATACCGACTCTTCTTCAACTCTCGGAAAAGTACCATAAACACAGCATGTATGTCTTACAGCACTCAGGCACTTCGATGCGGCTCCTTGTGTCCATCTTCTATGCCCGCAGTCTCTTCCTGTGGTGCTTGTAAGCTGGACGGGAGAGCAACTGGTCATTATCTGTGTCCGAAATGGTTTCAGGATGTAATTTCATTTTGATCTGTTACATCCTATGCTTTCAACAACTATCACAAGGACCGCTTTTCTCTCGGCCCAGTCGAAAATCGGAAAAGCGCGTGTGATGCGGAGCAAAGGCAGCAACGCTTTCAACCGGCTGCTCCGCGAAATCATACACACACTTGGCCCATCGCTTTTGTAAGAGGCCGACAACCGATTCACCCGAAAGTCACGACAACAGTCCGCACAACCAAGCTCGACACGCTTGCATCGACATCTTCTCCGCACCTTCTTCCCTTCCATCTCATCCGTCCCCACTCGCATCGACATCATACACGTACACCAGCATGCGTGCATCTCTAGTCAACCAGCTCCGAGTCCTTGTTCCCATCAAGAGGACCATCGACTATGGTAAGATTCTCTGGCGCACCGCTGTCGCATGAACACAGAATCAAAGAGCTTCACAGCGACAACTTACTGACCACTCGTTGCTCACGACTCTCTGCTCGTCTTGGTGTGCTACTCTAGCCGTCAAGATCCGTGTCGCCTCGGATGGTAAGGGCGTTGACCAGAATGTCAAATTCAGCATGAACCCTTTCGACGAGATCGCAGTAGAGGAGGCTGTCCGACTGCGTGAGAAGTACAAGGATGCCATCACCAAGATCGTACGTATCAAAGCACCTTAACTCTCGGCCGCATCATCCTTGCACGCTGCTAACTTGATCTTTGTCGTTTTCTCGTTGCTTTTACACAGACCGTCGTCTCCGTCGGCCCACCCAAGGCCGCTGATGTCCTCCGAACTGCCCTCGCTATGGGTGCCGACGATGCCATCCACGTCGAGGTTCCAGACAAGGCCAGCGCCAACCCACTTGAGCCCCTCGGTGTTTCGAAGATCCTTACCGAGGTTGTTAAGAAGGCTGGTGAGGAAGAGGAAGTCGGGCTTATCATCATGGGCAAGCAGGCCATCGACGACGATGCTTCGCAAACCGGTCAGATGCTTGCTGGTCTCCTCAACTGGCCTCAGGCAACATACGCTTCCAAGCTCGAGTTCCCATCCGGCAAGCCAGAGAAGGGCGCAGAGGCTCAGGTCACACGAGAGATTGACGGTGGTCTCGGCATTGTCAAGACCAAACTTCCATTCGTTATGACCACCGATCTTCGTCTCAACGAGCCACGATACGCATCGTTGCCTAACATCATGAAGGCCAAGAAGAAGCCATTCAAGAAGCTCAGCCTGAAGGACCTTGGACTCGAGGACGCGGTCAAACCACGACAGGAAATCCTCAAGGTTGCCGAGCCTCCCAAGCGTGAGGGTGGTGCTAAGGTCAAGGATGTTGACGAGCTCATTTCCAAGCTTAAAGAGGCTGGTCGCATCTAAACAGGTCAACGTAGCAGAGCATGAAACGCAGTTACAATGGTGTTGCGCGACGCCTCCATAGCAAGTTGTCAAAAGCATCACAAAGATCAATACTAGACTTGAAAACGATAACTCCCTCTCAGCAGTGTGCAGACTTCCAACAATTGCTCGGAACGTGGTGAGACTAGGGCCAGGGGTCAGTTCATGTTTGCGAAACCGACATTCGGTGTCAGCGTCCAGAGATTGTAGACCCTGCGGATGAAGCTGTGATATACTGTCGAACGGCTGTTCCCCGGCTTTGTGAGAATAGATCATGTCCTCTAAAGGGATAAAGGGCGTTTAGATGTATCATGAGAACAGGGTGCAGCGTGCGAACATTATTGCTTGCAGACCAGTCATAGTTCCGGTTGTCACCTTGGAAAAAGCAAAGTCACAGCCGGCGGTGGTTTTTGAGAAGAAACGCTAAAACAAAAAGCCACAGCACAGCGCACAAGCTAAACTAGAAAAAGTCACACAAAGTTGAGAAGAAATGGTCCGGCGTTCATCATCCGGACGCATTCTCCCACGGGTAGCCATTATCCCACCGTCCCCACCCTCCGCGATACCTCAACCTCAACAAGCCATCTAGAGGAGGACGACAGGATTGCACCCACGCTCCTTCCCCCCACGTTTCCAACTGACTTCATCTCAGAAACGGCGGCAAGATCACTTCTTGCTTCACTGCTCCGACCCTTCAAGCCCCTCAGCGACGGGAGTGAAAGTATTTGGACTCGAACACCTCTCTCTCTTGCCAACTTCCTTCGTCGTAGGTGGTCCCGTCTGGCAAAGGCATCATGTCGACATCTACCGCTACTATTCCGGCTGCCGCTGCAGCGACCGCCAACGGAGCTAACCATCACACAGCAGACACCTTCCGACCGCTCCTCAAAGCGCTCTCCCTCGCAGCATCCGTCCACTCGCAATCCGGCGAACCAAAACACAGGACCGGAACCTCTACCATCACTCATAACCAGCTCGAGCAGATTTTGCAGCATCTCGCCGACCCCAATTTCACCTCCTCGCGTGAGAACCATGCACAGATCGGATCCGCCTTGACATGTCTCAAGTTCTGCCGACTCGATATCCAAGCCGAAACTTTCGCTCTTGCTGCACGCATCTTCCTCGACTGCTGTCTCGACGTCTACGTCCCACCTCTTGATAACGAGACCGAAGAGTACACTGCCTCGTCACCTAGCGGAGCAGATGTAGAGTACCGCGGAACCCTCGATCTAGTCGGCACAGGTGGTGACGGCAAAGACACATTCAACGTCTCCACTACCGCTGCTATGGTCGCTGCTGGAGTCAAAGGCGTTCGAGTCTGCAAGCATGGAGCCAAAGCCTCTTCCTCTACTTCTGGCTCTGCCGATCTCCTCATGTCTCTCGGTATTCCTTTACTTTCCCTTCCAGCATCACAACTGCCATCAGTCCTGCGCAAGAGCAAGTTCTCTTTCCTCTTCGCCCAGCTCTACCATCCCGCCCTTGCACCTCTCGGTCCTATCCGTCGATCTCTGGGCTTTCCAACTATCTTCAACGTTCTCGGTCCACTCATCAACCCAGCTAAACCCAAACGCTGTATTCTCGGTGTACACAGCTACTACCTCGGTCGAATATTTGCTGAAGCTTTGTGCAAACGTGGTACTCAACGTGCTTGGATCGTTTGCGGTCAGGAAGGGTTAGATGAGATCAGTCCTGCAGGCAAGACGGATGTTTGGGAGTTGAAGGATGGAGAGATTACGGAGTTCACTATCGAACCTGAGGACTTTGGGTTGCAAAAACATCCACTGGAGCATGTTGGTTCGCACTCGGCAGATGAAAATGCTGCAATTGTGTTGAAGATGTTCTCCACCCCTGATTCTAGCTCGTTGCCAGAGGCGCCATTGGAGTTGAACATGCCTCTCGAGCCGGCAAACTTCCTCAACTTTGCCCCTGAAACTATGGTCCATGTCCGCTCCCTTCCTTCGATCCCAAAAACCGTCCGTTTGCAGGCGATCAAGGACTACACTCTGCTTCAATCAGCTGCACTACTGTACGTCGGTTCCTACGCAGGGTCGCTGAAAGAAGCGACAGTATTGGCAAGACAGTCGATAGAATCAGGCGCAGCATTGAGAGCGTTGGAAACGTTTAGAGACGAAAGCAGCTTGAGTATTGCAAGACAGGAAGAGGAGGAGAAGAACAAAGCCAAGTCGAGGAAGCAGAAGGAATCGCTTAAGGAGAGTAGAAAGAGCATCGAAGAGACGATCAAGGATCAGGATCAGTACTCCTACTTGCCCGAGATTCGACAGGATGCTGCTGTTGGTACCGACGACTAAGCTCACAAACCCATTCAATGTCACACAATCTGAACGCAAACATGATTGCATCGTAACATTCTTCAACCAGTCGACATTCATTTCTTTTATTTGTGTGAATCTGTGTGACTTTAGAAAGGCGCATACTCCTTGGGAGCAGCGATCTTTTCTGCTCTCTCCAAGTGACTTGCCCACAAAGGCCAGTTCAAACCTTCCTTCCCGATAAGCTTCAGCTCCAGCGCCTTGATCTTCTCCAACTCCTTGATCGAGTCGCCACTTCCCGCACCGAGTTCTTTCTTGAGCTTCTGCACAGCCTGGAAAGCCAACGCATAGCGCTTGTTGAGGATCGACCAGCGGACGTAGAGCTCAACGTACTCTTTCGCCTTGCTGTCAGCCGGGAAGTATTCGCGGTAGTTCTTCCACACCTTGTCCAGGTCAGACGAGGAAGGGGAGGACTCTTCGGCCTGAGTCATATAGACACGAGCTTTACGGTTGAGTGCGAGAACTAGAGCTTTCTTCTTCTCTTCCATCTCTTTGTTGGTCTTCTTTTCTTCATCGGTCTGTTCGGATGCAGAGGGTTTCTGAGTGGCCAGCCAGAGCTTGACTTCAGTCTCGTCAATGAGTGAAAGCACCTTGTCAGCAGCAGCAATCACGTGCTTCTGCTTGTCTGCATCCTTCTCGTCAGCATCGAGCGCTTCGAGCTTAGCCACGAGGACACCAAGGAACTTGGGGTAGTCGGCGATAAGCTTGTCCATAAACTCGAGCTTCTCCTTGGGATCCTTGATCTTCTTGGCCGTCGCTGTGAGCAACTCCGGGATCTCGTTCTCGTTTTTGCCACCAGCGCCTGCATCATCGCCGCCCTCATCTTTCTTGACGGCGGGAGGAACGATGTATCGGATCTGACCCTTGCCTTCAGCAGCAAACCCGAACGATCCCACCAAGACATCTCCAGGTTGCGCTTCCTTCGGCACGGCATCGCCCTCCAAATTCAAGTCAAGCGTCAAAACGATTCGCTCGCCAGGGTGCAGCTTCAAACCATTGTACTTAGCGGGGGTAGCTTCTCCGTGCAAATCAACATGATTGTCGTAGAGCTTGAGCGCAGCCGACTCGGGCTTAGACAGCTTCTGGTCGATCATCAAGGTAACGTTCTTGAGCGTCTCGAGCACCTTGAAGTTTTCATTGAGAAGTTGCGCCTTGAGCACGTATTCACCCTTGGGAAGCTCGACCTCCTTCTTATAGACATCGCCGAAGTGGACCCGCTTCTTACGGAAGTCAAAGAGTTGAGTGAGCAGTGGTACGCTCGAGTCGTACAAGTGATTTCCGAGCGCAGGGAACGAGTAGCTGAGCTTGTTCGACTCCTCCTTGGCGGAGATATTGTACGTCGTGACGAGCTCAAACATGTGGTTGCCGCTTGGCTGGACATCCCTTGGTGTGGTGAGTGGTCGGATGGTGGACGATGTCGGGCGGTGGAATGTTCGTCGAGTATCGAAGGAGATGCTGGGCTTGAGCTCTTCGATGCGAACGGTCGATTGACACTCGATCTTAGCATGGCCCTCACCACCGATCAAGGTGAGCTCCTGACGCCCGCTAGCAGGTATGAGCGAAGCACTGATACCGTGAAATTCAATGTCAAGGTCAAGATCAAAGGCCGACTTGTTGGACCAGAACTGAGCGGAGCAGACCTCCATGGTCATACCACCACGTACGTTGAACTTCTTGATGACTGGCTCGTTCTCCTGCAGCGCGAGCACGAATGCCTTCTCGACCTCGCTCAGACGCTGCAGTGGCTCAAGCTGGACACAGTGGAGCCAGAAGCGTGCGCTAGTACCAGCAGACGAGTGGTTGGAGCTGCGAACAGTGAGCGAAGCCCAAGTAGCACCTTCGGGAACGTGAACGAATCGCCTCTCAATCTTGCCTGCCTCGAAGCGGACAGTGTCGAACTTGACGGTAGGCGAGGGGAAGACCTCGGGCTTAGCCACGGTGACGGGGATGTCAAAGAGTTTGTGACCAGGCTTCTCGGTGTCGTAAGCCTCGATCCAAGCATGGTGGAGACCAGGAGCGAGATCGGTGGGGTCCACCCTGACCTCGAAAGTGCGGCCGTTACCGCCGAGGAGCAGGAACTCGGGCACCTGGACCCATGGTTGTGTAGCGGCGAGCGCACATCTGAGCTCAAGGTTGAAGGTCTTCTCCGTTTCGCCAGCTTTGAAAATGGGTCGGACGGTAATGTTGGTCTGCTGCACAGAGTGAGTTTCGTCCCTCTCGCGAAGGTAGATACCTCGCTTGTCAAGGCGGCCGAGAGGTTTGCCAGCACGAGTGACAGCAACGCGATACTCGGCATCCTGATCAACGCGGTCCTTGTTCTGCACGAGGTAGTCCCAGGCAGCGTCAACGCGGATGAACGGTACATCCAAGGGGTCGTTGACATCCTTGCCCGTTACACGAACAGCGTTGAAGACGCGAGCAGGGGTAATAGGGATCTTCTGAGCCTTGAGACCAGAGAGAAGCAAAGCGATCGAGCCGCATGCGTTTGGCGAGCTCATCGATGTACCGTTCATGAGTTGTGTCGACTGGAGACAGTAACGTGGGATGGAAGTGATAGCAGCACCGGGAGCGTAGATGGAGACACCGCGGTCACCGTCAGCAGTTGGGCCGCGACTGCACCAGGTGGTGACACTGTCTGGGACGCCCTTCTCGACAAGAGCATACTCGGCCTTCTGCATGGCACCTGCATTGACGTAGGCGCCGACACTGAGCACAGAAGAGGTGGTACCACCTGGCTGGCCAACAGTGGTCAGGGCGGGACCGTTGTTGCCGGCACTGCTGACGAAGAGAATGTCACGTTGACGAATGACAATGTCTCTAAGTGCCTTGGCAAAAGCACCCTTGTCCTCGGTACCGAAAGCACCATCTTCACCGTAACTGAGGTTGGCGATGTCGCACTTGGTGTCAATGAGCGCCTGTGCAGAGCGGAGCATAGCCTGACCTTGTTCCATGCTGCCAAGTCGAGCATCACCGATCTTGAGACTGACAATCTCGCATCCAGGGGCAACACCGTTGAGCTCGGGCTGGTCGTCGTGTCGGGCACCGACGATACCTGCTACGTGAGTACCGTGGCTGCCGGCAAGCGTGACGAGACTGAGAACGTTGCCGTTGTCCTCGATGTTAACAGTGTAGGTGAGCAAATCCTGCTGGCCAAAGCTCTGCCATTGACGCTCGATGCGGAAGTCAGTGATGGGCTCGATGGTGGTAAGGTCAAGAGTCTGCAGCTCGAGAGGCTTAAGAACATCCTCTGGCTGACCATTGGAGGGATCATGCGTCTCGCCTTCACCACCTCCAACAACAGCATACCAGTTCTTGCCGTTGTGGAATACGATGGCCTCGATGAGCGGGCCGTCGTCCTTGTAAGAGGCAGCAAGGTCCTTGAGTGCCTGGATACGTGCCTTGATCTCGTCCTTCTTTAATTTGGCATTCTCGGAAGGAGATTCGGTCTTGTCTGAACCTTCTTCAGAAGATTTGGAATCTTTCGATGCGGCGGGGCTGTCAAGAGCGTTCAGCTCACTCTGTGCTTGGCAAAGGAGAGCCTGGTGGGAGACGAGGAAGGCCTTCTTCCTCTCTGCAGAGCGACGATTCTTGAGCTCGCCGGGCCAGAGATCGTAAGCTTTCTTGAAGCCGATCTTCCATTCGCCCTTGGGATTAGAGAGTTTGGAAGAGACACGAATTGTTCGTCCAGTGAAGGGCGACTTGAACTCAATGTGTCCTGCCGAGCTGCTGCCAGATGACGAGACAGGCTCGATGGGTTGAAGAGGGACATCGCCAGCACCAGTGCAGTCGATCACATCGACAACCTTTCCTGGCTGGTTAAGCCCAATGGCAGCAGGGTCAACACCAGTGTCAAGGATGGCGACACGAACGTTGCGACCATCGTATTCGGGATACTTGCGGAGGAAGCTGAGCGCCTCTGTGGTGTCTTTGGGAAGCAAGCCACCCAGAGGGAAGGATTCGCTTGGCGCAGCACGAGCAGATGGCATTGTGGAGGAAGTAGACGTAGCGTCGATGATCGAAGCGGAGCGGCGGAGGTATGGGGTGGTTGAGAGAGATCGAGTGGAGGAGGTACCTGTAGGGATAGTGATCGCTGCACGAGCCGAGAAACGACGTGTGTACGTAGCTAACGAGGTGGATGAGCGGGGATATGATGCGAAGCGAGCCTTGTCACGAAGCAGACGTGGAAAGGCAAGGATGCGCGGCTGTGAGAGAGGAGCAAGGATGGAAGGGTACGGTGAGCAAAGACAGTCTTTTCAACAAGAACTTCAAGCCAGACTTGGCATGTCCGGTACTCACCAACTGTATCATGCCCCAAAGCTGCGATGCTCGTCAATGTGTGTGATATGATATCGAGACAGGAAGAGAAGTATAGCAATGAGGGGAGGGAGGAAGGAAGGCGTGCTAGTGTGCTAGTGTTGGTTTAACTTAGTGTGGCTCGACCGTCCTGCGCAGGAAAGTGTGCGTTACATCTCGGTCTTTCTCCGGCCTCAGCTTGACCCGATTACCTTCACATCCTGGTTGCTGTTTGCTGTGATAGGCTCGCTAACCACAGAAAAGGCCACGACATCGCTCTTGACTGATCGCGTCAAGTCGAGTTTGTTACATCTTCTGAAGGGCACATGGTAAGAAAAAGAACAAATCTCGGAACTCGCTCTTTGAGTCTGTCTGAGTTGAAGATGCGTCGGCATCTCAAGTAAGATGCACATGTTACGGCCGAGACATTGAGACACGGGAGGCTCACGTAAGCGAGAAGTACAATGAGGTACGTAATTGTTGTCATGGTGACAGCACAGTGGCACCCGGTATCATAGCAACACAGGAGTACAAATGAAGAGACACATCCTGCCTCGAATAGGACCAGAGCAGTGAATGGAGTATATATATGTGTTTGTCATTCAGTCTCACACCATGAAAACCAAGCATTACATAGAACATATGGCTGTGGTAAAGGGAGTCTGATCGTGACCCCGATAACGCCGTATATTAATTGTTATCTTCATTTGATTAAGAGTCTGAAGAAGCCATCACCGAGCTAACCGAAACTCGCCGACAACCATGGTAGAAGACACCGAAACGAGGACTAAAGGAAGCAGAAAAGGCAAGAACACCCAGGTTCGGGTCGATAATAATGCCACGAGCGAGAACGAGCTGGAGGCCATCAATGATGAAGCCGACGAAGACACTGATTCCGACTCCGACTTTGATGATGGCGACAAGCGATATAACTTTCGCACCCTAGCAAAGCTCCTCGAACCCGTGCCAAAGCTCACATCACGAAACTATCATAGCTGGAGCGCTCATGTGAAATCTTTCCTCCGATCCGTGCCTCATGTGATGAAACATCTCGAGGGAACGTACGACAAGAAACACCCGAAATGGAGCCGCTCCCTCGACGATGCTTTAATCAATGCCCTGCGTGGAACAATCGACACTACCGGAGAACACAATGTAAATTACCTCGTTCTAGATGTAATCAAGGAGTACCTTACTTTCAACCAAGTGTGGAGAAAGATCGAAAACGGTCTCACGAATGAAGCCACCAAGACGTCTCACAGACTTGCGCTTATCTCGCAACTCAACGATACAAAGATGTTTAACTCGGACGCCAGAAAGCTAATTCAAGAGATCCGGTCCATACAAACCGAAAGCAGCCTCCTCGGCAAACCATTCGCCGATGATACATTGTTCTCGGCTCTGCAGAAATGCACGATCCGGCATCCGGTGTACAAGGAGACGGTTGCCACCGTCCATCAAATCGATTTCAACGCCCTTGCCACCGCACTAAGCATCCAGCAGACTGCTGTCGAGAGCGTCCCCGCACAAAGGATCGACCCTCGACAAGCCAGTGCTAGAACCGCCGGCAACGACGATCAAAACGAACGGGCCGGAGAGACCGAAGCCGAAGCCGACAACAGCCACGCGAGCTCGAGGAACGCAAGCAAATCACACCGAATCCGATGCTGGGTCTGCAAGCGACCGGGACATGGTATCAGTCAATGCGACGCCTTGGTTACCATTCCCAAGGACTCCCCCCTCGCTGAACCTAAATAGGAAGTGTGGTGCTCCCTCACCCTCCCAATGAAATGGCAGGACCCCTCGAACACAAAAGAAACAGCTCATTGGATCTTGGACTCGGGGGCGAGTTACCATATGGTGAACGACTACAGCATGCTCATCCACCCGAGAACTTGCCGAAAGCGGATAATTACCGCCGGAAGCGAGGTCTTGGAAGCGGCAGCTATAGGAGATGCAAGCATATCAACAGATTACAGGGAAATCTCTCTGCAAAATGTATTGTATGTAAAGCACCTTAATGTTAACCTTCTGTCAACAAATTCATTAACGGATGAAGGAGCACGAGTGATATTGGACACAACCGGCGGCCAAATTTTTCTAACAAATGGCATGACACTTAAGATTGCAAAGAATCGCGAGCGAGGACTTCTGGAGTTCCGAGGTGACACATGGCAAGAAAGCGCGATGGCCACATCAGCACCATTGTTTGAAGGTGTTGATGAGGAGTTCGAGCATATTGAGAATGAGCTGAAAGTTTCAAAGCAACAACTATGGCATGAGCGTCTCGGGCACCCAGGAAGAGACAAAGCTAAGGCGATCACAACCAAGTTAAAGGATAAGCATACCATGAAATTGGATCCAAACACCGCTCTGACATGTGAGCAGTGCATACGATCCAAGAGCACAAGCACTCGGATGGGGAAAGGTAGCAGCGAAAGAGCCGTAGGGCCCCTGGATCTTATCCACGTTGATCTAATAATAGACTCGTCCCACGTGACGGAGTACACATGCACGTTGGTGCTGGTCGACGATCATAGCAAGTATGTGTATGCACAGCCATTGACACGAAAGAGTCATGCCTTTATGCAACTTAAAAGGATTGTTTCGTTCCTGGAGACACAGACGGATCGGAAGCTAAAAGCGATCCGATCCGATCAAGGAACGGAATGGAAAAGCAATGATGCATTAGAATGGTCGTTAGAAAAGGGCATAGAGTGGCAAACCACCGTAGGGTACAACAGCAAACAAAATGGACGGGTAGAAAGAATGAACAGGACCCTTGGAGAGAAGATGAGAACGTTGCTAATGCAGAGGAGACTACCGAAGAAGTTCTGGCCATACGCGATCAGAGCTGCGGCGTTCAAAATAAACCTCACTCCGAGCGTTGATAATGAATTCCCTTATCAAGCGATGTTTGGCAAGTCGCCGGAACGAGCTTTAAAGCTCCTACGAGTGTTTGGTTGTCTGGCATGGGTAAACGTACCCAAAGTTAAACGGGACAACAAGAAACTGGACCAGCGAGCCGTCGCATCCATTTTCTTAGGGTACAGTCTAGAAAGGAAGGGCTGGCTCTTCTACAGCCCGGACTACAATCCGAACATCTTCTGGAGCAACTCAGCAAAATTCATGGAATCAAAGTGCTGGTCAGACAGAACAGAGTGGCGACCGGTTGACACAAAGGCACCCCCAATGATGATGACAGAGGAAAATTTCGAAGATCTAGGATACAATAAAGAAAATATATTCGACGAAACAGATGAAGAGCCACTACAAGAATACATGGATATGGAGACAGACTCGGAAGAAAGATTAAGCGAAGGAACAGCGGAGGTGATGGAACAAGGACCAATCGCCGAAACTCAAATTGACAGCGAATTCTATGGACTCGTAGCGACGTGACCGGAATGGAGAAAGAACCTGGACCCAACCATACATGAAGCAATGAGTGGAAAGGACAGAAAGCACTGGGAGGAGGCCATGCGAAAGGAGCTGGATGGATTGGAGGCGATGGGCACATGGGAGATAGTCGACCTCCCAAAGGGTGCAAATACTGTCAACACACGTTGGGTACTCAAGATCAAAACCGATGCAAACCTCGTGCCGACAAAGTTCAAAGCCCGGCTCGTGGCATGAGGTTTCACTCAACGCGAGGGCATCGACTATACAGAGGTCTTCGCACCAGTAGCACCCATCCAATCCATTCGAGGGGTGATCGCTGTCGCAGCAGTACGAGATTGGGAAATGGATTCTATTGACGTAAAGCAAGCGTACCTGAACTCCACTATACACCATGATGTATACCTCAAGCCCCCAGTAGGAATCAAAATACCACCCGGAAAAGTGTTGAAGGTAGTGAAAGGACTGTACAGTCTGAAACAATCGGGCCGAGAATGGAACATTGAGTTAGACTCACATCTCCGGATGATCGGATTCCATTGCATGCCGAGCGCACCATGCCTATACTCAAGAGGGACAGGCGACAAGATCACGATCATCACAGCATACGTGGACGACATGCTAATAACATCACCCAGTTGTGATGAAGTAGATCATGCAAAGCGAGAGATCATGGACAAATGGGAGACGCAAGACAATGGAAGGGTCAAAGAATTTCTGGGTATCAAGATCACACGTGATAGAAGACGGAGGAGGATATCTCTGGGTCTAACGGCATACATCAAGGAAATGGTGAACAAATGGTTAGGAGGAGCAAACGAGAAATCTTGGGTACCCATGCTGAGTGTAGCGAATGTTGCCGGAGGTGAGCGATGTGAACCTCAGCGAGCAAAGAAGTATCAAGAATTGGTCGGCCAACTATTATGGGTCTCCAACACAGCCTGACCAGATATTGCCTTTGCTGTCGGCGTATTGGCGCGATATATGTCGATCCCGATCGACAGTGCATGGAAGGCAGCCATCCACGTGGTAAAGTACCTGAACCAAACGAGCAAATATCAGTTGCACCTAGGAGGGGAGACAAACGAGCACTCGGATACACCGGTAACGACGTATACCGACGCAAACTGGGCATCCGACCCCACAAATGGACGAAGAAGCACCTCGGGGTCGATAACATATGTATATGGGTGTCCAGTGAGTTGGAAATCACATGTTCAGAAGTGTGTGGCATTGTCAGCAGTCGAAGCAGAGTTTGTCGCCGCTTCCGAAGCGGTGCGAGAAACCTTATTCTTCTCATATTTGCTCCGGGATTTGGAGACCATGGACATTCGGCCCGTACTATACACAGATAGCCAGGGGTGCATACAGGTGAGTAAAGATCCAGCCAAACATTGGAAGTTAAAGCACATCGACACACGGTATCATTTCGTTCGCGATCACGTACAAGAGGGTGATGTGGAAATCAAATATGTCGGAATGGCAAACAACGTTGCAGATGTCTTGACAAAACCCTTACAGGGTCTTAACACCTCACGATTGGCTAGGATGATAGGACTGGAGATCCCGCCGAAGGGGGGAGTTGAAGATGTGTTGGCATCTCAAGTAAGATGCACATGTTACGGCCGAGACATTGAGACACGGGAGGCTCACGTAAGCGAGAAGTACAATGAGGTACGTAATTGTTGTCATGGTGACAGCACAGTGGCACCCGGTATCATAGCAACACAGGAGTACAAATGAAGAGACACATCCTGCCTCGAATAGGACCAGAGCAGTGAATGGAGTATATATATGTGTTTGTCATTCAGTCTCACACCATGAAAACCAAGCATTACATAGAACATATGGCTGTGGTAAAGGGAGTCTGATCGTGACCCCGATAACGCCGTATATTAATTGTTATCTTCATTTGTCTGCGAAAGAGCACATTTTCTTCCTGATCTTGTGCCCTCCTGGAAATTTTCTGAAATTTTTGAGCTTTTGACGCAGAAGAAGACCCTTTGCTGTCCCTTTGCTGTCCAGCTCTTTGCTGCTGTGGAGTGCCTCTCACGGCTGAACCTGCTTCTACACCTCGACCATTCCTCTGCCTCCCTTACCTTTTGGTTAACAACCACACCATCAATCTTGTCGAGATGCCGCCTAAAAGGTATTTCGAGCAGGATGAGGCTTCCCCGGAGGTGGTGGCTACCTCTCAGCTCGAGGTTGCCCATGCCACTGCCTCCACCGAATCCCCCAACAAGAGCAAAAATCGCAGCCACAACAGGGAGCCTAAGGTCAACTCGACCCTCTTCATCTCGAGACTTCCCTACACGGCGACAACAACCGACCTGCAGACCATGTTCAGTGAGATCGGTCCACTGAAGCGAGCCTTCGTCGTCACAGATCAGGAAACCAAGAAGTCCAAAGGTGTTGGTTACGTCACATTCGCCATCCCTGAGGATGCCAACACCGCCCTTGAGCAGCTCCAAGGCAGTTCGCTCGATGGTGGAAGCAGAAGGATTCAGATCACATTCGCCGACCAAAAGGACCCAACCGGCAACAAGCGACCCACTGTCAAAGCCGATCCTGACTCGCCCTCCGCCTCCAAGCGGCCTCGTACAGATGCCTCCAAACCACCTCGGTCCATTGCTGCAATCCGCGAGAAGGATGCTGATGCTGTACGAACTGTCATTCTGTCCGGTCTCGCCGGCTGCAGTCCCGCCCCAGACTCCAAGCAGATCTATAAGCGAGCCCGAAAGATTGGTGACGTCGAGAATGTCATCTACCCATACACTTCTTCGCCAAACCCCGACGATGTCGCTCACGTCATCTTCCGCACACCCAACCACGCCATGACTGCGGTCGAGAAGCTTCACGCCCATATCTTCAAGGGCGTTCAAATCAGCGCTATCCTAAAGAAGCGTGCCGACAACGCTGCCAAGATTGCCGCACACATGCGTCCAGAGACACTCGCAAAGAGGGAGAAGATGCGCCAGGATGTCGAGAAGAACAGTGGAAAGGGCTCCATGCCAGTATTGCTGTCCGATATTGACAAGTCCAGCAGGCTCATCATCCGTAACCTGCCGTTCGATGTCAACGAAGCTGATCTGAGATCCATCTTCTTGCCCTTCGGTCCGGTCTACGAGATCACTATTCCCAAGGTCAAGGCCAAGACTACCGCTGCTGAGGAGACAAAGGTGGTGAAGGAGGAGGACACAACTGTAGAAGCAGAGGCGATCGATGTTGATAGCGACAGTGATGACGACGATGACTCTTCCGAAACAGGCGCATCAGAAAGCGAGGCTGAAGAGGAAGGCGACGAGGAGGTGCTCGATGTAGATGACGCAGACGAGCAGAACAGTGATGCTGAAGATGCGGATGAGGACAAGGAGGAAGAGGACAGCTCTGCTGCTTCTGAAGTTGAAGCCGAAGCTACTGCTGCTGCCACAGACGACATAGTCGTCAAGACAGAAGAAGATGAGAGCATCGATACTCTCGCTGCGCCCGCCGCCAAGCCTACTCCAGCCGCACCTGCACCGAAGCCAGCTGCCGAGAAGGGTCGTGGTTTCGCCTTCGTCTGGATGGCTTCTCGTAACGACGCTGCTCGTGCCATCGAGGCAGTCAACGGCAAGACCATCCAACACGGCGCTGCTGAACGTGCCGCCTACAAGGCTGCTCTCGGCTCCCGTGGTCGTCGGGTTGCCAAAGCCGCCCTCGACCGTGTCCGTGAGCAAGCCCAACCGGAGCGTGTTGTCGCTGTCGACTGGGCACTCAGCAAGAAGGATTGGGAGGCAAAGGCTGACGAATCCGAACCCGAAGACGATGCAAAGGACAACGACAAGGCCGAAAACGGAGCATCCGGGGACGAAAACAATGATGAGCCAGCTGAGCGACCCAAGCTCCCCGCACCCGAAGAAGGTACCACCCTCTTCGTCCGCAACTTGCCATATCAGGCCACCGAAGAAGAACTCCGCAACCTCTTCCGCACCTTCGGTCCCCTCCGTTATGCTAAGATCACGATGGACAAGACTACCAACCGCAGCAAAGGTACTGGATTCGTTTGCTTCTGGCAGGCCGATTCTGCAGAGGCAGCGCTTGCTCAAGCCAAGATCATTGAGCGCGAATCTGGTGTTTCTGGCTCCTCGTCCGCTCCCACCTCAGTCGCGAACCAGAAGAACCCCTTCGCAATGCCTTCCGTCCTCACTGCCGACCCTGCCGCCCCCCTCACCGCAAGCTTGAACCTTCACGGTCGTGTACTCAACGTCATTCCCGCTGTCGCACGTGATGAAGCGTCGCGCCTCGAAACTAGCGGCCGCAAGGAGCGTGAGAAGGGCGACAAACGTAACACTTGGTTGCTGCGCGAAGGTGTTCCCTTCCCCAACTCTGACTTTGCCGCCAAACTCGCACCCAGTGAAGTCGAGAAGCGTCTTCAATCCTTCCAAGTTCGCAAGGCGCAGATGGGCGCCAACCCCTCGCTCTTTGTCAGCAAAACACGTCTCTCTGTTCGTTCTTTGCCGCTGTTTGTCTCTGACCGCATGCTCAAGCGTCTCGCTATCCATGCTATCAAGGCTTTCGCCGCCGAAGTCCGCAAAGGCGAGCGTGAGGACTTGGATGCAGACGAAAAAGCCGATCGCACCGTCAGCTCCTCTGTGGAGAACAGAAAGAGGAAGCCTGGAGAGCGACCCACCGCTGTGGTTCAGTCCAAGGTTGTCCGCCAGCACGACCGAGTGGAAGCGTTGACAGGAATGGGCAAGTCGAAAGGTTACGGTTTCTTGGAGATGAAGTCGTACAACGATGCACTGAAGGTGATCCGTTGGGCGAATGCCAATAAGACCGTCTCCAAGCTCTTCGGCGAATGGTGGACCGATGATCTGCAACAGCAAGTTGACCGTATTGCCACCCAGGTTCACTCCAAGACCAAGACTCTCGAGGAGAAGAAAGGTGAAGAGGCGGATGCATTGCGAGCTGAGATCGAAGAGCTCAACACGCGTCGTCAGCGTCTGCGTGCTAAGCTTGCTGAACTTGGCGAAAATGGCACCGGCGCAGAGAAGGAGAGAGGAGGAATGCTCATGATCGAATTCGCCATCGAGAATGTCGTCACCACCAAGAAGAGAGCAAACAAACTCAAAGCGATCAAAGAAGGCGCTGAGCGAAGAAAGCAGAGAGAGGAACAGGACGCAGAGGCCAAACAGGAGGAAGCTGAACAAGCGAGAAGAGAAGCTCAGGCTGCTCGGAAGATCGAGGCCGAGAAGAACAAGCCCAAGGGTTATGCACATGGTCATGTAATCGGTAAAAAGAGGAAGGAGAGGAAGGCGCGAAGGGGTTAAGCGTGCATGAGATTTCTCTTTGCATGCTTTCATAGTCATCATTCGTTTCAGTTGAACACATCTTCACATCATTTGTTTCTCAAATTGTTCTTGTGAAACTGCGCTGTGTGTATATAGCATTATCGGAACCAATGAAGTGTGTATCTCGTAGACACATTTTGTAGAGGTGTGTGAATGATGTTATTACCACCATCCTGGACCCGTCCCAGACTCTGGCCCTTCTTTATCCGCCGCATCAATGATCAATCTGAATTCTCCTCCGACACCCTGCGGCATCAAGTCTAAGGCTAGCATCCTCCTCTCTAACCCATCTTCTGCCGTGAAGTGTTCCCTGACGGACACCGCCGCTGCTGCGGAACCTAGCACATTATTGATGACCACGCCTTGTGTGAACATCTTGTTATAGTCGAGGTAGAGATGTATTGTGCCCGGCTGCATGATAGTGGCATGAATCGAAACTTGTCGCGTCTCGGGGTTGCATGAGAGGTACTGAAGTGCAATGCGACCTTGTCTATCAATGAGGACAGGTGGCACGCCAAAGATGAGAAGCATATCTCGTAGTCGGACGATACTCTTTGGTAGCTCGCTATGCAGTGTAGAGAGAATGTAGTTGGGAATAGCCGCTGCGAGGTCGACGTGGCCAATATAGGTGATATCGCATCCTTCGTCTCTGCTTTCCAGATAGAATGCCGCTTTAAAGACCTTAGCTCGAACACAACCTTCGACTTGTGCAGGAATGCCCGGGACCTCATCAATACTCTGGTAGCCGAGGACCATGTTGGTGGTTGTGAAGTCGGGGATCTTTTGTAGGTTGCCTGCTGCGTCCCAACATCGTAGTGCTTGAAGACCGCAAATGTCTCTTGGTTTGTAGATGGGGCCGATTCCACGCCAGACGAGATAGAAGAGGAATTCGTGCATGCTGAAAGAGCGCATGATGTGTGCCGACTGGACTCGGATATCCCACATCATGCGGAAGCCAGTCATACGGATACCGGTAAACACTTCGAGTGGGGTGAGGCCCGCAGCATGCGTTTTGCCGCGGAACATGGGCATGACTGAAAAGGGCTCATCGGGCTTGCGTGGATAGATGGCGATCTCGCAGCCGTTGGCGGTGCCACGATCTTCCCAGCCACCTTCGGTCTCCTGACGTAAGGAGAGGATCATGGACATGAGCTTTTCTGCTACATCTTGCCAGTCATTCTTCCAGTAGCCGTTTTCGGCGGGTCGTTCAGGGATGATGGCGACGTTACCTGGCGCGCTCATCTTGTTGATATGAAACGCTTCGTGCTGCGCTGCTCTGTCTGTACTGTCGTGCGCTGTGCTGCCTCGTATACGTTGGTATCGTGATATAGTAGCTGGGAGTGTTATGTGCCAAGAGACTATTCGAAGCTAGTTCCAGACTAGCATGTCGAATCGCCTTGAGTTAGTTGACGGGAAGATAGAGCACAAAAGCTTGGAACTCGGTCTGACCAACCTGAATGTCTCGAGTCGATGTGATACTTGGACCGTGATGAGCCGTTTGGCAGCTTGTTTACGCAAAAGATTGTGATGGTGATCGTTCGAACGGAAGGTGATGGAACAAAGGGAAAGATGCAACAGCCGTCAGCGTGGCGTGAGAGAAAGAAAGCAAGGTTTAAGCGTGGGAAAGGTCTCTTCAGAAGCGCCGAGGAGTGATGTACAGTACTGTATTGTATGAATGGATGAATGGAAGCGAGAACCATGCGTCTGTAAAAGGGTTTGCGAAGGTTTCAGATAGTCAAGAGGGCGCGGGAGTTCTGCTGTAGCAACAACGAGAATGCGAGCTCGGTTACAATAAGCGTACTTTGTGCATCAGCAATTGGAGTCACTTTTACCGCCGATACGGACCAAGCAGCAGGCGCACCGGGTCAACTGTAGCAATCAGCGAAAATAATGCGGAGAAGTCTTGATTTCTCGTCGATCCTTTTTTTTTTTCTTTTTTTTTTTTTTTCTTTTTTTTTTCTCCCTTTTTTCCTTCTCTTTTCTACGCTTCAAACACCCCTTTCTTCGCAAGAGACCAGAACCGTGCGTAGCATAAGAAGAGTGCGGCAGATCATTGCGCGAACTTACAAAATGGGTTCACGGTAGTTGTTCCGCCTGACCTTTATTTTATTTTATTTATTTATTTATTTATTTTGCCGAAGTTGAGCTCTTCTCGGATTTGAGCGAGGCCCCTCGTTCTCGTGTAACGTCAACGGGGTGAGGGTGCGAGCCCTCTCACGTTCAACAATCACTTTTTTTTTTTTTTTTTTTTTGGTCTCGTATACGGTTTGTCTCGGCCCCGAATCCAGCCCTGTGCGAATGCAAAGCCGTTGGAAGTCACCGGTCATCATCCTTCCGAAGCGACTATACGGCAACGACCGATTTCGACGTACACGATGGCTTCGCCACTAATGGAAAACCGAGCCGCTGCTCCTTGTTTGTCGGCGACGCCTTCGGCAAGAGCTCAGTCGTTTAGGCTGCATTCGTTGGCGACATGAACAAGGACAAGGCAGCCAGCACTAGAACAATCCAGTTTTTTTGGGTGGATCGGAAGGAGAAGGGAAGGACTATGCCCGATGATCGGGCTGGCCCGCTTCGCCCCGATTTGATGCTGACCAACGCCCCTGACGCTTTTCATCCACCAGCTGCTGTCGCGATCTATGCAATTTGACTCGGTCAGGGTCCAGCCGGTCCGTTCAGATCGACGACAGCAGGCTCGTGTGGAGAAACACCAACCATATCATCACCGACAGTCGTAAGGAATCTCTTATTGCACGCCATCGCCACGACGCTTTCCTTTCCAACGAACGACCCACAAAAGCGCTTTTCGATTACTTGCGCATCCCTGGGCTGTTGCGCGAATTGCAACTGCGCGCAAGCCCTAGCAGGCCGTCTAAGCCATATCCTCGCTTCCCATGCGTCCGCTTCGAGGTGAGGAGCAAGGTCTCCTCGCTCGATCCCACGATGGTCTCTCCACGCCGCTGTGGACGCCGACGCACGAAGATGGGCCTGCAGAGCTTCTCATCAAGACCGGTGTCGAAAGTGCTCCTGCTTGGAATCAGATGACATCAAGGCAACGCACATTGGTGTACGTCACTTTTGGCCTGCTTGGTATGGGCGTCTTGCTACCCTTCAACTCGCTCATCACGCCAGCAGAGTACTTCAGGTCCTCCTTTGCACACACACCGTACGCCAATACATTCAGCAGCTGGATCACTGTCTCGTATAACGTTATCAGCATCCTTGCCGGCATCCACGCGACTGCAACTGGTGGTTTCGAGCGATGTAGCCCTCGCCGAAGGATTACGCTCTCTTGCGTCCTCATCATCGCTTCGGTCTTCTGCTTTGCTCTCTCGACTAGATTCGGAGACTTCACAAATCGATCTGAACACCACGATGACGGCTCAACAGTCAAGCCCAGCAACACCTACTTCTATTTCACTTTGTTCGTCGGCGGCTTGCTATCGAGCGCATGCGCTTACCTACAGAACAGTGTGGTCTCGCTCAGTACTGCATTTGGTGCAGGTGGCTCCTTCATGGGCTCAATGCTTGCCGGTCAAGGTGCGGTGGGTGTGGGAATCAGCATCTTTGGCTTCGCTTCTGCTTGGTCGCAGCAGTCCGGTGCTGAGCCTGATCAAGGTGCTTCCGCTATGGACGAAACAGCACAAGGAAGCGCCCAAAGCATTGCTCGCGCTGCCACCCTCTTCTTTGGCATGAATACGCTTCTCATGATGGGAGTCCTTGCGGCATTCCTCTGGCTCGTCAACACGCCGTTATATACACAAGTGATGGCCAAGCAGATCGCCACCATCGACAAGATCGAGGACGAACGTGACGACGATGATGATGTAGAAGACCGTCTCGCTGCATCAGACCCTCATATGACACAGAGCTGGCACTCGGTCAGATCGATCTCACATCCTGCTTACAGCTCTTGGCTCAAGAAAGTGCCCGGCTTTTACCGATTGTCGCCGACAACAAGAGAGTCGTTGTTACGCATCTCGTTGGTACAATCCAAAGTCAAATGGGACTGCGCTGCGGTTGCATTTGTCTTTGTTGTCACACTCAGCATCTTTCCCGCACTCACCTCTTCGGTGCAGAGTGTCTACACCGGTGCGACAAAATCAGGGTCGAGTCCAGTCGACTTGACTTCACCACAGCTCTTCGTGCCATTCCACTTTTTCCTTTTCAACCTCTCAGATTTGCTAGGCCGAACACTGCCAAGTGTGGTACCAGCAGCATTGATACGAAAGGCAAAGGCACTGTTCTTGCTCTCACTGTTGCGATCGCTCTTCGTTCCGCTCTTCATGGCGTGCAATGTAGTGTCGACGAGTCAAAGGACAGGTCCGATCAGCAGAGCTAGCAACGGTGGGCGGCCAGATGGATGGCTCGCCGGGCTGATGCAGTCGAACGATGCTCCTTTCTTCGGGTTGATGTTGCTGCTCGGCTTCTCGAATGGACTTGTTAGCACATGCATCATGATCTCGGGTCCATCGAGAAGTAAGCTCGTCAACTCCAAGGGTGCCAGTGAGGGCCCTTTGGCGGCGACATTGCTTTCCTTCTGGTTGTGTGTTGGTCTGGCTATTGGAAGCGGGTTGAGTTTCCTCACTGTCAAGTCATAGATCGACTCTCTACATTACCTTCTCCTAGAGTGAACCCACTTCCGTCTCCAGGTCAGGACTTTCCGTACGTTAGATTTCATACATTGCAATTCAGCATCATTTGGCACCGATCTCAGTACAGAATGCGCTGACGCTAGTGTCCCACTAACGATGAGGGAAGAGCATCCTGAGATCGCCGTGGAGCACGTTCCGAAGGCGAAATTGCCGGCTTCTCCACGCTGACGCGCGCACGGTCCTGTATGAGAATTGGATGAGCCGAGAGGCTGTGTGTGGGAAATCGAGGTTGTAACTCCACTTTCGTTGGCTCTCCGCAGCTTGAGCTCGATTCAGGCACACACATCAGACTTGACAGCTCTTAGCAGATCCTCCTGAACCCTTTCCTTTCCTTCTCACATACCACCCATCCGTCTGCAATCCGCATATCCTTCCGCCTTTCTGATCACATCAGACCAGGGCAAAGGCATTCCCACCCTTCTCACCGTCCACAGAAGGAGCACTCCTCATCGGTCACCACTTCCTGGCTGAGTCCAGATCGCACTCACCAACATGACGGACGCTCACCAATCACCTTTGTTGCTGCTGCCTCTCAAAACGACAGAAGAAGTCGACCTGGGCTCAGCAGTCAAGTCGCTCATCTCTAACAGCTATGGTGAAGATCCAAAGAAGTACTCGGAACAAACCTCTACACTCAATCGTGCTCGTCAAGATGCCGTGCGAGGTGCAGCATCCGATGCAACAGGTCGTGATCTACTCTTCAAGTGGTTCCACATGCTCGAGATGCTCGAGCTGCGCTTCCCTGAACTCCGTGTTCCGTTCCTATGGAAGGATGCTTTCACGCAAAAAGCCATCTCACAGTCCAGCTTGGCTTACGAGAAAGCAAGTATCATCTTCAACATCGCTGCTACGCTCTCCTCGCTCGCATCCTCCCAGCCACGTATGTCGGGGAACGCTGACGGTCTCAAACGTGCCTACACTGCGCTGAGACAGGCAGCTGGAATGCTGAGCTACATCAACGAAAACTTTCTCCACGCACCAAGTACGGACATGAGCAAGGACGTCGTCAAGTGTCTCGTTGGCATCACACTCGCTCAAGCCTCCGAGATATTCCTGGAAAAGACGATCGAAGAGAAAAAGGCACTCGGTCTCATCTCCAAGCTCGCGAGCCAGACCGCTGCTGCGTACACAGGACTGGTAGAGGACACGCGCGAGAACGTCACAAAGGGTGTTTTTGAACGATCTTGGAGTTACCTCGTTCAGACGAAAGCGAAGCACTTTACTTCAGTCATGCAGTACTACAGAGCGCTCGCAGATGATGCTGCTGGATCGCACGGTGCTTGTCTTGTGCGATTGACTGTGGCAGAGACGGTTGCAAAGGAGGCACGTAATCTTGTGAATACATTCAACGCTTCTGCTGGAGCTAGTACTACGTCGGAACGTCCTTCGTTGCCTACAGATGCTGGATCTGCGCTGGTCGCTATCGTCAATGCTCAAGTCACACGTTGCAGCGAACGTAAGGAAACGGCGGTCAAGGACAACGATCTTATCTATCATGATATTCTCCCATCCGAATCCTCGCTTCCTGCTGTCGACAAGCTCGTCGCTGCCAACCCAATTGCGATCCAAGAGATCTTTGCAGCTCCCGAAGTGCAGCGCGTTATCGGACCCGATCTCTTCCAGAATCTCGTACCGCTTGGCGTGCATGAGAAGGCATCACTGTATTCGGAGGAGAAGGCAAAGATCGCACGTGCTGAATCTGAGCGTCATGATCTCGCAACAGGCGAGCTACAGGCTTCCCTCGATTATCTAGACTTGCCTGCAAGTCTCAAAAAGTACCGTGCACTAGCACAGGGTAGCGGTAGCAGTGCAATGCTGGACTCGCTCGCCGACCCTGGAGCAGAAGTTATGCGTTGGTCAAGCGAGGAAGCAGAAGGAGGGGGTGGCAGAGGTGCTGACGGTCTAGGTGTCGGAGCAGCTGGTGTTGACTCTGCGCTGCAAAAGATCGAGAATATGAAGTCGCAAGCAAAGAACGATATCGATGCAGCGCTTACCGCACTGGATGACGAGAATCGAGAGTGCGAGAAGCAACGTGTTCGATTTGGTCACAAGTGGAATCAAGATCCCGCCGGACTTCATACCAAGGACATGCGCACCAGCTTGAAGGAGAACAGGGAAGCTATGCTTCAAGCTTCACTGAACGATGCGCAGATTGGGGAGCTGTGGAGGTCGATCCGCGAAGATGTGCAGTTGCTGGTCTCGGGCAGAGAGGCGCTGGAAGCTGCTTTTGCTGCAGCGCTTACTGGTCAGACGGGATTGTATGGAGGATCGAACAATCAGACTTCGCTGATCGATGTTTCGGCAGAGGAAGAGCAGGCTACGGAAAGCGAGATCGCTTCGGTCAAAGCTAAGCTGACACAGATCGACGAAGCACTTCTCAAACTCAATAAGATCAAGAAGGAGCGCAGCGAAGTTCTCGCCGATCTCAAGGAAAAGATTCAGACCGATGACATCTCGCAAGTACTCGTCCTCAACCGGCGGGCACAGAACGTTGACTCTTCCATCTTTGCGGCTGAACTGGAAAAGTTCAAGCCGCACCAGAACAGAATTGCTGTCAGCTTGCACCATCAACAAGCATTGCTTGCCGAGGTCGATGCTGCGTTCAAGGAGCTTTCCGAGCTTCCGGCTAGCAAGGCCGCTGGTGCGAAGTGGGACGAGAAGGAAAAAGCGAGGAACAGATTGGTTGCTAGATTGAGGAAGGCTAGGGATAGTAACGCCCAGGTGAGGGCAGGGGTTGCAAAGGGTTTACAGTTCTATGAAGAGTTGGAGGGGATTGTGAAGAAGCTTAGGGGTGATGTGAATCGGTATGTCGGGGAGAGGAAGGTGGAGAGGCAGAGATTGATGAGTGAGTTGGAGTGGGAGGAGAAAGGAAGTGCTGGTGCTGGAGATCGTTTAGCATCGAGCATGGCTGGGTTGAGTGGGTTGGGCGGTGCCAGCGGTGGACCCCCGCCGCCACCGGCTCCTCATCGACAGACGAGCTCCAACTATGGTGGTAGTGCGTATGGAGGCGGAACGCCGGGACCGTTGTCGCCCGGCCCTCCGCCTCCACCCTTGCCCGGAGTACAGAGTTCGCACTCTGGCTATCAGCAGCCATCTTACCAGAAGCATCAGCCTCCTCCTCCGCCGGCCGCAGCATCAACGCACGACCCTTACGCATCGATGTTCTCTAGCGGCCCGTTCGGGGACAGCCGCGCTTCGCCTGCTCCCCAGCCTCCCCCTCAGCAGCAGCAGCGAGGTTTAGCTTCTTACGGTGGTCAGCTGGGATATGGCGGAGACAGCATGGCAGGCCACCCTCCTCGAGCACCATCAGGTGGAGGAGGCGTAGGGTTGCCTCCACCGCCTCAGCAGTTCCAGGCTAGCTTCTCTCCTGCACCTGCCGCTGCTTCGTCTAGTCAGAGTCGATTCACCTCGCCTCCTCCGCCAGCATCGCAAGGGTATGGCCAGCAGCACGGCGGATACGGCTCCATGTCACCCGTTCCTTCTCAGCAGCAGCAGAGCTACGGTGGAGGATACGGTGGACGAGACTACGCGTCGCCTCCTCCCCAATCGCCGTCGCACTACAGCGCCCCGATTCCTCAACAGTCACAGCAGTACGGTGGATACGCTCCGCCGTCGTCACAACAGCAGCAGGTTGGACACGGTCAACCGCCTCAGCATCAAGGATATGGCGCGCCTCAGCAGCAAGGATATGCGCAGCAAGGCGCGGGTCGTGGACCTCCTCCGCCGCCACCGCCCCATCAGCAGCAGTATCATCAGCAGGGAGGTTATCAGGGGGGATATCAGCCGCCATACTGAAGTCAGCACTTGAGCAGGTGTAGGTGCTCGTTGTGAGAAGTAATCAAACGTGATTTATCAAGCACCAGCAATTGCGATGGCAACGAACAGCAGTGTGCATGAGTTGTAGCCTAGACACCGTTCTACGCCGATTTATGATCATACTTCAACCCATCCAAACCCAACAACTGGTTCTCTGACCTCCTGATCCAAGTCTCGGTCGCCAATATCACCCCAACTACCGCAGGGGTAAGACTGAACCAACCGGCATTACTAAAGTTACCAGCTCCAAATACCAACAACGGCAAGGGACAGCTCCCGATGAACACAAACCACAAGTACAACAATCTTGGATTGCTCAGCATATCAGCGAAAGCTTTTGAATCCGAATTGGTTGCTTCAGGTGGTTGATCTGCCCTTTCGTTGAGTTTGATATTGTTTCCTGTAGAATAGCGGAGTTCGGAGAGTGTGCCGATGAGGTAACCTGGAGCAGTGCCGAAGGGGTGTGAACGGTAGAAAGCGGGGTTACGGTCCGAGAGCTTGGCGATGAATGAATCATGGCCCATAAGAGAGAGGAGTTCGAAGGATGCTAGGTAGAGGAAGTACGATTGGATGCCGGCAAAGAGGAGGTAGATGGGGAAGGCGGGGAGGTAGGTGAGATGATCTTCGGTGCCAATGACGTGAACTCCGTGGTGGAAGAGGGTGAGATGGTTTTCGGGGTGAGTGCCTGCGATGTAGGATGGGATAGGGGTGAGGTAGGCGATGAAAACGAGAATGTTCATAAAGAGGAGGGATGCTCGGTAGAAGTAGTTGGATTTGTCGTTGGAAGCTTTTAGTTCGCGAAGGAGTGATTCTTGTTCTTCGGTGGGGATGGGGTCGGAGAGATCATCGTACTTGTCGAGCGTGTCTGCGTGCAGACCTTTGGGGGCAGCTGCATTGCTGCGGGACTGCAATCCTGATTTCGAGGACATGACCGCCAGGGTGCTTGATGGGGGCGGTGGCGGTGGTGGTGGTGGAGAGAGGGGAGGAGAGAGGGGAGAAGAGGAAAAGAAAGGAGTAAGAAGAAGTTGTGTGTCTCAGGGTCTCGGTTGTTGTGTGTGTTTTGGGAATCGCATTCGCCAGATCCGAAGGTGTTGTGGTTTGGCGGAAATCATTTTTTGTTGAAAATAGCAATCCAATATGATGATGTAAGGTAACATGAGACGATACGGGAGGGATCGGGCGAAGCCGATCTCATCAGAGATCGGATACAACATGGTCCCGCTCGTTGTCAAGCATCGTCATGAAGGAGGATACACCCACATTCGGCATGTACCATCCAATTGTATATATATCTCACTGGGAGCGCTAGGCTCTCACCATGCTTCTCAGTCAATTGAGTATATATGTTTCTGTCTTCTAACAGCAGTGACATAGTACTCAGACTCTCCCCGATCGCCAGTTATCGGGACCAAACTTCTTTATATTTCAACATTTTTGTGTGTGCTTTTCGGCATGACCGCGTCACGATGTTTTGCAGCAGTTTACCGATCTCGGCTTCTAACATACCTCCACGGCCAGAAATTCTCCAACGCACGGTCACAAACCAACACCTCATTCTTGTCACCACCTTACTCCACCCCATCACATCCGCAGCAGCATCTCTTGGCTGCTTTGTGTGACTTCAAGCATGTCTGATCCAGCAGCAGCAGGTGCAGTTGCAACCGACGCAACACCTAACCTTCTCCACGTCCAGTTCAAGGACCCCGAGTTCCTCTCTTACCTCTCACACCTCCAGTCCACAGGCCAAGTCGCTCCACCATCCGATGGCTCCAAAATCGACCCAAATCATCCTCTCACCGAACACAATGTCATGGCGTACTTTGCGACTTCACCATTCTTCGATCGAAGGAGTAACAATGAGCAGATTCGCATGCAAAACATTGCGAACGGCATACAGAACTTGACAGGTGGGATGGGAGCAAGACAAGAGGAGGAAGAGTTGAAGAGATTCACAGGGTTGGAATTCGTGCTGGTACATAGTAGAGCACCATTGTGTTTTGTTCTTCAGAAAAGATGGAGGACTTCTGCTACTGAAAGTAAGTGCCACACAAGCAAAGGAACATGGACGAACGAGCTGAATGGAGAGCTGACATTAAATTCGTTCCGGATCTCAACAGCAACTCCCCTAGCGGCGTACTACATAATCAACGACTCAATATACCAAGCTCCAGACATGTACTCGATCCTGGCTACTCGACTGGTAGGTGCTTCTACTCGACTGCAGCATATCACTCCATGCCGACTTTGCTGACCCTGTTCATCCCTCTTCCGTCGCCCTTCGATATATTAGCAATCGACAGTCTACGGCCTCAAATCATCCCTTTCAGCACAACGTCGTGCTCGACCCTCTTTTGATCCTCGACGTGGTCATCACGGCAGATTTATTGTTCCTGATCCACCAACAGACTCTGCAACCTCTGGTGCGGGAAAGAATGGCAACAGCGCTACTCTCACACAGGAAGATGAAGAAGAGGAGGAAGAGGACGGTGCAGAAGCGCAGGGAGAGGACGATGAGATGGAATTCGAGGATGTAGCTGGGAACGACGCTCCACCAACATCAGCGGCGGGTGCACCACAGGTCAAGAGAGCACGATTCCATTAGAACTCGCAGCTACAGCTTCTTCTAGCCTTTCAGATTCGTCTCATTGTCATTCGTCACATTTGTATTTCTATCACACGCTGCAGTGCGTCACATGAATCAAATATACCCGCGCAACAACAGCGTTACAAGCCTTCAAACCTATCTGACAGACCGACGTCACATGATGGAGCGAATGCAGAAACAGAGCTCTGCAAAGAATTGATTCAGAAATGCGGTGTATATTCGTTGTGTTCGTTGAGAAGCGAAAGAAGGAAAAGAGAAGAATGAGGAGGTATGAGGGGAAGAGTTTGATTACACATCCAAAGTTGCGCCAGCGAACAACCTTCGAATCGACTTTCGACTGCCGAAGAATCGGTGTGATGAGAGCTTTCGGAAGGATCGTCAATGCAATCTACAATGCGCCTATGTCAATCCATGCGTTGTATAAAGATAAGGCTGCCCGAGCAAGAGGGCCTGATCTGGCCAGCGTGCGTTTGTCATTGATTGTTGGTCGTGAGGCTCTTACTTGAGCATGCATCCCAAGGGGTCGTCTTGCGAACGAGTGTTAAGGATAAGTGCAACGATCAAACCGTAAAGACCCAAAACCTCGGCGAAAATGAGGATTAAGATCATACCGATGAACAATCTGGGCTGCTGAGCGGTACCACGAACACCGGCGTCACCGACGATACCAATGGCGAAACCAGCGGCCAAACCGGCAAGACCGACCGAGAGACCGGCACCGAGCTGAATGAAACCAGCGTAAAGAGACATGGGTGTCTTGATGTCACCGGAGATGAGCACACTGACGACAAGACCGTAAATGGCAATAATACCAGCCATAATGACGGGAATAACACACTTGATCAAGAGATCGGGACGGAGGACACCCATGGCTGAGATACCGACACCGGACTTGGAGGTTCCGTACGAGGCACCGAGACCTGCAAATTTGGACCCAAAGGGTTGTGTGAACGATGCGTGAATTGAGAAGAGAATGAGGAAGAACGTCAGCAATCGATGTAAGACGTTGTTCGCGGCCGAAAAGGGTTTCAAGTACGTACAAGTGAAGACGATGGCAGCAGTGCATCCCTATTGTTGGTCGAAATAGAACGTGGAAAGGCGATGAGGATGATCAGTCAATGCTGTTCCGTCGAAAGAGGTGATTGATCCTGAACAAACCTAGTGTGCAACTTCTCTGCTTCGAGTAAGGCTTCCCAAATTGCACGCAACTACTGAATCCTGCTGCTTGCTCTTCAAGGTTCAGAGGCTCGAAGCACTTCCTGGTAGCAAATATATGCAAAGATCCTTCTGACTGTCGAGCTTGATTGAGCAGGAGGCTGGTGATTCAGATGCGTGGCGGAGATTTGCTGGTCATTGAATGACACTTACCATAGCGCCAAAGAATGGGGCGTAAACAGGGCAAAGCTCCGTGTTGATCTTGGATGGATCCATCTTGTTTGTTGTATATGAAGGTAGTGGCGGTGCGGTAAAAGGTGTCAGGAAAAGACGGTGAAGAAGAAGCGGTGGTGGAGAAAGAAGGAAAGGTGGAGATGATGATGACGATGCTGAGTGCAGAAAGTGGAATTGAGAGAGCGTACGCGTGTGTGTGTGTGTGTGTGTGTGTGTGCGTGGACTGGCTGAGACTGAGACTGCGACTGAGAGACAGAAAGACAATGTTGGCGAATTCCCAAGATGGACAACGGAATTCCCCAAGAAGCGGCGCAGGAGCCACCTTCCCTGACCAAAGCATCCTCTTCAGCTGTCAGACTCTCTCAGAAAGAGGGTTCGTTCGCAGCGCTTGGCTGTCTCCTGCCCCTAGCCTTGGCAGTGGTTCAAATTCAATTTTCTTTGTGTGTTCACCAGGCTGAGAGGCGCGCTGTGTTGGCTGTTTGCTTTGCTCAGGAAGATGGATCGAGAATACAATTTCACAAGTATCGATCACGACGACTTTTGTATTTGCATTTCAAAAACAAGGGGCTTTTTGCAGACCATTGTGCGTGATATCGGTGTAACAAATGCTTTCTTTTGTCAAACATCCTTCAATACCTTGGTCAAGGTATGCTGACATTGAGGTTTCACACGTCTAACACAGCAATGCGGAACGATTCAAGGATTGCAATGGTATTTTGATAACAGTTGCATAATAGAGATCGACTCATGCAGAATCATGAAGGGCGACACGGTGCTACTTCCTGCTGTTGGCAGTGCTAGGACGCGTTGCCATGCGTACTCGCATCTCCTGGTCCTCTTGTTTTAGGATTTCGTCTGGCTCACCACTGCCCCAAACAGGAGGCGCGGTCCACGGTGTGGACGTCACCCCGATATCCAGTCCAACCGATGCATCTCCTGCTGTATCTGGTTGCGATTGTGCTGATCCTCGCAGCGCCGCACCGGAACGCGAACGATGTAGCACCCAGTCCTCGCCATCAGCGGCGATCACCTCGTCCGGCAATTCGCGTCCGGCATCCTTCTTCGAAACCAAAGGTCTGGTTGACAAAGGTGTGGAAGGCGACCACATGGTTGCTGGAGTGACAGGACTATCCGCCCACTCGCTTTGGCGGCTGAAACGGCTGGGAGTATACAAAATGCTATCCAGCATGTGCGGTGTATAGATGTCCTGCTCAGAAATATCGGACTTGCTCGGTGAAGATCGTGTTGCCTTGCAGGGGCGCTCTACACGGTAGTACTCTTCTACCGCAGGATCCTCAACAATGGTGCTGACGGTCTGCTCGACCATTACACCACCACCGTTGCTGGCTTTGCTGCCCTTGCTGGTTGACGAGCTTGAGGCTGAGCTGCGGAAAGAGCGCTGTCTGTGCGGCTCATGCGCGAACTTGGTGGGCGAAGAAGACGATGCCTGCAAGTCCTGTGTCGTGCTCGAAGTTTTCGACCTGCAAAGCGACAAAGGCTGACCCTTAGGGCTTGGTGGATCATGGTCCACGCGAGGAGAATCGTGTTCGCCGTCAAGCTCCGCGTACGCATGCAAAGACGGCCGACCGAAACCCGACAGAGATCCAGATCTGCTGTCGCGTCCGCTAAGACTCGGCCGCATGCGATCCAGCCCAATGTCCTGGCTACGTCGATCCTCCCCGCTCGGCAGCTGAGTCAATGTCGACGTCGCCCATGCCTTGGCACCGCTGAGCCTCCTTCCAGCTCCAAATGATCCAGACTTAATGGAGGCATTATTGTTTTGCGCCAAGCTTTCACGCCTGCTTCCACCCGACCTACTGTTAGAAGCAGCGTTCAGATTAGACAGCACCGGCTCATACGTCCTGCTCAGAATGGCAAAGATGATGATGCTGGCTAGCACCACCGTCACCCAAACGACTACCAGCAGCGCAATCTGCAACGCCGACGCAAAGTCATTGGCCTCCCATGCCGAGTACCACGTTGTGATGAGCTTTCCGACAAAGACAACGAAGAAGAGGATGCACAGCATGAGCCCGACGAACTGCACCAGGAAATTCGTGTAGAATTTTTCGAGGTATCGCTTTTGCGAGTTCTGCTTGCTTGCTTGAGCCTGCGCTTGCGCTGGACGCTCGAAAGCCGAAGGTCGAACAGCTGGGAAGAAGCTGTTCGACGGCTGGTCTTGGTTTCGAAGCTCTTGTTGGGTGAAGTACATTGACGCAGTTTGAGCTTCGATTGTGTCGACATCGTCGTTGTCTGGGCCGGTAGGGCGTGCGGTAGGCATCAGGTTGCCGTTGGCGTTGCTCTGGCTAGCCGAACGCTTGATTCCAGCCCCGCCAGATACAAGCGTTGCACTGTCGGAGACAGCAGACGAGATGGAGAACGATCGCGGCGGTGCCTGGACTGACAGCAGATTGGGAGTGGTGGGACTGGTAGCCGTCTGCTTCTCGATGTCGACTTCACCATGACCTTGAGTGTCTTCAGATACGACAATGTTGGCGAAGATGTCCCTTGGACGACGCAGTTGCCCATTCTTACCATTCTGTCCAGCGCCTGATTCGCTGAAGGAGCAGTTTTGCGTGAAGGACTTGAATGTCGCCAGCTGAGCCCGCAGCGTAGTGATCAGCGAGCCACCAGCAAGACAGTAGCAGATGAAAAGCAAACAGACCCATGACTCCCACACCGCCATGCAGATCGAAATGTAATAAGCAGCATCAAGGACCTTGAACCAAATATGCTGCGCTTCAAGCAACATCTCCCTCGAAAGAGTCGCTCCGGCTGGAATAGCGTCTGACCAGCGATGATAGTGTTCAAAGGCGATGGTGAAGCGATGTTGCGTAAAGGCAGCAGGAACCACGATGCTGACGATCTGAATGACCGGAATGCAGAAAACAAAGACATTGACGACGGAAGGCGTGATACCCATACAAAGTGCCCTACTTTGCGGTTTGCCCGGCTGTGGCGAGACGAAGCTGAGCGCGTCGGGTCGAGCATAGACAATACCGACGGTAGTGCACCAAGCTCCAAGGATGAGGGGGAGCCATGTCAAGCCGATCCAGAGAATGATGTACTTGGGTGATTGGCCATATTGATACCAAGCCATCACTTCCCAGCACCTGCGTCGATCATGACAATGTAAGAGAGAGAGAGAGAGAGAGAGAGAGAGAGAGAGAGGCGGAATCTAGCTGTCAGCAACCGGTGTCGAGATACGCCTCAAGCGGTGACAACTTACAGAGCGATGAGGAGGATAACAAAGATGCTCTCAATGGCAACGAAGGCCGTAATAGCGTTTGGCACAATCAGCGAACCATTGCTCCTGACAACGAGACGGAAAAGCCAGAAGGACTTCTGGTAGAATCGTCGAATGACGATGAGGAAAATCCAGATGCCAATGACTGCCGCGAGCACTGAAAGCACCTTGAGCTGAATAAAGGTGCTGTTACGCAAGACAGGGTAGAAGAGTACGCGGACGAATTGCTTCAGTGAGCCCACTGGATCCTCGTCTTGTGTAAAGTCGGGAAACCAGGCGCGACCTTCCACGTTGTTGATGGTAGAGAAGACGCTCTTTGGCGGTGGCGGTGGGAGACCGAACTGGATATTGAGAGTCGCGTACGACATGCTGATTGTCTTTGACCACTATACTCTATATTGAGGCCATGCCGAGCTGTCGGCGATGATCAAGTTGCGATCTGGTCTTCAATGCCTCCCAAAGAGGATGAGTAAGGTCGAATCACTTGTCTGACCTGAGAATTGTCGAGGACTCAAGATCAATGATGCTGCTAAAAAGAGCAGTTGCAGCGGGAACAACGTGTAACTGATGTTCAGCAGCTGGCGAAGGACACTGGGTGAAGGAAAGCTGATTGCATGCGGCAACCAGGTGATGGTGGATCTTTTAAATGATACGACCCTCGAACGCCGCGAGACCAAGGGTATAAGGATAGTTCAGGACGGTTATTCTCGAGAGAACAGAGCGTGGCTAAAGGAAAAGGCCGTGTAAGGCTTTAGGCGCTTGTCTTGTGCTTCAGACCCAGGAGCAGTGAGAGGGTGCAGACCACGAGCGATTGTTGTGTACCTGGCAAAGAAAGGGATAAGTAGGCAAGAAGATGAGGCGTCGAGGACGAGCAAGAAGGCTTCAGTGCAACATCTGCTCGCCTGATGACATGCTTGTTGCTGGGCGCCTATTGATGCATGTGCAGCATGCTTATGGAGAAGGGTTGCACGACAAGACGGTGAGAGCTGAAGTTTTAACTTGTTGAAGAGGCCCGTATCTGCATCACGTAGAAGCGAGGAGATCGAAGGGTCCCACAGGTCAACCAGGATTCGAACTGCTTTAGCTGCCTTGTGCTACAGCTGTTGCTCTCGATTCATTGGAACAAGATCCTTGAATTCCGGTTCGGTCAGGGCAGAAGCCTGATGAGGAAGGATTAGGGCGAGCAGGGCACATGAGAAGAGCGGAAGGTAGTGTGGCAGACCAGCTGCTCTCTTGATTGCCGGCGGGGAAAGGATCCGCAGCAAAGCGGGGCAAGCGATTGGAGGAGAGGGGGATGAGGGGCAAGCTCTAAGCGAGACGCAAATCGTCAAGGCAGACGAGAGCAAGCGAAGCTCTCCTCTCAGAAGTGGCAAACCGCGCTTAAGAAAGACTGTCAACCTTGAGCGTTCGGATGGCGAAACCCGAAAGCCTAAGCCAAAGTTTGCTTACATAGAGTTGATGGATCTCTCTTTCCTCCACTGTTTATCGTATTCTCGTCTATTGTCTGATTGTCTGCCATGCTTCTACGCCGCAGCTGTGCTTACGTCGTCTTGCTCCTGTTGCTCGCTACTGCTCGCTACACTACACAATATTCGAGAAGCCTTGCAAGCGAGTCATCCGACCATCGACGTGATAGCTGAATCTCAAACGGAATGGCTTCCATGTTCGTGATCATATCGTGGAAGCGATCTTGACCGCGGACAAGTCTTGGAGAGGATCGGAAGTCGGTGTCTCGCTTTGCAAGATAGCCACTCGTCGATAGATCATGTTGCTGTGCTCTTGGGGTGAGAACCTGGCTTAAATCTTACTGACCAGGTCGACAGTCGGTAGCGAAGGCGAAAGCTTCTGTCACCATCAGTCTCACTGCGGCTGCTGGTCGGCAGCACCTGCAACCTGAAAAGTTGCATCCGGTCAAGCGATCATGCACATCTTAAGCGCGGTACAGTAGCGTGGGACGACAAGGGTTCTCAACGAAGCGCCAATCGGAAATCAGATCCTCAAACTAGACCATATTCCATCGTCCCGTTCCGAGCTTGAAATGCCCTGGCAAGGCGAGGCAGGTAAAGGTGCGATGGCGAGATAGTTCCAACCCCAGCTTCTTCACCATGCCCGAACAAAGAAAAAAGAAAAGAAAAACGTTAGATGCCGTTCTTTGACAGTCGGCTGGATGAGCGGCACTTGTGAAACAATGGCAGTAACTGTCTAATGAGATCTATCGAATTCACATCTGCACCCCGCAGTTCTTTTCATCGAACCTTTTTTGAATGGATGTCTCTGCTGGCTTTCGAATCCCGAAGACGTCGTCCAACAGATCTCAACCTTTCCTGTCACTCTGGAGCCCATCTGTGTCAGCTCCCGGAATGATGGTTCTGACGAGCAAGATGCGCCCTGCTTCCGAGACTCGCTGACCGACATCGCCGTCCGCAGTGACAGCACGGATGACTGAGTACATGTATGTACCTACGCTCGTTGCTTGTTTGTGGCTGCAGAACATGTGTGTTGGTTGGTGGCGTATTGCAAGCGAAAAGTACGCCAACAGAAGGAAAATGCCCCTTCTGCACGTTCCATCGTCGACCGTTGTAAAGCCACACACCGCTGCTTTCTTCGAAACGAACGTCTGTCGGTCGATCGATCTTAACGTATGCCCATCGGTCGCTGGCTCAACACTGAGTGATCACGCTATCGCGCAGCTACTCAGATCTCAGAATGCCCTCTTGATCACTTGCCGAGTTGAGCTGCAGGCAAGTTTCTCTCTGCAGTATATTCGCACCCCGCATACTCGACTGCTTCAACGCCTTCTGCTGTGCCCTTCTATGCAATAAGAGGAGACGCTTAAGCGTCTGCATTTGCTCGAACCGAGCCTCATGGTGTGTGAACATCTGAATGCACGGTTCGGCGCCGTGCCAATCAATTGCTGGTCATATGCTTAATTAAGATCTGGTCGCTTAGAAGGATCAGCACTGTTCCAGCATCTGTCAGAGCTTTATTTGCCTTGCCGCCGTGAAAAGATCCATGCTCGGATGTGGGGTCTCACGATGCTTGAGTGTGGGTATCGTGATACCAGCGCAGCACGTCCTACGCTTTTCGAGTCGGCGACACCACGATGACTTCTGAAGAATGTGGTGTGAGGCGCTGGTTGTGGTATTGCTGTTGCTAGTGTCTGGTAAAAGTACAAATCTGTCAACGACGATATCGGACCGATAGATCCTCCAAGGCTGCAGCTCGCCTCAAACTCGATATCCCTGCGAACGCGGTTTCTATCTATGTGGTTGCTGCTGCCGACGGTGTATTGTTGTCCCCTCATGAGGTTCCGCAGGTATCTCCTAGTGCGTGAAAACATTCGCAAGTCATCGCTTGCAAGTCAAGGTGCAGCGGTCCTTCACTCTCCATACGCCCGTCAAATGTTCATTGTGACCCGATTAGGCAACCTTCAATCCAACGGATCTTCATCGACGGCCATCGGCGCCGCCCTCGATCCATTGACAGGCGTTGCGGCCGAGTCAATGACGAAGAAGTCTTGGTTCCGGAGAGGTCTCGACTCGATCTTGGCCGCGGGTGTCGCTGCAGTCACAACGTCACCTTCCGAAGATGTCAATGTGCCATTAGGAGTAGCATCGGTGCTGGTCTTGGCACTCCCTGCTCCTACTCCAACAGCCGCGAGACGTCGTCTCTCTGCCACCGACTGTTTCCCTTGGCGAAGGAACTCGCGGACGGGCCTCATGGCTGCGTTCCTACACAACTCCTTCAGGTCGCTACCGCTGTAGCCTTCGGTGCGCTTGACGAGGTCGGAAATCGAGAAGTTGGGATCGAGCGGTGTTGCTGAAAGCATGAGGGAAAGGATCTTTTCACGTTGCGATGCGTTGGGAAGCGAAACAGCGTATCGCTTTGGCAATCGACGCAAGATGGCCGAGTCGATGTCGTTGGGCCGGTTGGTAGCGCCAAGCACCATAATACGGTCGGTCGAGGAAGTCAATCCATCCCACAATGTCATAAACTCGGCCTTCATCATACCAGTCACTTCGTGGTCACCAGTAGCGCGCTCACGAAGGAAGCTGTCGATCTCGTCGATGAAAATGATCGAGGGTTGCAGCTTGCGTGCCAAGCTGAATAGCGCAGCTACGAGCTTATTAGACTCGCCAAACCACTTGTTGGTCAAAGTTGAGACGTGCATGTTGATGAAGGTAGCATCGCTCTCTTTTGCCAATGCTTTCGCCAGCATGGTCTTACCCGTTCCTGGAGGCCCGTACAGCAAGACACCCTTGGGAGCGCCTAGCAATCCGCTCGCGTTGTCAAAGAGCTCTGGGTAGCAGAGCGGTGCGATGACGCTTTCCTGCAGTGATGAGATGATGCCGTCCAGACCACCGACCGAGTTGAAATCAACTGGAATGTCTTCGGGCAGAATGAGTTCTGCAGAGATCTGCTCTTCGTATTCGTTGAGCTCGAGATCCTTTCCACGCAGGCCTAGCTTACCCAGCTTGGCGTCGGAAATCTTCTTCGAGTCCTGTCGTTTCTGTCGATTTGGATCCAAGGATGACATGACGTATTTGAATGCGTAGTAGAAGGCGACCTGACTCATGGCGAAGACCGCCACATCGGTCATCATCTTTCGTGTGACCTCCTTCATTATGGAGGGTATGTGACTATGACGAGCGACTGCGATGTCCGAAGCTGGTTAGTGGTAGAAGTGGTGGCGATGAAGAGGACGTGTTCGAGATTGTAGGAAGAAAGAAGTGGGAGCAGTTGGTGATGTACCAAAATCACCTTTTTTTTTTTTTTTTTTTTTTTTTTGGCATTGCCGATGAGTTGAAGATGCGTCGGCATCTCAAGCAAAATGCATGTGTTACGGCCAAGACACTGAGGTACAGGAGGCTTACTTAAGCAAGAAGCACAATGAGGTACATGATTGTTGTCATGGCAACAGCTCAGTGGCACTCAGTATCATAGCAACACAGGAGTATGAATGAAGTGACATGTCCTGTCTTGGATAGAACTAGAGTGGCAAATGGAGTATATATATGTGTTTGTCATTTAGGTTCACACTATGAAAACTAAGCATTACATAGAACACATGGCTGTGGTAAAGGGAGTCTGATTGTGACCCCAATAATGCCAAGTATTAATTGTTATCTTCAATTGATTAAGAGTCTGAAGAAGCTATCACTGAGCTAACTGAAACTCATCAACAACAATGGTAGAAGACACTGAAATGAGGATCAAAGGAAGCAGAAAAGGCAAGAACACCCAGGTTCGGGTCAACAATGATGCCACAAATGAGAACAAGCCAGAGGCCATCGACAATGAAGCTGACAAAGACACTGATTCCAACTCCAACTTCAATGATGGCAACAAGTGATATAACTTTTGCACCCTAGCAAAGCTCCTCGAACCCATGCCAAAGCTCATGTCACACAGCTATTATAGCTGGAGTGCTCATGTGAAATCTTTCCTCTGATCTGTGCTCCATGTGATGAAACATCTTGAGGGAATGTATGACAAGAAGCCCCTGAAATGGAGCTGCTCCCTCGATGATGCTTTAATCAATGCTCTGTGTGGAACAATTGACACTACCAGAGAATACAATGTAAATTACCTCGTTCTAGATGTAATCAAGGAGTACCTTACTTTCAACCAAGTATGGAGAAAGATCGAAAATGGTCTCATGAATGAAGCCACCAAGACATCTCACAGACTTGCACTCATCTCACAGCTCAATGATACAAAGATGTTTCACTCAGATGCCAGAAAGCTAATTCAAGAGATCTGGTCCATACAGACTGAAAGTAGCCTCCTTGGAAAACCATTCACTGATGATACATTGTTCTTGGCTCTGCAGAAATGCATGATCTGGCATCTGGTGTATAAGGAGACAGTTGCCACTGTTCATCAAATCGATTTCAACACCCTCACCACTGCACTAAGCATCCAACAGACCACTGTTGAGAGCATCCCTGCACAAAAGATCGACCCCTGCCAAGCCAGTGCTTGGACCACCGGCAATGATGACCAAAGCAAATGGACTGGAGAGACTGAAGCTGAAGCCGACAATAGCCACACAATCCTGAAGAATGCAGGAAGATCATGCCAAATCTGATGCTGGATCTGCAAGCGACCGGGACATGGCATTAGTCAATGCAATGCTTCAGTTACCATTCCCAAAGACTCCCCCCTCACCAAACTTAAATAGGAAGTGTGGTGCTCCCTCACCCTCTCACAAGACCCCCCAAACACCAAGGAAACAGCTCATTGGATCTTGGATTTGGGGGCAAGTTATCACATGGTAAACAACTATAGCATGCTCATCCACCTGAGAACTTGCCGAAAGCAGATAATCACTGCTGGAAGCGAGGTTTTGGAAGCAGCAGCTATAGGAGATGCAAGCATATCAACAGATTACAGGGAAATCTCCCTCCAAAATGTACTATATGTGAAGCATCTTAATGTTAACCTTCTGTCAACGAATTCATTAACAGATGAAGGAGCACAAGTGACATTGGATGCAACTGGCGGCCAGATTGTTCTAACAAATGGCATGACACTTAAAATTGCAAAAAATCACAAGCAAGGACTTTTGGAGTTCCAAGGTGACACATGGCAAGAAAGCACGATGGTCACATCAGCATCACTGTTTGAAGGTGTTGATGAGGAGTTCGAGCATATTAAGAATGAACCAAAAGTTTCAAAGGAACAACTATGGCATGAGCATCTCGGACACCCAGGAAGAGACAAAGCCAGGACAATCACAAGTAAATTAAAGAATAAGCATACCATGCATCTGGATCCAAACACCACTCTGACATGTGAGCAGTGCATATGATCCAAGAGCACAAGTGCCTGGATGGGGCAAGGTAGTGGCGAAAGAGCTGTGGGGCCCCTGGATCTCATCCACATCAATCTAATAATAGACTCATCCCACATGATGGAGTATATGTGCACTCTGGTGCTAATCAACAATCATAGCAAGTATGTGTATGCACAGCCATTGGTGTGAAAGAGTCATGCATTCATGCAACTCAAAAGGATTGTTTCATTCCTGGAGACACAGATAGATCAGAAGCTAAAAGCGATCCGATCCGACCAAGGAACTGAATGGAAAAGCAATGATGCATTAGAATGGTCATTAGAAAAGGGCATAGAGTGGCAAACCACTGTGGGGTACAACAGCAAACAAAATGGGTGGGTGGAGAGAATGAACAGGACCCTTGGAGAGAAGATGAGAACATTGCTAATGCAGAGGAGACTGCCAAAGAGGTTTTGGCCATATGCAATCAGAGCTGTGGCATTCAAAATCAACCTTACTCCAAGCATTGATAATGAGTTCCCTTATCAAGCCATGTTCAGCAAGTCACTGGAGTGAGCTTTAAGACTCCTACAAGTGTTTGGTTGTCTGGCATGGGTAAATGTACCCAAAGTCAAACAGGACAACAAGAAACTGGACCAGCAAGCTGTCACATCCATTTTCTTGGGATACAGTCTAGAGAGAAAGGGCTGGCTATTCTACAGTCTGGACTATAATCCAAACATGTTCTGGAGCAATTCAGCAAAATTCATGGAATCAAAGTGCTGGTCAGACAGAACAGAGTGGCAACCAGTCGACACAAAGGCACCTCCAGCGATGATGACAGAAGAGAATTTTGAAGATCTAGGATATAACAAAGAAAATATATTTGATGAAACAGTTGAAGGGCCACTACAAGAATACATGGATATGGAGACAGATTTGGAAGAAAGGTTAAGCAGAGGAATGGCAGAGGTGATGGAACAAGGATCAATCGCTGAAACTCAGTTTGACAGTAAATTCTTTGGACTCATAGCGATGCAACCAGAATGGAGAAAGAACCTGGACCCAACCATACATGAAGCAATGAGTGGAGAAGACAGAAAACACTGGGAGGAGGCCATGCGAAAGGAGCTGGATGGATTAGAAGTGATGGGCACATGGGAGATCATTGACCCCCCAAAGGGTGCAAACACCATCAACATGCATTGGGTACTCAAGATCAAGACTGATGCAAACCTCATGCTGACAAAGTTCAAAGCCCAGCTTGTGGCACAAGGTTTCACCCAATGTGAGGGCATCAACTACACAGAGGTCTTTGCACCAGTAGCACCCATCCAATCCATTTGAGGGGTGATCACTGTTGCAGCAATACAAGATTGGGAAATAGACTCTATTGATGTAAAGCAAGCATACCTGAACTCTACTATACACCATGATGTATATCTAAAGCCCCCAGTAGGAATCAAGATACCACCCAGAAAAGTGTTGAAGGTAGTGAAAGGACTGTACAGTCTGAAACAATCAGGCTGAGAATGGAACATTGAGTTAGACTCACATCTCTGGACAATCAGATTTCATTGCATGCCAAGTGCACCATGCCTATACTCAAGAGGGACAGGCAACAAGATCATGATCATTACAGCATACATGGATGACATGCTGATAACATCACCCAGTCATGATGAAGTAGACTGCACCAAGTGAGAGATCATGGACAAATGGGAGATGCAAGACAATGGAAGGATCAAAGAATTTCTGGGTATCAAGATCACATGTGATAGAAAATGGAGGATGATATCTCTGGGTCTAACAGCATACATCAAAGAAATGGTGAACAAATGGTTAGGAGGAGCAAATGAGAAATCTTGGATACCCATGCTGAGCATAGTGAATGTCGCCAGAGGCAAGAGATGTGATCCTCAGCGAGCAAAGAAGTATCAAGAGTTGGTCAGCCAACTATTATGGGTCTCCAACACAGCCTGACCAGATATTGCCTTTGCCGTTGGCATATTGTCATGATACATGTCGATCCTGATCGACAGTGCATGGAAGGCAGCCATTCACATGGTAAAGTATCTGAACCAGATGAATGGATATCAGTTGCACTTAGGAGGGGAGACAAATGAGCACTTGGATACACTGGTAATGACGTATACCGATGCAAACTGGGCTTCCAACCCCACAAATGGATGAAGGAGTACTTCAGGGTCAATAACATATGTATATGGATGTCCAGTAAGCTGGAGGTCTCACATTCAAAAGTGTGTAGCATTGTCAGCAGTTGAAGCCAAGTTCGTTGCCACTTCTGAAGCAGTGAGAGAAGCATTGTTCTTTGCATACCTGCTCTGGGATTTGGAGATCATGAATGTTAGGCCCATACTATACACAGATAGCCAGGGGTGCATGCAGGTGAGTAAAGACCCAGCCAAACATTGGAAGTTAAAGCACATCAACACATGGTATCATTTCATCTGCAATCATGTGCAAGAGGGCAATGTGGCAATCAAACATGTCAGAACAGCAAACAACATTGCAGATGTCTTGACAAAACCTTTACAGGGTCTCAACACCTCATGATTGGCTAGGATGATAGGGCTGGAGATCCTGCCGAAAGGGGGAGTTGAAGATGTGTCAGCTTCTCAAGCAAAATGCATGTGTTACAGCCAAGACACTGAGGTACAGGAGGCTTACTTAAGCAAGAAGCACAATGAGGTACATGATTGTTGTCATGGCAACAGCTCAGTGGCACTCAGTATCATAGCAACACAGGAGTATGAATGAAGTGACATGTCCTGTCTTGGATAGAACTAGAGTGGCGAATGGAGTATATATATGTGTTTGTCATTTAGGTTCACACTATGAAAACTAAGCATTACATAGAACACACAGCTGTGGTAAAGGGAGTCTGATCGTGACCCCAATAATGCCGAGTATTAATTGTTATCTTCAATTCGATGTCACCGGCTCAGCAGATAGCAGCTTTCAACATGACGCGTGAAGCTGAGCTGGAAGGAAAGCAGGCCAATGATTTTCGAGGTAGTGTTAGGATTTGTCAATGACACATTCCGGAAAAGGCTGCCAAAGTGGAGTAAAAGCGGACAGAAAGAAGGTCGATCACCTTTGGGTTGTTGAGTGCAGCACAGACAGAGAGAGAGGGAGGGAGAGAGAGAGAGCGAATACGCAACGCAACGCAACGCGCAAGGACCCTCTCTCTAAAAGTCAAGCCATGAATTTGGTGTTGGTCCATTCGCCTTGTCGTTCTCGACATCTTCTCACCATTCACCACATCAACACGTCACCTTCTCTCCTCGTTCTCGTGTCTCGACATCCCAGCCTCACTCACAAAAGGCATCTCGAAGGATAATCCGATCAGTCGAGCTACACAGCCTGTTCCTGCATCGAAAGCACTCCAAGCTTGACTCCACCTGCACTTCTTGACGACTACAGCCCGGCACATTCCCTCGAACCTCACCTCAGTCCGTGACGCCCAAGTCAAAGCATAGACATCCAGCATGAGTATCATGGAGTACAACGGTGGTAGTGTGGTGGCGGCCAAGGGCAAGAACTGCGTCGTCATTGCCTCCGATCTTCGACTCGGTCAGCAAGCCATGACAGTTGCATGCAACTTTGACAAGGTGTTCCGTGTCACAGAAAAGACATACATCGGTCTTCCAGGCTTGGCGTCAGATGTCACAACGCTTCGAGAAAAGTTCCGATACCGTGTCAACATGTACAAAATGAAGGAGGAGCGAGACATTGAACCCGAGGTCTTTGCGCAGTTGGTCAGCTCGACGCTCTACGAGAGAAGATTTGGACCATACTTCATCGAACCAGTCATTGCAGGCATCAACTCCAAGAACGAACCCTTCATCGCAGCATCAGACGTCGTGGGATGCCTCAACTTTGCCAAAGACTTTGTTGTCAGCGGTACAGCAGGCGACAAGCTCTTTGGTATGGCTGAGGGTCTTTGGGAACCCGATCTTGTAAGTTGCCGATCATCACCATCCTGGTCTTTACTCAACCGTATCAATATTGACTGACTTTTTGACATTCCGCGACTTTCACTCTGCATCCACAGGGACCCGAGGAGCTCTTCGAGACAGTATCGCAAATCCTGCTCGGAGCGCTAGAGCGAGACGCATTATCAGGCTGGGGTGCCATTGTTCGCATTATGTGAGTGTTCATATCCATCTCGATTCATCTCGACTGCGCAGTCGGCACCGGCTCACTGTCCGGCAAAGATTGCAAGCTCAAAAAGGGGGGCGAAGTGCTGACCATCCTCTTGCATTATCATCTGATATGCTGCGCGAATTTTTCTCTCAAAACAGTACGCCAGAGAAAGTGATTGAAAGGACACTCAAGGCGAGAATGGACTAGAGTGTCAGATTGATACCATTGGTCCGTTTCGAGCCTATACTCTGCAGTTCCGGCTCCTTTTTTGTACTTGTCTTTTCTTAGCAATCATATTCTCATCGGGTCCTTTCTTGACGTGAATCTTTGCGGAGATCCTTTTGCATGTTTCTGCATCACAGCGGAGCCTGGCGATAGCCCAGCGTAAGACCTTACAAGTATCTACAGCGGTGTAACAACCTTGTTTCTCAGAGGAAACCTCGCACATCCTTCGTGGGAAGATTACACTGCAGATTCTGGTCTCGGAGCAGCGTCAACAAGGTCCACGCAATTAAAGATCTTCGGGGACGGTTGCATTGGTCTAGCAAACTAACATATCACACAAAGAAGCCAGGTCTTACTTTGTATGGTGGATCCTGAGTTTGCCAGGATTGTAGTTATAGTTTGCAGCGTAGCTCTTGGGTGGGATGCGAGCCACCTTTGGCTCGGTGACGTGGTAATCCCATCCCTGCTTCTCACAGAAGTGAATGGCATCCTCCTTTGATCGGAATTTGAGCGAAGTGCCCTGCATGTAATCACCCCTGTGAGACAGCAATGAAGAAAGAAGCCGTGCAAACGGATGATAGAACAGGTGAGCTTGGTCAGTTTCGGAGTCGACTTTATTGCAGAACAGAAGCACGAGTGTTTCATCTGACTACGTACGAAGAAGCCCATCCCATCAAAGGGTTCTCCCATCGTGCGGAACCTTGCAGGATGTCAAAGTCGACACGCCACACCTTGGTACCAGCCTTGCCGGATGAGTTGGCAGTCTTGGTTGGGCGGAAAATTCGGACGGTTCGCTGGTGGAGCTCCTCTGTCGGCATCATGATGAATGGAGAGGGAATCTATGTTAGTACTTTCTTCTAGTTGCCGTCAATGCAGTGGAAGCGGAGGCCTCTCTCCCATGGAGTCAAAGTTGGGATCTTTGGACGCCACCTTGAGAGAGTCTAAGTTGCCCTTCGATGATTGTACGTACCAGGAGCGCTGCTGACGAGATCAGCAGTGACAGCTTGCTCGTGTCGCTTGAGCTGTTCGGCAGCGAGGTCACGGCCCTGGTTGTCGGTGCGCTTGACGGGTGCTGGCGAGGTATTAGGGTGAGCGGTGTTGCGAGCAATGGCCGAAGTGCTGATGAAACGTGCGCTCGAGGAGGCGGAGGCGGCAGCACGGAGCGCCCGTGTCGACTGGCGTAGGAGAGACATTTTGTGTGTGATGGTTTATGTATCGGTCGACCTTCTGGCTGTAGATGGGAAAAGGTTTGTCGTCAGGATGATGTCGATTATCACACATATATGCGAAGAGCATATTGCCGGCTGCTGTGCAGCGCTGCAGCGCGACAAACCGTTGAGCGTTGATTGCGAATCCGAAGCAGAATTTCGGCTCCGAGTCGCCGGTCTAACAATTTCGTTCAAAAAAAAGATCGCTTGAGCTGTTTTCAGAAGGAAACTCCACCTTTCTCGCCGACTTCCGAGCTTGAGCTTTAAAATTTGGCTTGATACAGAGACCTTCATGCTCTATCTTCCACATCTGCAACTCGTTCTCCATCATAAGCATACTTAGACTTAGAAATGTCGTCTCAGCCACCTTTGGACGAGCGTCAGATCCGCAAACAGCAAATCCGACCTCGCTTTCTCGATCTGGCCGAGTTCGATGATGACTTTCCTGAAGATGGCTCGTTCCAGTCCAGCAGTCGCAGAGCTGCGCCTGGTGGCTCCTTCACCGACTGGCCACCAGCTGCGACAGTAGTCAGAAAGAAGCCCCCTGCAATCATATCTTCTAGCAAAGTTGAAGAGCCCTCGACCGAGTCTCAAGGCGGTGCGAGTCGCAAAGCCACTGTCCAACATGCTGAGAATTCTCAGCCTTCCCCACCCAAGCCCGTCCTGACCGATCCGAAGCCACGACAAGCAGCTCCCCAGCCGCAGATCCAGCCGCAACCCAAAAATGTGCGCTTCACATCAGATACAGTGACAAAGGACGAGGCAGCTTCCACAGAACAGGCACCACCAAAAGCGACGCTTGACTTTGCAGGCTCCATCATCGGTACAATTCAGGAACGCCCAGTTGGGGAGAGGCGGACAAGACCGAGTGGCTCGAGCAAACCTAAACCTTCAGGATCGCGCTTCGTGGTAAGAAGGAGGATGGATGAAGACCTTCAGAAGCACGAAGAGCAGAGGGAGCAAAAACTTCAAGCAGAAGCAACACAAACAACACAAGTAACCCCAAACGGACAAGAGCCTGGCACCGGCTTCCCTGTGGTATCGCATCGTAGTCAGATCGCACTGATCCTCCCTCCGACATCGTCCAAGGCTCGCACAATCCAGTACAGCGAAGATATCGACACTGTTGAAGCACCCCAACGAGATGCGATTGCTACACAAACCGCTCTGTCTAGTTCCTCCAGCACAGCACAGTCCGGCACAGCAGCTTCAGCAGACGACGAGGAGTGGCTGACCGAAGATGGAAAGTCCATGTCAGCCTTCAGGAGGTCGAGACTGGTGCGTCAAGGATTACGACCACCATCCGTGCGAACCAAGAATACGCAAAGAAGCAACAGTAATGCGGGCGACCACGACGTGCCAAGTTTCAAGCCCGACCCGACGCGAGATCCCGGCGGAGGTGCAGATATTGACGCCATCACTGCTGTTCTGTCAAAGGTATCGAGAGAAAATGACCAGAAGCTTCGGCAGATGAGCGTTGCTGAGGTCTCTGAAGAGATTCGCAGTCTGGAGAGTCTGTTCGGGAAAGACGTTCTCGATGCCCTGCGTAACCGTAAGGGTGCTGGCAACTCTAAGCAGACCGACCAAGCTGCCCGCGATACAGCGTCTACATCAGCGCCCACAAAGACTCATGCCGAACCTAACATTGGCTCATCCCAGTGGGATGGCCAGGAGGATGGCCCACTTGCCATCAAGCGTCAATTCTTCCCTGCCGAGCCAGAGGGTCCGAACCCGACGCTCGAATGGATGATGCCACAACAATCTTCTCGTCAGAAAGCTAGCACAGAGTTGCGCTTCGACTTCTCCGGCGAGATTATTCAGGGCGGATCTCAGACAGACAAGACGTACCTATCGGGCTTGCATCACCACGGCGACGATCAGGAAGCGCCTGGGTACACGTTCTCCGAGCTTATTCACTTATCTCGAAGCACCGTGGCAGCCCAGCGCCAACTGGCGCTCAACGTGTTGGGTCGAATCTGTGAGCAGTATCCGTCATTCGAGCAGGTCGACGGGAAGCGGCCTTCCCCGGCCGTGCAAGCGCTCAACAAGGATGCTCTGCTTTCGAGAGCTAGGGCCATTTCCATCTCTCGATGGCTTCTTGGCGACCGTCACTTCACCGTTCGTTCAGCAGCTCTGCGTTGTCTGGCCAGTGCTGTCAGATCGCTGCCATCGGGTACTGCGCTGCCTCTCGGTGCCACGCAAGAACTCAACTTCAATCATCTCTTCAAAGCAGCGACTAGCGATGTCGGAAGCAAAGATGAAAGCAATGACGCAAGCGAAGTTGAGCCCAGCGTTCAAAAGGACTGGGCCACTGTCATGCTCGATTCAAATATCCTCAGTCTTTTTCTGGACAGGACGGACAGTGTCATCACCTCGACATGGGAAGCCAAGCTGGCTCTCGAGTTACTGATGCGCATCGCATCGTGCTCGGTATCTCATGCACAGCAACTATTCGAAACCGATACAAGGCGACTGTGCGACTTTGTTGTACACCTCGGGCTCAAGGTCGCATGGCCACCGATTCCTTCGGACGACACACCGCCTAGCACTGCAGCTAGCCGATCGAACTCGTTGCCTTCGCTGATGGCTGTACGCCTCTTGCATCAAGGTGTCCTCAGTGACCGCGAGATCGCAGAATCTATCGTGCTGAGTGGCAGCATCGAGCATCTCTTGCGCTTTGTCGTGACACCGCCCTGGAAGGTCGAGGAAGACTGGACGTCGAATGACAAAGAAGGCGATGTGATTGTATTGACGGCCTACCAAGTGTTCGATGAAGTACTCCAACTCTTCACCTCCTTGGCGTCATACGGCTATTTTGCATCGGTAGTCGCACGAACATGGAACCTCTGGCAGGAATGTGGGACTTGGGCGGCAACGCAGCTCGTTGGTGTTCAATCTTCTGAGGTCGTGTCTGCGACACGGACGTGGATTCAAGAGTCGAGAGGCACAGCAGCACAAAGGATTTTCGAGATCCTCGCCGCTTGGACACACTGCGCTATGGACCCACACGAGCTCATGACGGCACACGATATCACATGGACCCAGGTGCGAGATTGGATCGGATTGGTCAAGGACGCTTCTGAACAAGTAGGCAAAACGACTTCAAACTTGCCAGTATCCATTACTGCACCTGCGTTTGGCGCTCTTTGCTGGTACATAGATGCTTGGCTGCGCTGCGCAATTGGAAAGGAGCCAAAGTTGCTACAAAAGTACATCGAGGCGTGCAAATCAGTCATGTCGCACTGTCAGGGTCCGGTACAGCAGCACTTCCTACAGGTGCTTCGCCTTTTCTCGACGGCTCTTTCACAGGACATTGCACTGGACGAAGCTGAGCAAGCTTGTCGTGCCTGTCACAGATATCTTGACCTCGTAAAGATGATCAAGCATGCCGAGCAAGTTTCTCAGGGACGGCAGCAGGTCAAATCGGGCAGAGGTGATGTCATGCTGCAACAGGGAATGGCGCTCGTCGCATGTGGACCATTGTGGCAAGCCCTTAAAAGTGTTGAATCACAGGCTTCGGGACGCAGCGCATACATAGAAACTTTTTCGAATTTTGTTGCAGCGGTTGTCGCTGTCGGCTCTAAAGCGGAGTCAGAACGCTCCGTAGAGCTGGCAGCGATCACACGCCTCGACGCTCGCCACGCCGATCGAGTTGCCAACATCGTCTTGAGGGTCAGCGAAAGCCTCGCAGGGAAATCCACCGTCCACGCGTTGCGACCGTTCCTGCTCGAGTGTATGCTTGGCAGCAACCGCGTACCGCCAGCGAGCCAGTCGAGCGCAGTGGAACACCGGGACAGCACTCCACTGTCGCGGGTCAAGTCCCTGTTCAGATCGGCGAGTCCAGTCAGCACGAATGAAGCTGCCAAGAAGAGTATTGACAAGGAAAAGGGCGAAGAGGACGAGGCGGAGGAGGACGATGAGGACATCGACCCGATCACCGGAAGCAAGTTGTGGAAATGCCCTGCAAGTGGCTTGCCGATTCGCGCAGACTGGCCCTTGCTGCCTCTCGACGATCTCCTGCATAGTGGCAACACAGCCGTTTTCAATCGACCTGACAATCTTGAAGAAGATTGGAAGCCAAGTGAGCTGGAGATGGTGCGAGCATCTCTCCGGCTCGCGGTTGTCGTCTTCAGATCCCTTCTTCAAGAACACGCCTCTGAGACGACACACAGCGCAGAAAAGAACGTTTTGGAGGTGAAGTCAAGCGCCACCATGTGTAGTCTACCCAGTGCCGAGCAGGTCCTGCTCGGCGTGATGAAAGTCTTCATGCTTGAAAAGGATCAGCCGGACACTTTCACGGACAAGACCACAGCTGGCGCCTTGCAGCAGAAACAGACTGGTGTGTTGACGGGTCGCGATCTGTTCCGCGACCCCACCATCTCCTCTGACCTCGCATCCTTGCTTGACATTGCCGATGAGCTGGTCGAGCTTCGTCAGGGCTACAGCAGCCAATCCTCAATCAGCGCAATAACACTCGGCACCTGGACAGCTGCAACATATGGCGGCGGCATGTCGTTTTACCAGTTCTTTACCGACCTTGTCGGGCTGTGGGACTCGGTCTCGTTCGGCGATGCCAACTTCGCACGCGTTGTCATGACAGTCGCCAACGCTGGATGTGGCGGTGGATTGTTTGAAGGCGAGCACGGTATTGCTGTAGATTTCCGCCGTCTCGTATGGAATGACTACAGCGATAGTTTGCGCAGTATTCCACCAACAAAGGCGCCAAAGTGGCTGCTCAGCTGGTCGGACACATGTGTGGACATGCTGGAGCACTACTGTCGCTACATTGTGAGTGCTGCAGAAATGCCCAAGGCGAGAGAATCAATCGCATGGCAGATCGCATCACATCATGTTTCGGCCGCGGCTAGATCGCTCAGCACAGACAAGGCAGCAGCGGATAAGCAGAAGAAGGAAGCTCCGACGAAACGTGTCGAATCGATTCTGAGGTCGCTGGTCACAGCCAAAGACGAAGGCTTGCTGCGTGAAGTGCTCGCTGCATTGGCCTCAATGACCAATGACTCTCAAGCGGAGGATCTCGACCTCGTCTTCACACGTCTGAACCTTCTACAGGCACAGCAGTGAGCCAAATGCTTCCTAATCACGGTCACACTCAAGTCACTCCAGTTGAAAAGCTAGATTTTGCGACTTACAAATACAAGTGTGAATAGCGGCCATGATGACTGCAGTAATGACTCTTATGCCCCAAGTTGTGGACTGCATGATTCGATCAAGTATCGTCTGATGTGTGCTAGGGTGGCTGAACAGAAGATCTTGCGGATCCAGCTCGCGATGCAGCCGCCGCACCGCCCTTTGGCTTTCCTTTGCCCTTAGCACCGCCCTTGCTTCCTCCACCACCTTTCCCCTTGCCCTTGCCAGACTTGCCAGCCTTGGCGCCCTGAACGTCATCGTCATCCTCGCCGTCTAAGTTTTCCAAGTTGGCATCACCTGCTGGGCCGTCCGCATTGGATGTTGGTGGGGGCAAGTTGTCGGTCTGCATAGCACCAGCGCGCTCAGCTGCTTCTTCAACACCACCAACCCTTCTTGCTTCTGTGACGACCTTGTCGGCATACAAGAGCTGTTCCATACGACCGAGCTTCTTTGCCTCGACGTCTTTGCGAAGTGCGTGGCGGAAGTCTTCGAGCTTGACTCGCAAACGATGAGGCGCTCTTGGCGGTAGAGTGTTTGGTACCACATCTATGCCGTTGACTAGTGCATTGGGGTCTTGCGAGGCGGCTAACTGCTCGAGTGTGGCGCCGAACGCGCTGGAACTGTTCGAGATCGAGCTTGTACCAAGTCCAAGTGCATATGGGCTGGGTCGTGCGCGACAGCAGAGATCGGTGATGAAGTCGACCGTCATCTCTTCCATCAGCATCACCGAGTCTGGATCTGGGTTGGGCGAGTCTCCGTACGCGTACATCAGGTTGCGCAGGTCTCGTGCGAACAGATTGCGGTGATTGAATGGGCGTCGCCCCCGAGCCTGTGCTGCAGCTGCTGGAGGTAAGCCTGATGCGGATGATGAGTTTGGCATCACTCCAGAAGACAGGGAAAGTGCTGGATGGACGAAAGGAATGGCTGCCGCATCGTTGGCGTTCGCTGCTCTTCCTCCTTTGGCGGGAGGACCTGATGCTCCGCCCGTTGCGGCCGCCATTACAGTTGTGGAAGGCCCTGATTGCGTATGGAGAGAGGACCCTTGCCTCTGACGCGCACCACCACCACGCTGAACTGAACGCGTTGGTGTTGCAGGCATCTTGGCAACAGCGACGACCGGAAGACAGCGGTCAAGTAAGGATCAAAGTTGATTACGAAAGTTGTTCCATGCCTGATCGGACCGGATGGAGAAAGCGTGCGTTTGTTGTTGCTGTTGCTGTTGCTTTTGCTGTTGCTGTTGCTGTTGTCGTCGATGCAGGCTTGAAGCCTGTTGGATATCGAAAGCAATAAAACGATCATTTGGCCAAGTTGCTCTGTAGTGTTGCTCTTTCCGGCTTCGGAACTCGGTCTTTTGCTTTGTCTCTAATTCGGACGGGAAAGAGTGGGATTTTCATATCGCACGATGACGCCTCTGCGCGCGCACACACACATCGCACGAGCCACAAAGCACAAGCCACTCAAGCCAAGCGATTGCACGCCCCTGCCAAAAAGAAAAGTGCAACTTTTCAGGGTCCACTTGTCAAGATAACGAACTGGAAAGGTGTGCATCTGAACCCTGCATTGTATCAAGGCTGTTGCACTTACTCGCTCGGGAGCAAGGCTTGCTCTGCCCTCCCGTCAAGAGGCGGAGCGACTCTTTTGAAGCATAAGCATAAGTTAGGCTCCACGTTACAATTGGCTTGGTGAGAGCACACATTTGTTGTCGGAGTAAGGTCCGCAAGCGTGCGGAACTCTCACTTTCGTGTGCTGGCCAATGCGTTAATTAGCACTTTGACACATCGGAAAGTCGGCTACGCCCTCTGTCTCTCCTTTCTTTCCGCTCCTGCGTGCGAGCGTATGCGCTGTGGACAGAGAGACCCCTGTTTGAGTCAAAAGGCTGAGTCAAGCAAACTCAGCTGACCATTCGACTCGCTGACAAGTCGATCGTTCCCGCTCCTTCTTATCCTCTGACATATACTCGCAGAACCAGTTCATTCACCACCTCCACCAACCCAGAAGCATACCACCATCCTCATCAGCGTGGCGAGGTACCAGTCATCTTCATCATCCTATCCCACCTTCTGCAGTCCCACCCCTGCTTCCAGAATTAAGCCATATCCGTCGCCTACGATGTCGGCCTATCCGGGAGCCCTTGAGCTTGTCTGGATCAATGCTTCACCCATAGGTCCGACCAAGGATGACCATATCGATCCACAAATGTATCAAGTCATCCGTGTCCCGTGCAATGTCAGCAAGACAATCTCTCGTTCTTCCGCAATTGACCCGGCCACACTTGTGAACGACTTGTCTGACAAGATCCTCTTCCCCCTGGCCAAAGTTGTTTCCCGCGAGCATGCAAGGATCGAATGGGTGAAAGGGGAGCCCGTCATCAAGAACCTCGGATCGACTCATGGCACCTATGTCGCTAAGCGCCGTGCAACTTTCCTTTCCTCAGGACAAGTGGTCGACGGAATCACTCAAGCTCCCTTTAGGTCGGTCGAAGGTGTTTACACCCTCGTTCCAGGCGATCTAATCGAGTTCGGCAAGCCCTGCAACCGCACGGACGCTCAGCATCATCCGGTCCGTTGCTACGTACGCTTTGCTCCGGGCAAACCTATATCCACCTCGGCGCAGTCGAGTACCTACCCTCAGGTTTTGGCAGCCGCGCAAAAGCAGGCAAGGCGCTACAGCCTTCTCGATGACAGCCTCGATTCTGAATCTGACATAGTCAGTATCGATGAAGCTACTTTCACGACCATCCCATCGAGGCTCTCTTCACAACTCACCAAGACCTCTCCCGCACCTGCCGGCCCCGTCGCCATCTATCCGACCCAGGCTACCATCGTTGATCTCTCTGGCGATGACGACGATGAGGATATCCAAAGCGCCAGACCTGCCGCCTCAGACTTTGATTCGGAGGACGGTGGAGATCGCATGAAGGAACACGGTGTTAGTGTCAGTGAGTCGGAGAACTCGCTCGATTCGCTCGACTTGCCGCACGTGCTTTGGCGCCAGCTTGATCAGGAGCTTGCTGACGTGCCGGCCGCGCCTTCTCATGTTGCGCAGGAAGTCTGTTCGCCTGCAACGAGCGACGGCATCGCCTCAGCTTCATCTGCTGGCGAGGCCCACAACGAGGAGCCCATTGAAAAGGCAGCTATCGCGGATCGGGCAGTTTCGAGCAGCGAGCCTATTTCGTCCACCGTTGACGATGGCGACAAAACTCCAGCATCTCTGCTTTCGACCCCAGCTCCCGAGTCGCTCCCTACGGAGCCCATTCAGGCTGTCGTCACAGCCGAAAAGGAGGAGGGTGAGCTCCACATGCCGCTCAAGCGCAAGATGATGTTGATCGACTCCGATGACGAGGAAGGAGAGGGGTCTGTATTCAGCTCGCAGGCTTCGTCACTCTCTTCCATGTCTTCGACGCTGTGCACTTCTGACTCCGGCTCCCCCTCGCCTAGCAAGAAGAGGCGCACAACGGTTCGTCACGATAAAGAAAGGCGTCGTCCGGCAGAGTCCATCTCCCGCCGTCCCAGTATCAAGACGCTCATCACCAAGGCAGTCTACACCACGAGCCTGCTTTCCATCGGATTTCTAGGCGGATCGTTCTTCACATTCAAGAGCATGCTGAACGCCGCTGCTGCTGCAAATGCTCCTGGCTCGGGCAAGTAGGGACATTTCAGGTCCGATCATTCAGCTTCCCGCTTCGTCTCTTGTCTCTGTTCGCTTGGTCGGAGAGTGGGTGTCGACCTGCCTTGCTTGCTTCTCACCGTAACCATATCATCATGTTTCTCGTTCGCACAGTCTGTTTCATAGTCATTGTCACGCAAAGTATTCGCAATTCAAGTCCGTAGTCTCGCTCGCCGCTCGTGCTGTGTTTCCGACGTCATGTGCTATGGATGACCTGGCTTTGTGCTGCGTGAAGATGGCGACCGAGGTTCTTCACAAGATGTCAGTTTTAGGCTTTGACTACAGGCTCTCGGGCCCCTTTCTTGTAGCGGAAGTAGCGGGAGTAGTGTGTGTACATTCCTGACCAAGAGCGGGACTAAATACATGTTATAAGAGGCTAAGGGCAGAGGAAAGAACCTAGGTCCGTCTCAAAGGGTTAAATTGATTTCGAGTACTGTGATAAGAAATGAAAGTGATCTATATACAGAATAGGCAGCGTTACACTCTGTATTAGCTGTAGGCCGCTCAGAGTTGTGCAGGTAGAGGTCAGATTTGTGCATGAACAGGATGAGTGGGCATTTGGCTTTCCTGGACGATTGACAGCTTGGACTGGCTCTTTGCCATTGATTTGTGATCCAAGGCATTGGGGATATTGTATCTGCATGTATGCTGGATGGTCTGTGTCATCAGCAAGGGAAAGATAATCTGGGATGATTACTGACATGCCATCCATCCAAAGAAAGTTGGCAAAAGATATGAATCCTTGTCAGTGAAGGTTGAGAATGTGTTGCTTGTGGTGATTGAAGGCAGAGGGTGGAAAGAAGATGTTGTATGCTGGATGAAACCAAGGCAGAGCTAGAACTTCTTGCAGGCTAAGGTCAGCCCAGTTGATGTTAGGGGAAATGCTAAGTTCAAGCTCATGAAACATTTGAAGGATTGATGACAGATAGTAGTGGTTTTTGTTAAGGTGTGCAATGTCCCAGGCCATTGAGTACCTTGTAAGAAGAATTGAAGGAGGAGTGCAGCATGTTTCTTGTATGTGGTGAAGCTCAAGGAGTCCATTTGGACACTGATTGTGCCGCGCTACCTCTGGACAGAGTGCCCACAGTGTCAGAGGTCGAATGCCTGAAACTCGAAATCTGTAGTACAGTCGCACCCAAAATAGCCCAGTGTCAGAGGTTGCATGCCCAAAACCTGATATCTGTAATAGAAACACATCTATTACAAATCCTGTTGAGATATGCAACAATGCTTGAAGTATTATGATTCTTGCTGAGATATGTAGTAGAGACATCTCTATTACTTTTCTTGCCTGAAGATGTAGTAATGGTTTTGCTATTGCAGGTTTTGACTAACCACTGTGGACACTCCATCCAGAGGTAGCTTGGCATGATCAATAACTGCTATGAACTGCTGTTAACACCAAGGTCTGGTGTGATTGTGATTGCTGTCATTGACATGAGTGTCCAGTGTGTTGACTGAGTGCTTGAGGTGATCCCCAGACTGCAGTGGACAACTGCCTTTGGTTCTATCATTATCCAGACTGCTGGTTTGCTATGAACCACCTTTGGACTTCAGTGAGCAGTGATACAACACACATGCTACAATGGAAGCAATCTACTTGATTGTGACTTTGCTGACTGTAAACTAATGTATACTTATGTGAAGTGATAACTAGTTATGTATGGTGTAGAGTGGATTGCAATCCACTCACTTGCTGTGGCAGGGGACATGGTTATATACCTTTTGTGTAGCATCACCCACAACACTGCTCCTCCTCCTTGTCCCCCTTAGGCTCCCCATCCACCTTGCAATGCTCCTCATTGACACCACTTCCTTGTCCCTTGTGGATGGATGGACCTCCCATTGCCTCCTCTCCATCAGGGGTCAGTCCCACCTCATCTGGGTGGTGACTCACCCCTTCTCATCACTCCCTGTCATCAGTGCCCACCCACTTCAATGCTGTGTAAGGCCCCTGCTTCATCTGGTGGTGACCCCAGCTGTCCTCACCACTACTCTGTTTATTGTGTGATCCTCCTTGCCATTGATCTCCATGGACTATGTCCTACGATCTTGTGTACTGCAGATTCTGGTGGGATTCATGATACCATCATGGCTCATGCCAATCTAGCTGGGATCTGCCCTAGAACCATTCCTTCTACAGCTCTCAGTGAACTCTACTGCAAGTCCCACAATCTGCCCAATTCCTCGATTCCTGTGCTCCCTTCATATGACTTGCTGGATCTTCCTGCTTTCTGCGCATCCAGGCCCATGACACCCAGCATCTAATTAATTTGATATGGTGTTTGTCATGGGCCTAGATGCTCAAGAAGCAGGAGGGTCACTGGTTCATATGGAAGGAGCACAGGTATCAAAGATCTAGTCGATACCAGTAGAGAGCATGGTCATAGTGCAGTCTCCATGGAGACCATGGACTCCTATGGACTCACATGCAAAGGAGGACATGAGCCACATGCGAGGAGGGCCAGGCACAGCCACGAGGAGGACCAAGCTCAAGGAACAGGCACAGCCACGAAGAGGACCAAGCTCAGATGGTTACCACTCAGGGGCTCGAGAGACAAGAGTCAAAGGAACTGTCACTGGTCAAAGGAGAAGGAGCAGTGTATAGGACACTAGCAGGCAGGTCCTGAGGAAGAGGAGCAGTGTCGAAGGAGTCGATACCACTCAAGAGGCACAGGGGTGCCAAGCAGGAGAGGCCCCTGAGCAGTACTCGATGAAGAAGGTACTCTCTGGAGAGAGAGCAGGAGCAGCATCACTGGCAATGCTGTGAAGAGGTATATAACCATGCTTTCTCACCATCATAGGTCGAGTGGATCCTCATCCACTCTACTCACCATACAACTAGTCAATACTTTAGAAACATAAGTACTCATTAGTTACAGTCAGCATAGCAGCAATCTATCAAGGTTGCTCCTCATAGTAGTGTGTGTGTTGTATCACCACTACCTGACGTCTGAAGGTGCCTTATAGCAGGTTAGCGGTCTGGAAATAGATAGAACCGAAGGCAGTAGTCCACTGCAGTCCAGGGATCACCTTCAAGCATCAAGTCAACACACTGGACACTCGTGTTGATGCCACCAACCTTATCACCAACACCATCAACCTCATTATCATCAACACTCACCAACCTTATCACCAACATCATCAACCTCATCATCATCAACACTCACACCAGACCTTGGTGTCATCATAACCGAAGCATTGATATTGATCATGCCAAGCTACCCCTGAACGGAGTGTCCACAGAGGTCAGCCAAAACCTACAATAGTATATACAACGAATGCCACCTGCTGTCACTGTGCAACTTGATAGTCACCAATACCGAGACAATAACTGTCACACAGTTTGATAGTCACCGAGTATCTCGACAGACCGACCTGGGTTTCAGGTGCGAGACCCCTGACAGGGGGGTTGTCTTGAGTTACCTGATTGGGGGGTGTATGGAGCTGTATCATTCATTGATGCTGGTAGTATGTCTGCCTTCTTCGTCATTTGTATGTTATTGGACATGGGTGTCAGCTATAGATGAGTGGGATTGGTGGATGTATCAGGTTGGATGTTGATGTCATTGTTGTGATCCAAGTTGGTTGTCGATGTTGATGTCATTGTCATCACCCTTGTTCCATCTGGGTGAGATTAGTGTTGGTCATCCTTTGTAGTTTATCAGCTATGCTCTGAGGGTCTTTAGTGACTATAACAGTCCTTTGGGTTGGGTAGCAAGGGTCAGTGGTTGTATCAAGTTGGTCATTGATGTCGTTGTCATCAACCAAGTTGTTCATTGATGTTGTTGTTGTCATCCTCATCCGATCTGGACGAGATTAGTGCTGATCACCCTATGTAGGGTACCAGCTATACTCCGAGAGTCCCCCAGTGACTACTGCAGTCTTCTCGGCCGAGCAGCAACCACTATCCTTTCGTCGTCGTCGTCGTCGTCGACAACGTCGAGAGTCCGGGAGTTGGGCTCGCTATCATCTACCATCGGAGGGGCTGTAGCTCAGTGGCAGAGCGTCTCATTTGCAACAACATCCCTCTGGATGCCGCACAAGTGTTGAGAAGGTCTAGGGTTCAATCCCCTACCGCTCCAACTTTTTGTACTTCTTGTTCGGGTTTCTCTTTTATTTTTTGCTTTTTTTACACGAGTTTTTGGCAGACTTTTTCTGAGCTACATCATTATGCTCTCGCTCAGTGATGTGTTTGAATTGAAGATTACAAGGTACGGTACTGTCCCTGTGCAGAAGTTTGAGGACAATCGGGTATTTTCCCGGTTTAGCCGGATACCCCGCATTCGGGTCGTTGTCGTCATTGAGCAATAGCACTACCATCATACTAAGCAAGAACACTTCAAACACCAACATGGTCCGTGGCAATGAGCTGTCATAGTAGATGAGTGGACTCTCCTCCGCATACCTCTTCTCGTAGATCTCTGTTCGCCATCAGCAATGGCGACGAGCCTCCTACGACAGTCCCTTCAGTCTCATGAAGTCGCATGAGTCCTAATGCATCGGTGGCGTCCTTCCGCGATGCGACCTGCGATATTGGTCGGATGGGCTCGTAAAATTGGTCAGAAGCCCGCGACTCGACGGATTTCGCGTTTCGTGCGCACCGCGCATTCGAATGCCTGTCCAGGGTCTTCTGCGCAGACCCTGTGACAGTATACATATATGATACAGCGACGTTGAGGCTGAAATATAATGGTGAAACTATGGGGGAACTATGCCGGCTATCTGTTAACCGGTATGCCGATGCCTGATCCCAGCGGTGGGTTCGGGCGTATGTGATATATATCCAAATGAGTGAAGTTGGCGAAGTGTGTGAGATCGAAAAGGAGTTCACATACTTTCACTGTGGGACACCTCGAATTCGCGGGAGAGCTTGTGCGCGAGCTGTAGAATGATGAACTGAGGCGCGACTCGAATCATCATCCGCCCAACCAAGATGAGCTTCATACACTTGCATGTGGCTAAACCCTGATCAGTTTTTTGTCTCTGCGTAAAGCTCGACGCTTGGGCCACATCCTCTTTTGTCTTTTTCAACCCTGCATCTTGCGTGGGCTGCGCATTGAGCAGACCCTTGACACATAGACAAGGCTCAGCAGGGGCAGTACACGATTCATTGTTCTAGCCAAGAAGAGCTAGCCGTGCACTTTGGCCATGCTGAGTCGACAATGTTGGATCAGTAAGGTGTGCTAGCATTGTGTTGTGAGGCGGTATAAGTACATGGCTTCAGATTGAAACCTGACCTTGCCCCAGCTATTCACCATTCGCTCCTTCTGCCCAACACCATTAGAACACCCCCTCTCTGCTGGTCTAGACTGGCATCGTCTGGTGTTGCGCTACCTCCCATCGGGACCACCTCCAAGCTCATCGGTTTGAACGACATCGCGAACGATAATCAAGATGACGGCCGAAACGACGGACGAGTTCGAGTATCGCCTCCTGTGGTCGCGCGGCCCCAAGCCTCAAATGTCAGGCTCTGACCTACACATCGAGCTTGAAACAACCGGTGTGCCCCCCGGCGGCGTTCGATGGGAGTTCTCCACCCTCTACCGACCCAGCAAGGCATGTTATCGAGACGTCCTGCTCCAAAAGATCCTCGAAATGTGCACAACCCACAAACTTACCGCAATCGACATTCGACAACCAAAAATGCGAGGCAACATTAATTTTGTAGATGTCATCTTTGCAACCGAAGCAGATGTCCTCAAGGTGTACGAAGAAGAGCTATCGTTCGACTTCTACGGAACCCAACCCAAAGTTGTCGACCGTGGCATTTGCGACCCTAAGTACGTTGCAGTGTGCATTCAGACGCTTCCTTCCGATAGCTGCCCGAAGCAAGTGTCGGCAGAAATCCGGTCCGATCAGAGGATCCGCAAAGCCGGCAAGGTGATGGATATCTGGGCGCTCCTTTGCCCTAAGTCCCGACGCTTCAAGGGAAAAGTGCTTATGCTGCTGGAGCTGCACACGCAGAATGGGGTTGTGAGTCTCGAGACTCGCGCTGCCGTTCCTGGTTGGATTGTTATCAACAAAGTCGCCTACCTCGTTCGCTTCCCCGATCGCCCTACTTGGTGTTTCCACTGCCGATACGACGAGACGGCTCCTTTCCACAGCCAGCATGCTTGTCCCGCCGGCCCCTGTAGCTGCTGCAGGCAGAAGGGTCATGCATCGGTGGCATGCCCTAAGCGGCAGGCGCAGATTGCAAAGAAGAAGAAGAAGAAGGCGGACGAGGACGAGGACGGAGATTCCGGCACTGACGACGACCGCATGCCACGAGCAGTCTCGAATGGTGGCGAACGAGCGTCGATGGAACGACATTTTGCCGAGTTGAGTATCCGGGATGAAAGCGAGGAGGCTGAAGAGCTGGCGGGAGACTTTGGCGTGTTGGCACTTTCGGAGGATGATATTGGCAACTAGGCGAGAAGGGTAGGGTGAATCTGATGCGTAGTCATGCTGTTGATGTGACTTGAACGAATGCTAATGTTCCGAAGCCCTTCAACACGTCTGTGGACTTTCTTGCAAAGCTGCCATCTGATGTTTGACGTGAAACGAGAGCTCGTCAGCAGAAAGATAAGATCGCTGAGAGAATGGATCAGATGCAGGACTGCTACTGCCGGTTGCTTCTCTTGCCGCATTCATGCTCTTATTGAGAGTTATCGATGTAAGTGCAGACCTTGGTCTTACTGAAGATCTAGACAGTGGAGTTGGTGAAGCAGTCGTACTATGCGGATCTGTTGGCAGTCGTTTGGGCGGCTGCTTCTTCGAACTTCCCCTCTCTGGCGCGATGATGTTGCCCACCGACAGACTCGCAGATTGATCCGCAGGCAGCACATGATCTAGCATATCACCCATCTGCAAAGACCTCGAATTGGGTAAAGGTGAAGTCGAGTGTGTTTCTTGCCGCAACGGTGTATGGTCGATCTTGCCGAATACGTCCTGGTCGTCCAGTACACCGGATGCGGTTGACGTTCGTACTTGGTTCTGCAGCGAGCTTGATGCGACGGGCGAGACGAAGTTAGGCACGTTTGCTGAGCTGTGCGGAGCTGTAGGGGTGTTGTGGAATAGACGCCGAGAGGAAGGTTGGTCTTGGAAGCAGGAGCTATCTATGCTGCTTGTGCTTGTGCTTGTGCTGAGTTCTATCATGATTGGTTGATGCATGTTGGCTCGGAGAGGTGGCGATGAAGGTGCTGATGTGCGAGAAGAGGAGGAGGAGGCGATGATGGGAGGTGGAGATTCGAGAGTTATACCGGCCATGCTGCTGTGGATTGATATGGATGCTTCGGGTGAGCCGAGGGGTGGTTCGGAGGTTGATGATGAAGCTTAGAGTCCCATGGTTGCTGAGTGTTGATGAGACGGTTCGCTGAAATGAGTTGTCGATCGAGGTCTGGTGACTTGCCTTCGGGATCGTTTCCGAGAGCTGAACTTGGGGCGTGAGAAGCTATGGCTTCAATCGAGGGCGTCGTTGGGAATGTGGTAGAAGAAGAAGTCGCGATCTAGCGACGAGACCAAGCGGAGAATGAGAAGCTAGAGTCGGAAGAGCCGAGTAAGAGATTTGACTCTGAGCTGTGATCCTAGCAAGCATTCGACATTCACACCGGACAGCTCCACTGAGTGTACATATGCACCCGATCGAAAGACAGCGGGATCCAGCGGTTGTCAGCCACTCACTTTAGACTAGGCGCTCAATGCGCATAGAAAGAACAAGGTGTGCAGTCACTACTGTATGGAGCGCTCCCTCTGATGTGAGTACTGGTGTACCGTATCCGATGAGAGGGGTTTTTATTGAAGCTGTACGAAAAGTCAGCTTCGGTGTTGAATGCATGTGTGCAGATGGCGAGAAAATCATGCTCTGCTTGCCAACAACCGATGTGCGTTGCCAGCCAGTCGGGCATTTTTCTTTTTCGAAAAGAGCGAGAACAACACCTCCTACAGCTCTCTTCATGAAAACGTTTGCTGGGTCAGGCACGTCGCCTGCTTTTCGTGTGGCTTTTGCTGTCAACTCAGATCGAGAAAGACTCATTTCAAAATTTCAATCCGGCACCCGATCCCGATCCCGATCCCGATCCCGATCCCAATTCGCTGTTGTCCGAAAGCTCTTGGAACTGGACCCTGAATGCACACTTTTCTTCTTGCTGTCGATAACTTATCGAACCGCACCTTGCTCCAACCTCGACCGTACCTGCCGACATGTCGAGTCGGTTGGGACCACAGCAGAAGTCACATGACCATGTCAAAAATATCGCAGGACGGAGATCTGGATGATCCGTTCCTGCTGCTTCTTCGCAAACGGGCGATCGAGTTGCGCGAACGACTAGACATCCCCTTCTCGCACGATGATCGGGATGATGGGCAGCACTGGCCAAGATGCCTCGCGAGGCCGCCTTCCGTGGACGAGTTCCGAAAGATAGTGGAAAGACATGTACCAGTGCTCATAAACGGATCTATGGACGATCGCGCGGAGCTTGCGGTGAGATGGAAGGACACCGACTACTTAGCGGAACGCATGGGCGATCGAAGCGTAGTGGTTGCCATCACCCCTGACGGACGGGCAGATGACCTCGTAGTGCATCCGAAGGACGAGAAGCCGGTATTCTCACTTCCCTTGGAGCGGAGAATGCCCTTCTCGGAGCTGCTTGAACGTCTATCCAAACAGGTGCAGGGCAAGAGCAACACCATCGCATATCTTCAGTCACAGAACTCCAACTTGAGCGTGCAGGAGTATGGCGATCTCTCGCCACTTCTGCAGGATCTTGAACTCCGCACAGGTGCTGAAAGCACTGAGGCTGCAGAGACAAACCGCAGCGATCTACCCTGGGCAACCGAAGCCATCGGATATCCACCCGAAGCAACCAATCTTTGGATCGGCACATCGGCGTCTCGAACCTCGATGCATCGCGATTACTACGAGAACCTCTTCACAGTCGTTCGAGGCTGCAAAGAGTTCACCGTCTATCCTCCTTCCGAAGCTTGTTTCCTCTGTGACGATCAAGAGTACCATATCCACAACTACAACACAGACGAACAAGGGCAGCTGGTGTTGCGACCGGATCAGAATGGCGCAACGACAAGGTGGATCCCCATCAATCCGACTTTGCCCAAGCATGCCGCTCGCAACGCACCCTTTGTGCATCGCGACCTCAACTCGATATCGAAAAATGCACCCAGACGACCACACGGCGAGCAGACCAAATACGGCTATGCATTACCTGCGCTCAGGATCCGTGTCCACGAGGGCGAGACGCTCTACTTGCCGAGCGGCTGGTTCCATCACGTTTCGCAACAACAGGATCAGCAGCTGGTTTCAGTCGATGGCAAGCAAGTTGATCGAGGTCTCTGTCTTTGTTTGAATTGGTGGTACGAGATCTCGGATGAAGTAGCCATTCAGCTGGAAGAGATGAACCTCGATATACCCTCGTAATGACACCACCAAATGCCGTTCGCTTGACCTGTCATGTGAAGTCGACTGCTTTTCTGCCTGGAATGCCGTGAAAATCTCCACTGCAAGCGTGGCTCGAAAATCATTGATGGGGCATCTAGCAGCTTACTACGATGCCAAGAGAAGCAATGTGAGCAACTGATGGCAGGAGGACACAAGACGTGCGTAGCGCTAGATTGCAATCCAGTCAAGAGCCTTCGCCGCTTATCGGAAGCCTTCCAACAGTGGTCGACGATCACACGTTCACTCGAGCTGGGGCTGCAACGGAATGCGGGGAAAATAGAGCAAAAGCTTGGACCCGCGTTTCTCCTCATCATGGCATCCACAGCCGCGGCTTCTGCCTAAGTCTGTCTTGCATTGATGCACAATGAAGCGCGAGAACTGATCGGAGGTCAGAGCAAAGCAGTACATGAATTAGAAGGTGCGGCAGAACAGACTGAGGTGGCCTGGCAACAGTAACAGCGGTTCCCATCAATTATCGCTGCTTCCGCAGCGGGGCCCAAGCTGGCTCATACAATGCCGGCCTCAAGTGCGACTTTGGTTTTGACCTTCTCCATACACATCTTACGCACCAAGCGAGCTGCATTCGAGACCCCCCACTGCGGCCTTCATCCTGCTCTCTTCTGCCTGGGTTCCAGATCCTCTCTCAGTCGTTGTGAGCTCGACTTGTCATCCTGCCATGCCATGCCTTCCTTTTCCGCTGCAAATGCCCGTGATTGCGCTGAATGTGTGTGTGAGCTCCTCTTGGATCCCCCGCACAATCCCCTAACAAGTGTAGTGGCGGCCTTGGGAAGACGAATGGCTGATCGTATACTCATCATCCTATATAGGTTTGACCGAGTCAAAATTTTCTACCCCGTCCCCTCTCACCCTACCTTTCCCTGCTTCCATCCGTAACGGCACTCCGTCGATCAGTAGCGGATTCAACAAGCTCTCCATCTTGATACAGAGCAACTAAAAGCAGATCCAACTTTGTAGCAAGACTCACCACAGCGTTCAAGAGACGTTGCAACATCTGCAATTACTCACCATGGTCACTGAAATCGGCCAGAAGGAGATCGAGATCCAGCCCGGATATGTCGGTAAGTGAAGCTTCCTGCTACACAATCTCCACTGCCACACGTTTCCCATGCAGTCGCTTCGGCATCTTCTTGGAGCAGACATGCTTTCAGAGCAAGATGTTCGGGTTCGTGCATGCTGCTGCTCTCGGTCCACTGCAGATTGCAGATTGCAAAAACAGAAAGACTCGCATGGAGTCTTCACATCTAAGCAAATCCGAACATTTGCTGAACTACATCATCATGTTTTGCTTTGGTATCGTACGCAACAGGCAACTTGACAGCCGAACAAGAAGAGAAGCTCCAAGAGCTTTGGATGAAGTTCTTCGAGACTTGCGAAAACGCCGACGACAATGATACCGACATGCAAGCCAAAACTAAAGGCGGCGGAGACCTTGGCGGCTGGGACGAGAAGAAGTCCGGCCCAGATGGTGCTGGCATTCCCAAAGACGACAAGGCCAAAGATGAACTTAAGGCGCGTGAAGAACAGGCCGCTCTCGACGAGCTTCTTAACACCTACGGTCCCTCAGCACTGCGCAACACATTCTGGAAATTCGTCAAGATGGACAATCCCGACACCGACGTCCTGCGATTCCTCCGTGCTCGAAAGTGGGACGTATCGCGAGCTTTTGCCATGATGGCTGGATGTATGAAGTGGCGTCTGGACAATAATGTCGAGGAGCTCGCTGAGAACGGTGACTTGGGTAACGACAAGATCGAGAAATTCTTGGAACAGCAACGTAGCGGCAAGACCTACGCCATGGGAACTACCGACAATGAGATGCCCATCTGCTACATTCACGTCAAGAAGCATCTCACGTGGGGCCAGCCTGCCGCTTCCATGTCCAAGTACGTCATCTACGCCATGGAGTCGTTCCGTCTGCTGATGCAGCCTCCCAACGACAAAGTCGTCCTTCTCTTCGATTTGACTGGCTTCGGTCTCAAAAACATGGACTGGAACTGCATTCTCTTCATTGTCAAGTGTCTCGAGGCGTACTACCCAGAGTCGCTCGGCACTCTCTACATTCACAATGCACCCTGGATCTTCTCCGGTATCTGGAAGCTCCTCGGTCCTATGCTCGACCCTGTGGTGCGAAGCAAGATCAAGTTCACCAAGAAGCCTGAAGACCTCGATCTCGTCCCCAAGGAGCGCCTTCTTACCAGCATGGGAGGTGAGAACACCAGTGAGTTCGAGTTCGTCGAGCCTGTCGAGGGCGAGAACGACCAGACCAAGGATGAAGAGGGCAAGAAGCGCACGTGGAACAACTACATGTCTGTCGCCAAGGAGTACGAACAGATCACACGCAAGTGGTGCGAGACAAAAGGTCAAGACAAGGAGATCGCCAAGAAGCGTGAACTTCTCGTCAAGAAGCTGCGCGTGGCACAGTTCGAGCACGAGCCCTACTTCCGCGGAAAGGCCATCTACCACCGTGACGGTACCATTGACGGTCAGGGTGTCGTGACATGGAACTACAAGCAAAAGAACGGTGAAGTGATCCGACACGTTGTCGGTCGTCGATCTTGCGTTGCAACGCTGAAGAAGGAGATTGAGGAGATTGAGGGTGGAGCTGACCCAGAAGAGATAGAGAAGCGCATCGGTGAGAAGGTAGAGTCGGAAGGGCTGGATGCTGTCGGAGGTGCTGCTGCTGCTGCTGGTGCCGCTGCTGCAGCCGACGCTACTGCAGATGATGACGGTGAAGCATTCCACGATGCCCCTGTTGCATCGATAGCTGCGACAAAGCAGGCCGTCGGTGCTGACACAGAAAAGGTCGTCTCGCACGACGAAGCAGCAGCCAAGAAACAGTCCAACGGCCACGCCGACGCCAGCAATGGCCACGCAAATGGTCATGCCAACGGCAGCCTCAAGAAAGCGACCAGCAGCCCCAACGCTAAAAATGCAGGCAGCACCGACTACAAGACCGAAGACGCCGCTGAGCGTCGCAGCCTCACAAAGAGTGGTAGCATCAAATCATTGAAGAAGAGCTCGGGCTTTGCCAAGCTCAAGTCGGTCATCAACCCCGGCAAGGCCTAAGCATGCTCTTGTCCTCTCAACCAACTCCAATGCTTCATGTCCCCGGCGTCTGTACAAGTCGCACTTGTTTCTCGGATACCGAAAGATCAATTGTTCGTTTTCTCTAATATGTAGTGTCTTCGTTACTCTGACAGCTCAATAGCTAGATACCTTGACTCTTAGATACCGTCGGCCTCGTTCGTGAAGCTGCAGGAATGTGCATGAGTCCAACTGACTAGGCCTGGCGCTTTGCATTGGCTTATCTCTTATTGGTCGCTGACTTATACCATTTAGGTTGTCAAGTCTGAGAAGAAGCACGTTATCGGATCCACAACTACGAGGGTCGTTCTGTTCACATCAGGATCAAGGTCAACAGCCAGACCGTCAGTTCGTCCCTACCCGATAACGAGACCGAAAGCTTTCTTTCACCAGTGAGAGGTCAGGGAAAGGTGAGACTGCAGCCTAATATCAGTGTTGACACTGGTCGATGAGAAAGGACTGTTGTGGTCGTGATGACTGGCAGGGTCGCCCTTTCGCTGTGATTCCCAATCATATCTCCTCGGATTCGCCGGGCCCGCGGAAAGGGTTCAAAGCAGAACAATTTCGCAGCGCACGGCCGTGTTTGACAGCCTTTCACTTCTCTGTGCACACCTTTCTTCCAAAAGATCCGCAACCTTCATCGCGATCCGTGCATTGCAGCAGGGAAGAAGGAGGAAGGGCATGGCTGCAAAGGCCCGCCGACCGACAAGGTCGTCATGGCCGACCCTTCTGGTCAAACCGAGCGCTCCTGTTCGGGTCGCAAGACCTTCCCCACGGAGCACAAAGGACAATCCTTCCGCTTCACATGGGCAGCAAAGCAACCATGGCTCCGACAAGAAGCAGTTTGTCGCTCGACAGCAGCCAGGACTCTCGCCGCCCACAAAAAGCCTCGTTGTCCCTTCGTATCATTCTTCTCGACTGCAACGTCTTCATCGAGCTCTGTTTGATAGCACTCACTCCAGTTCATTGTCGTTCAACAAGATGGCGCCGATCGCAGTATCCCCAAGATCAGCACCGGCAGTGCCCAGCAAGCCAGTCGACGCAAGCACCGCGAGGAAAAATGCAAGAAAAGTCAAGTTCGCATCGTTCGATGTGACTGACCAAGTCTTTTACCGATCAGCAGATGGCTCTTGCTCTGCGATTGTCAACCTCAAGCCCATTGTACCTGGACACGTGCTCGTCATCCCAACAACACCATATCACAGGCTGTTTGAAATTCCGACAGACAACATCGCAACACTATTCCAGAGCGTTCAGGAGATCTCAAGAGGACTCGAGAAGGTGTTCAATGCCGACGCTCTGACTGTCAGCATTCAGGATGGCGAAGCTGCTGGTCAGACTGTTCTCCACCTCCATATTCACATACTGCCCCGCAAGAAGGGCGACATTGAGCCGAATGACTTGATCTACGAGCATCTGGAGCAATGGGGCTTTGATATCCAGAAGCTCCTCAACAAGGATACTGTCCACAAGGTCGACGCTGATGAAGACAGGAAGCCGAGGTCGAGGGCAGAGATGCATAAGGAAGCTGCTTTCCTCAGCTCCTTCTTCACCATTCAAGGCAAGTTCGATGCCAGCAAGATCGAAGCATTCCACTCGGCACTAGCTAAGCGAGCCTCAGAAACCCAGCCATCCGTTACACAGAAACGCTCTCGAGTTGACCGCCTTCCAGTGACACTACTGAGCGGCTTCCTCGGCGCAGGCAAGACAACTCTTCTCGAACACATCCTCACGTCAAAGGATCACGGCCTCCGTGTCGCCGTCGTTGTCAACGACATGGGCGCACTCAATATTGACGCCTCTCTTCTCTCCAACCACCGCGTCACTCAAGCAGAAGAAAAGGTCGTTCAGATGCAGAATGGCTGCATCTGCTGCACGCTGCGCGGTGACCTGCTCGAAGAAGTAGCCACACTCGCGTCTAATCACGAGATCGACTACCTCCTTATCGAAAGCACCGGTATCTCAGAGCCAATGCAGGTGGCTGAAACATTTTCGGGAGAGTTTGCAGACATGTACACGGAAACGGCACAGGATCTCGAAGATGAGATTAGCGCCGAAGCGCAGAAGAAAGAAGAGCACGAGAAAGTCGCTGCTATCCTTAAACAGGGCGGACTGCCTGCTGTTGCCCGCCTCGATACTTGTGTTACTGTTGTCGACGCAGTCAACCTTTTCAACGACTACAACACCACCGACTTCCTCGTTGACAGGCATAAGGATGATCACGATGTGCCGGAAGAAGATGATCGCAACATCAGCGACTTGCAAACGGATCAGCTCGAGTTTGCAAACGTCATTTTGATCAACAAGTGCGATCTCGTACCGCAAGCTGAAGTAGACCGAATCAAGTCCTTCATCCGATTGCTGAACCCAGATGCCAAGATCATTCCAACTACCCGTAGTCGCGTCGACCTCAAGGAGATCTTGAACACCAACTTGTTCAGCTACGAAAAGGCTGCACTGGGTGCAGGATGGCTGAAGAGCTTGAACGAAGAGATCAAGCCCGAGACGGAAGAGTACGGCATCGGCAGTTTCGTGTATAGAGCAAGGAGGCCGTTCCACACCTCAAGACTCTGGCAGACGATCAGGGAGGTCTTTGTTGTCATCCAGAGCGAGTTCGTCGACGATGGTGAGGAAGAAGATGGTGAGGAGGAGATGGAAGATGAAGACGCCGATGGTGAGGAAGAAGATGGTGAGGAGGAGATGGAAGATGAAGACGCCGATGGTGATGATGCTTCCGAGATGGAAGTCGAAGCTCAGCCTCAGCTCAACCCACAAGCGCGTCTGGAAGCTAAGAACGCAAGCTCGACTTTCGGTCCCCTCCTTCGCTCGAAAGGCTTCATCTGGCTAGCTACACGTCCACTCATGTTCGGTGAATGGTCTCAAGCAGGCATCATGTTGACTCTCCAAGGTGGTGCACGCTGGCGATGCGAGCTGGACGAATCGATGTGGCCCTGCGATAAGGAAGTTGTCGAAGCGCTCAAGAAGGACTTCGAAGGTCCATGGGGCGATAGGAGACAGGAGATCGTGCTCATCGGTAAGAACATGCGTGATGGAGGCGAGAAGAGACTTCGCGAGGCTCTCGACAAGTGTTTGCTCACGGATGAAGAGATGAAGCAATGGGAGGAGATCATGACAGACGAAAGCAAGGATGTAAAGGAAAAGGAGCAAAAACTGCAAGAGATCTGGGAAGATGGATTCGAGGATTGGCCCGATCACGAAGATCCAGATGCTCGTGAGGGGCATGTTCACTGAGTGTTTACCTCTCCTCGTATACACACCCACACTCCACAGCCCAAAGGCGATCCAAAAGTCAAGCCAGTCTGGGTCACTTCGATCGGCATAGTCACCACTAGATGTACAATGCTTATAGAGTAGCGATCTAGAAGAAGCAGTTGCATCCGACCTGTTTGTCTAGATTGATCGCTCAAGTGAGAGAAGCGAGTTGTGAGCGGAAGGCGATCAAACCCGCCTTCACTCATCAACGAGTTGCCATGTTCTATCTGACTCACGCCTTCCAGCCAAGATCGACATCGGCAACGAAATTTGAGCTTTCACTGCCCTCATCGACATGTGGCATAGCGCTCTAATTACAACTCGACATCTACAAGCAACTCTAATCCCGTTTGGCACCTGTGTGACGGCTGTTTCACCGACATCATGGGATTGAATGGCAGGGTCTATGGCCAATAGCAAGCCTTGTCGTCTTGATCCATCAAAGCCGTTGCTCGGAACGCACACTTCCGTGCTTCCGTGTGCGCCTGTCGCCGCGCAAAGCCATCCAAACCTCCTTGTAGCAAGCATCAGCGAATGCAGCATTGCCGGTCGCTGAATCTAGACGGCTAGCGCCGGTCGGTCGGTCGTCCGGTCGCTAATTCTATTTCATCACTTGCCACGTCACCTACCACAATACATCACACTTCTCGACAGAAGATGCTCCGGCAAACGTGCATATCTCGTGTGCATCGGTGATCAACTCGTTTGCCGGCATGCGCAATCAATACATCATCGTGCGCTGAAGAGAATGTATGAGAAGGTACGCATTACCCGATGCAGGACACGATTGGAAGCACGCGAGCTAAATTTAGACTTTTCTTCGTTCCTCGGCGGCAAAGCGCGTGTAGCACAAGGCGCCCGTCGTCAACAAGTGACGTCATAGATTGGAGGGAAAACGTGGGGAAAGTCGCACACAATGAGCGGGAAAGGAGAACACGATCCACGTCTCATCGTCCGCAAAAGTGCTGGACGAGTCTCTCAACACATTCTATGCAAAACAGACGTGTGAAAGCCCAACTGTCTCTTACCTGTGCTTGTGCTCGGATCAGGCTACAGAAGTGATGCCATTCCGCAGGTCTGGCTTGTGCTCAGGTTGCACAGCCAACTAAGATCATGACGCTCGCTTGCATCTTTTGGCGAGGTTAGGGTCTAGATTGACTCCAACGTGATGGTATGAGTGTGTACGTGTGCGTGTTGCTAGGGTCTCATTTGTTTGCCACTCGAGCCTTGCCTTCCACTGTTGGTCGCTGTTGGTGTGGCCGAAAGTGACGTAGCGAAGAGCGGTACTAGCCTTTCACTCACCAATTGCAAGATGGCCTCATTGCTTCAGAATTGCCTTAGCAACTGCCGTAAGCTAGAACTGATAAAACACTAAAGCTGGCTCACGCTCGGCGGATGCAAGTACAGGAAGTGAAACGTTCGGCATGCGAATAAATGGGCGGATCAAGCAATCCGAACCAAAGTTTCGTGAATCTGTGTTGCAACTGCCAGAAATAGTGACTGCTTCTGCTCGTTCTACCTTGGTACGAGTCGGATGCCGGCAAAGGCAAGGCAAGGCAAGGCAAGGCAATCCTCAAAAGAATGCAGAGTGACGGTGTGGACAGGCTTCTGCATGCACAACTACAGGCGACGACGGTGAAGCGGAGTTGCGGGTCGAAGTTGAACGACGTCGCCTTGTTGGCGCCCTCTCTCTCACTCTCTCTCCCGCATACACAGTAGGAGAATAGGCATTTCCGTACTTCGCCTTTACCCTCACGGTCACGAGGGTTGGGTTGAGTCCAATCCTGAGTGAACCCCAGTCAGAAAAAGCATATAAGGATCCACTTTCCGCCATCCGCCACCCCAATCACTCATCACGCAAACACAACACAAGCTCCCTCACACAAACCACATACACAAACAATCTATCACGATGTCTGAGCCCTCCAAGGTCAACGCGTAAGTCTCTCTCGCCCTCACTCTGCACACATGTACACTTTTCGGTCAGTCGCTGACATATTTCGTATCCCATCTCACCTCGTATCGCAACACACAGTAACTACAACTCCGTCGCCGGTACCGTCAAGGAGACCATCGGCAACGTCACCGGCGCCACCGAATGGCAGAAGGCCGGTAAGGAGCAGCACGCCAAGGGCGAGGCCGAGTACAAGGCCGCCGAGGCTCAGGGTTACTCCGAGGGCACCAAGGACCAGGTCTCTGGTAAGGTCGACAACGTCGTTGGCTCCATCACTGGCAACAAGGAGAAGGAGCTTACCGGTAAGGCCAGGCAGGAGAAGGGTGAGACCCAAAAGGACATCAACTCCTAGACTTGCTCTTTATCAGCCGTACTTCCGAAGGACCTTTTCATAACGTCGTACCCGATGCAGTAATATAAATCCAACACCCCGATCAATACCGTTTCCGTTTGTTCATTTGTCGCGATGCTCACGGAGACTGTTGATCTTGTCGACTGCTTGAACTTGATTTGCAACACCATATTGCATTCCTTGATGACAAAGCTGGTCTCGCACCATGCGTGCCCTCTCAGGGTTGCTTATATGGGGCACGTCTCGATCTCCCACAACGGCACACAAAAACATCTAGACTCAATCGAAAGTACTGTTCTTTCGTAAATCAGATGAGATTTGGACCACAACGGCTATGTATAAGTCTGTGAGTGCTAGCTAATGTCTGTTGGTATGTATGCCGACCGGACAAGATTACGGCGGTTGCTGCTATCACAAGCGCACCAACAAGAAATGCGATGGTCGAAATTCCGATTCGAGAATGGTTGAACTTGCCGCGAACCAATGTTGCCTGCACTGAAAAGTATCTGTAACATCCCAGCAGCAACGCAATCACACCGAGCAGAATGGATGATCCTCCCAACGGCTTGCCTCTGCAGTCACATAGAACCGAATGGATGAACAACACGGTTCGACACAGGATGCACTTTTGGATGCCAAGCTCTAAATTTCAGCATCACGATGCAGAGAGGCTCGATGTCACGCCTGGGTACCCTCTCGCACGAACACTAGCTGTACGAGAATACTCAATTGATATCCTCTTGCACGAATACTCGTCGCGCAGGAAAGTTCGATACCTTGCATCAAGTGTGATACCTATCTTGCAAATCTTTGCTCTTACGATCTTGCTTGTACGGAAGATAGTACTTAAACCAGCTTCCATCTAGATCTCTTCTTTCTTGCAATCCATCAACTTACACCATTACGTCGCGCATACAGCTTGCGCACGTAATAACGTAACACTCGAGCACGCCAGACGATTTTTGATTTCTCACAAGACCAACAAAAAAGGTTCCAGACTTGTGGACACGTTGTGGGTGAAGGATCGATCTGTTAGATTGTTGTTGTGCGAAGGCAAAGCTGTGTGTGTATGCGAGAAGCGGTCTCAGGCCGAATTCGTCCTTCAGCCTCCACACAGTTGTGTGCTCTCCAGGCACTTTCGCAGCCTCACGCGAGCCAGCTGTGATCCGTGCGTCGATGTTAGGGGCGAAACACACACACACACTCTCTCTCTCCGAAAGCACAGCCGGCGTCGTTGCTTGTCAGCCATTGCTCCTCTCATCGTAGCACTTTCCACCTACAGCATCCCCACCAAAGACAGCGCAGCGCTTATCCTTGCCCTGGACACACGAACAGATTGGACACGGAAGAGCGCTTTTCCCAGGATGCCGACTCCGGCCACCTTTCCGTACCTGGCCAAGGCTACGATCAAGTACAAAAGTCCACACAAACAGGATCTCACCTTCGCAAAGGGAGAGACAATTCGTGTCACTGGTATCGCTCCAAAGACCGATGCAACTGAAGAGGATGGTGATGACGAGGATGATGATTGGTTGATTGGAGAGACGCTAGATGGATCTCGCAGTGGTACCTTCCCTGGAAGTTTCGTCGAGCCATCCGACGAGGTAGATGAAAAGCCTTCGCACGCGGCTGAGGCTACAATTGCAGAGGCCACGGCACCTCCATCTGCACCTGGTGCGATCCCGAGTGATGCACCCACCGACCATGAAAGCTCAACCATCGAGGAGTCTCCTGCGCATCAAGCTGACACAATCCCAGAGGCTGCACGGGAGGCTGCCAAGAAGGGCGAGACCGAAGAGGCTGGCTTTGGCGCTCCTTTGCCGCCTCGCCCACCTTCCCCGGATGCCGATGAGGCGGAAGCTTTGGAGAGTAGCGAGGACGCTGCTCAACCTGAAGTAAAGGCAAACGATGCTGCCGAGAACACAGGTAGCGGCTCGAAGCCAGCTGTCGGTGCCGCCGCTGCTGGTGCTGCTGCTGCCACCACTGCTGGAGTTGCCAGTATAGCTGCTGCATCTTCCACAGAAAGCAAGCCGGGAACATCGACAGCCGCAAAGTCTCCTCCTGCCATAGCATCCAAACCACCAGCCATGTCAAGCTCCTTCCGCGATCGACTTGCGGCCTTCAACAAACCAGCCGATCCGGCTCCACCTCCCATTCCCAAAGCCAGGCCCGGAGGATGGAAGCGACCCACTCCCGCTGCTACCGAGACCAAGCCAGTGCCTCCTAGTGCGCCAGCTGTCTCCTCCCCCGCTGCTTCAAAGCCACGACCCGTGACTTCTCCCTCTACCGAGGCAACAGAGCCACCAACCTCGACCGAGTCGTCCAGTGGTGGAGGTGGAGCTTTCAGCGCAGCCGACGCTCAAAGCAGTATCAAGATGAGCTTGAAGGAGAGAATGGCTGCACTGCAACGCAACGAAGCAGCTGCAAACGAGGCTGCCGCTCCTCAGCTCAAGCCAAAGCCTTCGGTGCCTGGTAAGATCGGAGCTGATCGTAGGAATGTTGCTCTCCAGGGCATGGGTCTTGCTCCTGGTGCCGCAGTACCGACTAGGAAATCGAGCGCCGAAGCTAGTGCCGATACTGGGGATGCTGCTGCTGCTGCTGGCACCACTACAGAGCCTGGAATTGTCGATCCAGAAGCCGCACCGACCAAAGCTGATCAAGCTGAAAACGACGCAGCTGACACTGAGGGAAAGGATGCAGCCGTCGATGAGGGAGGCGAGCAGGCTCAAGAAAAGACGGACGAGCCAAAAGAAGCTCTCACAGAAGAAGAGCAGGAAGCCGAACGACGCGCTGCGATCGCCAAGCGTATGGCAGCACTCGGTGCTCGTCGCATGGGTGGTGCACCCGTGCCTTTTGGAGCGCCTGCACCACCTAAACGCACTGGTACATCTGCCAGCATTGGATCAGCCGAAGGAACGTCTTCTGAGCCTGGCATCAGTATACCCACCGAGTCTTCGGCCTCAGCAGCTGTCGAAGATGCCGAGGAAGCTGCTGTCACCTCGCCTGTCGCAACTGAGGACAGCGGGGTTCGCTCGAATGCCGGGCAAGATGTCGCTGGTGAGGAGCCTAAGATCCTTGCCGTGCCCAGACGAACTGCTGCACCTCGCAAGAAGAAGCCGGTGCCACAGGCTGCTGGTGCCGGTGCTGGCGTTGCAGTTCTGGGAGATGATGTGGCTGCTGAAGAGTCAGAGACTGTAAAGACTGCTGGTGGGGCCGAGGCAGAGGTGAGCCATGAGGTGGAGTCTGAGCAGACAACTTCTGCAGCAGCTGTCGACGCCGACGAAGTGACGCCCGCTGACGAGCCTGCCGATGCCACCAAAGCAACTCAAGACAATGCCGGGCCCACGTCGGCCCTTGCGTCTCATGAAGCGGACGGTGCCCGCGAAGCAACCCAACAAGACACAGCTGGCGATGAGGCCGTCGAAGACGACCCAGAGATCGCTGAGAACCAGCGTCAACTTGAAGAGTACCTGCGTGGCGAGGGCTTCTACGAGGATCAGGTCGGTGCTGTAGCACCGCACGACGGCGCTGGCGCTGCTGTGGACGACTATGCACAGGCACCAGGTGCTGCTGCGACCGGTGGCGTGCCTCCAGACGATGTCACCTCTCCCAAGCCCCCTAGCCGACCTCCTAGCACTCGACCTCCCATCCCCAAGACGAGTCTTCCTCCTCCACCAACGTCTACCGAGCAAGACGGTGCGGCTATTGGACGTATCGCAAGCCCTCCAGCTGCTGGGTCGCGACGTGGAAGCTTGATCCCACCTGTGCCGACAACCCCTCTCCCAGTGCCGGTAGAGTCTACTGCTGAAGAGACTGAGGAGCTCCAGTCGAGCGTAGCGCAAGCCGAAGACGAGACTGAAGCTGCCACTGGTCCAGTGCTTGCTGCTCCACGCCCAAGGATGGCTATTGCCACTGAGGATCCTGAGGATGAGGAACTTCTTGCTGCTGCCGCTTCTGCTGCCGACGAGACGGCTGAGGCAACAATGCAGGCGGCCTCTCAAGCCGAGCCTGAACAGCAGCCGCAGCAGGAAGATGAGCTCTCTGAAGAGGAACAAGAAGCACAGCGACGTGCCAATCTTGCTCGTCGAATGGCCGCTCTTGGAGGGCAGAGGATCGGTGCTTTCCCTGGTATGGCTCCACCTCCTATTATGGGAGCACCTATGCCTGTCAGGAAGGCTGCTGTGCAGACTGAGGAAGCGGCTGAAAAGCAGCAGCAGCAGCAACAGACTCCTCAGGGCGAGAGCGAGCTTTCTTTTGTGCCTCGAGCAAAGTCGCCTGGTGCTGCTAGTGTTGAAGCTCCTGTACGACTTGCAAGTCCACCTCCTATGCCCACTAGTCCACCTCCCAAGCCTATGTCTCCTCCACCGCCTGCTCGAGCAGTCCCAGCACCAGGTGAGGCAGCTTCCCCATCCTCCCCAGTCCCGGCCACATTGCCGGGTGGTCGATCAATAAGTACAGTCCCCATGGCCAACTTGGACGAAGCCATCCGCTCCGCTAGCCCCGCGAACAGCAGCTTAGGCAGACGCCCTTCCATGAAGCCTCCCGTTCCTGCTGGTATCAGTGCCTCACACTCGCGTGATAACTCCCTCGTCGTAGAAGGGGAGGAGGAGCAGCGTGAATTGGCTACAGGTCCACCACCTTTGCCTGTTAGCCCGCCACCTTTGCCCGTCAGCCCACCGCCTCGTCCTTCCTCGAGAGCTCCACCTCTGCCGGGAAGTCATGGTGGTGTGCCTCCGAGAAGACAAGGTTCTTCTGCATCGTACGCTTCGCATGATTTGCCTCCGATCCCTACTACTGCTTCTCTGACGGTAGAACTACCGACGCCGCCCATCCCAGCGAGGACGGAGTCTAGTCACCCCCCTTCCCCTCCCTCTGCTGCCCCCGCTGCCGGTGGTTCAAGTGTGAGCATCGGCGCACGCCACTCATCCCGAGATCTTGACCTGATGCCTTCCTCTCGATGGTGGCGTCATGGATTGAACCCTCTCCGACTTCCACCTTCAGTCGCTGGTCGACCCGATGCAATCCTTTACGCTGACACTTCCTCGAACCCTGACCCTAACACGGGGGTTCAGGTGCACAATGCGGAAATCTTTATCCTATTCGAAGACTACTCCACCACAACCATCTCTCTCTTTTTCCAGGATGATGATTTGGATGAAACACAAACCAAGTTGGAGCAAAGGCATAGTTTCCCACCTCCCAAACCATCCCAAGCTGACCTGAAACAATGGAGTGCCAACATGGGTGCTACTGTAGCTAAACTCGCTTCTGACGCTGCCAAAGCAGGCAACGGCATTGGCGATGGATCATCACGCACATTCATCCAACACATCCTTGCCCAAACACAAGCCTTACCACCAGTAGGACTCTCTGTCGGAGCAACAGTATTGACGCAAGTAGGACCCACCTGTATGGAATCCAACGATGAACCTCGGCCAGGTGACATTGTCTATTGCGCAAATGCGGATTTTAAAGGCAAAAAAGGTTTGGCTCCTTATCATGCACTTTATGGTTCACAATCAGATCCGTTGCTGGCGGTAGTGGTCGAGGTTGAGGCTAAGAAGAATAAGTTAAGATGCATTACTCAGGGTAGTGGGAGTAAAAAGGGAGGAGCGGTGGAAGAGATTAGTTTGAGAATGGACGATTTCAAGTCTGGAATAGTAAAGGTTTATAGGGTAGCTCCTCGAGTTGGATGGGTTAAGGATTGGTAGTCGTCGATGTCGTCGTAGGATTTGGAAGTTTCACTTTGCAATCAAAACATCTTGTTCTCCCTTTCGAATTGCTTTCCAGGTATTGTTTCTGTATTGGCGGGTGTGAAGAGTCTAGAGAGCCGGTCGTGGAGCTTGCATGTCGCGAGGTATCATCAGCAAGAACAGAAGAATCAAGCGGATTACGAGAAGAGATGAGGCTGCATTTGAGAACCGAACAAAGAAAAGAATAAAAGTACAAAGCCTAACTCGTCGGTGCACAAGACGGGTACAAAGTCGAACCAGACGAAACAAAGGAACCCAGGTGAGAGGTTTAAGGATCGCTAACAGGTCCCAAACTAGCCCCGACACCTGAGGTGGTGGATTGAGGATTGCTTGCGGTCCAAGCATTTGCGAAATCGGTAAAATCGTATAGAGGGGCACCTAGGAACTGTTCCAATCCGAAACCTGCGCTTGGAGTTCCAACCGACATTACACCTTGTTGCTCAACCTCTTGTGCTTCGGGACTCGCAAACACCTCTGAGTTCTGCTGAGTATAGTCCCTAGTCTTGGGACGGGGCGAGGCATTGTTGGAAGCCATGCTACTAGGTGTAGGATAAGCAGCATTATGCTTTGATGAGTCAGCTTCGTTGGTATTGTTAAAGAATACGTTGGGGCTGAGGAAAGGTGTGAGGCCGCTATGCATAGATTGAGGTGTGGGGGGCAGATTGTTGGATGGCGTACCGAATTGCATGAGATGCTGGGTTTGTGCTGGCGAGGGAGCAGTCTTAGCACTCGCATCAAAACCTGCGCTGGTGTTGGTGTTGGTGTTGGTCGGGGGCTGAACCATCGCCGCTGCCGGAGCCTGCGCTTGTGCTTGACCCGGAGCAGAAATACCATTCGCACCTTGCGTAATGATCCAGTTCCAGAACGAATCCATATCTGTCGCTGCAGCATTCGGCGCCTGACCAGTCGGAGAGCTAGCCTGCGTTGTCGAAGCACCAGCACCACCAACAGCAGCAGCAGCAGCCATATTACTGTTGTTAATCGCAGCAAGATCCGAACCTACAAAGTTGTTCGACTGCAAAGAATGCTGCTGCCTCCTAATAGCCTCTTTCGTCAACAGAGGCTCGCCGAAGCTAGAGACACTAGTGTTATCAGTACCATCACTACCACCAAACGCCGAGCCAGAAGCCTTGTCGTCCAGACCCGAAACATCCGACGATATGGACGCCGAACGCTCCTCGTGACCCGAAGACAGGCTGATATCGGTCGAACTACCGGGCGAGTTCTGTACCTGTTCCAAGAAGGCAGCCAGATCAAAGGTCTGACCGTCAGGAGGAGTGATCGGGTTGCTGAGCATAAGATCGACACCGTTGGGTGGCACAAGACGATTGGTGAGGTCGTTGTTGTTGTTGCTGATGCCATTGCTGGTACCGTCGAACGAGAAGAGGTGGTTGGGGAACGACATGGTCTGCATCATTTGTGGGAATGAGACGTCGTCAGGGTTATTGTTGTTGCCACTGCCGCTGTTGCCAACAGTACCGGACATGGAAAGAGGGCTAGGTCCAGAAGTGGGAAGAGTGGTGTTGTTCATACGGAACAACGAGGCATCGTCCTTGAGAGCGGTCACACCGTTCACCTCCAAAGCATGTGCGTTCTCAGCACCAGAAAGCGATCGAACAGCAGCCATAGTAGCTTGACGCTTGGAAGGATCATCGGTGAAAGAAGCAGCAGCGGCAGCAGCACCACCACCACCACCATCATCACCTCCTCCTCCTCCTCGACGTTGCTGAGCGTTACCATCCTCACGCGTCGCCAGTGCAACCCTCTGTGCAAGGCTCAACAAGTTCTTCCTACGCCCACCACCCGAGACCCCACCAGCACCTTCCTCATCACCAGCATCGACATCCATCTGACGCTTCCTCTTCGGCTTAGCTACCTCCTGAGGCGCAGTACCATCCTTTCGTGCCAACGCAGCGTTACCTGCCTGCCATCGCTCCTCTTCCTCCTCCAACAAGGCCTCGATAACACGGATACACTTCTTGGCAGCACAATCATTGCCGTCTACCTGCTTGAGAGCACGAATAGCCTCCGTGATCTCCGAACGCACCGAAACTCGATGATCCGCAGTCGGTCTCGTATGAAGCAAGTGCAAGGCCAACACAATAGCCGCCGAGAAACTCTGCATAAGGTTGACCCAGAGTCGATCGATGACGGTACATCTCGATCGGATCTTCTTCTGCATGTCCAAGATGGAGCGCGCGAGCAAGACACAGTTGGTGCGCGACTCTTTACGACTCGACAAATTGGGTCGGTGAATACGCAACAGCTTGCTAAAGACAGCTTGCTGGAGCAACCATCTTTGCACTTCGATACAAGTGACACGACCGATCTCGGATCCGACCTTGAAGAAGCTCGGTGCATTCTCCAACACGCCTCGGTAGAGGATATCGAGACGCTGTGCTTCAGCACAAGCAAGACGACGATCGCCACCGTTGGTAGCCGCGTGGAGCTCCCTTCGGAAACGCACATCGACATCTTCCTTGACGACCATGCCAAACTCGAGGTTGGACAAGACGTACGACATCTCGGTAAACTCCTCGCGCGGTCTGGGCGCAAGCAAAGGTGTCATCATGAGATCGTCATCATTGTAGTTACCCGGAAGTGGAGTGTTGAAGTGCTCGGTGCGAATGATGTAATCCTTCGAGCATCCAGTACCGGCAGCACTCCAATCACGGAAGACAAGTGCCCACCAAATACGCTTAGCAATTTCCCTACGAATGATGGTCGAAGACGGCTCGCCAGCACGCGGCTGCTTGTCCAGATCACCAAGACGATGCAAGCCCATCTCCTGCGCATTCGTGATAGCGATACGCAAGAGAGTAATGTTGGTGGAGCCTGAGTCAGTCTCACCACCACAGTTGGCACCCGAGACCGAGGTGAACAGATAGAGGAGCAAGATGGCCTGGATGACGCTCATGCTGGTCGAATTGAGGAAGTTAGACAGGACGAGGCACGTCTTGGCCGCCGAGTGCCATGCGTGGATGGTCTTGCCGTCGAAGAGGTGGTTAGCAGGTTGCCATTCGTCTTTCGGCTTGCATGGGTAGAAACGAAGACCCAAAGCAAGGACGGTGAGAAACATAGCGAGCCAGCCCGGATCAACGTGGTTGACAACACGAGCACGCTTCTCGACCGAGTCCATTGCATAGAAAGCCTCCATCTCACGCTTGAGACATGGAATGTGAACAACATGACCAGACAGATAACGAACGCGAGACTCGTACACCTCGATGAGCTGGTAAGCCATCTGCTTCGAGGGCAAACTCGAGCATATCGCGCGCAACACAGCCTCTCGTTCTGTACGTGGCCCAACGAGGAAAGGCTTGCCTTCTTCCGCGGCCTTCTTCTTGTCCTGTTCGAGCAGAACTTCGGCAGCAGCCCAAGCCCAACCCATACCCCAACCAAAGAGAGTGTCAGGTCCGCTCTTGCATTTGAGCAAGCCCGTGTTTGAGGTGGCGAGCTTACACGCCTCGGTCAAAGGCGAAGGCTCTTTGGACAAAGGCTCGTTGTTCTTGAGACATTTGTAGTCATTGGTGTGATCCGTGTTGCCGCGCTGAATGCTCTGGGATGAGTTGCCGCTATCATCATCGCGAGGGGTGCGACAGGCACAAGGAGGCTGGCCGATGCTGGTTTCGTCCACGTCAGATACAGCGGTGGATAGTGGCAGGGCCGTGGCGACGTAGCCATGCCCACCGGACGTCGAGATCGGAATTGCACTTGAGGCAGACTCATTGGGACAAGCCGATGGTGCGGCTTGGTCGAGAGACATGAGCCCAACTTCCTTGTCCTTTTGCAGACATCGCTCGAAGCGTTCGACGACGGCGGGGCCTCCCATCTCCGCCTCCTTTTCCTTTTGCAAGCAGTGCTCAAACTTCTGGCCCGTGGCAAGTTCATGATTGTTGGCGGTACCAGGGGCGGATTTGAGTGAAGGGCAGCCACCGTCAGCACCCTTGACCCAGCGTGAGTCGGGACCTCCGTCCATAGCAAGGCGTTCGAGAACCATAGCAGCATCTTCAGTGTCACTGTCCATCTCCCTCCTCGATATTGGCATGTTGGTAGTTCGGAGATGTCTACTGGGCGAGATCCTCTGTTCGGAAGCACGAGGGCTAGATGGCGCCGTGTCATCCTCTTCGTCACTCTCATCAGTATCCTCGGGCGGACCATGCGGTGATACTGAGGAGTGATGTGTGGAGTTAGGGAAAGAGCCGGATCGGTGACCGGAAAAGAAGCTTGCTGGACTAGAACCTGAGGAGACGCGAGTAAGATCAAGCTCGGCGGGGTTCGAGCCACTTGCAGACCTGTAGACGTTCCAGTTGGCAGAGGCAGGTGGTGACGAGGCAGCAAAGGCATTCGCATTGGATAGAGGTATCTGCCCTGCTAGCAAAGCTTCGACCTGAGCGAGACGAGCTTTGATGGCTTCGACCTCAGCCGGAGGCGGGCTGCCAGTAGCTTGAGCGGCGTTAACCTGGTCTTTGGCGGTGGAGATGGCAGCGCTGAACTGACTGTAAACAGCTGAACCGGGCGAGAGGGGATCGTAAGGGTTGGGCTGCTGCTGCTGGGTATATTGCTGTGATTGGTTGGAGCGAGAAGCATTTTCGTGAACGATCTTGGGTTTCTGTTCGATACGACACTGATCTTGTTCGCCTCGCTTGATACATTGGTTGCATGGAACGACGCGGTCGCACTTGATCTTCTTCTCTCGACACGAAACACAGGATACAGCCTGTCGGTTGCGACGCTTAGGAGGTGGTCGAGTGCCGTCCAGCTGCTGCTGTTGATGGATGTGCGTGTGGGAGTGGTTGTGCTCCTGTGCTGTGTGAGAAGGCTGTTGTGATAAGGGCAACATATTGGCGTCATTGGCCATGTTGAAGTCGTAGCTGTTCATGGCGAATGAGGGATCGGTGTTGAGCGAAGGAGCGAGAGAAAGCTGGGTAGTGATAGTATCAGTTGACGCTAGGCAGGGATTCTGAGGTCAAGACGAGATCAACGGAACGAGAAAGACGAAACAGAGACGAGCTGACTGGAATGATTGGCTCTGATGGGGGTATCAAAACAGGCTGGTCGGCGGTCGATACTGGTAGTCCTGCTTGGTTGCAGGAGGTCGGATCCCAACGATGGACGATTGGTGCAACAAAGCACCGAAAGGGCGCGGTTGAGAAGACGCTATCGATCAATGGTAAAGACGTCGATCAGCGGCCATGCAAAGCTTTGCTGAGAGAGAGAGAGAGAGAGAGAGAGACAACGACGGTGAGAAAGAAAAGGATGGAGTGATGGAATATGGAAGGACGATTAGGACAGAGCGAGGAATCGAGTGTAGCAAAAGCCATAAACTGAGCCACACTTTTGGACTGGCCTTGCAATTCAATTATTGCGCGAGCAAAACGAGACAGGCACAGCACCCTGAACGCATGCCTTTCTTGCTTTCAGGTTCTCAGGCAGCAGTGGAGCTGTCAAAGGAAAATAAGATAGATATAAAATCAAATACAAATACAAATACAAATCAAGATAAAAATAAAAAAATAAAAAAGATGGGAATTCAATGACCTCCTCATCTCCTGAATCTGCTCACATCTGTTTCGGTTCCGAGTCATATCTTGTCTACTGCAACAACGGCAGCACATCCGCACGACAAGCAAGGCACGGGGCACACTGTGAGCTGGCTGAATTCATGCTTCTGGTCAAGGTTGCCGAGATGCAAAAGTAAAAGTGTTTGAGTCAACGGTGGCTGCTTGCCAAGGAAAGATGGCGAAGGACAACGAAGCCAAACGAAGAAGAGCAACGACGCAAACAAGCGAGATTCTAAACAACCCTCTCTCACCCTTTCAAACGGCGACATGAACGGCTCTCCAAATGCCAGGAACATGCTGATCTGCCGGGACAGAGGACATGCGTGTGTATATGGAGGTGTGCGGTGTGCGGTGTGCAATGTGGCTTTTCGCTTTCGGATTCAGCTTCGGATCCGACCCAAGACGCAGAGGCTGCACACACACACACACACACATGCGAGAAGCAAGCATGAAGGCTTTACCAGCAGCAGCTGCACGAAGGGCAATTCACAGACAGCAACAATGTCGACAGCAGTCACTAGGAAGGGAAAGATAAGTGAGGCATTTGAACAAGAAAGTGGCTTGCTCTTGTCGCTTGCTTGCTTGCAATACGGGAGAGATGCGCATCCGAAGACCCTATCGCGCTCCAAGACACATTCGGAACCCGCCGCCGCCGCCGCCAATCTCAACTGTGCACCTAATCCATCAGGCGGTATGTCCGCCGTTCATTCGCACAGACACACACACGATCGGCTCATATGGGATCCCACACTCGCCTCCTTTCTATCTCAACAAGAATAGCATGCTGCCGTTTCTGTTGTTGCAGGATGTCGCTTGTGCAACTCTTTTTTCTTTTGTTTTTCTTTTCTTTTGTTTGACGGCGGGATGAGGTCCCTGTGGAAAAGCAGAGAGGAGGCGAGTTCGGCTCGAGTTTCCCATGGAGCTGATAAAGCTTATTTTGACGACATCCCGGGGTTAAGGAACCACGGAGATTGCGACCTTTGGCATCAGGCGAGGGATGAATTACAGATCAAGGCCCGATTTAATTTCAAAGGAAACACAAGAAACTGTTGAAAAGTGAAGACGTTTAATCCCGATAACTGGCGATCGGGGAGAGTCTGAGTACGATGTCACTGCTGCTAGAAGACAGAAACATATACAGCATGCATGTAAACTGTCCCATAATTTTACATGTCACCATACATCACTCTAATGCTCAATAGCTATAAGTTGTATTGCCACACTGTCTGATATCATCTGAAAGTCCTGCTTCTTCTCTCCAAGACTGTGTAATTGATATTGACATTGACTAAAAAAATTGTGCTATGAAGAAGAGCCAATTTTTTATATATTGTGGGACAGTTTATGGAGCATGCTCCCAAATAGCAACACCACTCCATTCCTGACCTTGTGGGCTTTTGACTACAATGAAACTTGCAATGTAACTTGGTGGGCACCTTCATACACATCAAAAGTAGTGATGTGGAAAGTTTCAGCTCAATCAGATGACTGTGAGTGATCCAGCAGCACTTCCAGTCTGACACCATCATATCTATACCATCATGCCAAAAACCACCCCAGAGAGGTGCCAATTGGCACTCTTTCACATCCAAAATGGGGAATCTATCCATTCAGTTGCAGAACAACTTGGTATGAGCAAGTCTACAGTGAATTGCATCAGCAAAAGCACCTCTGTGTCACAGGGTCAGAAGGATAGCGCAAGAGAGTGTGCCAAATTGATCAACAGCAGTCATGGGAATGTCATGCAATGGAGCAGTATATGAAGGGTGTGCAATGGATCAATATATGAAGGGAGTGCCAGATTGATCAGTGCTGAACCAATGGGGATCAATGAGATTAATTGGGCTGGCAGTGCATATGAATTATGAGATCGATCGAACCCTGGGTTCCAGATTAATCTCATCAGGGATTGGGTGGAATCAGTCAGATCAGTATGCTTCAACAAGTCGGCCGATATGAGCAAGTACTAGGAGCTGTGTCGAAGTGACCACATGACCAAGGGGTTTGATCATGAGGTTCAACAAGTGGCTAAAGGGATTCACAGGATAAAGTTGGGAAGGAGCAGTGTCAAAAGGGGGCATCACACATCATCAGGCAGAAGGAGAGCATGAAGGCAAGAGGGCAGTGTTGCATAACCCTTATGCTGTGCAAATGGTAGGGGTGCAGTACCAATGGGATTGATGCCAGCAGGACAAGACAGTGTCAAACAGGGGACAAAGGCCCCTCAAGAGGAGCAGGATAGGTGTTGTGGGCAACACCAATTGAATGCATAAATACTCTCATTCTACCATAGCATACAAGTGGATCCCCATCATCTCTATACTATACTACTTACTCTAACTACTTACTCAGTTATGTACCATTGCAATAGCAGTGCTCTTGCAACAACTCTCAACATGTGTGTTGTATCACCATTAGTTGACAACTGTAGGTGGTGTTCTTCAACACTAGCAGTCCAGTGCCCTTGCTGTAGGCAGTGTTCTTCAACACTTGCAGTCCAGTCCCTTGCTGTAGGTGGTGTTGCTCAACACTTGCAGTCCAGTCAGTTATTGTAGGCAGTGATTCACACCTGCAGTCCAGTAACTCCTGTCCTCTGTAGGTGATTAGCATATTGCAGTCCAGACAATGTCCAAGAGCATTATCAACAGTACTATGAACACTCATACTGTAGGAGAGGGTGTATCACCCACTCACCAATGAACAATGTTTGTGCTGTGCAACCTCTGAACAGAGTGTTCAAGGTGGTCAGTTGAGACTTACCAGGCAGTGATGCTTGGTTACATTTAGGTGAAACATATCAAGTAGACCTTACTCAATCAACCTCATCTATACCAAACAAATAACACCCAAAACTAGTCTCTGGCACACGACCGCTTACACTCTGCTGATGTTCCAAAGTCAAAGGGGGGCTGGCTGAGAAAACTCCAGCCTCATCATGTTCACTTCCTGGATCACTATTTCAAGCTCAATTCAACCTCCACAGTCAGGAAAGCATGTCATGCACTGCAGGAGACATTTCAAATCAAAGCATGCCCAACCACAGTAAGAAAAGCACTTCATTACTGTCATTACAAAGCATGAAGGTTAGTGAAAAAACCAAAGCTACTCAAGAGACATTGCAAAGCCTATTTCAAATTTGCTAATGAGCACAAGGACATGACTGTTGAGGATTGGAAGAATGTGGTATGGTCCAATGAGACAAAGATCAACTTCTTTGGACTGGATGGTAAGCAGTTCTGTTGGATTAAGAATGCCAGCTTCAACAGCAAGCTTGTCAGGCCAATGGTCAAGTTCAGCAGCAGCTCCATCATGAACTGGGGCTGTATGATGTGGGAAGGGGTGGGAGGTATGTGCTTGGTGCTGGGTCAATGAATTCAGACCAATACATTGATATCTTGAATGACAAGCTTTTAAAAACAATCTCAGATTTGCAGCTTCAGCATGCATACACTGACATCATGTTTCAGCAAGACAATGACCTGAAACACATGTCAAAGAAGACAACAACATGGTTGGAAAGCATTAGCATTAAGGTTATGCAATGGCCAGCACAGTCACCAGACTTAAACCTGATTGAACACCTCTGGCACCATCTCAAAATGCAACTTTCACAGTATAGTACATTTGCAAAGTCCAGGGATGAACTGCTCAAGAGATGTGAAGCTGAATGGACAGCGATCACTCCAGAGACATGTAGGACACTAATAGAGAGCATGCCAGACTGCATCAAGGCAGTTCTGGAGGCCAAAGGAGGGAATACAAAGTACTAAGGTGTTCTTGAGGAGTGCTCCATAAACTGTCCCACAATAAATAAAAAATTGGCTCTTCTTCATAGCACAATTTTTTTTAGTCAATGTCAATATCAATTACACAGTCTTGGAGAGAAGAAGCAGGGCTTTCAGATGATATCAGACAGTGTGGCAATACAACTTATAGCTATTGAGCATTAGAGTGATGTATGGTGACATGTAAAATTATGGGACAGTTTATGCACATGCTGTATACTCAATTGACTAAGGAAAGAATGTGGTGGTAGCCTCGAGCTCTCCGCTTGATATATTTACAAACTATCAGCATATGCCAAAGGTGGGAGCATTCCACTTAATGACAATGTGTGTCAACGAGCGGGACTAAGTTGTATCCGATCTCTAATGAGATCGGCTCTGTCCGATCTCTGATCAGATCTACTTCGCCCGATCCCTCTCGCATCGTCTCATGTCAGCTTACATCATCATATTGGATTGTTTACTTTCAGCAGAAACGCGCCGCAAATTGATGCATTTGTTAGGCCTTGCGGTTGAGTTCATACGCACGACACTCAACGCGTCAAGGGCTTGATGCGCGATGAAAGCAGATCGAAGTGTGAGTTTGGGAGGTTCAACTTAGCCCCTGTGTTGCACACACGCTCACACTTTGGCCCAAGGAAAGACACACACACACACACACAACAACGCGCGTGGAAATCCATCATCCGGAACTCGGAAGTGAGTGTTGGACTTGACTTCTATTTGCACTTTCAATTCATCGTCCTCATCCGTGCCTCTTCCTTAGATCGACAACAACTCCAGCAACGCTTCACAGCTCATCGACAATGAGCATCATGGAAAGCATGCAATCCGGCGGGGTAGCATCGCTCAAGTCGGCCGCCGCCATCAAAGCCAGTCAACCTCGAAGAAACCGCATACGTCGAGGACAGAAACTCGATGAAGTGGTCTCCATGTCCGAGCAACGGCTCAGCCAGATCGCTTCAGGCAACACTGAGGGCAAAGCATCATCTTTTTCCTCCCCTCCATCTGGCCCAGGCGCTCCAGGTCTCTCTGCCTCTTCCTCGTTATCAAACGCTGCTGGAGGAGACAGCCCCTTCCAACTCCAAGAGTATCTCGCTATGCTCGTCCGTCGCGATCCACACAACGTTGAAGCCATCACCTCTCTCCCCACCGAAGCCGACGTCGAACTCCTTACCACTACCGACAAAGGTATATCCAAAGACGACTCTCCCCCAACCTCCTCCTCCTCCTCCGACGATGACTCCATCTTCCAAAGCGTAGACACAGACATTTGGGTCTACGAACAACTCCGTCGCCTTATCCTCGACCTTACCACCCCCTGGCTCACCTCCCTCCAACTCGAATGCGACAAACATCTCCGGCCCTCCACCTGTGCAGCTATGAACGCAGGCGATTGGATGTACCTATGTGCTTCCCACGGAGAAGAAAAGCAATGCTGTGCGATCGACTATATGGTTCACACCCTCGACGGCGCAACGTCCTTACTCAACTCCGCGAGGCACTTCCCAAGTAGAACCTACGTGCCGAATACGAGTTTGAGGCACTTTGGGAGCATTGCAAGAAGGTTGAGTCGGATCTTTGTCCATGCTTGGTGTTACCATAAGGATGTATTCTTGGCTTGTGAGGCAGAGACGAGTTTGTACGAAAGGTTTTATGTTTTGGTGGAGAAATATGATTTGACTGCGACGGATAATCTTCCGCCCCGGCCGGGGCATGGAGGCGGTGGTGAGAAGCATGGTTTGGGGGATGCAGGGGAGGGGGAGGAGAAGGAATTTTCAAGGGGTGCACCACCAGCACCGTTCACATTGAACGGTACAACAGCGAAGAGGGAGAGGAGTGGTACGGCTGCTTTGCGATCGCTTCTTACTCAACAGCTCAGCCAGCCACGGAAAGAACCAGCACCAACAGCAGCAGCATCGACAGCACCTGCAGGGTCAGAAGTGGATGCAGTGGGGTTAGTGCCTCCACCAGCACCCAGTCCCCGTCCAACAGCTATTTTGAGCAGGCCAGACCACGAAGAAGGTGATCAGGACAATGCTCCTGCTTGGACAACCTTTGCTCGGCAGTCCCGAAGTGAAGATGTTGAGGACGAGGACGAAGATGATGATGCGGAAGAAGAAGCTGCTACGGGGGGTGATTCGGATGATCAGACACATAAGATCGGTCAGAAGGGTGAAGATGATGATGCGACGATCAATCTTTGTAGCTCTGGATCGATCGGTGGTCTCTCATCTGTCGGTGTCTCTAATGAGACTACGAAGAAGGAATATAAAGACAAGGTGGACGCGCTCGACGCAAAGAAGAGCGAGGAGAAGAGTGAAGAGAAGGATAGCACTACCGCCTCTGTCTAGGTGGTACGCGGTTAGTGATCTCGGAAGAAAGACTCAGCAACGGGTTTTAATGATCTCTATTATTGTTGAAATGGACACTTCTATATTTTTTCACCACACCAATCTCTGTGCCTGCTTGTGTGGTGCCATGTGCAGATCTATGATTGAATGACGGAGCAAGAATGGGTGCGAGCTAAAAATACAGTTGTGAGAAGAAGAAAGCAAAGTCGACCGGGCCCTGGCCTTGATGTCTAGAGCGGGCTCGAGTGTCAACGTCATGAATCTATAGTGATGCAAAATAATGGGGATGTTGTTCCAGAAACCAATAAACAAAGGCAAAAGATAAAACACCCATGCTCAAAGCAGCGCAGCCAACGCAGCCACCCCGCTCACCCCCAACGCCAACCACACCGTACCAGACGGCATTCCACCCTTCGCCCCGTTGGTGATCGACTTCCTACTCGGAGTCTTGGCCCCCACCACACCATTACTAGCTGGCGCCCTTGCATCAGTCCCATCACTGTACCACTGTTTCAACCACAACGTCTCTACACCAGGATCACTCGTTATGATCTTCCAATCTTGATGTCCCGTACCTTGCACCCATCTAACCAAACTGTTTTTCGGCAGCACCCCTTCTTTCCCCGTACTCCCCGGCAGCATAGGGATTACTTGTTGCGTCCAATACCACATCTTATCCAAATGATCGAGGCCTTGTGTGTTGGGTGAACAACTGTCTAAACCTGCATTGTCATCTTTCATGCCAACAAGGTAGAAGATGGTTCGGCTGAGATAGCGCGAGATCAACATTGGAGTTGAAAGCTGTTCCGGACCAGAGGTGTAGTAGGTGGGGAGGGTACCGTTGAGACCGTATTTGTATTCGGAATAGGTGTTGGTGCAATCCCGACCGATTTTGCGGGGACGATCGCCGGAAAGATAGACGAAAGAATTGGGGGAGGAGATCCAGAAGATGATACGGCTGTCTTCGGTTGCGTCGTTTCTGAATGTCGCATATCGGTTGGTGAGTTGGGCTCCGAGAGAGAAGCCTGCGACAACAACTTTGCGGAGATGAGGGAACCGTTCTCGATCGAGAAAGAAAGCTACTGCGGCGTCTAGTGCTTCGAAACTACCCGCGCCATCAGCGTTTGATGGTTCGTATGCGGTTTGTCCATCTCCCCATTCGACCGATTTCCAAATCATCACTTCTGTCGTACTAACCTTCTGCAAGGGAATTGTATGTCTACCTCTCTTTTCCCTCATCCTCCTCTGAGGCGAACCAGTGTGTAGCACAGCATGGCGTCGACCAGTAGGAGTAACAGCAGTATCTTGGGTAGTCGTCACCGCATTTCCGGCATCCAACGTCGGATCGAACGGATAGGCTCCCTCATCAGCAGTATTGAAAAACATCGGTGCCATCACAACCACTTGATCCCTATCGAAACTTCCACCTGATGCAGCACGTTTAGCGGAGAGATCGGCGTAAATCCACTGATTCCATGCATCGCGGTTCTCGCCGTGGATCTGGATGACGGCTCTTATGATTTTGGATGGGTCATAGTCGGAATCGATGTAGTGGAAAAGTGTGCCGGAACCAGGAGACGCGACGATGGTGGAATTGTCGATTCGCGCACCGTCTATGTCGGGGAGAGAGGTCCAGCCGTCTTCTGGGTTCGGGTCGCCTGCGAGGTAGATGCCAGGGTCTGATCTGGGTGAGAAGTTGGTCGAGGATGATGCTGCAAGGGTGGGAGTGGATAGGAGGAAGAGTGCTGCTGTAGTGGGTAGGAACCACTTCATGGTGGTGAATGTATGTGTGAACGAGAACCGATGCGATGCGAGTCGATATGGTGTGTGTGATGGAGCAGGTAAGCAACGATAAGAGCCTTCTGATTGAACGCCAGCGTCCTTGTCCGAAGAGAGTGCCTTTCCGAACTCCTTTTGTCTTTCTTCCCGGTGCGAAACGCCCAAGCCAACGAGCCAGTAGTAGCGTGAGGGGTGGAGCAACAACGATAAGGAGAAGACGATGCAGTAGAACAGGGAGAACAAAGAGGAAAAGGCATGATTTCGGTAGAGCCGAAGAGTATCACAAATCACGTCGGCGGCACGTTCTAATGTGACGAAGCTCGGCAGGAACGCCCGAAAAAAAGGGCACTGTAGCACTGTCAGCGGTCAAAGACCCTCGTTCCTATTCTACGCCACAAAAAAAAAAAAAAAAATTAAAATTGCGCTTTTCCTGCTCACAGGACAAGGACTTCCGCTTCCATTCTCCGGTACAGTCTGCAATCCACATACAATCCTGCATTCAGCACCGCCTATCCTGCTAGCGTAGATTGCGTTTCCACGAATAAGATAACGGGATGGTGAGCGCCTCGACAAAATGGAAGCCTGGAAAGCAGCAAGCTAAGCTCTTGGAAATCAAGCTAAAGAAAGTTTAGTTGCGAGCTTTCACCGTCGGCGGCTCGGCGATTCGCCTTATCCTCACAAAAACCTTCAAAGCGTGAATCGGGACAGCCGATCTGCAACAAGCATTCCGCGCCGAAACATGCATCCAGCTACTACCCTCAACACAGCCTTCTCACATCACCACTTCTCACATCGCCGCTTCTCACATCGCCGCTTCTCATATCACCGCTTCAGAACCACTGCTCAGACAATGTTACCAAGTGAATGGATGCGGTTCGGAGGGTATCATTGCAGTTGACAAGGCAAGAGAGTACAATGCGAGATATGCGACCGAGTACAATCCAAGAATAAAACCGGCGTGAGCTCCACGAATGTTGGCAAGGAGCCGTTCAGTCATCGTCGTCCATACTATCGTCGTCGAAGTAACCGAGCTTCTTTCGCATCTCCATCGTCTCAGGGTCCAGACTAATAGCATTCTCATCTTCCCAATCAGCAATATCCTCACCCAGATCGGTACCTTGTGATTCTTCCGCTGCCGACGACATTTGACCGCGCTTGCTGGGTCTGCTGTCTTTTCGCAAAGGATGCGAGGATGGCAGTTCTTCAATGACTTCGACCTGAGAGTCATTGCCGTCTGACTCAAAGTAGCCCTGACCCGTAGTCTGCGAGTTCTTCGCCCTCTTCCCGTTAGCAGCACCGTTCTTGCCACCGTTCCTACCTCTAGTGGCCGCTTCCTCCTCCGCTGACGAACAAGACGATTCGTCACTGCTCTGCTGTCTTCGCCTCTTGCTACTCTTCCTTCCATCCCCACCCTTCTTTCTACTACCCTTCCCACTGCCACCGCCAACCACCTTGGCACCGGGAAAGAGATTGTTCAGCGCATCGTAGTTGATCTTCTTACTGAACTGCTTTTGCTTGAGCATCATCTTGGCGCTCTCTGCAGCGGAAGTGTTGTGCATTGCCGTCGACGCGTCCCGTGGTGCTTTTGGCTTCTTACGCTTGTATGGCTCGCGGATGGGGACACCCATCTTCTGATCGTGCTCGAGCTTGAGTTGCTTCTTGAGCGTTTGTTCCATCCAGTCTTTGTTGAACTCCATCCAGACACGTTCTTTGATTTTGACCTCTTCCGGTGACAAGATGAAACGGTCCAACTCTTCTTCGTCGAGATCTGCCAGGTCGTCGACTGGAGCGACACTACGGCGTCTGTTTGCTGTTGCGCTGTCGCCTTCGTTTACAACATTGCTGAGCGCTCCATCCGCATCCTCGCCGAAAGTGCTTTGAACGTCCATACCCAGTCCCCCAAGTGGAAGAAGCTTGCCGGCTTTGCTTATGTCAAGAGCGGGGCCTCTTGTACCTGAAGGCCCGGCCACATTGGCATCTGGGATCGGTCCTTCGACATCAAGAAGCGCGGCACCGTTCAACGAAGATGCTTGCGTGCTGGCAGCAACCTTGCCCACTTTGGCACGTTCTTCGCGTTCGCGTTCCTGCGTCTCGAGTGCTTTGTCGAGTTCCTGTGCCAAACTCTGCTGGAGGTATTGCTGAATCTCGTGTTCTGTAGCTTCATCCACCACCTTCTCGAGTGCAGGATCGATGCTGTCTACATCAATGACTTCCTTCGCGCCGCCGTTGACCGCAGCGTCTTGATCTTCGCCCTCGGCATCCGCATCCGCGTCTGCATCATCGGATTCCTCACTGTTTTGAACGCCTTCGAGCTTGATGTGCTTGTAGTTCTTGCGTTTGCGCTTGTTCGTAGCTGGCTCGCGGGCACGTAGGAATGCTGGTGGTGCATGCTCCTCCTCGAGCCACACATTTCGGAAGTCTTGTACGCTGAGCTGGCCGGTTGGCGTCTTTTTGAACTCCTCCAAACGCGCCTTGAGCGTGACATCAGCAATCTTGACGACCTGGATGATCTCACTGACCGACCGACGGAAGTGATTCATACGCGCAGCGAGCATGAGACAGGCACCGCAGATGCCAGCTGGACGTCGACCTTCTGTGATCCAATCCTTTTGGAATCGGGAGACAAGCCTCGAAGCGTCATATGCCACCTTCTGTGTCTCTTCGCCAAAATCGAGCAGAGCAGCGAAACGTGCAATGTAGATAGAAGGGTCGATCAGCGGTAGTCGAAGGTTGAGAACGCGGATGAGCTTGAGATAGGATCGACCAAGGATGAACACGTTGACCTGGATAGCATCGGCAAAGTCAATAAGCATGTGTGTGGTCTTCTCCATTCGACACGCAACATAGAGACAGCTGGCGACGGTGTATTCGGACTTGCGACCGAGAACGTAGTTCTTGGGCTCATCACCCGTCGCAGCGGAAGCACCACCATCGAGTGCAAGTGTGAAGAAGCGAAGAGCGCGATCCGCGGCGTGCGATGGAATGCGAAGTGCCGAAGCCATGTTGTTGATACCGATACGAGCGTTGGAGATGGTCATCTCACGCGATTCGCTAACGTAGCCACCGCGGAATCCACCAGGCCCGGAAACACGTGCACGAGCCTGATCAGCAGAGATCATGCTACCTTGAATGACAGCACCACCGGCTGAGTTCTCGCCAAAGGTGATGTCGCTGACGATCTGCGACTCTTCGAGTACGACACCACATTGCGAACAGACGGCCTGGTTGTTGGCATAATCGATGGCGGACGAGCCGCAATTTGTGCACTTCATCGTGGATTCCTAGTGGTCGGTGAGAGCGGGCCTTGAGGAGGCCCTACTGGCAGATGGTGTCGATGCCGGCCTTGAGGAGTGTGTTTGAAGAAGAGAGGGGTAAGGAAGCGCTGGTAGCAGTAGCGCCACTTATGAATGTTGCTATGCAGCCCACTGTTTGCTTTCTGAGAGGATGTGGGGCAGCGCGGGTCGCGTAGATTGCTATGACTAGCGTCAAGAAGTGAAGGGAGGCGAGCGAATGTGCTGATCGAGAGAGACGGTTGGCATAGCGACCCTGAGGTGAAGAAAGAGATAGTGAAGGGATTCGCGGGAAAGTCAAAGATCAAAGGTGGGATGGTGTTCGGGAAGGTATGGTAAAGGTGCCAAGGCGGGGACAGGGTGCGAGGATGCTGCTAGTTCGGATGGCAAAAAAAGAAAAAAGTGTCACACCAACGCCAAAATTCCTCACAGGCAGCCGGTCATCAGCGGAACCACGGCAATTCTTTCAGCCTTGTTGCTGCACTGTTGTGAACAGCTGCATACCATCACATTTCTCGTCAAGAAGACCAAAAACGTGTCTTCGCATTTTTCCGTCCAGAGACAAGTTGCCCATCTTCGCCTCTCTGACGCTGCGAAGAGGCTGAATATGGAAATCGGGTAACATTCGATTTTTGCGAGGCGAATAATGTTACGCCTCGGTTAAGACACAAAATTGACATTTCGTCGAAATTCGCTTGAGACTGTCTGCATATTGGTGTCTGTCACACTACCGACCGAGACTTTGGTTGCAATGGACGTGTGTTGGACCTTTATGTTTCGACGCAACCGGAGTTGGATGGGCCTTGTTAGGACCTTTTTTTTTTTTTCTTTTTTTTTTTTTTTCTTTTTCTTTTTTTTTCTTTTCTTTCTTTATTCTTTATTCTTTTTTCTTTCTTTCTTTTCTTTAAGCGCAAACTCTGCTGCAATTGGGCGCTTCTCGTTCTTGTTCTTGGTTCTCGTGGCCCATGCAGAGAGTGACTGCGTCAAAGTCACAAAAAAAAAGTGTGTCTTTCTCCCTTCGCCTCGACCTTCCCCACCTGACCTCGATTCTCGCTCGGCGTAGCGCTTTTGGAACAACGCAAACGCACGCCCAATTCAACCAACTCACTTTGCCATCCTCCTTACCGACTCAGCCTTCCCTTGTCGCTTTCACCATCACTTGCTCTGCATTCATACACCATCGAGATCGATATCGACACCGACGAAACGACGTCAAATAGCTTTTACATTTGGGCAATTGGTAGAGTCGCACAGACCTACGGAGCTGCCCTTTGATCGTTCTGCGTTCGGGCCGCCGCCCTCGGATATCTCGATCTCAAAGTCATCAGCGTCGACTTCCGAAATAGCATCCCACCATTGTGCTTCGACCTCTGCGGCTACGCAAGCACAACACTAGCAAGAAGCAACGTGCCCTTCTCTTCTTTTATCCGATAGTTCGACACGCGTGCGTCTAGACACGGACAAGCACGCTCCGAAGCAGGAGCCACGTATATATAAGTGTAGACTATCTCCCTCCGACCCTTCCAGCACCAACACCTTTGTACAATCCTAGCACCTCATCCACGCTCATAACTATTCAAGATGTCTTGGAAGCTGGGAAAGAGTAAGTATCGATGCCGTTGCCCTTTGCGCATACAACATGTTGGCACAAAGCTTGCACATCTATGCACTGTCCACCTCGGCGCTCCTGGCTGACTTTTGATCTTCCTTGTCACTGGCTTGACAGAATTCAAAGAAGGTGCAAACCTTGGCTCTCGCACACCTCTCGACCGCTCTGCGACACCCACACCCGGCAACCCGGGTGCCGACGCAAGTGCATCTTCGTCCTCTTCCAACCTTCTGGCCTCGTCCGATGGCGCACCTATCCCACGCTCCGGTCTCTTGACCATCCGTGTCATTGATGCTCGTGGCTTGACTCTGCCGCCCGGTATGCAAACACCACCTGCTGTGGCACGAGCTTTGGCACAACACAACCCGAACGCCTCCTCCCTCGCACAATCCTTTGGCGGCGCGCATCGCGAGAACAGGCAGAGCATGCAGCGCAAGCAATGCTGGTGGTTGCCTTACCTTGTTCTCGAGTTCGACAAGAACGAGATTCTCATCGATGCCATTGGTGGTGACGTTCAAGGCCCCACTTGGATGTTCCGTGCCCATTTTGACGTCTCTCGTATCTCCGAGATCAGCTTGCAGACCTACCTGCGATCAGGTGACGGTCACAGCACTCATCAGCCCGAATCGAACGGCGATGGTCAAGGTGACGATGTGATGGGTGTCAGCGATATCTATCTGGGCGGTGTCAAGTTTGTTCCCGACTTTGAGAACCAACGAACCTCCGATGCGTGGTACCCACTTGCTGGCGGCCACGGTCAGATCCACGTCCAGGTTTCCTACAGAAGCGACTCCCGCAGCTCCCTCAACATGGACGCTTTCGAACTGCTCAAAGTCATCGGCAAAGGTAGCTTCGGCAAAGTCATGCAAGTCCGCAAACGCGACACCTCTCGTATCTATGCTCTCAAAACCATCCGCAAAGCTCACATTGTCTCGCGGTCCGAAGTCACCCACACTCTGGCTGAACGCACCGTCCTCGCACAGGTCAACAACCCTTTCATCGTCCCGCTCAAGTTCTCCTTCCAGAGTCCAGACAAGCTTTACCTCGTTCTTGCCTTTATCAACGGTGGTGAGCTCTTCCACCACTTGCAACGAGAAGGAAGGTTCAACGAGGAACGTTCGCGTTTCTACGCTGCCGAGCTGCTGTGTGCGCTCGAGCACCTGCATGGCTTCAACGTCGTCTATCGTGACTTGAAGCCAGAGAACATTTTGCTCGACTACACTGGTCACATTGCGCTCTGCGATTTCGGTCTCTGCAAGTTGAACATGGGCGATCAAGAAACAACAAACACCTTCTGCGGTACACCCGAGTACCTCTCTCCCGAGCTACTCTTAGGGCAGGGCTACACGAAAGCAGTCGATTGGTGGACACTCGGTGTTCTACTCTACGAAATGCTGACTGGTCTACCACCCTTCTACTCAGAAGACGTCAACGAGATGTACCGCAAGATCCTCCAAGATCCCCTGCGATTCGGCGACGAAGTCTCACCGGATGCACGTCACCTTCTTACTCTTCTCCTCAACCGCGATCCAGCTCAGCGTCTAGGAAGTGGCAGTCATGGAGCAGCAGACATCAAAGATCACCCATTCTTTGCCAAGCATATCGACTGGAAGCTCTTACTCGCGAAAAAGATTCCTCCGCCCTTCAAACCTAGTGTTGCTTCGGCGATCGATACCAGTAACTTCGACCCAGAGTTTACGAACGAGCCTCCGATGGATAGCGTTGTGGACGATAGCCACATGTTGTCGGCGACGGTGCAGGAGCAGTTTGTTGGGTTCAGTTATAATGCTCCTAATGCTATGGGCGCTGGTGAGAGTTTGCGTGATTGATACATCGCAAGGCAGGCGGGTTTAGGCTTTCTTATTCTTGGTTTTGTTTAGGCTAGAATCTCGTTTGATTTTCGCAGCATCTTCCGTAGCAGTGTGGCATCAGCTGTGTTCGTGAGTAGCAGAGATTGTGCTTTGTGTGTTTGTGAGTGTGCAAGTGAATGTGGCTGGGAATAAGGTCTGAGGTGCAGATGATGGTGAGTGAAGATCTCGGAATTCGGAAAACTTGACAGACTCCACTTTGTGCACTTTTTTCCTTTGAACCCTGATCAAGAAAACTCCGACCACACCATCATATCCAACACCTCTCTACCGGATCATCGGCTAGACGGCCAACATGGCGTCCATACCTGCGCAGCCTAATGCTGCATCTACCTCATCAACAGCCGTAGCAGAAACAACCATCTCCAACCTCACCACTCGTTTTCCTGGCAAAGTTCAAATCCATCTTCACCCCTCTTCGTCCCTTCCTTCCGCTATCACCTCCCCTTCTGATTCCGACAGACACTCTCCCAACATCAACGCCGATCTCCCAGTACCGTTGCTTTGGACGGTCGAATCACTCAAACTTCTTCGAAGTTACGGTCTAACCGGATCGTTTACTGGTACTTTGGCTCAGTTTCCACAACAAAACATTTTCTTAGGCTTACCGATCCAACTTTTACCCGAAGAAGTAGTTTATCTTCTCCGCCGAGATCTCGCCGTTATTATTGATGAAGCTTCCTCTTACCGACCAAATACGAAGGAGGAGTTGAAAGAAGTAGAAAGGGTCATTGAAGAAGATCGAAAATCTGAACAACTCTCCGCATGGCACGAACGTCAACTACTCCGTGCCAAACACTCCAAATCCCCCCTTAACCCCCTTTCTTCCTCCCCTCCATCCGAAAAAGACCTCAATGGGCTACCATGGCACTACACAATCCCTACAACATCCTCCCACCTCCCCTGGTACGCACCCGTCACATACACAACCCTTTCCTCCATTCAAAGCCTGTTCCCATACCCGACCACAGAAGCAGAGATAGCCAGAGTGGGCTTGTTCGAATATCTTGTGGGGGATAAGGGAATGTGGTGTATGAACGGATTACGTTTTGGGGGCGCATTTGCGGTCTATCCTGGTGATCCGTTGAGATACCATAGTCATTATACTGCTCAATTGGTGTTGGAGAAGGAAAATATTGCTCTGACTTCGTTGGTGGCTAATGGGAGGTTGGGGACGGCGGTTAAGAAAACTCATCTACTGTGCTGTGTCGAGAACTTCGATGCGAAATTGGGGCTGGGGGAGGTTGGGAGTGGGGAGAAAGGAGGAAGGAAAGTATTGAGTAGTTTGCGGGCAGGATTGTTCGATAATGCGCCAAGTAAGGAGGGGGAAGCAGTGAGGGAAGGTGGGAGAAAGTTTGCGGCTTATAATGTGTTTAGTTTGGCTTGGGCTGGGTTTGGTACTTAACCTGACCCTCCTCGCAATAGCACTACAAAGTGTCACCCGGGAGAGCAGCAGTCAGAGCAGATTGATTGAATGAATTCACAACCGTCCACACTCACACACAGCCGTGGGAGGTGAATAACTGCAACAGTAGCAAGTATCGACTTGTTTCTTCGGATGAACAAGAATGATTTGAGAATAGAATTGCTTTCCTACACCACGACGACCCAAGGCAAGTATCTCTGCTTAAGTGATAACAGTAGGCTTCTCCCGACCAGTGAACTCGTTCAACTTGGATACCTTCAATGCTTGCTCAATTAACGGCTTCAACCCTACCTGAGCATCCGCATCGAACTCCTTCTCATCGTCCGAGTATTTCTCCACATACAACCTGATCGTTGCACCCGCACTACCCGTACCCGACAATCTAAAGATAATTCTGCTACCATCGACGAACTTGATGTACAAACCCTGGTTCTTGCTAACGCTTCCATCGATTGGGTCGGTGTAGCTGAAGTCTCCCGACTCCTCCACTTCGAATTCGCCCAACTTAGTACCCTTGAAGGAAGAGCTTTCGAATTGCTCGCGAAGGTGAGCCATGAGCTTGTTCGCACCCTCGGAGTCGACCTCTTCGTAGTCGTAACGAGAGAAAAAGTTTCGGCCGTACTGTTTGTAGAAGCGGAGCAGAACATCTGAAACCGAAGTACCAGGCTCTTCCTTGTTAGCAGCAGCAAGGATGGAAAGCCAAGCAACGACAGCCCAAAGACCGTCCTTTTCACGAATATGATCGGAACCGGTACCGAACGATTCTTCACCACAGATCGAGAGTTGTCCCGCATCCATCAGGTTACCAAAGAACTTCCAACCGGTGGGGACTTCGAAGCATTCGTATCCGTTCTTAGCTGCAACCCGGTCAATAGCGCCAGAAGTAGGCATCGAACGAGCAAGACCCTTGATACCGCCCTTAAAGTAAGGGATCGCTTTTTGTGCCCAATCAGCAATAATAGCCACCGAGTCGGAAGGGTTAACGAATGCACCTTTACCAATGATCATGTTTCGATCACCATCACCATCCGAGGCAGCACCGAAAGAGATGTTTTCCTTCTCCACCGCATCAACCAACGACTTGGCATAGGTAAGGTTAGGATCAGGGTGTCCACCACCAAAGTCCTCCGAGGGAACACAGTTCTGAATCGAAGATTCGGGCAATCCGAATCTCTCCACGAACAACGCTCTTCCATAAGGACCCGTCACACCGTGCAGAGCATCGAATCGAACCGTGAACCCAGAAGTCTGAAGGAAGTTTTTGATCAGCTCGAAATCAAAGATCTCAGCCAGATAGTCGACGTAGTCCTTCACATTGTCAATGATCTGAATCTTCAAATCGCCAAAGGTGGTTTCGCCGATTTGGGAGAGGTTGACTTGGGGGCCTTCGACGATCTTGTATTCAGAGATGGTCTTGGTGATATCGAAGATCTTGTTGGTGACGGATTCCGGAGCGGGACCACCGTTTTCCATGTTGTACTTGATACCGAAATCGTTTTCGGGTCCACCGGGGTTGTGGGATGCGGTAAGGAGGATACCGCCTGTAGCCTTGTACGAGCGGATGACGTGGGAAGCGGCAGGGGTGGAAAGGATACCATCTTGACCGATGATCAGCTTGGAGACTCCGTTACCGGCGGCGAGACGGATGATGGCTTGAATGGCGGGCTTGGAAAAGTATCGACCGTCACCACCAACGACAAGGGTGGAGTTGGCTGCACCGGTGGGGATGGCAGAGAGAATGGCTTGGACAAAGTTCTCAGTGTAGTGCTGCTGCGAGAAGACCTTGACTCTGTTCAGGCGGGGAAAAGGATACCAACCAAGCGAACAGGGAGCATGTTGGTCAGTTGTGTTAGAGCGAGATGATTGGGGTGGTGAATGGGAAAGACTTACCTCTTACGAAGGCCCGAGGTACCGGGCTTCTGACCCTCGAAGGGCTTGGTTTGAACGGTGACCACAGACATGATGGATGTATGAGATGGTCGGGATGTGAGATGGATGGTGGTTGTGTGGAAGAAAGGATGGTGTGGCGATGGCAGATGGGGGAGTTCAACGAGCTAGGAGAAGGGGAGGCGCACAACGCAGACGGTGGTGTGCACGAGCGCACGAGACTGCAGGGTCGTCAAGAATGGAATTTGGAATGATTGGTTCGTTCGCACGCTCACTCACTCCAACGCACAGACCGGATTTGGAACGACCGGCGTCCAAGTGCAACACCAAACCAACGGTCCACTTGCCCTGTGCTCAGCGATGAATTTACAGTGCATTTCGCAGATGCATCCGATTCGATTTGAAGTATTCCGATTCTGTTAACCATGCCAGCAATGTTGACAACTAAGACGTAACACTATAAAGAAATCAATATCCAGGCCTGACTTGACACGTGACGAGGTCGCGAGCTGAATTCGGAGCCACGCTAGCGAGACGTGGGGCTTGAATTTTTCTTTTTCTTTTTTTTTTTTTTTTTTTTTTTTTTTTTTTTTTTTTTTTTTTTTCTTTTTCTTTTTCTGCGCCGTGTGTTGCTTGTGTTGCTGCACGTTGCCAATCGACCTTGCAGCTCGCACAAAGCAAGTGGACAAGTCGAGACCAACACATCCACACTCACACATACACAAAGCATTGTGTGACACAGCAATCGCACTCCCGCTTCAACTTGACCGTCGTGTGTGCTGATCATGAATTAAGGCAGCTACCGAAAGGAGCAAGAAAGGTCCGGACCATCACCAGGCGGCCATCAATTTCCGGTCTGCAATTTTTGATTATTGCGCAGTGGGACAGATATCGGATTCTTCGATGTGATGCAGTGGTCCTTTCCTCTTCTGCTCTGCTTCACAAAGGTTGATATACGAGAGCGAGTGTGTTTCTTTCACATCGGAAGATCTCCAGGGTGCTTCGAGCACGAGGCAAACAATGTGTCGGCGCTTTAAAACGAGGCAGAAACAAGGGTCCCCCTTGCTATTTACACCTCCTCCTTGGCTTTCCAATGCTCCCCTTCTTTGGAGCTTAAGCTTGCCTACTGCAATGATAACGCTTCGTTCGACTATGAAGCTGTAGGGAACAGCGAATTGACGATTTAAGGATGGAAGCAGAGTGCCTGCTTGATAGCCTGAGACTGCGTTGGTGACCGCTCAGAATGGAGAGCTGCATCGACCTGGTTTTGATGCAAGTCTGGCTGGCCCTGCACACAAGATCTCGCTCGTCGAGCCATATCGACTTTTTCCATTTTTGTCCCACTGATCCGCGCTATTCATCGCTGCTTGACTCTTTACCTTCTCCATCGACCACCTTTCCATCCGCTCAGCAGAGGCACTGCTTCTATCCCTAAAGTACACCGCCATCATATCTCTTGCGATGCTGCTCCCGTCCAGCTAGACCAGCAATCAGCACTCACTTTCGCACCGACCTTTGCCCTACTATTCGACAGTTGCTCAGCGTAGTTCTTCAAGCTTCACCCTTTCTAGCATAGCAGCAGCAGCCCACCTCTCTAGATACCCGTCCAGCACTCGTGTTCGAATCGATACCCTTGTGCTGCCTGCTTCTATCAGCCTGACTGCCAACCGATACGCTTCGCTTAGCTCAAAGTCTGCCCGGATCCATCTATCTGTTCAAAACTGCTTCCACCTTCGCCAACATTCGACTGCAGCGCACAACGGCTCCGTGCTTTCACTTCGTCAAGCAACTTGCTCTATCTCTTCGTCAAGCAACTTGCTCTATCTCTTCGCCAGGCTCTATCCGCAAGCGCACGCTGCCGAGTCGCTGTCAGATACAGCTGCTCAGCCCTCTGACCTCCATCAACTTCCTCAAGAATCGATCTCTACCCTCCAGCTACAGCATCTCCTCCAGCCTCTAGCCCTCTCAGCACGGCCGCAGGTCATATCAAGGGCCAACTTAGCTCGTCTGCTTCTCTTCCGCTTGCTGCAATTTCAGCCGAGTCAAGATTGGATCGGTGACTGATAGCGCAACACAGGTCAGCATAGCAGTCATATCTGCTCGTCTCTGTTGCCCAACATGAAGCGCTGGAAACAGGTCAAGGAGCAGCTCGATGCAAAGCGCAACGCTCCCGGCTCGAGCAACAACAACGATGACCATACACCGCCATACAAAGGTGGTGGTATCTCCTCAGCGTCCTTCTCCGATCTTCGTGAGCTCAGATCAGGCTCATCGCACCACCTCAGAGATCCATCCAGCTCGAGCCTCCTGCCTCCCATGCAAAAGAGCACAAGCCGCACCTCGCTCGACATTCCAGGTCGTCTCAGCAACTTCATGAACAAGTCTGCTTCAAGCCTCGACCTCAACTCTGCCGCTGCTGGCTCCAACAAGACCTTCGGTAACGCTTTGAGGAAGTTTCCTCGACCAAGAGTTCGAAGTAACTCGAACAACTTCAGCGCGAATGATGCGGCAACCAACATCTCTCCCTCCAAGGCAAGCCCTCGCATGTGGGTCAACAGCCTTTTGAACCAAGCCGGGCCAAGCACACAGCATCTCGAGACAGCTGCTCAGGCTAGGTCTCGCGCCGAGTCAGATGCTTCACGACCGTCACCTGCTCCGGTCAGCAGTCTTGTGCTCTCAAACGATGGACATGACAATGCTGCCTCCACCTCTCGTCAAGTCTATACCCTAGATTCGGGTTTGCAACGCAATACATCTGCTGGTGGCCGATCAGCAAGCATCTATTCGTCCCATCTCAGCTCAGCTTCTCGCTCCACTCCGGATCTGCATCACAACTCCATCACTCGACATCGCGACAATGGTGCTCTGCTCATGGATCTTGCTGGTCCTCTGCCTTCAATTGCGCAGCGCGAAGACAATATCCAGTCTCCCTTAGTCGTGCGCAACCTGGATGAGGCTCCGAGAGGCACTTCCACTCCAGCCATCCCAGCTACTTCCGCTTCTGCTCGTTTGCAGACCGTCTCGAGGCTACGCAATCCATGGTCAGCCAATTTACCACAGATCAGAAGCGAGGAGGATGAAGATGTTGATGCTTCTATCGCACATGATCGATCAACGAACCAGCTAGGACTCGGCGAACAAGCTGTTCTTGATATGCTCGAATCTGCTTCGGGTGTTGGAAGTGCTGTGTCTGCGCTTGTGCCGCCGACGCCGTACCAGACTGCTACGCCAGGTACTTTGGCAATGTCTCGTTCTTTTGCGAATACGACTAGGTTCCATAGTCCAGCTTCCGAGTATAGCCAGGACTTCAAGTCGCCCTTCTTAGCCGGCACTTCCTCGCCAGCTGCTGGTGTTAGAGAAGCCATTCGACAACGTGAGATCCTCGACTCTGCTGCTTCGATCAACGCTGCATCCAAATCTCAAATCGTAGCCAGTCGCTCCACTTTATCGCCTAGGACGATTGACTTCCTCAACGCAGTCCCCTCCGACGGTTCAAAACCCCTTCGATCAAACCAGACCTCAACTTCTGCTTTCTACCAGCGCAACAGGCCATCATCCAGCACCGACGACAAGTCTGCATTTGAGACCGCCTCGCAATTCAAGCGCATCTCTCGTGTCCCTGTCCCTACCACCGAGATCAAGCCCGCATCCCCACCCACCTCTGCAAGCTCCAACGTCTTCTATCGACATGGTACAGTTGCTTCCACCACTTCGCATCTCCCCATCTCTCCCATCGACAGCAGCTTGCTAGGGTCTTCAGCACACGCTACGAGCCTCTGGAGCAGACCAGGCAACGGTCCTGACACGCCTTCAACCACACAAGAATCCACCTCGCCCATGCTTTGGTCCGCATCCTCCCTAGCACCTCCCAAATGGCCATCGCGCAGTCAGCACAGCCTACAGCAGACGTTGGAAGATGGTAGGAAGTCGATGTACTCTCTCGAGCCAGTGGTAACATCGAGTTCGATTGGGGAAGATGAGGAACGTTTTTCGGATCTACAGATGCGGCCGTCGACTCTGATGCCGAACTTGAGACGTCATAGAACGGACTTTACGGAGGCGACAAGCATTTTTTCTGGTGCTGATGCTTTTCAGACTTCGCAGAATAGTCTTGAGAAGGGTATCGTTGCCGAGACGGTACCTGCTATGGTCACGACGACAGAGGCGTCTACGACGGCAGCAGAAGCGTCTGCAACCGCAGCAAACACAACGGCGAGCCGCCCGCTGTCCCACGCGGGATCGGTCAGCAGTTCTCTTGCTGCTATCCGTGGCATGTTCAGTAAAGCAGCTTCCTCCGCGCTTCCTCTGACAGGCTCGGTCTCCGTCTCGAACATCTCAGCGACAGATTCCCCTGGACGCTCTGCTGCAGCTGCTGAGCTAGCCACCTCGACCTCAGTCGCTGCTGCCGCTAAAGATCTCGAAAACCGCTCTTCTCCCCTCTCCAGGCCCTCTAGCCCCGAGAAACTATCAATCCCGTCCTCACCAACCAAAGCCAAAGACCTGATCAAAATGTTCGAAAGCAACTCAGCCACCGGCTCCCCCGTCGATCAATCACATTCTATCTCCCGCGTCGTTACCCCCCGAAGACAGCTCTCCCCGACCAAGTGTGGAACAACTTCAGCTGCAAGCAGTCTCAACAACACACCGAAGCGACAGACTCCACTCGCTATCTCCGTGTCGAGGTCGAACCTCGGTCGAACCGCGTCCAACAGTGTGATGGATGTTGCAGCTGAAGAAGCGTCGCCGGTGGCGTCCAAGTTGCAAGCGCGACGCTTTGAGGCGGGTAGGTTTAGGTCAAGACGCGCTGGATTGATTGGTGTCGGTGGTGGCGACGGTGGTGGCGACGGTGATGATGATGCGAGTTTTGGTGGGTATCCTGGTGATGAGAATGATGACGAGGAGAATGTGGCGCCCGACAGCTCGGTTGGGGATGCACGTAGTGCTCATAGTCGATTCCGTTCGCTTGGTGTGGCTTTGCAGCACACGCGATCGCAGTCGACGACTAACGATATTAGCGGAAATGTTCTCAGCAGCGGCGGCGGTGGTGGGGATATGACCACGCCTGCCAAACAGAGTCCTACTCATGGTCGTACTGGCTCAAACAGTAATGACAGAGGTAGCAACTCGATGAAAACCAGTCCAGGAAGTCTCGGCGGAAAAGGCGCGTTCAGGAACAGCGTTATCGGTTTCATGGGTGTTCTGTCCGGCAAACCAGCCAACGATACCGCAGCAACACTTGGGCAAGGCGGCGGCAACCACACCCTCAACCCCTCCCACCTCCTCTCCGACCGCCGCAACAGCGCTAAATCAGACCAAGACGACAACCTTAGCACCACTAGTGCCGCCACCCAAGGCACCACCGCCTCCTACCGTCGTAAAAAAGAAGAAGGCAACCTTCCGCTCTCCAACACCACCGCCATCCAGATGTCGAACCAGCCACCCGGTGCCAAACCCATCCGAGCAGGCGTGCTGTACTATTTCAACGTCCACAGTGCCAACCCACGCTGGCTTCGCGTTAAAGCTGTACTCTTACCCTCTGCTGTAGCTATGAGTTGGATCCCTTCCGGTGGGGGGAGGGAGAATGTGGTGTTGGATCTGAGAGCGTGTAGGGAGGTTCATTCGGTTCCTAGTCCTGATCATCCGAGCAGTGCAAGCGATGTGGGGGCTGCGTCTGCGAGGAGGCAGGGGTTGGAGTCGATTAATCCTTTCCAGCTGATATTTGATGATGGCGTGGAGAGGTTGGCAGCTGATAGTGCAAAGGAGAGAGTGCAGTGGGTTACCGCGGTTTGGGATGTGACGGGGACAGGGAGTCCACCGGCGGATAGTGTAAGGGATTTGGCGGTTGCGAATTTGGGTCGTGATGCGGTGCACAATGGTGGTGGTGGGGGTCGGTCTGTACATGTACAGGCTTCGCCCACGGGGAGATCGAGAGGGCTGGCTGATGTGAGTTCCACTCGTCCACTTGTCCCGTCACTAGGTGCTGGGGTCGGCGCAATCGGATCGCCCAAGAGACCTGCTTCGATGAGGCCTGAATCGACTAGTAACGAGGAGGCTATTGATCGAATTGGGTCGATTTGGAAGAGCGAGCTGTCGTCAGAGTTGACCAATAAGGACATGCAGGCTAGTATTGGCGAAGCACTTGCGTCAGCAGCTTCTGTTCCACCGCCTTTGCCGCCGAAAGAGCCCAGACCGGCACTGTCACTTGGTACTCCAAATCAGGCTTCGAAGAGCACGAATTCCGTCCCTACTGGCAAAGCTGCAACTGCACCTACGCCGGTTAAGACGACTGTCTCTGCACCTTTGCCAATCGCCACATCAGCCAACAGTCCTGCTCGTTCGAAAGTACGCAGCTGGCAAAGACCGCCTCTGGACTTGAGCACGGGATACATTCACGATCTCACGCCCAAAACGCTCACCCTGGTCACTCCCGTGACGGATGCTATCCACTCAACCCCGGCTCTGTACGCAAAAGATAAGAGCACCAGTGAGTCCCTGCACGGCAGCTCGACTAAAGCGACTGTACCAGAAGGCGATGCCCGCGAACGAAGCGTATCCCTCGTCGCATCTTCACCAGACATGGACGGCTACGAATCAGCCCGATCTCAAGGTAGTCGTAATGACGAATTTGGACCTCGCACTCCCGTTAGTGAGGCCGTTTTCAATTGGTCACGTCTCGACAAGGAGTCAGATTTGAACCCTAGCGATTCTGCGTCCCAACGTCCAGCACGAAGTGAATATGGGACAGTCAAAAGCAACGTTTTCGCCTCCGAACGAAAGAAGAGCGCCGGTGAAGACTCTTCCCAACCCCCCGACGCATCAGGTCGTACCCCAGCCCAACTTCTACGAGATACCGTTCTCGGAACGACCACCTCCGCATCTCCCACCAGCACCCGACCTAACCGTCTGGGAACAGTAATCGAAGAAACTCAATCCCAAGCCCAAAGTACCCGTATCAACGCTTCAATCCGCAGTACGTCCCGCAGCAAACTCGAAGAAATGATCACCCACGCCATCGGCAACAACTCTATCAAATCCCCCGCCGCAAAATTCGCTCTCTCCCTAGTATCTTCCGGTAGCATCAGTTCGCAGGATGTTGGTAAACTTCTTGAGATTCTGGAAGAAGAACAGCGCGAGCGGCAAACTAAGGAGAAGGAGCTGGAAGATCAAATTCGATCGTTCCAACAAGTCATTTCTGATTTACAGAAAAAGAATTCGACTAGTAGCTCACATCGTAGACGAAGCTCGACGACGTCGGTGGGTGGAGAAAGTAAAGTTTCGGCACGGGATTCGGAGTTGGCTGCTATGCAGGAGAAGCTGGATAAGGTGCTTGGCCTAGTTACCAACGTCGTAGCTGCTCCTTCTGTTTATACAAAGGCGAAGAGCGAGTCAGCTACCCTACTCAGCGGTGTGCAAGGGGGTGAGGAAGCGGAGTTGGCCAGAATCGAAAGTGTGTTGGCAAAGCTACTCCGCAAGATGCACGTCTCTGCGGAAGAAACACCCCTCAGCCCTCGATCACATGCAGCTATCTCCTCCCACAACCTGGAAGAATGGCATCGTATGCCTTCCGAACTTCGCGGAACCGAACTCATCAAATCCATCCAAGACCGTGCTCAATACGGCAAAGACGGACGGCACGAAGCCATCCAAACCGACTACCAGACGTTGCGTAATGTTTCGTCGGATATGGTGAGAGGTGGAAGACCTCCTGCTGGCCCCACCGATCCTGGTACACCTATTGATGGTGGGATTGATCCTAAACCACGCTTCTCTCGGCGAGCGTCAGAGATAAGCATTGCCACCACCATCACGGATGTTGACGGCGGTTCAATGATAAGCCGTATCCCACCCCGATCATGGTCTTCGGAACGGGGCATTCCCTCGCCACCTCCGAACTCGGAATGGGATAGTAAATCGCTTATTAGCAGACCGGCTTCTCGTGCAACAACCCATTTAGACATCTCTGCGGCCGGTGCAAGACCAGCGCAGAACTTCAGGATGTTAGCTGATCCAAGCACCCCCTCTAACCCTACTACGCCAAGACCGGTGATGGTAAAGGGAGAACCGAGTTACGATTCGCTCGATATGGAGGCGGAGATAAGGAGGAGGAGAGCGCAACAGAGGAAGGCTAGTGGAGCTGAGATGTTGGGTGGTTGGTATACTCCTAAAGCAGCGCAAGTGGCGGAGAGAGGTTTGGAGGGGTCTTCGGTGACAGCTGAAGCGGTGGCGGTGGGTGTGGATGGGGGGGTGGATAAACCAGTCCCACCTACTCCCAGCGTTCGATGGGCCTCTGGAGATATCGTACCGGTGGATGGAGGGAAGACACCAGACGGGCTCGGGTTGTCTATGTCCTCAGCACCACCAGGAGAAGCAAAATTCTCCGGTCCACCCCCAACTCCAGGTGTCGGATACGCCGCATCTTCAACCAGCACCACCACCAACGCCAACACCGAACTAGCAACAATCCTCCAAGCCCTCAAAGCAAGCGAACAGGCACGCCAGACCCAGCTCCAACAACAAACCGAGATTTCGCGCTACCTCAACGAACTCAACGCTTGGTTGGAGAGAGATGTTGTTGACCGAAGTAAGGAGTGGAGGACTTTGGCTAGCGGAGTTACGCAACTGCATGATGAATTGAAGGCTTTGAAGGAGGGTATAACTTTGCCTGCTTCCGGATCTGGTGAATCTCTTTCCACGATTCAGGGTGCGAATGTCGCAGTGGAGACGCCGACGATGCTTAGACCAGGGGTGACGGGTGCAGTTCCAGCAGTAACAGAAAGAGGGTCATTGGCGAAGGTGGTTACTATGGGAGATAGTGCTACTGTCACTCCTTCCTCTCCTACTACTTCTGCAGCAGGGAGGAAGCGACCAGCGGGAACAAGGAAATGGAACGAAAGTCGATCAGAATCTCCCTCTGCTCCCGGTAGCGGTGCTGAAACGTGGTATAAGCCTGACGATGCGCCCACTACCCCTAAATCTCGCAGCACCACCAGAGGAGCCCTATTGATCCGTTCAGCACTGCGCGAATGGGAGCGATTCAAAACGATGCAACGTTCCGCAGGCAAACCCGAAGCTCCACTCCCTCTTGAAGCCACTGGTAATCCCGCGATCGACTCGCAGTTGCCGCTACCAGAATCTATCTCGGAAGAATTGAAGAATGCAGCTGATGCGGAGGATAACACTCGAATTGGAGAGTTGGTTAGGGCGAGTGCAGAGGCTGGGTATGGGACTCAGGCGATAATTGAACTCACGCGATATGTCGAGTCCAAACCTGCAGAGGAGGAGGTCGAAGGGGAAGTGGAAGTGGAAGAGGAAGAGGAGGTTAGGGAAGGTGAGAGGGGAGTGGTGGAGATGGCCACTCCTATCCCAGCCAAGATTGCGGCAGCGAAGGCGAAAGCAGCTCCCCCCTCCGCAGCCGTTATTGAAGAAGAGGAACGTGATTCGGAGCCAATCTCAAACCCAACAACCGAAGCCCTCGCCCTCGCTGTCGAGGAGATCTTGAAACATCTCCTTTCCTCTAAAGAAGAAGCGAAACGTTCCGCCGTCGAATCCGAGCAAACTCTGCTCAGCCTCAAAGAAAAGGAAAAAGCGGAACTAGTCGATCTTCTATACTCCCGCATCTCTGCCGATCGAGCTGCGGAGGAAGCAAAAGCTAAAGAACTCGACCCTAAATCCGCCATCGAAAACCTGGTTGCTGCTATAAACTCGCAAAAGGAAGTAGAGGTAAAATCGGCAGCTGCTGCCGATGCAGCGTTACGACAAATGACTTCCGAACTTCTCACTCGCACGTCCGAGCAGAATCAAAAGTTGGTAGAAGCGGTTAATGCAGCAAGTAGGGATATGTTGAAGAGCAACGTTCAAATGCATGCGGAAGAGTTTAAGAGATTGTTGCATAAGGAGGTTAGTGGGATGTTTGAGGATGTGGGGAAGATAAGGGAGGTTAAGCGACAAATGGAGTTTGAGATTGCTGATTTATGGAGTATCAAGAGCCGTCACTTGCAGCAAAATGCAACCGGTTTGATAGGGTTTAATGTTTCTGGTGCCTTCCCTTCCTCGCCACCGCCTCCGCAACCTATGGTGGGAGGGTATGGAGGGATGCCAATGCCAATGCCGGTTCCAATGGGAATGCCGATGCCGATGCATCCTCCAGCACATATCTCACCCATCCCCCCTCCGCAACCCGCACCAGCACCGGTAGCTCCGGGGGCAGACAGAGGCATCGACTCCCTAAAAGCGCAGAAAAAAGCCGTCAAAGCAGCACTTAAACAAGCCGTAGCCGACTCAACACGCCCCGTCCCAGCACCAATTCCAGCAGCAGCAACCCTCGCACCCGCCCCAGCCCCAGCAAACCCAGTCGCATCAGCAGCACAAGTCGCAGCCACAGGTTTCCTAGCCAAGCGAAAAGACGTGCTTAATCCGTTTAGTATCAATTTCGGACCCAGGGCTCCTGTTGCTAAGTAAACCCCCTCTTTTCCCTCTTATCTTACTTCGCGTGTGTGCTAGTCCTTTATGACATAGAGTCCTGGTTCGTTTTGCAAAGTGTGATGTTCGTGATGGATGTGGTGCTAGGGGGAAGAGAGAGGAACTGATGGATGATGGTCCGGATTGTGATCTTAACAGGTGGCGCAAAAGGGAAGGGTCGAACGCTGAAGAAGGGAGCTCTCGATCAATTCACCCTGCCTCCAAGCAGCTAAGAATGTGAGAAATCACAGCTTGTGATTTGCCTCCAAGCAGGCTGGCAACTTGAGGCGTGTGTAAGAATCGTGACAACAGCAAGTACCGATAGTCTGTTCAAGACGCAAGGAGACTCAAAACGTCAAACCTCATTCAAACAAGCAAGGCAAGTGTGTTCTTGTGACGTTTGACTCTGTATTTCAGTATAGAGAAGTGAGAGATCCAAAAGAGTAGTACAGAAGAGAGAACCAAGTGCCAGAGTGCTTTGAAACTGTACTGTATAGTACAGTAGAGAGTATCGAGCAATCGCATACGCGTGGGACTTGATGTTGGTACGGCACATGCCTTCTGGCGTGTGTATTTAGGCTTCATGATGAGGAGGGCTAGGAGAATCGCCACTAAACGCTGCCTTGACCTGCGCAGCAGTCGATCCACCCGGACTACCATTTGCGCCGGTCGGTAAAAGGATTCGACGACGAGCATTGATGAACCAGTTGCTGACCTGGGACAGGGTCAACCCAGTCATACTGCACAATGACCTCTTCTCGTCCTCGGTAGGATATGGATGACTCGCATGCTCCAATAACCAAGATTTGAGAAGATCGGTGACGGGTTTGGGAAGCTTGCCTCTACGACGAGGAGGAGGCGCAATACCGGCTGATGGCCCAGGTGGGACATGGGTTGCAGGCATAGCCATGACGGGTCTTCCCATGGGTCCACCGGGTCTAACCATGCTCGGGTGCATGTCGCGGGGATCGTGTGACATGTAGTCTCCTGGAGCGTAAGGACTGGCATAGGGAACACAAGAGTCGAGGTGTCTGCCTCCTGCTGCTCCTGGGTGTGGTGCCAAAGGTGCAGAGACGGGAGAAGGTACAGGCATGGGTCCATTGGCACCTTTGTGTGCGCCTGATGGAGGATACGACCCAGCATGAGGAGATCCATAGGGATCGTAAGGGTAATCGGCGTAACGTCCTTTGCTTGCGCCGCTGCTCGCATTGGCACCGATGGGGCCATTGTAATACTCATCCATCTCGTGATCCAGAATGCGCTCTCTAGCGAAATACAGACGACGATCCGGGTAAAAAGGTTCCGAGTATGCATGCGGATCTATCTCTGGACTCAACCTGTCGCTGGCATGGCTAGCTTCCAAGGGAGGAGTGTATCGGCCGCCACGGGGTGGTGGTGGTGGTGGTGCTGCTGCTGCTGCTGATGCTGCTGATGCTGGGTATCGAGAAGCTGGAGTGCGGGACGACAGAGGCGGCAGTTGTGGACGAGGGTCGGATGCAAAAGGTGGTGGCGAAGGTCGCCGCGAATATGACAAGTGTTGCGGTGCGCTTCTGCCGTAACCATCATGCGGTGAAGGAGCTCGATGAGGAGGGACTACTTGACGAGAAACATACGAAGGCGAACGAGGCGAAGGTCCAGGGCTGTATCGATCAGATCTGCGTGCTGCGACTGGGTATGGATGGCCTGAGGGTGTGACAGCATCATATCCTCCACGGTGGTAGGCGGTGCGAGAGGTAGAAGGCGAGGCAGGATGAGCATGACGAGGAGAGTAGTGTGGGTCTTCCATGCGTGAATCCGCGTGACGAGCCGAGTAGGCTGGGTCACGAGAGTAGGAGCCAGAGTAAGCGCGTTCAGGTGTATCGCCTCGCTCTCTGCCTCCATAGTAACCAGGTTCGGCGTAGGCGCCAGCAGCAGCAGCACGCGAAGATGCAGGAAGAGGAGGGTAGTCGGAAGGACCCCAAGCATTGCCGTTTCTGTCAACTCGCTCTGGAAAAGGTCGTCGTGCAGCCATGTCGGAAGTATTGCTCAGCTTGCGCTTGAGACCGGTGGTCGAAGGCGGGGAGAGTTCGCGGTGGGTAGCAGGATGAGGTTCACGGTAAGCAGATTCGCGGTAGGATGTACGAGGACTGTTGATGTATTCACGAGCGTAGGCGGAAGGAGGTGCAGCCGAGGGAGCAGGAGGTGGTGGAAGACCCAAACGTCGGCTTGGCATGCGTGGACTGCCACGATCGGAGTGCATGTCCCACTCGGCAGAATGGTTAGAGATCCTACCAGCTGGGGAGGTAGGTCTTCGCAAGGCCTGAGGCGGTGGTGAGCCACGACGGGCAATGTGATCTGACTTATCGGAAGGGTTCATTGCGGATGCTGCTGTGGTGGGGTGAACGAAGGTGTGTCGATCTGGATACACAGAGGAGGGTTCTACGAGACGACGTTGTTTTGTTCCAAGACTGTCGAGCGCAGCAATTGACGGCAACTGTTCAGGCTCGCGCGGCGGTGGTGGAAAGGTAGCTGCAGTGCTGAGGGAGCTTCGATCAAACGAATACTCGGAAGAACGAGCGGATGCTGCAAAAGGCGAGCTGTGACGATCGTCTGGGAGGGAAAGGACTGCTGAACAATCGCTGGAAGTGCTGAGGACGGATCCGATACGAGGAGATGGTTCCGTGGTGACCGACTTTGGGTTGAGATGAGTGGTGGTGTTGGTGGTACTAGGCAAACGAAAGGAGTCCTGCTGATCACGGACACTGCTGACGGGCCTGGATGTGAGCGAAGAGACCATGTTGCAACCGGCAGTGCCGGGGAGATAGCTGGAGTATTGAATGCCACGAGAAGTGAATCCGGAAGTCGAATACGCTGCTGTACAACGCAAACCGGAAAAAAATGACGGAGTGTATGTGCTTCCCTGAGTCGAGCAAGCTGTGACGAAATATTGGATGGAAAGGATTGGTGCGACGATGGGTATGCGATGATGATGGTCAAGTAAGCGATTGCGTCGAAAGCAGCCAGTGCCGAAGAGACAGATGGTAGAGTGTGTCCAAAAGAGGATGTCGCTGGATTGACAAGCCGAAAGAGTGAACAAGTGGCGGGTCCGCAGTCCAAGGAATGGCAGTTTGAACGGACGCTGGATGCTGACGTTCGAGCCAGGGTGTGAAAGCGGGTGCGCGGATACGCAAAATGTATTAGCCAAGTGAGGAGAATGCGTGTCGGCGGCGGGGCAGGTCGAGGCTAGAACGTCAACACAAACGAGCGGCAGGGAAGAAGGGCCGAAGAACCGAATGGATGGATGGATGGTGAGGCAAGTTGTAGCGGAGGTTGAATATGAGACAGGTCGGTGATGGAAATTGAGAAACAAAAGGAAAATGATGATGATGATGATGATGATGATGATGATGATGATGATGATGATGATGGGAAGAGACGACGAGGACAAGGGCGCAGTCAAATTGATTATGGCTGAGTATCGGCGGGAGGGAGGGAAGGAAGGGATGCGAAGCACAGGAGAGAGAGAGAGAAAGGAAGGGTAAGGAGAAGGGCGCGACGTGGATGTCTTAGTGAAGAAACGACTGAGTGACTGAGTGACACGGCGTCGAGCAGCGGAGTTTTTGGCAACCAGTGTGGCAGAAGTCGACGTGCGACAGGGGGAGAAGGGAGGTGGCGAAGAAGAAGAATCAGGCCAAAGAAAAGGGTAGACGGGGCACAGAAGGGGATAAAGTGAGGTAGATAAGCAGAGGAACTCTTCTTCGCTGGATGAGCCGAGTTATGGTAATAAAAAATAAATAAAATAATAAAAAATGAAAAATAAACAGAAAACAAATAATAAAAATATAAAAAAAAAAAAAAAAAAAAAAAAAAAAAAAAGAAACGAAACGAGTCAAAAGATGGATGGGGGAGCGGATCAAAGCGAAGCGGCGTTGAGAGGGAAGATGAATTGTGTGGCTCCTGTCAAAAACCACAGATCAGGTTGAGCGCACAAATTGAGTCTAAAGGAGAAGGGATGGTGCAAATGGGTTGATGCAATTCGGATGCACTAAAGCTGTCTTACTTTCATTCAGCGACCGTGCGACTGGTGCTGCCTGATCGGAGTGTCAAAAACAAGGCAACAGAGGCCAAGGCGAAAGGCCACGAGAGACCAAAGAAGCTTGTTGTGCGTCTTGAAACGCTGCTGACACTTTTCCCCCTCTTTTGCGCTGTTTGGCTGTGTTCGGCATGATCCTCCTGTCTTTGCATCTCAAGGGCTGAAAAGATCAGTCAGTTTGGCACAAGACAGAGACACACGAGACAGCGAAATGAAGAACGGGGCAGAAAGGAGAAAAAGAAAAAAAGGGGGGGGGGGGAAATTGAAGCCATCCGTCACGTCAAAGCAAGTTTTTGACAGCTCAGCCTAAGAAAGGTGTGTGGCATGCGGATCCACGCCAGGCGAGAGGAGTTAAATTTAGATACACCACTAGGAGACCACGGTCAGGCACTCCCTTATCTGATGTTCTATGTAAAAAGGCTTGTGTTGTCATAAAGAGGTAACGACTGAGCTAAGGGCATATATACATGTTCTAACCACCTGACTGTGCTCTCTATGTCGAGTCATGCCCATGTGCCACGTATCTTCTTTTATGAGTGTTGTCATGTCAACACATCCCCTGCATACCATGGCGTCAATCCTCGTGCATACGCTGCATTAGCTCCCACTAGCTTCGCATTCTGCTCGTCCTCTTCATCGCCTGATACCTTCCCGATTTCCCGATCCTGTGAACTCCCATTTAATGCATCACGCGTTGGCGATGCCGGTGCATCTTCAACTCCCCCCCTCAACGGCATGTCCAATCCTATCATTCTTGATATCCTTGTCGTGTGAAGTCCCTTGAGAGGTTTCGTGAGTATGTCAGCGACATTGTTAGCCGTTCCGACGAACTCGATTGAAATGTCACCATCTTGCACATGATCCCTAACAAAGTAGTATCTGGTATCGATGTGCTTGAGCTTCCAGTGTTTGGCCGGATCTTTACTGACCTGTATGCACCCTTGGCTATCGGTTCGCAGTATTGGCTTGACTCCGGATACTCCTAGATCCCTGAGCAAATGTGAGAAGAAGAGCGCCTCTCTTGCTGCTTCGGAGGCTGCGACCAGTTCTGCTTCCACTGCCGATAATGCCACGCACTTCTGCACATGTGATTTCCAACTAACCGGACATCCATACACATATGTGATCGCTCCGGACGTACTCCTACGCCCATTTGTAGGGTCAGAAGCCCAATTTGCGTCGGTATACGTAACCACCGGTTGGTCCGCATGATTTCTGTGTGCTCCCCCTAAACTTAAGCGGTATTCGCTGGTCTGGTTCAGATACTTCAACAAGTGTATCGCAGCACTCCAAGCACTGTCGATCGGTTCTGACATGTATCGTGCCAAAGCTCCTACTGCGAACGAGATGTCTGGCCTCACGGTGTTGGATACCCACAAAAGTTGCCCCACTAATTCTTGGTATCGTTTGGCCTGATCTGGGTTGCACTTGTTTCCTCCAGCGACTCCTGCTACACTCTGCATCGGTATCCAAGTTCGCTCACTTGTTCTCTCTAGCCACTTACTTACCATGCCTTTAATGTATGCGCTTAGGTCGAGTGCGATCCTGCCTTGTCTCCTCTCTCGAGTGATTTTGATTCCTAGGAATTCTCCTACAGGTCCGTTGTCCTCTGTTCCCCACTTGTCCATTATCTCGGCTTTGGTACAGTCGACTTCTTTCCTGCACGGCGATGCTATCAGCATGTCATCCACATATGCCGTAATGACTGTGAGTTGGTCACCCGCTCCTCTTGAGTAAAGGCATGGGGCGCTCGGCATGCAGTGGAAGCCGATACTTCGGAGGTGGGTATCTAGCTCGATATTCCATTCCCGCCCTGATTGTTTTAGACCGTAGAGCCCCTTTATGAGTTTCAATACCTTTCCTGGAGGTACCTTAGTTCCTACCGGTGGCTTCAGGTAAACATCATGACGTAGGCTCGAATTGAGGTAGGCCTGTTTGACATCAATGGAATCAACCTCCCAGTCCCGTACGGCTGCGATGGCCAGCACTCCCCTTATTGCCTGGATGGGTGCCACTGGCGCAAATATCTCTGTGTAGTCCAAGCCCTCTCTTTGTGTAAACCCTCGCGCTACCAATCTTGCTTTGTACTTTGTGGGGATGAGGTTTGCATCAGTCTTGATCTTGAGTACCCATCGTGTGTCGACTGTGTTCATACCTCGCGGTAGGTCAGTCGTCTCCCACGTTCCCATCGCTTCAAGCCCATCCAGTTCCTTGCGCATTGCCTCTTCCCAGAACCTCCTATCCTTTCCGGCCAGCGCTTCGTGGACAGTTGGGTTCAGGCTGCCCTTTGCTTCCTTGACCTTAGCTGCCGTCAACCCGAAGTAACTCTTCTTTACCCAGGTTTCCGGGTTGCGCATGTCTCTAGCTGGCCTCCAGTTTGGCCATGGGCCTCTCTCCTCGGGTGGCACCGGTGCATACTCTTCCCTCTCATTTGTCGTTCTCCTTTCCTCTGATATCCCGTTAGAGTTCTCATCGTGACAATGTGGTCCTCCGAGTCCTTCCTCTTCGAGGGTCAGTTCCATGTCCACGTGCTCTTCCAAAGGCTCTCGCTCCCTCTCATCAAATAGGTTCTCCTCTGTGTATCCCAGATCATCGATGTCCTCTTCAATAGTTGGGACTGGTGGAGATCGGATACTTATTGGCCGCCATTCCGATCGGTCTGACCAGCACTGTGTTTCCATGAACCTTGCCGAGTTGCTCCAGAAAACGTTCGGAGAGTAGTCAGGACTATAGAATAGCCATCCCTTTCTTTCTAAGCTGTACCCTATGAATACTGCTGCAACCGCTCGTTGGTCCAGCTTCTTGTTGTTTCGCTTAGCTTTTGGAATATTTACCCAGGCTAGGCATCCAAATACACGCATGAGACTGACGAATCGTTTTGGTGATCTCTTGAACATGAGCTGATATGGAAACTCTCCGTCAACGTTAGGAGTAAGATTGATTTTGAATGCCGCCGCTCGTATGGCATGCGGCCAAAATCTCTTTGGTAAACTCCTTTGCATCAACAGTGTTCGCATTTTCTCACCCAGGCTCCTATTCATCCGTTCTACTCGTCCGTTTTGTCTGCTGTTGTAACCGACAGTGGTTTGCCACTCTATGCCCTTTTCTAATGACCATTCCAACGCTTCGTTGCTCTTCCACTCAGTTCCTTGATCGGATCGGATCGCTTTCAGCTTTCTGCCCGTCTGTGTTTCTAAGAACGAAACTATTCTTTTGAGTTGCGTAAATGCGTGACTCTTTCGTAAGAGTGGCTGTGCGTGCACATACTTGCTATGGTCGTCGACAAGCACCAATGTGCACGTGTATTCTGTCACGCGGGATGAGTCTATGATCAGATCGATGTGGATAAGATCTAGGGGCCCCGCGGCTGTTTCGCCGCTGCCTCGCCCCATCCGGGCGGCCGTACTTTTGGACCGTATACACTGCTCACATATCAGAGCTGTATCTGGGTCCAATGCTGCTACAGGTTCGCCTTTCAATTTATCTACAATCGCTCTGGACTTGTCTCGACCTGGATGTCCTAGACGTTCATGCCAGAGCTGTCTTGTGGAGATCTTTGGTCTCCGATCGGCCAGCTCGAACTCTTCATCAACCCCTTCAAACAGCGGTGTTGATGTAGTCATCGCGCTTTGTCGCCATGTGTCGCCTCGGAACTCTAATAGTCCACGCTCGCGATCTTTCGCTATTTTCAATAGCATGCCATT